AACTATTGCCAGGATCACCATGCGAGAAAGATGGCTAGACAGAATAATACCCTTTGCAAGTATCATAATCAGACTCAATTGCTATGTGGCTTGAATGTCTTCCCCACTCGTCCTCAACAATCATATTGTGCAGATCTTTATACATGCTCGTATAATATTGGGGAGCACTGCTACATTCCAGATACGTTCAGGCTGGCGAATGATTCCAAGGTAGGCGGTCTTTAAAGGACACTAAAAGCATGTCCAATGTCCTTGTGGTCCGATTTTAATCTTTGAGAAAGTACAACATTTACATATGTCGCTGCCCTTGTTTATAAGTTGCATGCTTCAGCAAGACTATTCCCTAAACTGTTGGTTCCGCAATTATAACTTGCTCTTTTCTTCCTTGAGGAGCCGGATCAACAGACTTCACCAGAGTTGACCAAACAGGGTAAATACCGTCAGCCAAGTAGTATCCCTTTTTATACTCAATACCATTGATGCTTTAATGGTGTATCTCTCTAATGGTATTTGACCCTGCTGGATTCCGTATTCACAGATAGGAGACTTCTTATGCAAGACTTTGATATCATTGCAGGAGCTGGGAGCACAAATTTGTAAAAATAACAAATACCATATCCACAAACTACTGTGAGAGGCAAGCAGACAACAGCTTCGAGGATGACAGAGGGCTTGTCTTTTCCAGCGTACATGCCCTCTTAACCTTTTTGACAATTCTTCCATTCCCAATGCATGCAATGGACTCAAGACATCCAGGAATCCTTCTCTGTCCCAATAGCGAGCAGCTCTTTCAAATTGTGCTTGTTTGGCGAGCAAAGGTATTTAGCACGAAAACATTCGGTAAGTCCCTAGCAGAAGTATTACAAAGATTCTCTGGCTGTCGATGCACCCATCTACAAATATTCGTCCACAGTAGTATCAGTTGGTGGTCCGCCGTAAGCCAACATACGCATTGCTGCAGTAGTTCCTTTCGCATTATGGTGGAAATAACAATTCACCAGAAGCGTCAAATCGTGGCTGAAAATATATGTATATGCTTTCTACTAGCTCGCGCATGATAGACACAAGTAACTGTTGGCTCATGTGATAGTGTCTTCGAAAGAGCACTGCACTATAGCAGGGATTGGGTACGAAGTATCTTCCATCAAGATCTTTTCGAAAAAGAGACGTTTGCGATCGATGACCTTGTATGTGCTGTTACTTGTAAACTCCTGGAAGCGTTTTTTTCAGTGTTTAAAGCTCTGCTTAAGATCATCTTCATATTTGATAGGCTCTTCTGCAATCACATCATCCTGTAGAATGAGGCTGTTGGCAATGGAAAATTCGTAATCATCTAACTATCAGAAAAATAAAGGAAGCGATTTTCTATTATTCAACAGCTGTTCCGTGTCAGTTGTATAGCAAACGGTTGGAGCGAACGAGGTGTAACACCGAGAATTTTATGTGTTCAAGTCATTTTTCAAAGTCACCACTGCAGATGATGCTCTTGAAAAAGTGTTTAGCTATATTGAAGCTGTATAACTTAAAGAATATAACATGTGCTCTAGCTCGCTTGACGAAGTGGCGCTGCCAATGTCGTGTAATTCTCTGTAGTTCTCATACTATTAGTTTTTATTAGTCTCTCGACGCCTCACCTAGACTTCTTATTTTGACCATTTAGCTCTCCTAATGAGTTTGTAGTGATTCAGTTTATAGTAACACCCGTGCACCAGTACCCTACAATCGATCTGATCATTCATAATCTTCCTTACTTCTTGTATATACCCTGAATATAACATGCTTTATCTCTTTTACCTTGTAGTTAAAAAATCATTCTGTAAATACGTATTAGGTCATATACGAGAAAAGGAAATTAAAAGATTGGCCACGAAAGTGAAGGAGAAGAAGAAACAAACAAGAGTGCATGTTTCTTTTTCCCTGGAGAAGTTGATACTAGCTTCACTTTGTAAACTCACAGTCTGTGTTACTATCTTTATACAGCTTCTCGCTCGCAGGTTTGTGAGCTTAACACTTCTAATAATTGCAATTAGATAGTTTATGCCGTTCTTCGAGGTCACCTTGTCCGATTTTTCGAGTAAAACGCATTGAAAAATTTTCAAACCACAAAAGCTCGGATATGGCATCGTCGTCCTCAGTAACTGCCTCCGTATCAACCGATATGAGATGCTTTTTATCGAATGAATTCACAACCTTTTATCTACTGTTTGAGGTGCTGTCTAGACTTCTTTCTGGATACTACAATGATGCACGAATCGCGAATATGCCGGATAATACTGGATCTTTCCATGATGAGGAAGGCTGATGAGGAAGATGTAGTTTGGATGCCATGATGATGGATGTTGTCTCCGAGCGTAAAAAGTTATCTTTGCCTTAATCAGTGTGTTTCTTGATGTAGTGTCACCTTTGTCTGCGTTGAAATGTATCATCTTGCTCTTTGACAGGTAACAACCGGGGTCAAATCATATATGTGGATCTGGAGTAGTTATGAGAAAAGAACACTGTATATACAATGGCTGGGATTAAATTACTCTCATCTGTGATCCATGTATGAGAGATTGTTGATATGGTCCTGAAGGATATGTCATATCTATGTTGGCTCATAAGTGTGTGGTTAACCTCCTACTGCATTATTATATTAGTTACAAAGGCGGCGGCAATGTTGCGCATTCGGATAAATTTCACTGATAGTTGTCCGGTCATGGAGTGTTTTGCAAATAGCTGGAGTAAATAAAAAAAATTGTTTTCTGCTGTTCCTGTGCAAGTAACATGCGCTTAATGGAGCCGAGCAAGCAAGGAATAATTGTCCATGCTTTGGATAATTTCATTGATTTCGTGTTTGTTAAGCGCAGCCAATGACACCAGCTTTGGTGCGTGACTTAGCGTTTCGAGGAGGATGTCTTGTGAATGGGAAAGCAACCACGTCGCAACCATCGTCAAATTTCGAAATTTAGGATGTCGACTACGTCGTATGACGCTCATAGATTTTCTGTGCTGAGCCTGGCGCGACATTTAGGATAAGGTTCATCAAAGTGGCTCGATGCTTGAGGCTGGAGGTCTCATAGCAGTTGCAGCATTATCTAGCTGCAAACCTCGTAAGCATGGTTGCTTGCAGTTACTGCCGGTGATCTCGTGTAATTGTCGTGTTGGTTTCGTGGGATCGTAGCCAAAGAACCTGTAAGTTTGATGTATGGTTGGCGATCGAATCGAGAAACGACGGCTCGCATCCGTGTAGAATAAGGCATCGTATCGTTGTCTACCATAGGATGTCGCGATGTTATAGCAGTATTGGTAAGAGAATGGTCGCTATCCAGCTTCAAAAAGTCAACCATCCGCTTGGAGATATTGTAATTCTACGTCGAATACGTCAGATTGATCACACTGCTGCATGTCAATAGAGCTCTGCCAGTGTAATGCATTTGATTTGTAACTCATGTCAAGGTCGATACATGTTGGTGTGTGTCTTCTTCTGATATGCTCTTGGTAACATGGTTGCAATTTTTTGGCATAGTTCAAAATGCGATGGCTATATGTGCTGGAAAGAAATGGTGAGGACCTTGCATGCTACTTCAAAATAATCAAGCTTATAAAAATGTCCATCCCTTAAACGTTGAGATAGGTACCAAAAGCCAGGGGTTCGCTGGTGCTGGTAGTCTAATGCTCAGTTTATAGGCGAAATGGTGCGCTACAAGGGCAAGCTGTCTGTGTATTCTTCACCTGTACCCATATTACACTCCAGTGTTCTTTGGCTCCATATGCCAGAGACGAGGCTCATAAAGTCAACACGTTTTTCCTGAATTGTCATTGCTTCGCCCTTCGTAGCTTCAAGTTGCTGGCGTCCGTACCAGGCGAACAGTAATTCTTTATTGGACGCTCTGATGAAGATGTCCAGCTGCTAGCTCTGGTGCGGTTCGGATCATTTTCTGTGTAAAATCACATGCTGCTTGGTATTGACACTGCGAAGGATAACCTTTTGCGCGAATGGTAAAAAGAACAAGTATTTGCGTTATAAATAATAGCAACAGTGCTGTCATGGAGGACTTGCTCGTATACGTAATGTCGAATGGAAGAAGTGTTACATAGTTGAGTGAACTGGTCAAAGAGGACATCGTCGAAAATGGGAAGCGAAATATCGACGGGCTCATTGCTATTGTTCGTGGCGTGCTCCTTTGCCAAATACCCTATAAAAATGTAAACGGTAGCTCGAATTTAAAATTAAGTAGTAAAATGCTTTCATAGTTTAGATGCTGCAGCAATATGGCAGTGTATAACATGTTCAAAAAGGTGCCTTTCTTTCTTAGAACAAAACAGTAAAGATAGTAACACATATCATTTGAGACGAACAGTTTATGTGCCAGTCCCCCCTGTCCGTCTTTGATACAGCAGTAAAAAATGCCACAATAAGGAGTGTTTTATATGAGAGCTTTGATACGCCCCGCTTTATCATCTTGATATATAGTTTATCGATCACGCGGATGAATTAGTATCACACCATAAGAGCTTTGTTGGTTTACTGCTGGAATAAAAGAAACACAATCTCTACGTTTATTATAGATTTAAGTCCTTCATTTCTAGACTAACGCAGTAAAAAGATAAAAAGAGGTAGATAATAAAATGAACAAAACACATATTAAAGTGTCAAATCCAAACCAGTGGTGATGCATGCAAGGAAATCGTTTACTATATCGTAAGATGTGTGTATATCCGAGCAATCAGTCATTGATATACTAGCCAGGAATAGGCAGAGCAATCATCGTGGACCACTGGAGAAAGCCACTGCTTGCTGCTCTTTTCATTAAATCTCACCGGATTCTTGTCTGATTCTTGTTCGTATCACATGTTGTGTCAGTGATTCTATTCGGACCCAGTCATATCTGTGACCCCTTGTGAACGTGCTTTTGCATACTGAATCGAGAAACTCGAAGAGAGCACAATCTGTATTTTCTGCAACATCTATTTCTATGGAAGCAAACAATCAGTTGGTAGTCATCTTGTCAATTTGTGTTTAAGTTTCGCTAGATCTATTCGTATTTTTTAAAAGGAAACATGTGCTTAAGGCGATTGAAACATTGATGTTCCTACTGCGGAAGTATGTTTTTGATATATATGCAACCCAAAGTATAACCACGTATGTCAAATTATCAAGTAGGAATTGACACGTCAAATTATTAAGTAGAAATTGACATGATAGTAGTGTATGCAATGATGATCAATTATGACGATGACGAGGACGACAGTAAATTAAAAGGTTCTATATATGTACATGAAAAAGCTTCTGACTGCTCTTTCGGGAGTGTGGGTGGGGGGTTGGTTTGGGTAAGATAAAACGTTGTAGATGCGACAAGGAGGAGGTACTTGATAGCTCCTGAATATGACTGGTGCGTGTTTTTCAATTCTTGCAAACGTGATTGATATCTTTGTAAGTACGTGTGTTTTACGACGATTGTTATCACTGCTTCTGTTGCGGTGGTTGTTCTTGGGCAATACGTTTGAAACGTTCGATATCTTGCTGTTCTTGTTCCTGTTCTTTTGCCCGCTGCTTGGCTTCAGATGCAGCCAGCATTTGATCTATCATGTAGAGAACATGACGCGATTGAGTTTATATCCTTAAGTAAGAGGGCAACCAGTTGTAAGTTGTGTGGAGTATATATGTATAAACACGTACAGTAATTGCTCTTGATCAGCATGAGCTCGACACCGGAACCAAGAAAGATGCCCAGTCCGAATATTTTTGTATAGAATTGTGCGAGACTCATTATAAAGTTTATTGCTACAAGATTTTACGAAAGGAAAGCAGGATGTTGAAGGGTGGGGCGAGTGAACAGAAAACAAATAATTAAAAAGTAATGCTATAATAAAAGTGTGACTATGCCTTGTTTTCTACAAACGATGGGCTGGAAAACAGTTCGCTGTCAACCACGGAGTCCTGCTGTTTCCGAACCTGCTTTTGCTGCTCTCGCTCTCGCGAATCGTTAATCTTGCGATATCTTGGTGTTTTAACAAACTTGGGTACTGAATCCGACGCCATTAGACGGCAAATGTGTTCGTTAACGCGATCAAACCACTTGAGCATCATGCGGAGCGCTGAAGATGTGGAATGAGTAGAGATAACAACAGTGGGTTTGGCCTGGCCTGGAGTAAAAGTGGGCACGACTTGCACCATGGAGTTCACCACGCGAGCCATTTCCTGACGTAACGAGTGTTCAACGTTCAGTTCACACCGTGCACCTGGGGCCAAGTAAGTGGACCAAATATCGTGAGCGTCTTCTAGCAAATCCTTTTGGTTCTGGGAGGGCATGGCCGGGCTTTGGTTGCGACACTTCCTTCGCAGGGTAGAGTAGTCGATCCAAAAGTCCAGATTTTCTTCACAGAAATTGGCCCTGAGAAAGTCTTTGAATAGTGACCGCAGCTGAGGATCGTCAAGGATGACTTTGAGACGCGCAGCGTTGCTCTCTTTGGGATCCTCCTTGTTGTTGCTGCCACTTTGCAGCGACAATGGAACGGAAGATGTGTCAGGAACTGGATAATCGATGGCGGTGCTTGATGGGCGTGAGCTCGAAGAGGTGCTTTGACGGCTTCGAGTGGGTCTTGCTGGAGTCGCGGATGGCGGATCATGGATTGCTTCTGGATCTTGTGATAATATTTCACGCAATGTTGTTTGTTGATCCTCCTCGTCTACGCTGGATGGTATAGTGGATTGGCTGCGCAGGGATCGTGTGCGTGCAAGGCTTGATGTTGAAGATGACCTTGCTACGGACTGTTGTTGTGTAGCGGCGGCAGCGCCAGCCTTGTGCTCAAATTCAGCCACCACCTCTTTGCCTTTTCCAGTAACGATCAACATAATTGTTTTGGAAGCGCGTGCGGGTGCCGACTGCTTTGGATCCTGAAACTCGATCCAGCCATACTTAAGAAACTCGTTGACGATGGTTTCAGCCTCTTCCCGCGACGAGACGGTACTGTATTCTGTCAGCCAGTCGCAGGCCAGCTGGGTCGAGAACACTGTGCGCATGTTTTTGGCAGACCGCGTGGTAGGACCCCCCTTACTACCCCTTTTGGAATGGGTCAAGAGATTGTTTGCAAGTAGTTGTACCCGTGAGTCACCACTCGAGATGTTGGATGTCATTGCAAACGGTGCTGGGTTGGACGTGTTTGTTGATCCAGAAGACTGTGATGATGCGCCAGAGATAGTAGACTTGCCGCTGCCTCCTCTGGTACTCGATGATGATGAGGTTGCTTTGGTGCTTTGATTGTTGACTTTCTCGAGTTCGCCCTCCTGAGGTAAGCACGTCATCATGATACGAAAAACGACAGACAAGTTTTGCCGACCAAAGATGATCTGGTCGTCGTCGGCATGACGTTCCAATCGGACAAGCTGGATAGGGTCAATGTGGCCAAAGTGTCTCCGCAGCTGGGCCATGTCGGCTTCAGTGCGAACACAAAAGTCTTGTAGTACACAGACACCCTTGGGCGTCAGCTGCCATATGCCTTTGTCACGAAAGGAGCGGCTGTGAGGGTCGGTGGCGTTTTCAGTTAGTCGACACTGCTGAAACTGTTGGCATAATGCTTTTGCCATATCCTTTTCCATGTTGAATGTCGTCGTAGTCGTCGTTCGCAGCAGCTTCGATGGGTCGTTTGGATCTGGCATCCGGGCGGTGTGTGAGAAGCGCAGGGAGCCTAATGCTAGAATAGCGTCTTCTGATGTGAAAGTGTTGGGATAGTTGCGGAACAGATATCGATGGGTGTCAAGGGGAATTTGGACGATCAGCGCTGCAAATAAGTCGTGGATATCCTATATGTTATGCGCATATATTAATATGAAGTCCCTTTGCCGCATACTATTACCCTCACCCCTTGGCAACAGCTATACTGTACCTTTAAGTATGGGCGCCCATCAATGGTGAACTTCATCATTGACGTGTACGCTTGTTGAGAGACCCCAGGATCCATTATTAAGTAAGTAAGTGTAAAAGAGGAAAGTGAAGAGAGAAAGAAAAAAAAAAGAAAAAAGAAATCAATACGTTGTTTATATCCAAATGCATCGCGATAATTTTGTCAGTCTGTGTGTGCATATCGACTACATTACACTAATACACTATGCAACCCCTTTGTGACTAAATAGAAATGAGAAAACTTATCAAAGAATTGGGGGCAAGCTGAAAGCATGACTGTTGGTCCATTTAGGAGTTAGGTTAGTAACAGTAAGGGAGAATTTACTTTACACACAGCACACACATCAGAATATAACAAAAAAGGGGCAGCGAAAGAAGCATTAGATAGAGAGAGGAAGTAGCGAGTGTATGCAAGTGTTGTGTGAAAAAGATTGAGATGTTCTGATATACCAAGGCGCTTAGACCTTCGTATATTCTATCTATTTAACACACACACACTCACATACCCCTGCGCACCCCCCAGATTCCCAGAATAACAACCTTGTGGCTCGCTGTCAATCTCAGAAGAGACAGGCAAGATATTTACCCTTATTAAAGTTCTTGTTTATTTAGCTGCCAAGTCCAACAAGAAGTTGGTCGCCTTTTCCAGATCCTGATCGTATCTGTCCAAAGCTTCCTTGGCCAAATCTCGGTCAAAACCCATTATAACTAGTTGGTCTAAATTACTGCTACCGACAGTCGGTATTCCCCTTTCTTGCTGCGGCTCCTTGTTGCTTCTTTCTTCTTCTTCTTCTTCAGTTGCTGCTACTGTTGTACCTTGCTCATTTTTACTGTTATTACTGCTATTAATATTAATATTTTTGTTGTTGTTGTTGTTGTTGCTGCTACTGCTGGCATTGTCATGATGATTGCTGTTATTAAAGCTTGCAGAAAACGCGTCTTGGAATCCCACATGCTCGGTTCCCCCTGCTTTGCTCTCGTCACCACCAAAGATAGAGTCCCACTCGTCGTCTTTCTTCTTCGAGTCGAAGTCTTCAAAGTTAAATCCGCCAAAGTTGCTTGCCCAACTCAATTTATCTCCCTGCGTTGTAGCTCCCTTTTCGCTGTCGCTTTTGTTGTTATGGACAACTTTAGCATCGGTGAGCTCGTCAGCAAAAGCTGCGTCGAAGTCGTCCTGGTTGAGAAGCGACGAGTCGTTAACTACTTTGGCTTGCTGGAGCTCGCTCGCAAAGGCGGCATCGAATTCATCAGCAGCAGGTAGTGCTTGGTGATCCTTGTTGGGGCTTGTTGTGGAAGAAATGATCTCGAAACTCTCGCCTCCTCCTTCATCCGACGATGATCGCTCTGTATCATTTGGTCGCTCCATAAACACAGCATCGAAATCTTCGTTTGCTGGCTGTTCTTTTCGTTGCTCCTCCTCGTTTGCAGTACTATCCCCATGCGTCGACAAACCTTGTTCGGGCTCCTTGGACTTCGACGGGCTTCCTTCTTCCACATGTTCTTTCGGCTCGCTTGTCATTAAAACGGATCCTGCGAAATTCTTGGGCGTTCCACTATCGTGTGTGCTTATTTCCTCTTCGGGTAACCTTTCGTCTTTGCTAGTAATCAAGTCACCACCAACGTAGTGTGCGTCATCTACTGACCCCCGTTCGCCCCCTTCCTCCTCGGATTTGGTAGATGATGAGGTGCTTACAGCACGTTCTTTATCCACCACTAGAGCTTTCTCTTCTTCTCCTTTGTCTTGGTTATGTTTCATTCTCGGTTCGGTCTGTTCATCCATTGGCTTGTTCTCCTTGCCATCATGCAGACCGCTGTCCTTTGCATTGGTGCTATCGTTGTCCATTGTCTTGCGATCGTCGTCAGCGTCCATGTCTTGATTAGCGTCATCGCCATCGATCGATAAGAACTCGTCTTCGATGTCTGATTCGGTATCCTTATCTTTTGTCTGCGTATTGTCACCTTCTCCAACCGGTCCGCCCTCCTGTACACCTGTATCTAAGCCCTGGCCCTCGACGCCCGTCGTGGCTTCGTTCTTCAGCTCACCCTGCTTGGTTGATACATCGTCATCTGTAGAATCTTCTGTCTCCTTTGACAGTACAGTCATGCCCTCAATAACGGGTGCTGCTGCTACTGCTGCTACTGGTCCTGCTGCCTCTTTAACGATTGATTCATCGTTGGTGTCTTCTCCTCGTGCGATTTCTGTATCCGCCTCGTTCTCAACTGGAATAGGTGCATCCGTAAACGCCCTTTGTTCTGGCTCGTCTTGCGTTTCTGCAAACAGTTTGGAATCGTTGTTGTTATTTACTTCGGCAGTACCTTCTTTGCTTGTGGAGACAGGGTCTGTTGCTGGATCGTGTGATTCATGCGCCACTTTGGTATTCGCTTCGGGCTGATCAACCTGTGTTTCGCTCGTATGAATATCCTTGACATCAATTTGAGATGACGAGGATGATACAGGGGTAGCAATTTCCTTCTCATTTCGATCTTGTAAAGACGCTTCTTCTTGAGCTTCCTGAGGCTTTGCTTCTGTAAGATTTTGCTTTAAATCTACTACTGTGCTCGAGGTTGTAGACTGATCCAGACTAGGCGTCAGTTGATCGGCAAGGATTTCAGAGGTCTTTCGGTCTTCTTCTTTGGGCAGCTCGACCGTAAGTTGGGAAGAAGGTTCTTTTCCCTCTTCTACGCTTTGATTAGCAGTGGATGCATCAATTGTTCCTGCTTCAACATTTGATAGGGTAGCTGGTGCGGTTTGACCGGAGTCGATGAAAACGTGGTGGTCCTCCTCGGTAGGAGTCGATTCCTTTCCTGCGTTGTCAGGTGTTGCATTTGCTTCTGATTCTGATACTCCATCCGATACTTCATCCGATGAATCAGTCTTTCGTTGTTCTTCCTTTACAGGCATAGAAGCAGCTTCAGATTCTGCTGACTCTTGCAAAGACTGAGTCTTCTTGGCATCTGATTCCGCAACCTCATCATCAGCTAGTTCATCGACCTTAGAGTCTTGCGGCTTTTCTAATGACCGTGTCTGTTCCTCAAAAGTTGTTTCTGTCGCCGTATCATTGGATTTATCCACAGTTTCACGTTCTGCTGACTGCTCCAAAGATTTCGTGTCTTGATCATTTGTGGCAGATGGTTCCAATGTTGTAGGTGGTTTAGGAGCAGTTGGTGCAGTGGGTGACTCAGTCTTAAGGCTCTTGGCATCTTCGGATGCACTTTCTGTATCAGAAGAAGTTGTCGTCTCGGTTCCCGATTCGTCTGATTCAAGGGCCGCCGCAGTGGCAGCAGTAGCAGCTACTGTGGCTACTACTGCTGCTGTTGCTGATGGAGGAGGGGGAGGTGGCGCACGAGCCTTCTTTGTTGTTTGGGGTGCTTCTTGACGTCGTACAGTTGTTCGTCGTGATGGTGGCGGTGGTGGAGGAGGCTGTCGCTTCTCCGCCGTTGTTGGCTGTGGCGCAAAGATCGTGTCAAAGTCATCCTCAGTATTCGGTGTCACTGATGTCGCTGGCGATGCTACTCTTGCTGGTGCTGCTGACGGGGAGAATACATCGTCAAAGGTAAGTTTGGATGATGGCTCGCTGGGAGCGGCAGCGACAGCAGATGTGGAATCGACAGAACGTTGCTTATTGACATGTATCCGCAGACGTTCTAATAGGCCCACTAGACCAGCCGTTTCTTGTTGGACATCATGAACTTGGTGGCGCAACCTTTCACTCTCTGTTCGACCATGATCCAGTGTTTGCGCCATTCTGGCTACTTCTAGTTGAATTTCTTCTAGCTCCTTCTGGGCAGTATCGTGCTCCCGTTGCACTCGCGTCCACTCTGATTCTTCGGATTGCATTGTGTTCTGCAGCTCGATCAGTCGTTGCCCTTCGGCTTGTTGAGCACTGGCCAATTGTGCTGTTTGCGCTTCCACGTTTTCCTTTTGTTTCCGGCTCTGTTCTAGTATGCTGAGTACACCAGCCTTTTGTGATTTGGTTTGTGCCGTTGTAGACTGGACATTCTTTATCTGATATTGAAGCTGATTAACGGCATTTGTTTCGGTAGTCAGTTCTTCGTTGTCGCCGAAGTCACCCAAAAGGTCTTCCTGCGCAGCTTCTGGCTGTTGGGGAGGTGGAGGAGCAAGTGGCTGTGATGGTGCTCTTGTCGTGGGAGGAGGAGACTGGTATAATGGTTGCTGTGGTGATGTGATTCTATCAACGGCTACTGTTGTTGAAGGAGGGATCAGACTTCTGGGTAACACGTTGGGCAATGGATTTCCTGCTAATCGGCTTTGGATGAGATGCATAGCCACGGCAAATTCATCGCGCGTTAATTGTCCGTTTTGCTCCAGGTCAGCCAAGTCCCACACTCGCGCTAAGTCTGTGTCGGGCAATCGCGAGTTTTTGAAGAACTCAACAGCCTCGTTGCCATGAACAGCACCAATACGCTTTGTATCGATCTGGTTGAAAAATATGTCGTATTGTGATTTTTCTTGTGGCGTTACATCCCATCCAGAAGAAGAAGCGCTGTTATTGCCGGAAAATGCCATGCTTCCAAGCGACTCGATGGATTCAGTTCGGCTTCGCTGGGTTCGTGGGGGTGGAGGTGGGATACTGCTAACACTGCTGCCGGTAAGCTGGCGTTGCTGCATCATTGCCGCAGGTGACATACTCGTCCGTCGCATGACAGGCGAAGATTGGATGGATCCAGCAGCTGAGCCATAGATTTGGGCAGGTAGCTGGGCCGGCAATGTCGTGATGGAGCGATCCATGAGTTTAGCGATATAGTGCATAGCAATAACGAACTCAGTCTGGTTCAGATTACCGGCTTTGCGAAGATCAGCAAGGTTCCTAATTGTTATCATGCATAATTGATAAGCACGTCTACAACTTAATGTTTATTATTTGTGTAATACATAATTTAATATCAGAGAGCCACGGTATACTTGCCATATCTGCGCCAAATATTCGTTTGGAAGTTTGGACTTGTCGAATATATTTTTAACCTTTTCGGCATCAAGAACCCCTTGCACAGGCTGATGGGCACGGAAGATACCGAGGTACTTTTCTCGTTCAGCAGGAGATATGATATCGTTTCTTGAATTAGGACTCGTTGTTGCGTCCGGGTTGAATCCTTCAAATTGTGGCAGTGGAACGGCTATGTTTAAATCTTTATATTTAGAATGCTTGATATTGCTCTTACACCATACCGCAGTCTTTCCCCTTTGCCTTTGTCAACTCCATACCACTTGACAAGATGGGCTCTGCAACCTCATGCCCATGTTGGGCACACGCAACGAGTTTTAGCGCAATGGAGAAAGTTTCGGGAGTAAGATATCCCAAATTGTCTCGGTCAGCAGTTTCCCAAATCTAAACATCGAGATTATCAAGTAAGTATATTTGAAAATATCAGTCCTGGACTAGTGAGAATCTGGATAAAATATAACGAAGTTCAAACTTATAAACGTACGTCCGATAGTATCTCGTTAGGAATCCCTGACCGCGCGAAGAAGGCAACTGCTTCTGGTCCACTAACAACAGTCGATTTACTGCCATTTGCTGCAGAAAAAAACTGCGCATAGGCATGGACTTCCTGAGGTGTGAGTAGCGATTCCCAATGCGACGACATCTTTGTTGCTGGGGTGGTTGGTAACAGCGAAGGCGAGTATAATGCGCTTCCCACAGCGAACTATTGTGTGAATTAATGAGCGTGCCATGATTGGCTCGGATAAACATTTGCCATGTGGGGGAGTTCATGGCTTAATGGCGGAAGATCCCTTTTGCGTCAAACAGTCAAACAGTGAGTTGATGCGCACGGGCCCGAGAAGGTAAAAGATCTCCTTTACCGACTCTGTGTTTACAAGTTGGACGCGTAAAGGTGTCCGTAAAGATGTAAGCAAATAAATAGAGAAACAAAGACAATGACATGTGTTCAGGAGCGTAATTTTTCGTATCACCATCACCAAGTAGTAGCAGCATCAGCAGCTGTCAATAAATTAGTGCCCACTGTCAACAAAAAACAACTTGTTTTATGCAGGAGTGGACAGTAACTAGTTCATACGGAGACTCGACAAACAGGTATTTATATTGAGAAGCAAATTTTTAATGTACACAATGATGATTTTACAATATAATAGGTTCCGCAAACAGCTCATCAGTTTTCCGAGATATTCGATATCCCAATACGCAACCATCATTATAGAAGAGGTATATCAAATAAGTAGGCGATGTCATTCGATCATGCTCCGCCTTTTGCACGGTCATTCCTAGGCGAATAAAATAGCAACGATTCACGACATCCCCCTTGATGTTTAGTTTCTACTGTATTTTCTCCCTCCTTATAATCCCGCAATAAGCACATTCTTACCATAAAGTGGGCTATTCCGCAGCCCAGAATCAGGTAAATACTTTTCACTATTGAAAACAAGCGTGCTTTGCCCATTTTCTAACTCGACCTTGATCACGCGCATAAGTGCTACTGTTCCCTTTTGACTAGCAGCAACATAGAGCTCCAACTCTGGAATCCATTCAACCATATTGAGGCGATCCATTGCCGTGAGTAGCCTGTCTGAGCGGACATCGACGTTGCTAATAACATTACGTTCCCATCGTTCTGTTACCATCCTTGTCATGGTCGGATGCAGCAATATGACATCCTTTGGCGTAGTAAGCATGATAAGTTCGTCACTGCGTTTCTTGATTTTGTTGTCAAGAAAGCTCTCCATTGATGGAGATACAGGGGACGAGCACCGCATAACTTGTGGAATCATTGACTTTATCCATGGTCCACTCGGCTCATCAGCTTCCATTACAGTGTCAGGTTCTGAGTTGTTTGATGAAGTGTCCGATTCGGTATCGCTCCAGCCACTTTGACTTATTGGGATCACCTCTGTCGGCACATTGCGTAATCGAAACGGGAATGTCTCAGCTCGCTCAGCAACCATCTGTTCTTCAAGCGCACGATGTTCCTCAGGAGCCAGCAATCGATGACCACCTGGTAAACGTCGTAGAAATGGTTCATCCGCAGTATCTTCTTCATCGCTGAGCCAATCCATCAAATCCTGGTTCTCAGGCAATCCAGATTGCTCAGCACCTTGTCGCCAGGCTGCAGTGATGTTTTCATCTGGCCCTTGGTATATATCATCGTCTTGTTCCTCCTCTTCTTCTTCGTCGTTTTGTCGTTGCTCGTCGTCGTCGTACTCGTATTCATCATCGACATCATCGTCGTTTTCTTCTTCGAAAGGACCAGATGCCAATAGCTGACGAAAATCTTGAACGCGATTTCTTAAAGCTTGCAGACTTTCGTTGCCAAGCTCTAATTGTTGTAATTGTGCAGCTGGAACTCGCACTTCGTCTGGAATATCGATGGCATCTGACGGCCTTCTTCTTTGATTGTTATCGTTGTCTTCATCTTCTTCAGCTATATCATCTTCGTCGTTGTCGCTTTCGAATGGTTGCATGAATGCGTGTATTCCTTCGAATCCTGCCATATTGAGACGGTAGATCGGTAATGCAGCTGAGTTACGCATACCGACCGCTGACAATGCGGTGGATCGAGAATTGTGGATTCGTCTCATAATGGCATCGCTAATTTGTTTGTCTGTACACCGTGCCACCATGATATCTTTCTGTGAGATAAACTTTACAGACCAGCACCTATGATACACAGCCAAATGGGCCGATAGCTGTGTTATTTCTACCAGTAAGAAGACCTTTCCAGTTTTTAGGTATATACATACCACGCCTCGTTCTCTCGCCTAGTCATTTCGATTTTACGGATCGTCGCCTGTTGTCCAGTTTTCAAGTCCCATAATCTACATGTTTGATCAATGGAGCCACTAGCGATGTACCGACCAGATCGATTAAAGTCAATGCAAGGGATATTGTCCGTGTGTCCGCCCAATTCTCGTTTCGTCACTCCATCCATTACTGGCACAACAGTCCGCCGTCGTTTGCCAAAGATAGGATCGCTTTTCGTCATCTCACCAATATTGTAGACATTGATAGTCCAGCTATTAGCAGAAACTGCAATGAAGCCTTGGTCCCCATGGATGGCTAAACCCCAAGTGGATGAACCATCGTTGCTTTTAACATTATAAAAACCCACATGTTAGCGAAAGTTCAGTTTTATTCACTCTTTTCTCCCATCTGGCTCAATCCTCTTACTTTATCGTCATGGGTGGCTCATGTAAAGCATCTGTACGCCAAATCCATATATCACCCGCATCAGACACTGTGACAACCACTTCTTTTTCGAAGATTCTGCCCACTTTAATCTGATTAATCGTATCCATTCCAAGGTCCTTGAGATAACATACAGTAACATATGAGCTCCTTATTTCCATCAAGGCAAAACATTCAGTTATTCTCAGTAATACCTGGCCTTGTCTCGGGATAGGTGTTGCGAGTGTTCTGACAGGTTCACGGAAGGCGGCACTAAAGTGATCGATTTTGTAAACCTGAACGTATTGCCCCGTGGCTATATGTCAACGCAGAAAATTTTTCTCTTAGCTCCATAACATAAAAACCTGATTTGACTGGACATTATTTACCAACAAAAAATGTACAAGGATCTTGTTCACTCGTAGCGCAGAGATTCATACGCTATTGAAAAGGAAATGTATGCGTATAAGTGCATATTGCTCAATGCTCGAAGTTGGTTCAAAGTTTTCTTCGATTACCCATGGTTTCGCTGTTGCTAGATTTACGACGTTGTTTTCTTGGACACTGAACGCCTTTAAGATATATGTTATACTTATGTATTAATGGTTAACGTCTTCAGTGGCGCTTTAAAGCGTGTCTTACATTCAAGAGATCGTAGTCGAGCAATGCTTCGTGCACGGGCTTATCGAGGCCGTCCATTTTTGGGTGTTAATTGGTAAAGTTCATGCAGCAATAAGAGTTCTCATCCCGCGCCACTTCATCAGACATTTCTTAGGTCTAACCTCAAATACTATGTTTCCATGGCAGCTATTATTGATCTACACCACTGGTTTCTGCGGTTTGGTGTATAGTGCAATCAGGGCTAATTATACTTAAAGAGTGCTACTACTGAGCTCGGATACCAACAATGAAGATAACTCGGATATCTTTTATATTAAGCTTAAACATGGAAAAGGACAAACACGGTGTTGCTTTAATCCTGCTGGCAAGTGAAATTAAATAAATTCAAGTAAAGCGGGGAGCATACACAACTTTTTGACACTTGTTAATTTTCTCAACTCTTTACCCTCAAATTATGTCACAACAACAGCAGCCACAACAGCAGCAACAGCAGCATCAACCCTTACAAAATCAAGAGTACCAAGATTGCTTGTCGTGCAAATTAACAGGTGCTGGCGCATTTGGTGGATTAGGAGGTTATGCATTACTCGAGGCACGGAAACTCCATAAAGTTCCCGGAAAACAAAGCACCGCCGTGGGTCTAGGCGTCGCAGGCGTAGGTAAATATTCCCTTAAGAAACTGTCTATGCGACTCGATTATTCACGTATTTTTATGCCAGTCTTCGTTTCAGCTGGGTTGTATAGACTGATTCTATAGATGATCTATAAAATATGACATGTTTTGGCTGTTGATGCTTCGTGTAAAAAGTCTTTTTTTGTGACAATGTGATACTATCATCCTCATAAGCTTTCGTCTAGCAGCCGTCTCTGAGCACGCAACATTAGGATAGCTTTACAGATATTACAGACTTAGCCGCTGTCATATCCGCTGATACAGTCGATGCTATGAAGCGATTTGCTGTACCATTGGCAAAACCTTACCCGAGTGTATAATGCCGTTTTTGTTGCACGAAAATTCAGGGCTTGCCGGAGAGCCGTCACGAATTTTGGGATCCTTTTTCGCTGTTGACAAAAAATTACAAGGTGGTGACCCACTTTTCAATGTCAACACAAATGTCTCGACTCATTCGACCAGCTATATTCCGAGCACAACCTACAGTCTTTGCTGCTCCACGCGTAGAGAATCAGCGTCTATTCTCTTGCACAAGCCGACGATGGAACGAAGAAAAACCCGAAGCAACAGCAGCAGCAGACGAGGTACCACAAGAAGAGCAACAAACCGAAGAACCAGAACCTGTCAAATTGTCCCGCAGACGACGACGATTTCATGAATGGGCTCGTGAGGGTGGAGGTGCCCGTTTTGCACGACCATCGCAAGGAACAACAAACTATTTGAGTACAACGGTAAGAGACACGATTGCAATCGCCCTGTAAATTTGAAAGAAGGGAATTTGCTCATGCGGCTCTTGTTTGTTGTATATAGCCCTTCCCTTCGAACCCTCTATTTCAACCTAGACCTCCATTGACCGACGCAGCTCGTCAAGAAATCTATGACACATTTACTGAAAACCCTGAAGACTGGTCTATCCGTAAATTGGCTACCAAGTATGGTATCTCGATGCGACGTGTGGAAGCTGTTCTGAAGTTGAAGGAAGCTGAAAAGGAATTGGAAATGAATGTAAGTGGTTTGTAGCTACTCTGGAAATAGATGAGGCGTACTTGGTATTAACTGAATATTTTGTTTGCAAACAGGGCGTTGCTCTTCAAAAGAAATTCGCAAAGGGAATGGAGAAGCTTATGGGTGCTGATCAGTCTGTTACTCCGTTAATTGAACCTCTTGTGGATATCTTCCCCAAGGTGAAGAAACCCACGTTCAGTTTAGTGGAAGAAGATGCCGCATTTACAGAGCAGGTAATGTTATGCTTATGTTGACGAACATGTATATAGGAAGAGAAGGTGCTGATACTCTCTGTCTTTTTATCCTTTGCGATCAGGATGCGGCCAAAGCATTGAATCGACAACCATACAAAGTACTTGAAGAGCGAGCAATTGCTCGGGAAGAAGCAAAATTCGCAAACACACGATCAAACGCATCACAAGCACCAACAAACTCAAAAAAGAAGACATTTGTTATTGTGGACACCAGTCGCTAGAGTATCATTCTTAACAGCCTTTAAAAAAACCTGTACCTATTAGATCTTTGTTTGGGAATTTTGAGTGAATGAAGTGCATTAGTTATCGAATTTATTTCATATTATTAAGGAAACGTGCTTCTACTAAGCTTATGTACTTCTTCAGTTTCTGACGAGAATCGCCATCCAAAAGACTTATCATCGAACGAATCATCACCCTCACTATCTTAAAAGTTGTCATGAAATATTTGTTGCACTGTTAGTATCTTAACAATGGGGATATTGTTCTGTACACTAAAACTGCTTGATTAGTCGATAAATTCATCTTATTCGATAAGTAAAGCTGGTTTTCGATTTATAATGATATACGCATATATATCAGTAGTAGCAGTGTTACTATTAGAGAGAAAAGAAGGGATTAAGACATCGTAGGTGTAACATGCTAGAAAGATATCAAACAAATGAGTATGGCAAATGCAATATTTTATTCGAAGATCATCTCTTGCGACAAGAATTAAAGCAAATGTGTAGCTGCCACATGGGCAGTGCAAACAACTGGGCCACGGTTGCCAGACCCGCTACTGCAGTAACCGCTGCACCGCCATCTTGAGCGGCCAATTGCCATCCCCTTCTGCAAACTGGGTCACAATGAGCTTTAAGGTCATTGATACTGCTGCCGTCGCTCTCGAGGTCCGTGCATTCAACGATGCACTGTTTGATTACGACAACTGAAGTAATGACAAGCGCAAGCCCAAAAACAAAGAAGGAAAACGAAATCAGGAACCAATAAGGAGAGAAATACATGCTCTGCGGTACACCATAGTAGTGAGTGTGTTCGACAAAATTATGTAATGGTGGCGAGGAGTGGGCGAGTGTTGTGTTTTCTTCGTTGTCGCCGTCGCTTCCTTCTTGAGCAGCGAGTAAGGGAGCTGTTGCTTGATAAGGGGGCGGCAGCATTAAGTCGTATTGATCTACGCTTCTTATTGTAAAACTGCTGTGATGGTATGCTGATGGATGATTGTCTGGTAATTCGTCTTGTTCCCGTACTGCTTGTACTGTTTCGGCATTGTTCGGTGGCCTATAGGCAAGCATCCCGGTGTGATAGGTGGAATTTGGGGGCGTTGTTGTTGTTAAGTTGGTTGATGGCGTGTCGTGATCAGACTTTACGTTAGCGGTAGGAGATGTAGAGTAGAAAAATTCCTCGTTTATAGGTGGAGCACTAGGTGATATCATTACCGATGTGTACGGCTGGGTATTGTCGTTGTTGCGATGGACGTACATTTATGGGAGGATAAAAAAAGATGCCAAGACAGAAAAAGAGGGACAAATCTGGGTTTGTGCTCTCCACTCACTAATATTTTGATTACCGAAAAGCCACTTTGATTGTATTAGCTCTTGGCGCCATCCTTGGCTTCACTCTGAACATAATTCTTCTAAAATTGACTTTCAACCATACAAAATAAATACGAGAGCTTTTCTAGATTGAGCTATCTGAGCGAAGATGAGCTTCCAACTTTGAAGTTGAGACACGTCAATCAAAAAATATAAGCTAAAAAAGCTCCAAACTTGTATGCATATGGATAACATAGAAGTAGAGTGCAATGTTGTTGGAATGAAATATTATGTTTTGTGATGAGGTGGTGTAATTGGTTTCATAACTCCACAGCTTCATTGACTGTGGTGTAATATTTCTTGGTTGTTGGTTGTCGTAGATTCGAATTCTTCGTCATCAATTGCCTGGTCTAAACATTTTGGTAGTAAGTATATCTCCCATATTATGTGGATGATCATCACGACTACTTTATGTCTATACACCTCACTCTTTATTGTTGAAAACTCAGATTGTAGAGAAAACCTTTGAGGTTTATTACACTGCTGCAAAAGCTGTATAAATCTCGTCATGTAGCGAATCATTTATCATCTCCGTCGTCGGTGTAGTACTTTGAGACTGATCCGGACAATTCAATTCACTTCGCCGTCTCTGCAACTTCAACCTTTAGCGAAGAATCCGCTGATAAAGAGAAATTGCCTGGTTTAATGCTTAATATGCACGACGAGAGAGGTCTTGCATTACCATTTGCCCAATACATATGTTGCATTTTCAATTGTTACACGACGTAAGCTCTTACATTATATACATAATCATAGAAGGTACCACTAATAAATATATAGCTACAGAGAACTGAATGCGAGAAAGGCTCAAGCCGTCCAATAGCTCGCTTGCTTCATCCAATCATTCATCGGTGCCTATTCATATGCTTGCTGCCAGTAGGCCTTGCACATTGCGTTAGATCGTGCCGTTAATAAAACCACTATCAACTTAAAGCGTATTGCTCCGTGCTTGCGGATAATCGAGACTTTTATCTTTGCAGACGAACTGAAGAAGGGTTACAGCAATAATTATGTTCTCTCTCTATCTACTGCATTTTCGCGGTAGGAAGAGAATCGCTGTGCACCATGTCGGTTTAATTTGCTTCAACAACACGGCTGAATCTTACTTGGAAACTGCTCGAAGGACCTAGCAGTGGCAAAGATCACCAGTAACAATCTGTTGTGGGTGCTGGTAAAATGTCTGAGATGTTCAGCGTATTGGTAATTCAGTAATACGATGTTTGTCTTCTATAAAGCGGATGGATTTTAATCAGGAATACACCATTATTCTCCAAAAATTGATCGAAGAAGGTGCTATTAATATGAGAACGTTTGGGATCAATATGCAGGTACATGTAATCATAACAAGTTATGTTAAAGTAAATACTATCCCACTCAAACATTCTAAATAGTACTGTAGATCAAGGGTAAGAGAAGTGATAAGAGTAAAGTGATTGTAGTACATCTTGAGCATTTACGAATATGTAATAGATGCTAATAAGTAAAGAAATCATTAGAAGTGATAGTTAAAATAACAAGGTACGGCAAAGGTATGCGGATGATGTTGTATAATTGCTCAGTAAGAATCAAAATGTATAACGGCTCAGTACTTACTTACAGTTATTGCGCTTAAGTTTATCTATCTAAGGAGACTAAATGGATACCTTACTTGAAACCTTGTACGACTTTGGAGGCAAATCTGCCAGATACTTTACTGCCGTGCGCGAAATCCAGATTTACAGGTGTGGATGCAAGATTTGTTGAATACATAAACGACGCCAACACGTGGAGACTGTTAAGGTAGAAATCGTCAGACAGTATGCGAACACTTGACCAATAATGTAATCGCAAATCATCAACATACTTAACCTTTTCTGCGTACATATACCCTCTTATATATGTACGCATCATATTCAAATAAACAAAAGTAACTATTTAGTTGCATGGTATGCGAATCATCAATTTGCAAACACAAAGCAAGACTTCACAGCTGTGGGGGCTCAAAAAGCAGTGAAAAGAATAGGTTTCTGGTAGTGGAAAAGAATAGCTCCGTATTTGGCAACAATTTCGCGCATTTCAAGAACAAAACGCACTACGCGTCTTTCTAAATTTTTACCTTTTCTCACTCTCAAGCGCATACATAATCATTAGTTTACGTCGTGCATAGAGCATACATACCACACCTTCTATCTCTTCTTCCTATCGCTCCCTCTTTTTCTCTTCCCGCCCACCTCACTGTGTACCTTAACAACAAACCGAACAAAGAAACGAGATGGACGGGGAATGTACAATGCTGCAGTGGTCAGCGGTGGAATTTCACAATGGGCGACTTTTGCCTTTCGACATTGTCAAAAACATTTTCAGCAACATTGGTCAATCGGATTGTTTGGAGTGCATGCTGGTGTGCAAAGCCTGGTACGCAGCAGTTCCACAATATGCGAGCCTAATTTGGGAAACTGTTAACTTTTCCAAGTCCAAGGTGGACTGCGACCGATTTTGGATGTGCCTGGGCCCACATGTACGCCGCGTAGTTGTGACGGACGACGTGATCACTATGCTAGACAAGCTTATCCAACTTGATTGCTGCTATATTGAATCCATCAGTAATGTATCCACTAGCATTTCTTGCTATAAAAGTTGATTTCAATGCCTGTTTCCGCTTTTTGTGTATAACCACGGCTCCCGCACATATGTATTAATCAATCACCCAATACTCACATACTGATCTGTTGTCAATGCACTATGCGCTTTGCTTAATTCCATTTCCGTATAATTATATAGAGTTTAACCGGATCAAAAGTGTAACAGTGGCTGGATCACCAGTGCAAGACATGCAGCGTTTTATCGAGGCGTTACGTCGACTGTCGTCGCCACGCGAGCTTGATTTTCACAAAGTCAACTGCCACATTTCTGCCCCGGAAATCCTTAGCGCGTGCCCTAAACTTACTCAACTCAGCTGCACATACAGCAAAGTTTTTCGACAAACGGAAGAGGGATTCGAACGCTACGACCTTCCCAGAATAATGACCATGAACAGTGCTCCCGCTCTAAAGTGTCCGCTGTTTCCCCAAATCACAAGTCTGTGTCTCGATGTACGTATGAACGAAATCATGAGCATACTAAAACATTGTCCGAACCTCTCAGGTTTGCATTTGTGGCTTCAATGGCCCGGTCTGCTCAACCATAATATCAACATTATCAACCTCGATCATGTCTTTAAGCTGTGCCCACAGCTTGACCAGTTGCTGTGCTACTGGCCCGACAAAGAAAAACCATCCCGATACCATTGGAAGCATATACCCGCCAATACCACTTCTTCCGCCGCTGCTGGTCAAGGCAACGATACAGTCATTGGTAGCAACAGTAAGAAAAAGACAACCAAACTCCGTGCATTCTCTAGCAGCGTGGCACTTGGCCACGGATCTAGAGAAGTTGTCAGAATCATCCGCCGATACCAACACACTTTGGAGAGCATCGATATCGACAACTACGACTTGAATGACGTCGACCAACTGTTTACACCCACGGATAGTACCTGGAATCAACTCGCCAATATGCATACCAACCAGCTCGCTCGATTAATGACAAGTAATCTCCCTTGGCAGCATAAAACCTTATCAACGTTTCTCGCTCGATGCCCCATATTAAGCGATTTGACCTTACAGCATCTGGATCCTCAAATTCTGGAGAACCAGCGTGACCTGCGGGACGCATTCAGTGTTTTGACTAGTCTACGTAGTTTTGAACTTACACTGAACTCCAAAGTGCTTGGCCAAAGAACGACTGAACAGCTGTGTAAGCTCCTGCAGGTCATCAGCAGCACGGCGCCAGGTTTAGAGCAGCTGTGTGTGTCTGGATTCCATGTATTGAAAGATTACCTGCTTTCCGTGGCCGCCAGCAATCAAAATTTGCGCGTGCTCAGACTTGGTAGCGGCGACCCATATCGACGTAAAAACAGACCCACAACGAAAAAGGCTATAGAAGAATTCGCACAAAACTTGAGCCCGCATATTCGTCACTTGGAGTTGACCAATCTCAAGTTGATAACACGGGCTTTTTTCGAACAACTTGCTGAGCGAGTGGAATTGACTACACTGACGCTCAATTGCTGTGGTCAGGCAGACGATATGGGCTTACGACAATTATTGACACGTAAAGCAGGCTCTCTACATTCACTGCGCATGGATTCGTCTCACATCGAACATCGTCGCGATCTTATCAACCATTGCAAGACCCTACTTCACTACAATGTTCGAGAGAACAAAAATCAGCTATATGTGAGCCGCTCTCTGGATTAGATTGTTACGCTTTCGATACCAAATATGCTTCTTGTATATTCTCTCTCCTCCTCCAAAAATGGAACCTTATTCATCTCCTTTCCCCCCTTTGAGTATACTCTTTAGCATTTTGCATATTACACACATATTTGCATTCAAAGAAAATATTTGCACAATAAGATGCTGCTAAACAAAGCAGTTATCAAATAATTTGTTTTCCTGTGAACAGCAAGAAAATTGCTGTGCTAGTGCTGTTGATAACTTCATCAAAAAGGTACCTTCTTCGTGTCACATACTAAATCCATGTTTTCGAGACCATTTCTTAAAATCGCGACATGTCCTGCTGGATCATGAGATCCCTTTGTTGTCGTTGCACTACACCAGAAAGAAGTATTTAGCGAAATGAGTCAATTGCTGGTAGCAGAACGGCTCCAAACGCCAGCTGTTGTAGGTATACGAGGATAGGTAACAGGTACGTAAAGAAACCCCTATCACTGCAGGAGCTCTGATAATGTCTGTTAGACCAGTTATCTTGCCCTAGTAACCAAACTTCATATTGCAGCGATAGCATGAGATTTCGTCCAACAGAATGAAAGTTAATGTCCGACATCCACAAGTCGTTATCTAGACAGCTACTAGTCGAGCTGTTTCGACATTTCGAGGCAAAACATAATACAGATACATGATGTATGCGTGTTGTATGCTGCTGATAGGACAAGTGGTTACAATTGGGGCGATGATGACAGGAATCAATAGTTGTTTACGTCCCCCAACACTGTCATTTTCTTGCATTTGTGAATGTTCTATATTTTCATACGTCCGATACCTTTGCTGTATCTATATTCTGTCATTATGCTGTGCCGCTATAGCGGACATCATGTCGAACATTCCTTTGGCGCTCAACCGCAAGCCATCAGTCTCGTGCTGTAGATATACATACATACTAATTAGCTAGGCTAGTTGATTGAAAGCAGACAGGGTAAAGAGAACATACTCTATCCCCTCCTCATTTCTTACTCACCGTGACTTATTCCATAGTTTTCTTGGTCATTTACAGTATATATCGAAAAGGAAATACAAAGACAATGCATTGTTTATATAAAATTCTATTAGCATGCCATATCTTCTACATCTATCCTTTTCCTGGTCTTAAACCTATCTCGACACTCTGGAGGTATGTATTTCTTGTCATTCAATTAACCACTACTTGCAGTTTCCTTGAGCATCTAAAAATAGCTTTTCTCGTCCTAATGAACTACTACTACTACTAGGTTAAGAGGTCGACAACAAGAAGTATGGGTATTGAAATCAAAATAGTGCTACCAGTAGTGTTCGTCCTGCTCATTTACACTTCCGCAGTCAGAAGACGAGCAATGATTTAACAAGAGCAAGCACTATAAATGTATTGGTTCCAGCTATTTTATCACAGAGAATCACGAGTTTGGAAAATTCCGGATGAATTCTTCGCTTATTGAGACAAAAACAAAATTGTGACACCAGAAAAATTCAGAAATACTATTCTACAAAGCATGTGCGCTGATAGAGAGCTGGAGGCAAAGGTGTATAAAAAGCTGATCCATAGAAAAATCAAACTGCACCAGCACAGGTATACTTCGCTTTTACCATTTCTGAATATATTATTAGTAAGTAAGTGATCGCTACTAAGTTACACCCAGCTCCTTACCTTAAATTTGAAAGATGTATGATCTTTTATATGTGACAACATCCAGCACGATCCTGTTATAGAAGACGAAACATATGGAGTTTTGGCGACTACTACTAGCTTACGAGGATATTTGATATGAGCACAAGCTTCTTTGAATCCAAAATCCAACGCATTTTGAGCCAAAGCACATGAGTACAGTCTGATAAAGTCGCTGGTGAAGCAATTATAGAAATCCGTACTGTTGCAGAATCTTCACGAGCAAGCCCATCTAAAAAAAAAATCTAAAAAGGCTTTGCAAACCTCACTGATTGGCTAAGTACAAGGTATTCCTTTCCTCGATTGGTTATGCTTTAGGTCAGTGTATCATTTTGTATGTCGGTTCTGTGGCATCCTATGTCGGTATGCATTTCTCTCAAGACCGCAAGCTGCGATTTGATGAACAGTTCATCTATTTGCTCAGTGTCATGATTACTGTGCAATGATGTTGATTGAGCCAGTGGGGTTGCTTCTACTTACACCGAATCCAAGAGCTCTGCTCTGGCTACCTTTAAAGTATCGGACCTCCGATTGCATATCGATCCTGATCAGCTTGCTACCGCGATATTTGCTGGTGATCTTCTGTAAAAGTTACTTTCCGGTTAGTGACAGGATTTCCCAGTGCTTTCTCTTACTTTCACAAAGATCACCCCGCTGATTGTACTACCCCTTTTTCTTCATACATATCTTATTAGATTATTCTACTCGTATGGGTTAGTTGGTCGAGCCTGTGAGCGTGTAGTTTGAGTGCGTTTTTGTTCACTGAACATATAATTTAGCACAAATAGATATGTCACAGCGAGTTCAACCTGAGAGGCAAGGTTGACCAAACTAATGCTTTACAGTAATACGTCTCTTAAGCTGCGGTAAATCCGCTACCATTGGTATGCTTTAAGGTTGGTACGACCCCTATTGAAGGCACCGTTTGTCCGTACAGCCCCAATACTGAGGACTTTACTTTGGGTATTCTCCGCCGCCATATGGCTCTGGTCGGTTGAGAGCCTGTCCTGTTTGACATGTCAATTGGCGAAAATATTCGATTTGGTATTGGTGAAAGCCAGACGGTGTCTCAGGAGCAAACTGAGAAAGCAGCACGTGCAGCCAATATTCACAACTTCGTTGCTGGTTTGCCGGACGGTTACATCAGCACGCGTGTCGGTGACAAGGGCTCGCAGTTGCCTGATGGTCAGAAGGAACGTATAGCCATTACCCGTGCAATGATCCGCAAGATGAAGGATCTATTGCTTGATAAGGCCACTTATGCTCTCACCCGAAAAGCTTGTCCAGGCTGCTATGTTAACATTATCAGTGAGGATAGTCCTACTACAATTTACGCGCAAAATCGACCTTTGTTAACTCTTTATGCTATCTTTTGAAAACAAATTCATAACAGGATGCTGACTAGTTAAATTTGCTACTGAAACTCAATGGCGTATACGCATCGCTTGTACTCTGGCAATCCCTCCATGCTAATTCAACGTATAATTTATTCTTCTTCATTTCTTGTCGTTGCTTTCTATTACATTATGTACACACAAACGCATTGTATTATCTTTCCCTCCCAGTAAATTCTCCTTATTACGGTTTCCGCTCCTTTTGAACATGTAGCATAGATCTACACAACCTTTTTCTCGCTGCCGCTATGTACTACTACTGCTATTACTGATACTCTACAATTAAACATACACGTTTTTTTGCTACACTTAAGAAATATGACAATTTCTTTTCTCCTCCTTTTTTTGCTGACATGTGGCTATACAATTTGGCTTGCCGACAGCAGAGTAAGCTTTTGGGACCCAATGTAAATCATTTCCATGAGCCTACATGCGAAAAAAAGGGGCATTGAAGCTTTCTTTTTCTTGGGGGTGGTGGTGTGGGGTTTTGAATAATTTGAGTGGAAGAATCAGTGTGATTTAGGGTCGGTGAGACAGGCACGCACCAGGCTGCTGCTGCTGCAGGAACCCTGTTTTTCTTTCTTTTCTAGCGCCGTCGTTCCCGAAAAGGTCAAAAGCCGAATTTTCCTAAAGTAGATGTTCTTTTAAACTTTGAGTTCGTTTTCTGCCGTTCCGCTTATCGCTTCTTTTTCGACAGACATATAAACATCTGTCATCATTCCTCCCCGATTACTTTTTTGAACTACTTTTTCTCGGTCGAGTATCGCGTTAAGTTATCAATTCAGTCTCTTATATAATCTCCTGCTCCGACATGCATTTGAAAGAGAAAGTTGTCGCAATTTACGGTGGTACTTCAGGTAAAAAAGAAAGAAGCAAACCATGTATAGTTAGCTGCGTTAGTCGATATTCAAATCGGTAATACTGATTGTGATTATGGGCAACTATGTTTGTTTTCTTGCAGGGATCGGCCGGGAACTAACAGAGAAGCTCATTAGCTTAGGGTACAATGAAAAAAGAAACCACTGCTTATTAGAACTACTACATTGAAATTCTGTTATCGGGACACTGTCACTTACTTATTGGGCAACAATTTTTTAACACTATATAAAAAACAAAGGGCATATGTTGTTTTTCTTGGAACCAAGGAAGAAAAAGGAAAGGCCCTGGAAAAGGCATTGAATGAAGGTGCCAATAATGATAGGAGGTACAATGATTAGCCGTGCTATTGAGATGCATTAATGTACATATAGGAGTTTACTCGCGTTATATTAAGGAAAAAAGAGAAATTTCTTCCATTATCTTATATGTAGTGGGCTCAAAAGCAAGAGGCAGAAGCAAAAGCAGAAGCAGGTTGCCGTGTTCTACCAATGTGATATAACGGACTGGGCCGCACAAGAGAAGTTGTACGCCGTTGCAATGGATACCTTTGGCAAATCCATTGATGTGGTGATTATAATAGCCGGTGTCTTGGATTCGTCCAATCTTGTCAATGACACAGAAAAAGGTACGGGCTGCCTTTCGCCATTATTACGTGTGCGCTAGCATTCTTCTTTTGTCATGTTGTGCTTGTGGTGGGGAGGAGGGGAAGAATAAGCGAGTGAGACTTAATGAACTGTCGTGCTACTGTTTTTGACCAAAGCAGATGGTGATAACAATGTTGTAGTAGAGGGTGGCTACAGAACTCTGGAAATAAACCTGACTGCAGCTGCCAAGGCCAACCGGCTTGCTATCCAGCATTTTGTGCGAAACAACAAACCTGGTTGCATCATCAACACGTCATCCATTTATGGCTTCTGCGGTGCCCCTCTTGCTCCCCTTTATGCGGCATCAAAGCATGGTGTATGTGACGAGTTATCATTAACATTAGTGCTATGACATATTGCGATCAAATCCTTATATATAGAAGTAGTTAGTATAGCTGACAAGGTTTGCTTCTTCATCTTGCACAGATTATCGGACTTACCAAGAGCTATGGTACCTTATTCCGTTCGACAGGGATCCGAGTCAATGCAATGGCCCCTCATTTTGTTGGTAATACTTGGCTAGTTTCTTAACTTCATTTTTGGCTACTGTCAAGCAATTGTTACTAAGAAAGACATATACTCTTTCTACTTTCGGTATCTTGTTACCGTGCGTTATAAGATACACCCATGGTTACCGGTCCATCGAAACAAGTGGCCTCTGCATTAGGCATGGTGTCAATGAGCCGGTGCATCGATGCTTATATACGTGTCATCGAAGATGATTCACTTGACGGTATGTGTGTAGTATACTGCGTAATATTTTACAATAACTTTTCCTGTTGAATGACGTTTCTTATATATATATATGATATATATCTTAATTCTCCTAATTAAAAACAAACATAGGTGATGTAATGGTGATCACGGCAGAGAAAACGTTCGTCGAAAAACGCTATCAAGATCCAACGTTTGAGAAGCTGGATCAACTCTGCTCTGAGCGGAAGAGAAAGTACCGTGAGATGATCTTTGAGCAGTTACAATAATTCTTCTGATCATGTACTAGTCTATATTTAAAATTTTCTATTTATTTCTTCTTTCTTTTCTCACTTTATATACTTCTGGTCGTTCCTATTGTTGGGTCTGTTTACATGTAGTTTCTTTTTATTAGTACATATAGTAAGAATGATGTGCTCTAGCGAACGTATAAAGGCTATGTATTCTCTTCCAATCTTTATGATTCTACTGCGTTCATTATTCTAGCATAAATGGTGCTTTGCTATGAGATGATGTAGTTATAATGGGAGCAAAAGAAATACATAGTAATTGAGCTTCAATATCTCTTGTTTCAAGTTGTGCTAATGCAACAAGAACTGTTATGGAGAAAAGGCTATCACAAGGGTTAGTGCATTCGAGTGATGCGGAGAACACCTCCCTTGCAAACAATTCTTATAAAAGGCGTAAACCCTTTTCTTTTCAATACACGAAAGAAACAGAATGTTTGAGCAAGCAACTCAATTACTCGGTATGCTTGACTTACCTAAAAATCGCAAAACATCATAGGCAATATTTAACACGGAATTTTGCGCACGCTATCTAGGTAACGTTAATGTTGGTCAAGCCGCCAATGTGGCCCAGCAACATATTGGAGGGAATGCTGGCGGAGGAGGTATATATACAAAGGAGTTGATGTAATCATCGCTTGCGTGAAGATTCTGTTATCTTGTGTCCCTCTTTTAAAACCATTATAATAATTTTTTTTAGATAAGGGTATGCTTCAAAATATCATGTCGAACGTGATGGGTGGCACCGACAAACCCTCCAGCGCTGATCAAAGTGAAGTGGACTATGCCACTTCCATGTTTGACAAAATTTACGGCCAAAATCAAAAATCATCGTCAGCCAATGATCTCGGTTCCGCCGCCGCCATGAAGGCGTTCAAATTATTTGCTGGAGGAGGATCCGGTTCTGGAGGAGGCACCGACAAATTGGCAGGTCTTGCCATGGGTGAAGCTATGAAACTCTTCACGAGTAACAATGCCGGAGGCGCACAAAAGAGCGATATTATCAGCAAAGCCGTGTCCTGGGCGATCAAGCTGTTCTTGACAAAACAACAAGGCTCTTCAAACCCTGCCTTTGGTGCCTTGATGAGCATGGTTGGTGGTGGTAATGCTGCTCAAGATGCCACTGCTGGTAGTACAGCCAAAAAGAGCAACATTGCTTCTAGTATCATCAACAAGTTCTTTTGAAAGAAAGGGAATTCAAGTATAAATAAAAGTATATTTTATTCGATGGACAAAGTTAGCTATTGCTTGGTCACACAATGACTATGCCAAGAGTATGTGGCACGCCTGGCGGGGAATGCTCGGAAGAAATGTGCTACGAGTCACTTTTCCACAGTGTGAACGTGCTTCGTTAACGAGTGTGACACAGACACTTCATCAGCGCACTTCTCTTCTTCTTTGATCTTTTGATGGAAGAAGCAGCTCTTATCTAACAAGCTGTAGCCTGCATTAATTGCGACGACAACAGTCAATTATTATGCTGTTATTTACATGGCAGGGGTGCATCCTTGCGGTTACTGTAGCAAGACCACCCTCACTCATCAATCTGGTTCTCAACAATGACTCGCTATAAAGTGATCTTATCCGGGCCTTGGCATGATCTTCCCCGTCAGCCGTGCTGTCGTTGTACCTCATATGTTTCATTACTAAAATAAGGCCGGTCGCCGGAACTGCCCAAATTCTTTCTTTGATGGAGTCCTATTACTAAGTACTGGTTTAGTTAATCGAATAGAATATTAATAACCCACATGACGTTTGCGACTTTGTAGTATTCCCAGCATTCCTTGTTCTAGCCAAAATAAAAGACATGTATCTGCACTCAATTAATTCATAATGTTAAATGACCAACTACAGCAGTTATAACTGCAAGTACTGTTGCTACTATTGGAGGTGCTTGTTTTCGACCCAGCCTTTTCTGCTGTTGTAAGGCCAAAGAAGGAGGATGAACAGTTGTTTTCGGAATATATAAGCCAAGATACAACCCTCTTGAAGTAGAAGGTGGGCTCATGAAGCATCATTCCCTTTATCATCACTAGAAAACAGAAGGTGTACGCGGTTTACACCAGCCAAGTGTTACAGGCTGTTATTAGCCTCGTTTTTTCATGTAATACGAACATGCTGATGTGTAGCTGCTACCGAGTTTGCAAAACGATAATACTGTTCTTCCTTTCAGAGTGTGTCTGAAACTCAAATGTAACAGAAGGAGATATCGCCATTACTCGCTATATGTAACAGTATCACAGGCAGGAGTAGTAGTGTTGGATGAAGGAAACGGCTACTGTTTGTTATACAAGAAGAACGGATAATAATAGCAATGATGTAATGATTGTATAAAAGGGCCAAGCGCAGCAGCAAAGAGGAAAGTATTCGTAATAGCAGCCACAGGAGCAGTAGCAAAGAAAGAAGCTTTGGGAGCGCAAGATTAAAATGGCCTTCCAAAAGCAAGGAAGATATCTTTTTTTAGAGGAGGTTCAAAGGGCATGTTGCTGAGCTACTGCAATTGCCAACGAGGTTGCCTTATTTGGTTCGTCACGAAATGCTTCAAACTTTTGTTTGGTGCCTTCTCCATCCTGTCTCCTTCTTTTCTTCTTTTCTCTCTTTCTCTCTCTCTCTCTCTCTCTCTCTTTCTCTTCTCCGTCTCTGTTCTGTCTCTCTTCAGCTCTCTTCCCCACCCCACACTCTTTCCGCTTTAAAACCAGCGAACTTTGACGTGCCAATCAACCACGATTGTTTTAGCAGCCCGCCATTCGATTGCGCTTTTCCTAAACTATATATACGAATTGTAGAGGCAGATGCATGACCAAAAGAAGGATAAATCCAAAGATTACCTCCTTGGTCTTCACTGGGCTGCTACTACCGGCAATGTTGGTAAATGTCAGCTTATATAGACAGAGGTGTGGGGAGGGGGAAATAAAAAGGGTCGTGAAGACCCAAGAAACTATAGAGAAAGATAGAGAGGGGCGGTAATTGTGTCTGTTATAATGGCCAAGGGTGGGGGGAGGGGTGAGTGAGAGAGAGAGAGGGAAAAAGGAGGCATTTGAATGGTTATCGAATGAGACACAAAACCCATATTCATGGTGATAATAACAAGTACCATGCAACCACTGCTTACTGTTTTATTGAGGGCTTATTAGGTCTAGTCAAGTTTGCTCTGGACCACGGCGCGCCTATCGATGCCGTTGTAAACGGTTTTATGCCGCTGCAACTAGCGTGCATCAGCGACAATAACATCGCGGTTGTCCAATATCTCATCGACCGAGGTGCTGAAGTGAATGCCCAACGGTAATTGAAAACCTAGCTTGAAGGAAAGGGGGAGTTAGCGTGTGTGTGTGTGTGTGTGTGTAAGGGAACGAAAAAACCTCAGTGATGGTGATGATGATGATGATGATGTGTTTGTGTGTGCGAATATGTGAGACGGGATGAGCGAGGGAAGGGGGTGAAAGGGAGGGAGGGAGGGAGGGAGGGGGGGTATATACGAGTTTCCAGATACCCGGTCATGTGCATAATCGGCGTGTCTTCTGTCTACGTACGGTGTTTATTAATAATCTAAAATGCGCGCGGGCATCTAGATGGTCTAAAAAGCATAGTGCAGATAAATCCCAAGCCGTTGCTGGAGCCATTGGATCGACGGCACTACACGTGGCGTGTGCGAACGGATGTGCAAAGACGGTGGATCTGTTACTACGCAACGGTGCATTAGTTCACGTTAAGGACAAGTACGGATCCAGCCCGCTAGATATTGCCGCCGCAAAGCACCACGTGGAGATTGTACGCCTTTTGGAAACCTTTGGAGCTATGCAACGAAAATCGCGATACTCGACGTACTCCGAGTTCGCCAGCAGCAACAACACCTCCATCACCACAGCTGACGACGGCATCGTCGGCAGAAAGTCCATTGACGTTGTCTCCATGACCCAGAGTGAGAAGGCCGAACGGTTTCGGCGTCCTAGTCTGCCGTCTGTTTTTGAAGGCAAGGCCCCATTGCATGTTCCCCCACTTTCAACGCTTCCCCCCAAGGCAACACCATCACCAACACCAGCAGCAGCAGCAGCGTCACCATCACCACCATCCTCCGATCCTCGTGCACCGAGACGGAGCCTCAATATCGCACGTCCGACCCAAGAAGACCTCGCTCCTGCTGTTCCTCAATCCATCGATATTCGTCGTCGCCACTCCACGCGAAACAAAACTCCTGAACTCGCATCTTCCAAATCATCTGACGAATCGACTGCAGACGAATGCTGTCCACCTTTAGAGAACCCATGGATCGCTGCGGAGAGCCAATCGTTATCCCCACAATCCTCAGGGCAGCAACCCGATTGGTACGGATACGGTGTAGTGAATCGCTACGACGAAGAAAACTACCTCCTGTCACTTGAACGGCGAGCGTTCAATTTGAATAACGACGAAGTGGCCGGCAGACGCTCGCTTGATCAACGGCCTAATGCCGGTAATGCCACCCGTCAAAACTCATTGAAACGCTGTAGTTCCGATGGCGGGCATCTACGGACGACTGCACTCATGAACGCTATGGCGGCCAATACAGCTCAAACAGATACAGGCGCAGCGGAAAGCGACAGTGAACCAACACCACGTCCTTCAGTCGTGCTCGATGATGGTCCAGAAGCAGAAGCTCTTCGGAATTTCCAAGAACGAGAAATGAAGAAGGCGTGGTGGAGTGCGTTTGGCGGACGAAAGTCCATGGATGTCGCCACGTACCATTACGGTCGCGGTTCTTTGGACGTGCCGCGCAAGAGCTTAGATCTGCGGCCCAGCCTGGACAGCTTACAACAGTTGGCAAAGAAGAGTGTAGAAGGTCTATCACGACGCAGTGTCGACTGTCAAGAACGACCAAGCAGTCCAGCGGACCAATACAGCTCTCCAAGTCGGCCAGGCTTGCTTTCAAGGCTTGTTGGAGCTTGGTCTAAAAAATAAGGACTGGTTACTATGCGCTCTATACACAATTCACATACCACAAACAAACAAACACATTGACTCACTCGCAATCTATTTTACCCACCTCCTCACTCCATAACCGCACCACATATACTCACCCCATATCACCCTGTCCACAATTCCCCTTATTCCAAAACTAGCACTCGCACACCATTGTTTCTTTTAGGCCCAACCCAACCACTCCCTTCTGCATTGTATATATTAATTTAGCTGGGCAAAAAAAAAATCAACCTTTTTATCTTTTTTCTTTTTTGTAATCAAATTTCAATGATGGATGATATAGAGCTAAAGGCATAAGTAGTGTAGGAGACGTAGGAATTTGTGTGTGTGTGACTATGTGTGTGTTGGTGTGCGTGTGCGTGTTTGAGTGAAAGAGAGATAGATTGTGAAAAAGCCCACATGGCTCTGTTATGCTGAAGGCTGAGACTTGTCAAACCACAGCTTGACGGATTTATCCTTGTCGATCGACCCGGACGCAATGATGTTCATTGTTGGGTGACATGCTATGCATAGCACAACATCTAAAAACATTGTCACGTTAGGTAACCTTCACTTTGTACCATGCTATTTGGGCCATCTCCTCTTCACTTATGTTCATTACCTGAGTGGCCTTCTAGTTTCTGTACAATTTCCTTCGACTGGAGATTCCATATGTAGATATTGTGATCTTCACTTCCGCTGACGATCCATTTGCCTCCCGTTACACTGAAACTGGCAAAGATACAATATTTGTTGTTTTCATGTCCGCGATATGTCTTTAGACATTTGCCAGTGTGATAGTTCCAAAGCCGTAATGTGTTGTCAAGCGTCGACGCCAAAATGTATTTACCGTTCGGTGAGAATTTTACAAATGATCTATTCCACACACATCCATCCTTGTCAGTACATTTCCCCTTTTCATCCGCTTTTAGTAAAACCTGCTTACACTGGTGGATTGTCGTCGTCCACTAAAGTTTTCAAGCATTGGCCGCTGGCTGTGTCCCAGATGCGGCTGTTGTGTTACATTATCAGCATCATTCCCTTTTCCACTTGATAGACATGCTTAAAAGAAAAGAAGGACATACATCAATCCATCATGGCTGCATGATACAATCATAGTGCCGTCACGATTGAAATGTACCGCAGAAACAGGATCTGAATGAGCAGGTAAAGTCTTCATACATTTGCCTAATAACAACAATGATGCACTGCTTTTAGTACAAAGGACTAACTGCATGATTGTTTTCTCTTCATTTCTGTCACTAAGCACATTTTTTACCTTTCTTGACGTCCCAAATTTTAATACTCTCATCGAATGATCCAGAAACAATCAAGTTAGATTGCGGATTATAGTTGACACAGAAAACGTAATTTGAATGACCCTTGAGCACTTTGACCGTTTCGCGCTTAAAATCGACAAGCATGGCATCAGTTTTTGTAATCATCTTTTCCATCCCGAATACATATACACAGCAAGATACCTACTGTGCTTAAGCTCCAGATTCGGATGGTTTTATCGTCTGATGCAGAGCAAAGGTTTTGAGAATCGGAAGCCCATGCCACATCAGAGATACCCTGTGAGTGTCCCTCCAACGTTGCTTCATATTTTCCATCCAGTGCATGCCATATCTTGATCGTCTTATCCGCGGCTAACCTGCTCAATTAGCGAACAATAGAAAAAAAAGACCATGGATAAAGAAGAGAGAAAGACAGAGGAAAATGAATCTACTCACAGCAGCTAGCAAGCCATTTTCCGTCCGGTGAAAACTTGACGCTGGATACAGACATACGATGACCAACAAGTGAATACTTTAATTCATATTGTGGTTTTCGAGCTTCTGCTCTTGGCTGTGTTGGTGCTCCTGCTGGTGCTGTTGCTGTTGGTGAATCTGTTTTGTTTTGCTTTTCTGGTGGTGTGTTATCAGCATTCGTTTCTGCCGATCGCTTTTCGCTGGTACGTTGTTCATTCGACTGAGGATCGGCCGATGCAAGAGTAGCATTTGTCGATTGGGTATTATCTGCACCGTTTCCATCTGATTTTTCAGTGTCCATGGCTTTATTATTGTTGTCGCGTAAAGTCTAATCGAAAGTCGAAGGAGGGAAGTGATCAAACTTTAGTTTTGTGCTTAAGAATTGATGCAGTAGCTCAGTTGAAAACAGCAGCTGTTGTGACTTTGCTTTTTTTAAAAAAAATATAATGCAGCAAGTTTCCATGGCAACAAGACCTTGAAGTACGTTTATTCATTTTCTTCTGTAAAGGTTAACCTGCTATAAGAATGGTATCACAAACTACCAATTGATCTCATTTTAACCTCAAACATCTCTGCTGTAAAGGCCTTCGTCAAGAAATGCCTGAAAAAATCGGGCTTTTTCCATAATATTTTTTTCCAAAGCTTCTGGCCATGTTGCCGCACGTCTCGGCTGAATTTGCCAGCAACGCACACGTAGATTGATGCAGATGAATTTTATTCATTGGATCCGTTAACCAAATGGCAGACTTCTGTCGCGCGCGCAAGAAGCTAATGCTGAACATACTTGATTGGCTCATTTTGCCGCGAGAATGAAACGTGTAACGAAGATAGTGCACCGCAATCCACATAGCCACTCAGCTCATCCGCATAGATAAAGTCTTGATCCGATCGACGACAGCCAAAGAACAGGACGCTTGCACCGACTTCTTTGCCTTGTTTTTGCTTTTGTTACGCACGCTCCTGTACGAAACCTCGGAATGGAGACAGACCTGTACCCGCTGCAATCATAATGATAGGTACCTTTGGATCTGTGGGCAAACCGAACGAGCTCTTGGATGACTTGAGTGCAGCTCGAAGGTTTTTCGAAGGCATACGAGCCAGGTAGGACGACGCCAAACCGTAGAATTCTCGTCCATCCTTGAGGATATCATGGACAACGCCGACTGTAAGATGTGCACGAGTAGGATGCGACAGGGGCGATGAAGCAATCGAGTAACGGCGCGGCTGCATCACACCTACAGCTGACAGGAATTGACCCAACTCGAGCTGGTTCACCTGTGGATAGTTCTTTTGAAGCTCCAGCAAGGTACGGTTCTTTTCGACAAAAGCAGGAAACTCGGCGCTATCGGGCATGATCAATGGGCGGAAGGTGTCAGCCGTTTCAGGAGAAGCCTTGCTGAGCTGTTCGGCAAAGATGGACAGCATTGTGCGAGTAGGTGGCGACGATAAGTCAGCATAGTATGTCAATGCATTGATGACCGTGCATGAACCACGGATCGACGCAGCAAGTGAGCGGGGAGAAACATCCTTGAGCGAATCGGGGTCGACTTCAAACACGGAATCAAGCACCCATCCAAAGTTGAGTGCGACAGCCTGGACAACCTTGGGATCGTTTTCTGGCATCACTTCGAGATGATCGCCGGCCTCGTATAGGTTGCCGTCATCAGAGAGGGGTGTCAAGGATGAAATATCGAGCTCAATATGACGGGTGCTACGTCCTGAACCAGGTTGCTGTAATTCCTTGTTCAGGAGAATTTTGGCATTGTAGTCACCGTTGCGGCTGGCTTGTGCTGCTCCCCACTTGACCTCGTCAGTTGGGTTGACAAAGATGACCTTAATGGGTTCTTTTTGACACTAGCACTGGCTGATGGGACCATGGATCGGTTCTCGGGGATGGTAAGACCATAATGACTCAATGCGTTCACCCAGAAGTGTGCGGACCTGAAACAAAGCATCAAGCAAGTTAGTATATCTGTGTTGTACTAGTAATAAATCTATCGTTAAACTTTGAATACATGCTATACCATTCATTAAAATCAGCATCGATAACTTGATCAGCATTGTCCTCGCCATTAAAGAAAATTGGTTTGCGCCGAGCTCGTATAAAGAGAAAGCCTGAATTGTTCACTAACAATGCTTAATAAAAGGTTCCGGTCGATTGCTTACAGTAAAGGACCGCAAAGCGCCATCATATATCTGTGATTGGTTTATCACGGTGATCGTCATGAAATCGGCAGCTCCAAAACCTTAGCGATAGTCGTCGGTGCTTTACGCAAGCTTGTATGTTCTATACACGTATGTATGTTTTTCTATACCATCCCAATACCAAAGCTCTTACTGTACTACATACTTTATGAGCGTTGTAATATGCTATTTTATTGGTTATGCATAAAGCGATCTTCTTCCCCACGTTTACAACGAAGCCTTTCCGGAACTGGGCGCTGAATGTCTGATTAGTCGAAATCCCGAAACTCAGCGAACACCACGTTTTTAACACGGTGGATCCGTAGATGTTTATGCCCCAGAGTCGGATGGATTATCAAGTCGCCAGCTCGTTTAAAGGAAAGGTCTGACCAATTCCCGCTATGTAGTAAGCTGAAAGAGATGCTAGAGTATTTTATTAAAAGGTTGAGCAAACTGAAAAGTCAACAACAAAAGTTTGCACCAAATCATTCTAAATGTGAGAAGAATCCTCTCCTTCTTCCCCCAAAACAAAAAGGATCAAGCCAACTCCCGATTCTGCGGGCGTGTATAATCATCGTGCATCATTAGTTATCCGAATAATCATGTCAGCCATGCAAAATAGATCATACCTTTGTTGGGATGAACACTGCCTTTCCTAATCCTATCTATCATCACGTGAAATTTGGTCGAAAGATGATTCTGCCTATAGCACAGGAGGACCACCTACGCATGGCGGATCTTTTGGAATGAAAAGCACCTTTTTAGTATGAATAAAAGATTATTAGTATACTGTACGTCACAGTTACCACATGACGTACGTGTTTAAGCAATAGGCGGATTTGCCAACCTTATCAATTATACTGTGCAGTGTTTTCACTCCAATGGCGGCTACATCAATCATAATTTGACTTTTACATTACACAATTCGTCATGCACAAACCTTATTTTCTTAATGTAGACGGGTTTGGATTACTTAAATCTACATCACCATGCAGTTTGTTATAAGAGCCAATTATAAGCATATCTGTACGTTTGTTATTATTGTCAATGACAGCAATCGATAGACTGTGGCTTGATATTATATTGTATAATGCAAAAAATTGTGATGTCTATTTCTATTTCAATGATGGGATGCTATACTGTACATGGTAAGAAGAACATAAGTTAAAGTAGAGAAGACAATTAGCCCCAAACATCTTCATTGTAACGGCCTTCATCAAGAAGAGTTTGGATAAATGCTTCGGCTTCTTCTTCCGTAGTAGCTTCGCCAAAGCTTCTGGCCATGTTGCAGAATGTTCGCCGCACGTCTCGGCTCATTGTGCCAGCACCGCACACGTAGATTGATGCAGGTGGGTGCTGTCCGTTGGATCCGTTTAGCAAACGCCAGACTTCAGTTGCGTTTGTAAGAAGCTGATGCTGAACATACTTGACTGGCTCGTTTTGCCGCGAGAATGAAACGTGTAACGAAGATAGTGCGCCGCTATCCACATAGCCATTCAGCTCATCCGCATAGATAAAGTCTTGATCCGATCGACGACAGCCAAAGAACAGGACGCTTGCACCGACTTCTTTGCCTTGCTCTTGTTTTTGATACGCACGCTCCTGTACGAAACCTCGGAATGGAGACAGACCTGTACCCGCTGCAATCATAATGATAGGTACCTTTGGATCTGTGGGCAAACCGAACGAGCTCTTGGATGACTTGAGTGCAGCTCGAAGGTTTTTCGAAGGCATACGAGCCAGGTAGGACGACGCCAAACCGTAGAATTCTCGTCCATCCTTGAGGATATCATGGACAACGCCGACTGTGAGATGTGCACGAGTAGGATGCGACAGGGGCGATGAAGCAATTGAGTAACGGCGCGGCTGCATCACACCTACAGCTGACAGGAATTGACCCAACTCGAGCTGGTTCACCTGTGGATAGTTCTTTTGAAGCTCCAGCAAGGTACGGTTCTTTTCGACAAAAGCAGGATACTCGGCGCTATCGGGCATGATCAATGGGCGGAAGGTGTTAGCCGTTTCAGGAGAAGCCTTGCTGAGCTGTTCGGCAAAGATGGACAGCATTGTGCGAGTAGGTGGCGACGACAAGTCAGCATAGTATGTCAATGCATTGATGACCGTGCATGGACCACGGATCGACGCAGCAAGTGAGCGGGGGGAAACATCCTTGAGCGAATCGGGGTCGACTTCAAACACGGAATCAAGCACCCATCCAAAGTTGAGTGCGACAGCCTGGACAAACTTGGGGTCGTTTTCTGGCATCACTTCGAGATGATCGCCGGCCTCGTATAGGTTGCCGTCATCAGAGAGGGGTGTCAAGGATGAAATATCGAGCTCAATATGACGGGTGCTACGTCCTGAACCAGGTTGCTGTAATTCCTTGTTCAGGAGAATTTTGGCATTGTAGTCACCGTTGCGGTTGGCTTGTGCTGCTCCCCACTTGACCTCGTCAGTTGGGTTGACAAAGATGACCTTAATGGGTTCTTTTTCGACACTAGCACTGGCTGATGGGACCATGGACTGGTTCTCGGGGATGGTAAGACCATAATGACTCAATGCGTTCACCCAGAAGTGTGCACACCTACACAGGAGATAAACAGATTGTTAGCCTCCAATCATCATAATGATCGATACATCTATAGTATTAGCTATAACAACATACCATTCATTGAAATCCGCATCGATATCCTTATCTGCATTGCCTTCGCCAGTCAAGAAAAGCTGCTCAGCGCCAAACTCTTCGAAGCAGCTGCTGACCTTTCTGGGGAATGCTTGATACGTACGCCAATTCTTGTTGCCGACACCGAATACAGCATATTTCAGCTTGTGCATTAGCTTTTCGTGACCGGGTTCGCTTGTCTTGGCAGTGATAAACTTGTCGAATTTTTCAGCATGATCAGGTGGCTGGCCGTTATAAGTAGCAGTGATAATGACAACCAAATCCTGTGGACCGCTCTTTTTGGGTTCGTACTTGCCAGCCTTGAGTACATCCCAGTCATCCATATCTAGTAATTTAACATCTTTGAAACCAAACGCGCGTGCTTGGGACGCAAGCTGGGAAGCATAATCTTGGGCCGTGCCAGTTTGTGTACCGAACAAAAAGGTTGCCGAGGGAAGCTCTGCAGTAGGCGCTTGCGCTGCAACATGCTTAATCATGCTCTCAGGGTTGGGTGCTGTGGTAGTGGGCTTGCTTGGTTTAGACGATTCGGTAGTGCTGCTCAATGGTGTAGTAGATGGCTCAGGGAAATCAGTACGTGGCTGGACCTTGACGAAGAAGTTGTTTGGCTTGGTAGTAGGCATGTCCGAATCAAAGCTGATATCAGGACCATCTATGCAGTTATGTCCAACACTTTAGTTAAAAAGAAAAGTAGAAATTTGCAACACGATGATTATGCTGAAACTTACCATAGAAGAATTTGAATCGATGCAAAAGCATAGCCAAAACGACTTTAGCTTCTTGCAGCGCAAATGCCATACCAATGCAGGACCGGGGACCAGTACTGAAGGGCAACCAAGCGAATCGTGAGCGTTTCTGTTCTTCTTCAGGAGTGAATCGATCCGGTTCAAACTTTTCAGGTTCAGGATACACTTCAGGATTGTGGTGCATGCAGTAGACTTGTACAGAGCTGCGGGATCCGGCCTCCAAGCGATAGCCACCAGGTAAAATGCAATCCTTCTTACAATACTTGCCGAGTACACGGACAGGAGGATACTTGCGTAGGGTCTCCTTCAACGCTTGGTGCATGTACTTGAGCTCGCTGATTTGCTCATAATTCGGTATCTTGTCATGAGTGATGCCAACGTTTGCAATTTCCTGTAACATCTTGCGTTCAACCTCAGGATTGCGGGCCAACTCAAAGAGCATCCATGCCAATGTGTTTGCAGTGGTCTACAAATAAAGTACGTGTTAGCAGAAATGTGCATAGTGGAGCATCAACATGCATATACATGCATATACATACATCATGGCCAGCAATAAGGAAAGTGACAACTTGATAGCGAATATTTTCATCTGTTAAACCAAGGTTGTGTTCGTCGCGTGCGTTCAACATAAAACCAAGCAAGTCCTTGTCCTTGTTGGTAGCCTCAGAGCTCTCCTTGCGTTCTTTGATGACTTGGTCCACAATGTCGTTCATAAGTTTTATGGATCGGTCAAACTTCTTATTCTGCTCGAGTGGAAGTTTCTTGACGAATTGCATTTGCTTTGTACGTGTAATGGAATGGACCAAACAGTAGGCCATGGCTTCGATGAATGGATGTGGGGGCGCATCGCGCGCTCCGAGAAGTCCAAAGTTGTAACCAAAACCAATTCGTCCGATCGTTTCGAAGGTCAACCTTGTCGTCCAGTCCAAGATCTCGACAGGTTCGTCGGAAGTGTATTGTTCTAGTGTGTTGATAGTTTCCATAGTAATTTCACCCATTTCATGCAAATATGCCTACATTATATTATACGCGCAAAAGTTATAACCATGATCACCATAACAACTGAATATCCGCTATGCACATTATATGTTCGATGCTTGCCTTGATAGCACGAGGGCTGAAAGCAGGCATAAGGAGTTTATGAGCCAGTTTCCAATCATCGTCATCCGTATCAGTTGTAAACAAGCCTTGACCACCAAAGGCTTTGATTTCATCCAAGCCCAAGCCAATCTTCTTGGTGAAGTATTCGGACTCTTTCACAAAAAGTTCTGCAATCGATGGATCGTTGGTAGCGTAAAGCTCGGTACCCATAAAGTTGATGTTCACCAGCGGGCCATAAAGACGGAACATTTTCATCCAACCTTGCGTCCTTGGAAAATACGGGGTACATTAGTACACAGATGTCTTGCAAAAGAAACAACATAAATTCATGCCCATCCTTATTGTGAAAGCTACTTACATGTCAGGCAAAAGTTCGCGAACGCTACCAATAAATGGTAACTTGCGAGGTCCAGGAATTACATCCGTAATATGCTCTCGAAGGCTAACATGCACGACCTGTTGATTTCGGACGTCGTCGATACCATCGAGTAATTTTCCAGATGGTGTTTTCAAGAAAATATCGTCTAGGGGTATAGTACCGGAAATGGCGAGCTTTTCTGCAGCAAGACCACGCACTGTGTTCAGATTGGCGCCTGAGCCAAACACAATGATTTTGCCATCTTTTTCTATGTCGGTTGACCCTTCAAGGACAACAATTAACGAGGTTGTGGTGTTTTCTGACATAATGGTTAAATAGAGTCGGGAGAATATGGAAAGAATAGGGCTGTTAAACTCGCATCGCCCCTTATATATGTGCATTACTGGGCCGAATCACGGCATTTGAAAATTATCCTTTTTTTCTTCAGCTGGGATGTTTTCCCTCATTTTACTGTTGGGTTTTCCAAATGTCGGCTAATCAAACTGTTTATAATTTCAAGCACTGTGCCCCCCTTGTAATGAATCTACTATAACTCATGATCGATATGCAGCTGCGTACTCTTTTTCTTGCGTGGCTCACTAGGCTTCGATTGCAATATTACAACGGCAGTATTATTTAGCCATGCTCTATGTCGTGATTTTGGCTCAGACGCTGTATTTTATATTTGTAATGAATACTTTTCAAATTCCATGATCCAATTTTGCCTATTTTTGGCAATTGGCTTGTTCGGGAGCAGCAACGTCAAAAGAAGTGCGTCTTTTTTTGGAATTTAAAAAGCACGTGGATGCTTAAAAACATACATCGTTTAACTCCTTGCAACGGCATATGAAAAAAACTTAAAGAAATTTTCACTGCGATCGCTATCAGTGAATACGAAGAGCTTAAGATATGTGTTCAAACGACGACGACTCTTTGGTTAGAGCTAAATATCGAGGGGCAATCAATATTAAGGAGCATACGCTTTTTTGCTGTCATATGTTGTTCAAAGTGAGCGTACGATTGTGTGAATGCAGATCAACAATTTGCCACACCAGCCTCAAACGTGCAGAAATCTGTTTTCCGAGACTTTTACCGACGGGTTCTTTTACCGGATGTACTGAAATTCCCGATTATACCCATGTACCTTCCACCAGACGCAGTTCCATACGGGGCAACTCTATCCGAACTCCAGTCACCCATTTTATTTTTGTTTACGCACCTTCTTTTGACAGCACAAACTATGACCTAAATTCAAAATTTACTTATCGGCGGCACCTGGCCCGATCTGAGACAAAAAAAGCAGACTATAAGCCATATCATTGATAGCACTCCTGGTATCTGAACAGTAGCGTCAAAGGAGCCATACCACTAGCTAAATATGTGATGACAGCTGGTAGATTTAACTTGCTATGAGTATTTCAATACAGGATATTACGAGCGAACAAACAAGTTGACAGGCTTTGCAATCATTTGGTCAATCAGATAGCAACAAGAGCACTGCCAATTCCAGCACTGTGTGTGATAATTCTTTTTTAAGTAGGACCGTTAAGCCAAGGAAAGGAAGCAGTGGATTCTTAAGCAGGAACTTATGACCTTGATTCTTCCCAAAGTTGGCAATCATAACCTTCGTGAAAACGTTCTATTTTCTTACGAATCTGATATGTTGAATTGTGTTATATATTGAATGGTTTCTCCCTATGTAAAACGTAGTTTTGACTTGTTTCAATACAAGCCACATTACTTGGAACTATGCAGTAAAGTCTTAAAGACATGACGGTCCAGATCATACGTACGTAGCAACTCTGATTAGCACCAATAGTGAAATATACAAGCTACATAGCAGTTTCATGGATCGATTGTATTACTGGCATAGTACCATCATCAATTCACCTTAATTACACCATTCGCTCCAAAGGTATTGCTCTACGGTCAGATAATCGGATGGCGTTCTTTCTATACGACATCGCATAGTACCAAGTACTTTGAAGATGTTGAATTTTAGGTTATGTTGGTTATAGATGACTTACACGTCTGATAGAGGTAATATGGGGGAGGGTAAAGCAGGAAAAGAGGTGAGGTAAAACAAACGGAGTGCTCCGAGGAAGTTTGTCGTGTTTGGAAAAACAATGAGGTCTGTTGACCTTGATATGTAAATATGTCGGTGGGGTGTGGATGGGGTTGTTGGTTTAATTTACAGTTTTTGTTGATTAAGGTTATATGCGAGTCGGTATAAAGTATAAACCTCTGCACCTTAATATATGGCAGTCTGATCCTGTCCTCTTCAAGTCACTACATACACTAGTAGAATACATTCTGGATTCTTCACAATAAAGTCAATAGCAAAGTATGTATTTGGCACATCACCACTATGATCGAGAGGATTACAGCAGCGCGTATTGGCACTAATATTAAGATAAGGTATGCATCAACACCTCGAGGTGGTGGTGTATATATCATTCGTATCATATGACGCTAATTAGTTGCCCGCTGCGCTGAGTAGAGTGGTCAGCTAACACACGATCGTACTCCTTGGCGTAAAATAAACAACAAAAACAAAACGCACATCCATTCTCTTGCCCCTTTATCTATTGCTAACTGGTACTATTCGGCTAGTGAGTCTATCGTGTGCTAGCAATTAGACTGTTCCCATTAGTGTATATTGTGCTGGGTAACGAGAGCGATGATATATAATGATTATACCAACTGTAAAAACCTGATCGATGCTGCTGATGCATCTCTGCTGAGGTGGCACAATATCGCTTGCTAAGCGGCGATAAGAGTGAAATGCCACTCGCACAGAATGACTTTCTACCCCACAATATAGATCCCACTACTGTGCTGTGCTCTCCAAACTGATAATCAGGAACATATCCCGCAAGTAAGTTGACACTTGTGGTTTCCCCTCTCTCTTTACACGTTTTTGTCTGTGGTTTTACTTCGGCGATCGAATGCCGGTAAAATAATAAAGGTTTGCTTGTGCTGAAAGGTCTTAAAACCACATGACAACCGAATGGTCATGTGCCTCGGAGTCACATGGTCCTTTTCGATATCGTTCTTTTTCCTCTTCGCTGTCTGTCTGTTCTCCTCTCGACTTGGTGGGTGTTGGGTGTGTCTCCCTTGCCCTCTCGACTCTTTCTTTCTCTCTCTCTCTCCGCCCGCTCCTTTTTGCTTTATGGTGGTGGTTTTATAGCAAGTCCCCCAAACCTCTGTCTCTTTTCATTTTTCTTCTTGCTTTTGGTTTATATCAAAACAACGCAGACACACACACACACACACACACACACATCGGTCATATTTCTGTTTGAATCAGCTTTACCCCTTTCAAACTTTCTTATTATGCTCTAGGAAGTTTAAAACGAAAAGCAACAGCACCAGACCACGACTTTTTTGCGCGTTTCGATATGAATTTCATCACCACCAGTAGCAGTAGCAGCAATAGTGATAGCAACTTTGAGTCCCACCACCACCTTCAGCAACAACAGGCCGGTTACAATATCAGCACTCCTAGCAGTGGCAGCAGCAACAACAACAACAACAACAACAACAGTAGCCATAGCACTTATCAACACGATAACGACTCTATCAATACCACTAATAATAATAATACCTTTTCCTCAATGCCAAAGCTGAATCGCTTGTCGATTGCGCCAACAGCATCTGCTGACTTGCTGCCACCGGATCATCCGGACACAGCCGATCCAGCCAAACGTCGTCGTATAGATCAATTTCCCGATCTCGCTCGATCTGTCAACAACAGTAACAACACTACTCATTACGCCCGCCCGCCATTTTCCATGCCTGCGCGGTTATCTCAAAACAATGCTCATGTACGTTCCCTTTTGTCTTTATTGCTGTTGTTTGGAAGAAAAGTAGTGATCGAGTTATTGATCGTTCGATATCGTTTCAGAGACAACAGTTGTTCCCACAGCACGCAGCGTATTTTCACCAAGAACAACGACAACAGCAACTTCCCCAGCATAACCACCACCATCATCATCAACTTATGCGCTCTCAATCTTTGGCATCCCTTCGTAGTATTGGTAATGATATCAATGATTCGCAGCCAATGCTACGACAACAATTACACGCAGCACCTCCGGCAATCACACCTTCTTTATCCATGCATACTGTCGCGGACCTTTATCATCGACAGCAGCAAGAACAAGGACAACAACCGCGCCAACCTCTTCCGCCACATCCTTCTCATCATCCACAGCCAGCCTCCGCGCCGCTATTGTCGCCTGCAACAGCATCAATCTCTCAACAACAGCCCCCATTATCTTCTTCGGCATTACAAGGTGCAGCAGTAGATGATGACGATTTAATTGTCGACGAGGAAATGACCAACAAGAACATATGCGTCGGCATGATTAAAACCGATATTGTTACTGTCAAGGTTCTCGATCTGATTAAAGACGAGCAATACGAAGCTATTCGTCTAGAATCTGAAGGACGACGAGACTCAGTCAATTATTGTAAGTCGTGTGTTTCGAGAAATCGTTTATGTGGCTCTGGAAAACAATGAAATGGCATGCTCATCCCTTTACAATTCTACAGCATTTACTGTAACATCATGTGGCATGCCACGAAAATTCGTAAGTTTTGTCATCCGCCACCACTTCCCCTTCCACATCCCCCTTATTTTCTTCCCCTTCCCGTGTCAGTCTGCGCTATATTACGCTTGTCCTGACTATTACTTTTTAGTATGGCTGGGTTCCTTTTGAAGATACCAAAATACTAGGGCCATTGGTTGAACATTGCTTGATCTGGTGGGATGCAGTCATTCCTCGGGGTAAAGCAAATCATGCACGTACGCCACTCTACATCATCATCTACTGTCGACCACTTCATGTCGGTGTTGTTGCCAAAATGTTCGAGCGCTATTACGCGACTCTCAAGGAACCTCCTTTTTTCAATCCTGCATGTCGTTACAAGAACCCACACACGCATCTCATCCAGCAGCAACAGGAGGTCAGTAACCAACGGCTGTGGTCAGTGGGGCGTCCGGGCCGGCCGTCCAGTACCGATCAAACTTCCATAGAACAGACTCGGCGTGATATCGCTCAACTACTGGACAGTATACCCAATGATGACAACGGCAATGATAAAGGCAGCAGCAACAACAACAACAATGCCAGCCGCAAAAGGAAAAAGAAACGATGGGAGGCTCTTCAACGATCTGGGACACGCGACAATCAGATTGTCCTCAATGATGATGATGATAATGATGACTTAGGCGTTGACGATAAGTATGAGAGTGGAAATAGCAGCAGCAACGACACGGAGGAGGATAGTGATGAGATGCAGGTCGACAGTGCTCAGATCGAAGGTCTCACCGTGAGACTAATGCCGCATCAGTCACGAGGCGTGGAATGGATGATTGGCCGGGAAGCAAATGAGACGAGCTGTGGTGGGATATTAGCCGATGTAGGTATATATGTTTTAATATGTTTACCAAATGGTTTTTGTTGGCAAACGAGGAAAGGATTAGGATGATGCGATGGACGGATGGTCTTGAGTTACTGACAAATTGTGTCATTTTTTATTCTACACTTTATATAGGATGTAGGTTGAGATCACATGCTGCCGAAAACAAGCCAATGTGTTGGGACAGAGACTAGTTATATTCCTAGTTATATTAATCATGTATTATATGTATTATCTACAGATGGGACTAGGCAAAACAATCCAGACTATTGGTTTGGTCGCCTCAACAATGGATGCAGCTGCTAAACGCCCAACGCTGATCGTTACGCCACTTGCACTTATCCAACAATGGGCCACTGAGATTCGAACGAAAACCGAGAAAGGCAAGATGTCTGTTCTTGTGTACCACGGCGCCAGCCGATCAAAAGGTATGTGATATATGCTGTGTGTGACACATTGCATTTCCCTAGGCGCTCCTTTTGTTCTTGTATTTAGCATCGAAGGTGTTCGTGGTGGAGGTGACGTTAAAACAAATAAACATGTACTGACTTGCTTTAACTTCACATACACACCGTATAGATCCAGCCTTCTTTTCACAGTATGATGTCGTAATCACCACGTATCAGGTGGTCGCATCGGATATGCCTAATACAACAAAACGAGGGCGTCGGCGTAACAATAACGGCATCGAGGAAGACTTGATGGATGTGCAGACCCCAAATGCCTCTGAAGATTGCATGAGTCCCGTCAGCAGTGCCCCAGGCTCACCCTCTACTCGCAAGACACAAGAGAATAGTTCTTCTTGCTCTTCTTTGAATGACGGCTCAACTCCAACTTTGAAGCCTGGTTACGGCCCGCTTTTCCAAATAGAATGGTACCGCGTTGTCTTAGGTAACTTTATTATCGCTTCCTGTTTTTCTCGGTTTTCAAGCCTTGCTCTTCTTATTTTCATGCTTCCTTTGTGAGTTCTATGGAATGTTCCTTACATTACCTCACTAATATTACGCCTATTGTCGTTTTCAGATGAAGCTCAGCAGATCAAAAACAGAAATACACGTTCGGCTCTGTCATGTACTGAACTCACTGCGCAAAAACGATGGTGTCTGACTGGAACGCCCATGCAGAATCATGTGGACGAACTATACAGTCTCTTGCGTTTCCTGCGAATCCAGCCGCTCTGTGACTATCAAGCATTCAAGAAGACCATCTCTGTTCCTATTCAGGCGGGCCAAGGGCAGCTCGCTCTTGAACGGCTCAAGGTTGTCTTGATGGCAGTCATGTTGCGACGCACTAAGCAGATCTTAAAATCAGCGACGGATAGCACTGCTGCTGAAGCACAACCATCATCATCATCATCATCATCATCACCATCGCCGTCCACCGCTCCACAGGGGTCATCGACATGTTCCTCTACTGCTGCTACAGTAATGGAAGGAGCAGAAAGAATAGAAGGCAGTAACACATCGCCAATATCAGCAACATCGCCCAATAATACCCAAAATGAATTTGTTGCTGATCCTAAAGAGGGAGCTTTTCCCAAAAATGGTAACCTGTCCACCGAGCTGTCACTGCAGCTGCCCTCACGGAACAAGCGAGACGTTGTGCTGACATTTAGCACAGCTGAGCGAAGGCTCTATGATTTCCTCAACACGAAGACCAGAAGTACAGTCGAAAAGTTGTTTCGAGCAGGCAAAGGCGAGCGCAACTATCTCAATATGTTGTGCATGCTTTTACGACTACGACAAGCGTGTGATCACCCAATGCTGGTGCTTAAAGCTATGGGTAACGATTCGGATGCACTTGAGTTTGCAACAGGTGGTCTGTCTAATGGCAGCAGCAGCAGCAGCATCAGCAACAACAGCAACGGCAATAGCAGTGGTAGTAATGCCACTTGTAGTAGTGGCAATGTCGGGCGTAAAGAAGCTCGAGAAGCCAGCGAGGCTGCAGCACAGCGTACCATCATGGCCAAGATGGCAGTTGACTTGGGATGGCAAGGTGTCGGGCAGGTGGGCCAGTCGGTATTTGACAAAACCATCAGTGTATCTGGAGCGCCTGGGACGACATGCGAACTCTGTGGAAAAACTATTCCCGCCAGTAGTAGTAGTAGTAGCAGCAGCAGCAGCAGCAGCAGTGGCAGTATTAACGGCGGATCATCTTATTGTCCGACATGCACGAATCAGATTGAGCAGTGCACAGTTCAGGAAGACAGCCTCATGACAAGCAGCAAGATCAACAAGGTTTTGGAGCTGCTGCATGAAACGCGTCTCAAATATCCGCGTGAAAAGACCATCATTTTCTCACAGTTTACGTCCATGCTCGATTTGCTGGAAGAGCCACTACAGCGATCAGGATTCAAGTATTGTCGATGTAAGTACCGGGCAAAAGAGGGTCATGTGTATAAGTCAATTAAATTAAATGCTGTTCTGAAACCTTAAAAAATCTTTCTATCTCAATATTATTAGATGATGGGTCCATGTCCAACCACCTTCGAGAACGGAATCTAGATGCATTGCGGACAGATACCGAGTGCACGGTGATGCTGATATCACTAAAGTGTGGTTCACTCGGGTACGGCAGCATGATTTCCATTGTCTTTTTTCCAGTAGAAGTTTCAAAGAAGTCATACTTTTTTTGTTAGCTTGCGTACTGATGACATATCATCCATTTCCTTTGTTTGCTCGCCATTTTTGTTTTTTTAGCTTGAATCTAACGGCAGCTAATCATGTGATATTGATGGATGTGTGGTGGAATCCTGCGGTGGAAGGTAATGATTTTCTGCTTAGAAAAAAGAAACCCTAACTTCTACGCGTGATACATACTGTTTTACGCGGCGATTGGTTAGTATAATATCTAACGCGGTGGTACGTAACCTTTTGTCATTTAGAACAAGCGATTGACCGGGTTCATCGGATTGGGCAAAGACTGCCTGTAAGAGTAGTCCGACTGGTGATTGATGGGACAATCGAACAAAAGATTATCCAGCTTCAACAAAAGAAGGCACATACTTTTTTCTTTTTGGTCCTACAAATCCTTTGGAAACTTCTCACGATCGCTGTATATCTCATCCGCTCTCTTTGTTAATCTCTCTCTTTCTATTAGGCACAAATGGTGCAAGGTGCTCTAGGTGATGGCATGATCAAGAACTCCAAGCTGACAATGCGTGAAATCCGGACTCTGTTCGATTTGTGATAGTGATCTCTTGCTTATACATACTTATACATATATAAACATACACAGTACCCATCAAAATAAAAGTATAGCCTCAATGCCTTTCATCTTCTGGTTCTTCTTGTCTTCTAATGCAGCAGCATAGCTATTAGTAGTTGGTATGTTACGACATGGATTAAACTTTTCGTCCAACCGAAAAGCTATTCTGTTCTTTTTTCTTCACTTCCCCCCTCACACCGTCCATTTTTCTCAACAGCCTATCATGTAAGGTTGAATATAACCTAACATTGGTGGCTGGATGGATTTCCTCCCTTTCTATTACACCCTTCATTTGGTATGCCCGGAGTTGGAAAGCGTCGATCACGCTGTTGATTTCAGGCTTGATGCAATAATGTAAATATTTGATCTTGTTGACACTTTTCTTTTTTTTTGGAAACATTAAAGTGGGAGACAACAACATTGTTGTCATGGAAACAAATGTGAATATCCTAGCATCCGTAGTCAAGGAAGAGAGAACGAGAGTGCGAGATGAGTGGCAGCACATGACTGATGGAAGGAGAACTACATGACGGAATTTCAGAGGGAGAGATGGGGGGGGGTTAGATGCCGGATAAGGAATCTTTTCGACGCTTTTGGACTTGTGGGGTTCTAAAAATGTGTTCAAAAAGAAGAATCTTTGCTGTGCCATCGTAAGTTCCATCGTGGCTTTTGTGTAACGCGGTTCCCTCAGAGTATGGAAACAGTGCCGAGTGGTGTATACCCAAACAACCATGTGTTTGTGGCCATGGATCGTCCGTCCTTGTTCTTTCATTCTGGTGAGATTATGAGCGGGTGTGTGGCGACGTACTGATAAAAGATCCTTCCTGTATTTCGGTGGAGGCTTAATATAATCAACGAGCTCAATCTATTTTTGCGACTCTTACACAGGGTTTGTATTTTGTACAGATTACAGATTAAATGAATTATGTAAAAAAAGCTGTTGTCAGCTGCGTGTGTTGGTTGAGTTGCTGGCCGGGGTGGGGGAGTTATGGGTAACAGCGGGCGGGGACCAAGGAAAGCCATTGTTGGTTTTGGGGTGGGGGGGGGGGTTGGTGGGCATCATATCAGACGACCTAAAGAAGAAGGCAAGCGACATCAACATCGCATATCAAACAAGTCGCCCAAGGCAGGTCTGTGTGTGTGTGTGCATGAGTGCCTCTAGAAAGTGCGTGGTCCCTTGCCTGAATGTAGCCGATAATTGACAGAGTTTTGAACCCAGGAGATTTCCAGACTTTCCGCGCTCCACCCAACTCGGGAAAGTGGTAATAGTAGTTTACCTAGTCATTATTGTGGTGGCAGGCGTCGATTATGGCCGACCGTGCCTTTTTGCTATCATAGTGTGGCCAGTGTCATCATCTTTGTTTTGCAAACTTGCGAACACGCAGAACCTTCCTTCTTAATTAGATTGCCGCTACTTTTCTAGCTGGAAAGTCTTCTTGTGCACCGAGCCCATCGTCTTACGGCTCCTCGCTCCCCCCATTTTCCCCTTTGCTTTTTGCATGGAGAGCTTGTCCTTGTGCTCGCATAACCCAGTGATGGGTTGGACTGGTGTGTTCCGTATAAATACCCTCGATCGTGAAAACTAGTAATAAAAAAAGGACACACGCAATAGGCCTTTTGGGAAGACTCCTCTTTCGTGTACTTCGTCTTCCCTTTGTTCATCTTCCCACTTACTTTCTCTCTCTCTCTCGCCTTCCTTTTCCTTCTCCTCTGCATGCATTTTTCGTCAAATCATTTACAAGACACAGCAGTAACGACCTCAATACAAACGAAATGGCATCCGATTCGAATGACAAACCGCCTGCCATTGTAACTCATCCCGATGAGCTTTCCAGTTATCGTGGCGCCGGCGGCGAACCAACGCTTGTAGGCACTGCAACACCATCACCCGTGACCTCGACAGTCAAAACCGACCAAGGCGAAATTAAAGTCGACATGCGTGAAGATCTGGTTACAGCACACAAAGATAGCGACAACCCATTCGCGTTTAAGCCTTCACAGCTCGAGGCATTAATGGATCCCAAAAACTTGGATCTGCTGATAAAGTATGGCGGACTGGAAGGCGTCGCACGAGGCTTACATGCCGACATACACGCTGGCCTGTCACCCACGACGGAAATCAGCTCCAGTATCCCCCTGGACTCGATCATGAATGCCTCCACAGAATCATCATCATTCGAAGCTGTAAACAACATCGAGCAGCGAACCCAGGTGTTTGGCACGAATATACTGCCCCAAATCAAGGGCAAGAGCATCTTTCAGCTTATGTTCCTCGCTTTTCGCGATAAAACTCTGGTACATCACTCCCTTGTTTACATCAAGAGCACTCAGATCAAGAGAAGGAATGTTTGTTTTTATTGACATATCTCTGCTGTTATGCGATAGATTCTTTTGGGCGTTGCCTCAATCGTTTCATTAGCTGTAGGCATTTACGAGACAATCGACATCCCCGAATATGATGCTGAAGGAAATAGGATCCCTGGCATCAAGTGGGTTGAGGGCCTAGTCATCATCTGTGCCATCGCCATTGTTGTTCTTGTCGGCAGTATCAATGATTTCCAAAAGGACAAGCAGTTTCGCAAACTTAATGCCAAGAAAGAAGATCGCCAAGTCAAGGTACTTGTCTAATAAGACCTGCAAGAGTGAAAGAAAGCAGTTCATCTAATTAAAAAAATACACCACTCCATCACAGGCAACGCGATCAGGCAAGACTGAAATGATTTCCGTACACGATGTCCAGGTCGGCGATGTTCTTTATCTCGAGCCTGGCGAGGTGGTCTCAACCGATGGTATTTTCATCGAAGGCCACAACCTCAAGTGTGACGAGTCAGCTGCTACGGGCGAATCAGATGCCGTCCGAAAACTCGATTGGCGCGCATGTGCACAGAAAGCCTACCAACTCCAAGAACACCACGCCAGCAGCCCAGAGAAGGACAAATCGGACTACTTGGCACCTCCTTCTCCCAATAAAGGTGCAGCTTCATCGTCGTCCGTAGGCACTGCCTCTACACGCCAAGAGCCACCCAAGGCCCAGCTAAGTCGTTCTACACCGGATCCGTTCATCATTTCTGGCTCAAAGGTTCTTGAAGGCGTCGGCACCTATCTCGTCACTAGTGTTGGCGTCCACTCCTATCACGGTCGGACCATGATGGCCTTGCGAACCGAAGATGAAATGACCCCTCTGCAAATCAAACTTAATGGTCTGGCCGGCATGATTACCAAGCTGGGGTCCGCTGCTGCCATATTGATGCTGATTGCCCTTCTGATTCGATACTTTGTCAACTTCCGCCACGGTGTGCCAACAGAAGCTACAAAAATTGTCAGCGATGTCATGAGTATTCTCATTCTTGTCGTCACTGTTATTGTCGTTGCCGTTCCAGAAGGTCTACCCTTGGCTGTTACTCTTGGTAAAGTAGCAAATTGATAATTTGAGTGCGTCGTACATGATTTATCACTTGCTAACTATTTTCTATTATTAAAATCATAGCTCTCGCATATGCTACACGACGCATGCTCCAGGACAACAACCTGGTCCGTGTGTTAGCGTCTTGTGAAACCATGGGCAACGCTACTACGGTGTGTTCTGACAAGACAGGCACACTGACGCAAAACAAGATGACTGTTGTAGCTGGCACGATCGGATCCTCGTTCCGCTTCCGCCGCGATCCCTCAGATTCGCAGACCGATGTCTCAGACGTCTCCGCTGTTGCAGACAAAGTCCCCGCACCTGTCAACGAACTGATCCACCAAGGCATCGCCATCAACTCGTCGGCTTTCCAAGGTAAAGACGAAGCAGGCAATCCTGCCATTGTTGGAAACAAAACCGAAACTGCACTCCTTTCCTTCACGAGCGAAACCGGAAGCGAACACTTCGGCACACTCCGCCAGCGTTTTGAGATTGAACAGGTATTCCCCTTCAGTTCAGAGCGTAAGGCCATGGCAACCATCATCAAGGTTCCTGGTGAAAAGCCGTCCCAGATGATCTATCGCGCGCATCTCAAGGGTGCTTCTGAAATTATGGTTGAGCACTGCTCACGCGTGGTATCGCTGGATCAAGGCGACCACGCTCAGTCACGACCGTTGACAGAAGCAGACCGCACACGCATCGACCATATCATCCAGACCTATGCTTCCCAGAGTCTCCGTACCATCGCTGTTGCCTATCGCGAATTTACTCAGTGGCCGCCGGCTGGCGGTACCGCTGCCGCAGGCGTCGAGCCGGACGTTCCCTATGAAGACCTTGTGCAAGACCGAGGATTGACTTTGCTCGGTATTATTGGTATTGAAGATCCTTTGCGGCCGGGTGTCAAAGATGCTGTGCGTGCATGCCAACAAGCTGGCGTTTTTGTTCGCATGGTAACCGGTGACAATGTCATGACAGCCAAGAGCATTGCACGTCAGTGCGGCATCTACACGACCGGAGGGTTAGTCATGGAGGGTCCTGTGTTCCGTCATTTGGCTCCGTCCGAAATGGACGCAGTGATTCCACGGTTGCAAGTTTTGGCACGATCAAGTCCTGAAGACAAGCGTATTCTGGTGGAGCGGCTTAAGGAGCTGGGCGAAATTGTCGCTGTGACGGGCGACGGCACCAACGATGGTCCTGCCCTAAAGCTTGCAGATGTTGGCTTTTCCATGGGCATCGCCGGCACCGAGGTGGCCAAGGAAGCTTCCAGTATTATCTTGATGGACGATAACTTTGCCAGCATCGTCCGTGCCATTATGTGGGGCCGTTGTGTCAATGATGGCGTGCGCAAGTTTCTGGAATTCCAGCTCACAGTCAATGTCACTGCTGTTGTCTTGACGTTTATTTCCGGTGTCGCGAGCGAGGAGCAAAAGTCCGTGTTAACGGCCGTCCAGTTGCTGTGGGTAAACCTGATTATGGACACGCTAGCCGCATTGGCACTCGCTACGGATCCACCTACCGAGGAGCTGCTGCAACGCGGACCGCAACCCAAGTCGGCGCCTCTGATCAGCTTGCAAATGTGGAAGATGATTATCGGCCAGTCTATCTTTCAGATCATTGTCACGTTTGTCCTGCTGTACGGCGGTATCCTCAACTACTCTCCCGAAGACACCGTCCTGCAGACGATCGTGTTCAACACATTTGTGTTCTGCCAGATCTTTAATGAAATCAACTGCCGCCGTATCGACCGCAAGCTCAACGTGTTCCACAACATCTGGGCAAACAAGTTCTTCATTGGCGTGTTCTTTACGTGCATCTTCCTACAGGCGATCATTGTCAATTTTGCCGGTGTGGCGTTCCAGGTCACGCAGATTGATGGGCCTTCGTGGGCTATTGCAATTATCGTGGGTATGTTTGCCTTGCCTGTAGGCGTTGTGGTGCGCCTGATTCCCGACAGCGCTTTTGGATTCTTGTTCCGCAACCCTGCCACGCGACAGCGGTACTTGGGAGGTGATTACAAGGGTCCCTTGGTTCCTTCTATTTACATGGCTGGAAATGACACGTACAAGAACGTTGAGCAAGACATCACAGCATTCAAGGAAGGTGCCGAGCAGCACGACGGTCGTAGAGATAGCGTTGCCGCATCAATTGTGATTCCAAGCATGGTAGCCGCTGCTTCTTCGACTGGGGCTGTTCTCAATAATAACAGTAGCCGTGAAAAACTACAGGTCGACGGTGAAAATAACGACAGCAACAAGCATTAGAGTTACAGCAGCCACTCCCCCCTTGCCGTCCGTTCTTTCTTATGTTTTGTAATCTTATGGTCCTTTTCGTTATTCGCATTCAATCGTTGTATTTTTGTTATTTCCATGCTTCTCCATGTGATAGTATTTGTTCATAATCTTTCGGCATGTAGCTTTTGTGTATATGATTTCTCCACCTTTTTCCTTTTGTACTTTAATATTATTTGCTTCCTACTACTATCATTATACTTATTAAAAAGTCAGAGACAAAGACTGCTTAGCCAATTAGTACCATACGTGATTGGCAAATGATGACGCTATAGATAGACCGTATACTACTGAGACGATGCTCATCCCTATCATCCTATGAACGTACAGCTGATTTGCGCGGGCATTCTATCCGCTTTTGAAAACCGGACCGATACCCACTAATTCTGTGTGTGTTACAGCCTGTTTTGACACTGGTTGTTGCCGTCTATGGTCATAATCGCCCGGATTTCTACGAAAGTGTAGTACAATCAATCGTTTTTGTGAGAAATCATAAAGAAATCGTTTTTCAAGCTATTTTTCTACCTTTGTGAGTTAATCCTTTGCTTAAATTTCTGTGTTCTTCACTGCTACCAGTTGCTCTGTCGCCTATGTGCAAATCAGCAGCATTGCTCCAGGACAAAGTGGGTGATAAGCTGATCCAGCAGATCAAAAGAAGGCGCACCGAGATACAGGGGGAAAATGTATTGGTAGAGGGAGTCTGCGCTTCAATATTTCATCCGAGACATTGCAAGTTTACTTTTAGAATGATACGCGTGCCGCGCGCAATAGTTGCCCAAAAGCCCCGGTCTGACCATTTTGCCGTCGACTTTCGACTACAATGATTCTGATTTGCGTGATCCAAGCGCCATGATTTCATGATCACATAAACATGATATTCTTCGAATATCATCCTTTGGTGGAAAAAATTAAACACTAGATATCGGCCAGCGTCTTTTTTTCCCAGTTTGTGTCGCAAAGATTGTCCCAATACAGAAGGATCACATGCTAGCCACGTCGATGTTCTGTCCCAAAGACGATGATTCATCTCAATGTAGTAGACCTTCACCGATAAGCAACGACGGGATCGCGCATCGCATTTAATTACAAATTCTTTACATGATGACAATGTGGCTGGTAAAACACGGGGGCCGAATAAATATCTTCGAAAGCAACAGCGAACAGGCCAGCCTAGGCTGAACCGCAGTAAATTCGCAGCAGATTCGTTTATCAAAGCGCGAATCGATCTCCGCCTTGCATTTGAACGAGATCCAATAAGCTGTTGTCTCTCTCTTGATCTGTGCATTTTTTTTTCGAATCAGAACATCCGCTTCAGTGATTTTGCTAGGGATTGTTTTAGACATATCCAAACAGCGTATAGCGATAATAGAGGAAAATTTCTTCCTCAATAGATCAGAAACACTGTGGAGCATGATGAGGATGCGCGTGATGATCTTCAATAATCGAAAGCAGGGCTGCAGAGAGAAATTCGGGTTATGGCAGATCAGAATTCCCGAAAACTGCCTTGTGTGTAGCACTTGCAGTGCATGCGATCCAAGTAAGGAAACCAGCAATTGATTCGGAAATGGAGGAAAACCATGGTAACTCTTGGTTAGGCATCCAGCTTAAGAAACAAAGCAAACCGACCCGGTGGAGGCGCCGAAAACGAGCGCCGAAAGGTATACTGAAAACGTGATAATCGGAGCACACACTGAGACGCCATTAGTGATGATTGGTGCGGAAGCTTCGGTAGTCCTCGGGCCGCCGTATTTCGCGACCGAAAAAAAAGTTCGATTTAATCTGGGTTCACAAAAGCATATAAAAGAGAACACTTCTTTGTAAGAGACCCCCGCTTGATTTCCATCTTCTTTTTTTTATACCTCCACCCACTTGTGATATTCCATGCCAGGGTCAGCTTCATCAACACGGTCGGATGCGACTGTGCAGGAGCTCGAATTAAAACGAACCGAAGATGTTGCACCATCTGAGGTTGTCAGCGAAAAGCACTCAGTTACAGAACACTCTCCTATTCAACAACTCGAAACGAACGACAACGACGATAACGGCAAGAAGAAGAAAAAGGAAAAGAAGAAGAAAGATCCCGCCGTTCCCGTACACAAACTTTTCCGTTTCGCCACAACAAAAGAACTTGTGATGGTTCTGATTGCCGCGATCTGCTCTCTTGGTGTCGGTGCTATGCAGCCTGTTATGATCGTCTTCTTTGGTCAGTTTATGGACGACCTTGGTACAGGTGTTACTGCCATGCAAACTATGACGCCCGAGCAAATGCAAGAAGGAATGGGAGACTTCAAGCTGCTTGATATGACTTACGATCTTATTCTCATCTTCGTCTACATGGGTACCGGCGTACTTGTCGGTGCCTACGTTGCCCAAAGCTTCTGGATCATGACTGGTGAGAACCAAACTCGCCGTATCCGCCAGAAATATGTACATGCCATTTTACGTCAAGATCTTGGCTGGTAAGCTTATTCCTCTCGTTTTGTTTCAAAGTCCTTTCCCCTTTACCCCTTGAACCGCACATGCTTATTTAGCGTCCGTCCCTGCACATTTTAATTACACTAGGTTCGATAAATCTGAAGAAGGTTCCCTCACAACTCGTCTTGCTGCTGATACTCAGCTGATCCAGGACGGTATCTCTGAAAAATGCGGTATCCTTTTGCAATCGATTGGTGCCTTTATCTCTGGTTTCGTCATCGCTTTTGTGGAGGGCTGGAACTTGGCTGTCATCATCTTGGCTACCATGCCCGTCCTTGCTGCCTGCGGTGGTGCCATTGGTTACTTTATCACCAAGTTCACTTTGCAAACTCAGGATGCATATGCCGAAGCCGGCGCTATTGCTGAACAGGTCTTTGCTGGCATTCGCACCGTCTACTCGTTCTCTCTACAAGACCGCTTTGCTCGTCGCTATGAGGAGAAGCTCGTCAAGGCCCGTGTAGTTGGTATGAAGCGTGGTATCTACCTTGGTGTTGGTTTCGCTTGCTTCCTCTTCGTTCTGTTCGCCACGTACGGTCTTTCGTTCTGGTATGGCGGCCAACTCGTCAAGGAAGGAAAGATGACTGGTGCCACCGTCTTGATCGTCTTCTTCTCCATGATCATTGGTGCTATGTCCCTCATGCAATTGCCTCCCAATATCTCTGCCGTCTCCACCGCCGCCGGTGCTGCCCATAAGGTCTTCTCCACCATTGATCGCGTTCCTACTATCGATCCTGATTCCGAAGAAGGTCTCAAGCCTGAAAAGGTTATTGGTGAGATCGAATTCAAGGATGTCCAGTTTAAGTATCCTACCCGCCCGGATATCACTATTCTCAAGAAACTTAGCCTCAAGATCAAACCTGGTATGACGGTTGCCTTCGTTGGCCCCTCTGGTTCAGGCAAATCGACCAGTGTTCAGTTGATCCAGCGCTTCTACGATCCCCTTGAGGGCAGCGTTTCTCTTGATGGCAACGACCTCAAAGATGTCAATGTCAAATGGTTGCGTTCTCAGATTGGCGTTGTCTCGCAGGAACCTGTCTTGTTCAACATGACTATCCGCCAAAACTTGCTCATGGGTATCAACTACGAAGCCTCACGTGAGGAGATTATTGAAGCTTGTAAGAAGGCCAACTGCCACACCTTCATCTCGCAGTTGCCTGACGGTTATGACACTCTTGTTGGTGAACACGGTGGTATGCTTTCTGGTGGCCAGAAGCAACGTATTGCCATTGCTCGTGCTATTCTCAAGAACCCTACTATTTTGCTTTTGGATGAAGTAAGTTGTCAACAACCTCTTTGAATCTACAGAACAACTTTCTGCAACAGGAGATACTTATGCATTCAATTTTAATCAACTGTAGGCCACCTCTGCTTTGGATACCCAGTCTGAACGCTTAGTCCAACGTGCTTTGGATGCTGCTGCCGCTGACCGCACTACTGTCGTTATTGCCCATCGTTTGTCTACTATCCGCAACGCCGATTTGATCGTTGTCATGCATCAAGGTGAACTTATCGAACAAGGTAACCACGAAGAATTGCTTGCTAAGCAAGGCGTCTATTCCGAATTGGTCCGCAAGCAGCAGATCGCAACCAAGCAAGTTGGTGGTACCGAGGATGAAGAAGTCGACGAAGAAGAACTGATGCGCAAGGAGAACGAAGAACTTCTCGAACAACAACGCAAGATCAACGAAATCGTTGAAGCCAACGAAAAGCAAGACGCTTCCTCGGGTCACCTGGTCCGCATGAGCACTGTTTCATCGATCGACGCTTTCGAACTGAAGCTCCGCAAGGAAAAGCTAGAACGCAAGAAGCGCATGAAGCAAAAGGCTCCTATGGGCAAGATTTTGAAGCAAATGCGTGCCGAATGGCTTATGCTTGGAGCCGGTGTTGCCGGTGCTGCCATTGCCGGTGCTATTTTCCCTTGTTTCGCTCTCATTTTCGCCAAAATTATCACTGTCATGATTCTCAGTCCCGAGAACGTCGCTCCTGGTCCCTTGGAAGGTGCCAACTTGTATGCATTTGTCTTTGTCATGTTCGGTATTGCCTCCTTCATTGGTTTTGGTACTCAGATCATTGCCTTTGAATGTGCTGGTGAACTCTACACCGAGCGTCTCCGTGGACATATTTTCCGTGCCTACATGAAGCAGGAAATTGGTTACTTTGACGACGATGAACACAGCATGGGTGCTTTGACTTCCAAGCTTGCTATCGATTCCAAGAACGTCAACGAAATGGTTACCAAGGTCTGGGGTGATGTTACTCAGATTTGCTCTACAGCCATCACTGGTAAGTTTGTGGAAACTCTTTTGCTTTCTGATTTAGCAGGGGAAGAAACATGTGATTTATCTGCTTTTGGTATTTTGTTTATTAGGTCTTGTTATCTCTTTCGTGCACAGCTGGACTTTGACTTTGATTATCTTGTGCATGGCTCCATTCATCGGTGGTGCTACCTACTACGAATCGACTATCCATCGTGGTTTCGAGGACAAGACTGCCAAGGCCAACGAACAGAGCGGTGAAGTTGCCGGTGAAGCCATCAAGGAAATTCGCACTGTCCAAGCTTTGAACAAGCAGAGCGACTTTGAGACGAAGTTTGATCGTGCCTTGGAACGTCCTCACAGGCTCGCTATGCGCAAGGCTATGATGTCATCTGTCGGTTATGCTTTGCAACAGGGTATCAACATGTACACCAACGCCGTCGCCTTCTATGCTGGTGTCCGTCTTATGGATGATGGCAAGATTAACATGGAGGAAATGATTGTCTGTATGATGGCTGTCCTTATCACTGCTCAGGGTATTGGTCGTGCTAGTGTTTTCACTTCGACCTTTGCCAAGGCCAAGAACTCTGCCATTGCCACCTTTGAAGTTATTGAACGCAAGCCCCACATTGATCCCGATCTTGAAGGCATGGAGCCTGCCAGCTCTTCTATTCACGGCGACATTTCGTTCGAGGATATCACCTTCCGTTACCCTGCACGTCCCGATATGCCCATTTTCAGCGGCGAATTCAACTTGGAAGGCAAGTCTGGTCAAACCATTGCTTTGGTCGGTCCATCGGGTTGTGGTAAATCAACCACTATTGGTATGCTTCAACGTTGGTACGATCCTATCGACGGTACTGTCCGTCTGGATGAACACAACACCAAGAACTTTACTTTGGGTAATCTCCGCAGCCACATGGCTTTGGTCGGTCAAGAGCCTGTTCTTTTTGATATGACAATTGGTGAAAATATTCGCTTCGGTATGGATGAAAGCAAGTCCGTCACTCAAGAGCAAGTTGAAGAAGCCTGCCGCGCTGCCAACATCCACAAGTTTATCTCGGATTTGCCTGCTGGTTATGATACCCGTGTTGGTGACAAGGGTTCACAGTTGTCCGGTGGTCAGAAGCAACGTATTGCCATTGCCCGTGCATTGATCCGTAAACCCAAGGTTCTCTTGCTTGATGAAGCCACTTCTGCTCTTGACTCTGAATCCGAAAAGCTTGTCCAGGCTGCCATCGACAATGTTATCAGCGAAGGTGGTCGCACTACCATCACCATTGCCCATCGTTTGTCGACCATCCAAGATGCTGATCTCATTTGCGTTGTCAAGGGAGGCCGTATCGTCGAACAGGGTACTCACTGGGAACTGCTCAAGCTGGATGGCGAATACGCTGCACTTGTGCGCCAACAATCCCTCAACGCTCACTAGAATACTGTATGATTATTATTACTCTTTTTCTCATCGTTCCATCTTTTACTTTTAAACACTATGTCTCTTTCACACTCTTGCACTTTTATTTCAACTTCTTCTCATCCATCCATTGCTTTCTTTTTCACCCGCTATACCATTCCATCTTCCTACCTATACACTTATAATACATAGAGAACAATAATCTCTTGTACATACACTAGCAATTGATCTGAAAATCAAATAAAAATAATTGTAATACTAAGTACATTAGTCTTTTAAAACTTGACTGGTTAATGATGAGCTTCAAATGTGAAGTTGCAAGTGCTGATATTGTCAGGTTCGAGTCACACAATGTAAACAAATAGTTCTAACTCGTTGCTATGTAGCTGATCCAAACACGATGAGCAACACGATGGGCATGAACGTTGTTCGCTGTCTAAAAGACTTCTTTATCTTGTTCGCAACCTCATTCTATTACAACATCTTTCTTTTCCCCGAAGCACGCTGCTCCGTAAACTACTGAAAGATGAAAAAGGTCACGTTGTAACAAAATTTGGTTTTTTTTATCAAAATGGTTGATTGTAAGATGTATATTTTGTATCAAAGCCATATAGTCACTTATTAGGATGTGAGTTATGATAAGCTATCATAGATAGCTTTGTTTTGTCTTTGCCATAAATGGCGTTTCTTTAAAGGGTGGTTCTAATCGGTGATAGTAGATGACTTGTTGGCCGCCAAGCAGGTGCCAAATTGCCAAGGATGATTGGTGAAACTCCGACCGATCTGGCAACTGCCAACACAGTAGCTGTCATTCAAAACATGCAACGCACTGACCCTGCATATATTTTTGGCACAGTAAGAAGATGAATAAATCAAAAATCTATAAGCATGGACTCTGTTGATAAAGTATCAAAACTCGAATGTCTTGGAAAATATTGCATATATCACAGCCACTGGTGCTGAAGACATAGATGGATTTGCAAAATTCCGCTTGATGTAGCAATTTAAAAGCTGTTTTCTTCCTTAAGTATGTTAGAAGAATGCCATGGTGAGATGCAATAGTAGTAGACAACAGCCAAAATGACATCAGGAATACACTACTTCTCAGTTTTGAGCTTTTTGTGTGCTTTTCCTTCGCCTAGACTGTGCTCAGACAATGTAGATTACTGATAAGTAATAAGCCAAGATTTGATCTGGGCAAATGCTTTTTTTCAATTCCCGTAATGCTGTCATAGTTTTAGAGTTAAAATAACGATATATAAAAGGACAGCAGTCTAAGATACCAGTCAAGTTTCTTCCTTTATTCCCCACAACATGCCTGACGTACCTTCATCCTTTACTTGGTCACGGTCCCCACGCCAATACAGTCCATGCAGCGACACAACGTCATCCAACAACAGCGTTGTTGCTGCAGCTATGACACAACAAACAATTCCGATACAATCGCGCGAAGAAGCAGCAAAAGACAACAAGGAGAAGAAATTGAACAAGAAGAGCAGGCATACAATCTCCATGCGCAAAATGTTTCGCTACGCAACTTTAAGGGACAAAGCAATGATCGGTCTGGCGATGTCATGTTCAATTATCGTCGGTCTCTTGCAGCCAGGCACCATCGTAATCTTTGGCTTATTCATCAATTCGACAATGGAGGATTATCAGGAAGGCGGTAGCTTGAACGACATGGCCAAGAACGCAGCAATCATTTTGATTTCCATCGGTACTGTTGTTATGGTGCTTGCCTACATGGCCAATATGCTTTGGGTTATTACCGGCGAAAACCAAACCCGTCGTGTGCGTCAGCTTTATGTCCATGCTATCATGAGGCAGGATATGTCATTTTTCGATAAAGCCGAAAACGGATCTCTCACGGCCCGCCTGGCAACTGACACACAGTATTATCAAGACGCTATATCCGACAAATATGGTGCCATGATTAGGACTGCGGCAGCCACTGCCATGGGTCTTTTTCAATCTTTTGCTGTTGGTTGGCGCGTGGGCGCTATTGTCGTCGCAGTCCTGCCTTTGCTCTTTAGTGTTGGCTGGCTCATGGATCGCTACTTGTCTCGAAGCACCCAGCAAGTTCAAGATGCATATGCTGAAGCGGGCAGCGTAGTAGAGCAAGCTCTAGGCGGTATCCGAACGGTCTACTCTTTCAATCTCCAAGAACGGTTCTCTCGATTATACGAGACCAAGTTGATCAAGACCCGTGAAGCTGGTTCACGCCGTGCGCTCGTTCTCGGAGCTGGTACTGGCTCTTTCCTGTTTGTGCTATTTTGTATCTTTGCATTTGCACTTTGGTATGGCGCAAAATTAGCAATTGATGATACGCTCAAGGGCTTCCGTGTCATGATTTCGTTCTTTTGTATACTCTTGGGTGCCATATCCTTGATGAAGCTTCCAGATCAAATAGCCGCATTGTCTGCAGGCCGAGGAGCTGCCTATACAATCTTTGCAACAATCTCGCGGGTGCCAACTATCGACACGGATTCAGATGCAGGACTAAAGCCGCGACAACTTTCAGCCTGCATTGAGTTCCGGGATGTCAAGTTCAGCTATCCAACACGACCGGATGTTCCGATTCTCAAGAACCTTAATCTCACAATCAAACCTGGTATGACTGTTGCTTTTGTCGGCCCAAGTGGCTCGGGGAAATCGACCAGCATTCAACTTTTGCAGCGCTTCTACGACCCTTCCTTTGGACAAGTGTTTTTGGATGGCCACGATCTCAAGGATCTCAACGTGCAATGGCTTCGCTCTCAAATCGGTGTGGTGAGCCAAGAACCTGTGCTGTTCAACATGACGATCCGTCAGAATCTGATGCTCGGTATCGATGATACAATTTCTCAAGATCAAATTGTTAGTGCGTGTCAGAAAGCCAATTGTCACTCCTTCATATCCAATTTGCCCAAAGGATATGACACATTGGTCGGTGAACACGGTGGTATGATGTCTGGTGGTCAAAAGCAGCGTATTGCTATTGCGCGAGCAATTCTTAAAAATCCGTCTATTCTTTTGCTTGATGAAGTACGTATCATTGTTGTTACAATAATTTTTAAGAGAAATTTGCATGGTTGAGAACTAACCATCTTCTTATTACATATTACTAGGCAACATCTGCGCTGGATACCCAATCGGAGCGATTAGTACAGCGCGCTTTGGATGCTGCATCTAGTGGTCGAACTACAATTGTCGTCGCCCATCGTCTTTCCACTATCCGTAACGCAGACCTTATCGTTGTGATGCATCAAGGCGAGCTTGTAGAGCAAGGCACCCACTATCAGCTTGTGCGATACGGAGGCATTTACGCGGAACTGGTGCAAAAACAGCAAATTGCGACGGAACAAGAAGATCGGCTCGATGATTCGGATCTATCAGAAGAGATGTTACGTTTAGAAAGCATCAGGTTCCGCGAACGAAGTAGTCAAGAAGGAGCAACCATTCAAATACCTACCGACGAATTCTATACCACCGAAGTTAATCTAGTCCGCAGAAGCACCACAACATCCGTTGATGCGTATGAGCTCAAACAGATGAAGAATAAGCAAGAACTGAAGTTACGACGACAGCAAGATGCACCTATTGGCAAGATATGGCTACAAGTACGGACCGAGTGGCATCTTTTGGCTTCAGGTTGTCTTGGTGCTTTAATTGCCGGTGTGGTATATCCACTTTTTGCGTTCACTGCCGGCAAGTGTATTTGGGTCCTTATTCAACCGAGAGAGCAAATTGCCCCTGGTCCTTTCGAAGGAGCCAATTACTATGCATTCCTGTTCCTTGTGTTTGCTATTATTGCATTCGTTGGTTATGGCCTTCAGAACTGGATGTTTGAACTGGTGGATGCTCGTTGTACTGCACGGCTTCGAGCGATGCTCCTTCGTGCCTATTTAAAACAAGAAATCGGCTTTTTCGATCACGAGGACAACAGTGCTGGTTCCCTGGCTTCCAAGCTGGCAGCAGATACCAAGAACATGAACGAAATGGTGACCAAGGTGCCTGGCGATATCATGCAGTTTATCTCAACAACAGTTTGCGGTATGTCCTAGATATTGGTTTATTTTACTTTTCTATCTATTTTGATAAGCCGTCAAGTGGAGGATTAATCTGGAGCTCTTTAATTCGATAAGGTTTGGCGATTGCTTTTGCGCACGACTGGGCTTTATCCCTTATTGTTATTGGTATGTCACCTTTCCTCATGGGTGCCAGTTTTTACGAGGCTCGGCTAGAGCGAGGCTATCAAGATAAGGCTGCCAAAGCGCATGAACACGGATCTGTGATTGCCAGTGAAGCCATCAAAGAAATCCGTACTGTTGCTGCACTCGGAAAGCAAGCTCACTTTGAGTCCAAGTTCGCGAAAACACTGGAAAAGCCTCACCAACTGGCCAGGCGCAAGGCATTTCTTTCATCTCTCGGCTATGCCCTGTCAGAAGGTTTTGTTCTCTACGTTGCAGCCGTCACCTATGCGTCTGGTGTCATGTTTATGCAACAAGGACGAATTGGATTCGATGATCTATTTATTTGTTTGCTGACGCTCATGATTTCGATGCAAGGTGTCGGTCGATCCAGTGTATTTGCTACAAACTTTATCAAGGCCAAGACCGCTGCCATTGGTGTTCTCGACGTGATCGAACGACAATCCTATATTGATCCGGACCTTGAAGGCATCGAAATGGCTACTGCAAGTGTTGCAGGCGATGTTTCTTTTAATAACGTTGGCTTTTGTTATCCCACTCGCGAAGAACCTATATTCGAAGGCGCGTTCAATTTACGAGGCAAAGCAGGCCAGACGATCGCCTTGGTAGGCGGATCCGGATGTGGAAAAAGCACCACTATTGGAATGCTGCAGCGCTGGTACGATCCTACAATGGGTAACGTGCGCCTGGACCACCACGACGTCAAGAACTTTACTTTGGGTAACCTGCGCAGTCACATGGCTTTAGTGGGTCAAGAGCCAGTGCTTTTTGACATGACGATTGGTGAGAATATTCGATTTGGCGTTGACGAAGATCACTTTGTTACCCAGGATCAAGTTGAAGAAGCCTGCCGCGCCGCTAATATCCACAAGTTTATCTCGGAATTGCCGGATGGCTATGACACACGGGTCGGTGACAAGGGCTCGCAATTGTCTGGTGGCCAAAAGCAGCGTATTGCGATTGCTCGTGCATTAATACGTAAACCCAAGGTCCTTTTACTGGACGAGGCTACTTCTGCTCTTGATTCCGAGTCTGAAAAGCTTGTTCAAGAAGCCATTGATAATATCGTTAGTGAAGGTGGCCGCACGACCATCACAATCGCACATCGTCTCTCAACTATCCAGAATGCCGATTTGATCTGTGTCATCAAGGAGGGCCGAGTGTTTGAGCAAGGAACCCATTGGGAGCTTTTGGAACTAAACGGGGAGTATGCCTCGCTTGTACGGGAGCAATCTTTAATCGTTCATTAGACTACTGTACGGTTATATTATTTACCATTGTTATCTCTGTTCGTCCCTTCTTATAATGTACCTTAATGATATGTTTCTTATATATTATAGCATTCTCACTTCTGTTCACTTTTCTCTTTAAGCCGCTATTATACCATTTCACCTTTTTCAAAGTTATGTAACAGATCGAGAATAAAATCGACCGCCAAAATTTTTAAAAGTGCCTCTATTCATGCTTTTCATGCGCCGATTCTCGATGGCTCAAAAGGGCTATACGGTCAACGACAACATGATGGTTGGCTGTGCTACAAGCTCTATGAATACAATTCCCAGCATAGCACGCAATAAAATGAGATCGGCACATCAATTTCCACCATAATATGTAAGCCAGCTTTACCGTTTGAAGACACACGATTGTTCCTCGACTCATTTCGTCCAATGTAGCTAATTTTAAAGATTATACTGTGGGCCTGACTTGGTTCTATGTACCTGTTGTACCAGGAAATCTTGAAAGCGGATTCTTGCTCTGCATCGTCGATGTTGTAAGTAGTGCGGTGATAGTGTCATATGAGTAATGCTGCCGCCTAGCATTAAACCTACGAAAAAAAACGGATCTGCAGGAGAAAACTGACTTGCATGTGTGCTTCAACGATTGACGCCCAGTATTCGTAATTCAGTAAAACCCATATAGCCGACGTGTTAATTAAGCAAGGTGAAAGGCTTGTCAAGTTCTTTGGCGTCTATAAACGCACCACCGGACATGCGACACTACTGTCTGTGTGAGTTGTTCCTGTTGCAGATACTTTCGGTTGGGATTGCGGATTTGCGATGATGGAGGAAGAATGCAAACGATGGCACTTCATCGCTGCGTTTAGCACCCTTTCAAATCTCTTTCAAGTTAGGGATCTCAATTGAGCTGAGAGTTATTCAAGCGTTTTTTGGATCCTTCTTTGCTTGCTCGTTGAGCACGTGCACGTAATTGTAGAGTACCGAACTTTTTTTTCACACATGATTTTCGATCGTTCTAGAATTATATGCAATCATGCAATCCATTGTTCCTTCTCTTGTGTAACTTCCGGCAATTTAACAAGCAACGCTGTTGACATGGCTCTTTCCGCTCCCGCTCGGAACTAGCAGTATAAATCCTCCCTCCCTCTCATTGAAACGGGTGCATTCCTTATCGCACCTCAACCTGGCGAGCACAGGATGCAGGATGACATGGGGGCATAATTTCCAAAATAAAAGTGTCTCACTTATGCATCAGGCCGACGCCTCAACACCCATTATTGACAATGATGGCTGGACTGTTCTGCAATCACGAGTACAGCGCATTGGGCTGTGTTTTTTGCGATATCATACTCAACGCGATCCGAATCCCTACATTCGGTTCTAATACTGGCAGCCGCCCAATTTTAAGAAAATACAGATGAATATCACTCATTGCGAACGATCTCGCAGAGTTCTACTCTTAATGTGTTCTGGTCTCGATATGCCCTTACAGCGGGCGTTACTGTAAATTTTGGACACTCTTTCGAAAAAGACGAAACCGCACTCGTGCCATCCGCGCTTTACCGGCTGACGCCGAAACGAAACGGCTTTAGCTCATGCATTTTCCTCCCGTACGCTCTCACCTTCTGTGTGAGGGTCTGAAAGAAAGCCCCGCGCCCTGCGAGGGTGTGATATTTTTGTGGTGTCTTCCGTGAACCCAATGCCAGCCTCTTCATAAATAACGGCTAATCCGTCATTGACTGCATCGGTCACTAGGGTTTGCAACTTTCGCACACATCACCGCGTGGAAAGGAGAATACAAAGATGGCTTTCAGTCGACCTAGCATAAGATGCCTCAGGCACATGGCTCTGACAACACACGCATTGTACGCGCCAGCAGCAATGACACGGACGCCAAACAAGACGATGAGAAGAATAATACGGAGAACAGTGCATCTCTCAGGACGCCGCCACAGATGACCAGGAGGACGATGCATCTAATAAATATAAGAGGGATCTTCAGGAAGACAAAGCGGCAGTGACTGAATCCACACTCGCCGCTAAACTGGACAAAGATCCTTTGGTCCCACATAATCTCAACTCTGTAAAATGGGAACACATCGAGTTAGTGGTGAAACGCTATATGCAAACATGTAGTCGTAATCACACCGAAGGTAACACGAACAACTGTGTGCATTACAATCCACACCATCCTCATCGATGACTTTATCGTTGAAGACTTACGTTTAGCAGCTAAACGTGCGCCGAAACAAAGAAGCCTGGGGCCATACGAACTGCCCTACGCTGTTTGCTATCTAATTTATCAACGCCCTCTGTATGCAACGCTTGTCTGCGACATATGCAAGGAAGCTTGTCAGCATGCCCCGCTAAACATTGCTTTGCTAGTGGACAATAAGAAAGCACGCGACCTCATCGCGCCTCAATACATCTCTCGTGTTTCGGAGAATATCGGTTTTTCCTCCATTTTATCGAAAGTATTGTTCTCTTTTCTACAGCAACAACCTTCGACGATAGCGTCGCTTATTCTAGCCTCAATCGATCGACGTCAACTAGCACCATCATTCATTTATATCCCTCCAGCGCTTGTGCTCTGTTTGCCGTGCCGTGCAATATGGGATTTCGTGATAATTCTGATGCCGAGGACTTGCTCCGCTCTTCGACCCTCAAGAGAATTAAAGTATGGTTTTTGGACCTCTTTGACGCGACAGATGACTTACTGCGACAACCTCGTGGCACTTTTCGCCGTCCCTTTTTTTAAAGTCTAGTACACCACCACTCGACCCGACGCCCACTGCTAGACGTTGGCTTAGTACGATTTTGTATGTCCCATCAATGACCACACCTTGACTAGACCAAAATTTGAATGTTTGAATGAGGATAGTAATCGAAGGAAGACCAGCGAGAAAAATGATGAAGGTATCTCTAGGTTAAGTACATGGCCGTTTACATATTTTAGTAGAATGATGGATACTTAAAAAGTAGTGCTGTATTAGGTGGGCCGGCAAAAACTCTCGTACCTGAAGTAAGAAGGACTAAACAATTACTATACCTTTATATGTACTTGTCTACGTTTCCTACACAACTCTTCTTTCTACCTTTCATTTGAAAAAATGTCACCTTTAAAACGAAAGCAAAAGGCTACCTGAAAAAGGACGCGTGCACCAGACGAAAAAATCACCGCCCCTTAAGGAATTAATGCGTGCAGCAGATGCCCACACCAATACCACGACACGCGCGGTCGACAACCGTATATGCTTAGTGTTTAGAAATCAGATTGGAACAATATAAAGCTTTGACGGTTATAAGGCGAACGCATCATACTGCTATAGGAGCAACTTTCACAGTTACATGGTTATGATTGCTTACAATAGTATGGGCAGCACGCCAAGCTTCTGCGGCTCAACGTTACTCCTGGTTTATACGTAAGCCCTGTTTAACTATTGCTGCTTCGTTTCAATGTTTCTATAATGTAGACAGGTATTAAATGAGGATGGTTTATAATGTGCCTTTTCATAATTACCACGCTTGTGCATACGCACCGATCACAGAAGGTCTATATTTAGACGCCCGATTTACTCGTTGTACTTGTGGGTGATAATACGTGGTATATCTCCGTGCTTTTTACCCCACAAAATGTACAACCGGCTCTTACCGACCGACAAAATTCCAGTCTTAGCAAAGGAAATTTCGGTAATAGTACTGTTTTTAGACGTCTCTTAGTCATCGGCACTAACATTTCACAGCGTCTAACACTAAACTAAACCGTGGCCCTCCTATTCATACCCCTACTGCAGAGGATGCAACAAAGAGGCAAAAGCTAGCAAGATAATAGTCCAACAATCTAATTGGCCCAGAATAAGTTACATCACATAGTAGACTTCCCACAGCAATTTTGGCACAGTGATGATGATAGTGCATGACGTTCTGAGGGTCATAATAGCAAACTGCCTCTTTCCCTCTGTCAGGTTGGTATGTGATTATTGATCTGCTGCTTAAGACTTCCCAATTTCCATGATGCTGATATTACGGGACGTCGCTTGCCATCTCCAATGAGCGACGATCGGAACTTTGGCCATTTTTTTGTATAACAGTGATATAGAAACAGCAGTACGCTAATAGTCCAACAATAGATCAATAATTCGCTTTGTGGACGTGTGATCGTGTATCACACATTAAGATAAAACCTACATTACAGATCAAGACTTTTTCTATGGCTACTGAGCCGATCGGGCAAATGGCACTGGGGAGTTATCTGATAAATGTATATCAAGACTTAGATCCTTGGGTATGACAGTCGGGATCGTCCGACTAGTACAGATGTGATAGGACGAATGCGTGGGAGCGTGGCAAAAAAGCTGCCTGGTCTAAATCGACCAATTAGGGAGGAATCGTCGGCGAATGTTAGATTTGTCATTTGTGCTGCCACGGATAACCACACTTGGCAACAGAATTGTCGATTTAGGTCGCGCTTGACCAAAAGCTGTCAAATATTATTAAGGAATGTATCTTATCGTAATCAAAAGAGATAAGAAATAATCAGTTTATAGGAAAACCTTGCTTCTCCCTTATCCTCAGCGGAGTGTCCCGCTGTGTTTAGTTTTTCCTAATATGGAACACCGATCTTTTATTTTTTTATTTTTTTTTTGAATGAAAAAACCTCTTGTCCTGTCATTTTTAAGGTTCCTTCTTTTCCTCGTATTTTCTTCGCTCAACACTTCAAAACTGATCGTCATCAACCAGCAAGCACACTCTCATTCTGGATCGTATGTCGGCCGATAGCATCACTTCCCACCAAACCGCCGATCGTGAGGAAACCGGCGTCAAAAATGCAACGACAACCGAAGAAGAGCTCATGGCCTCGATGGGCTATAAACAGGTTACTATCGAACCAGGGTCACCCTGTACACATGGTTAGGACGACCACGCAGCATGCAACCACAACAGGCTAAGACGTATTGTGCGAATTATTTAGGAAATGAACAAATCCATGTCGACGATATCCAATTTCGCCGTCGCCTTTGGCTGCTGTTCAATTTCTGGTTTAACTCCTGTAAGCAGCTTATCAACAATAATAGCAAACGATGCAATGCATTTCAGTCGCTGCTCGTTACCTAACAACTCAATATGCCAATCGAAAACAAACGTTAGCTCTGGGGTGATGCCATGATGTCCGGCGGCTCGATTGCTATCATCGAAGGTTTCCTGTTGGTCGCTGTCTTTACGTTTTGCGTCGCTCTCTCTCTTGCCGAGATCTGCAGTGCTTTCCCCATCAGCGGCGGTTTATTTATTTGGGTTTCGCGTCTAGCACCTCCAGAATGGGTCCCCATAGCTTGCTACATTACGGGTTGGTGTAATTGGATCGGCCTGGTAATGTCCTTATGATAAAGAATGTCGCTGAATTCCATAAAGCTGACTTTTCCTTCTTTTTTCCCTCAGACAGGTACACTATCTTTTATGGTAACTACAGTGTATAGCCTACCACAAGCTAACACCTCTTTTTCCAAACAGTTGCTATCACTTCGACGGATCTCGGTCTCGCCCAATTCTTGTCGTCAGTTATCAGCATATCAAACCCTGACTACAATGCAGATATATACTGGCAATATGGCATTTTCCTTGTTATTGTGTTTATCCACGGCATAATCAACTCGGTCAGTATTAAATATAACGGCGTATTCAACCAAGTATCGCTCTATTGGCATCTCATCGGCACGCTTATGATTGTTATCGTAGGCCTAGTGCTGACGCCCAACAAACCTAGTGGAAAATGGGTGGTACGTATCCTTGTAGATTTAGATGCAATGCATGGGGTTGCATATACCGCGTGCTCCCTGTTGCTGCCTTATTTTGGAAGCATGCTAGTATCACAAAATGCCTCATTCACATAAACCATACTCAATGTTAGTTTACCTACTTTGAAAATGATACCGGCTTTTCATCCAACGGATACGCCTTTCTCATCGGCTTGCTGCAAAGTCAATATACCCTTTCCGGATTCGACAGTGCCGCGCAAATGTCTGAGGAAACCAAGGATGCAGCACGCAGTGCACCATTTGGTATCCTTTATGCAGTTGGCACTACAGGCATATTCGGTTTCATGTTTTTACTTGGCGTAACCTTCTGCGTCCAAGATTTCCAGGCACAGATTGTTGAAACTACCATCAGCCCACAAATGACCCAAGTTTTCCTCGATGGTGTCGGCTATAACTGGACCATCGTGTTTACTGTTATTATAATGGGTGCCATGTTCTTTTGTGGCAGTGCTCTTACACTTGGCAGCTCACGTCTTGTCTACGCCTTTTCGCGCGATCGAGCCATGGTAAATATACGATACCACTTTGATCAATCATATCGAGGCCCTCTTCTCAATGCTAATGTGTTTTTGTCGACTTATCAGCCATTCAGCTCGTATCTAAGCCGAATTAACAGCAAAACAAAAACTCCTGTTTATGCTGTGTGGGCAAACGTCATCTTTGCTGCTGTTATCGGTATCCTGGTGAGTCCCAACTTCGGTGCAACACTGTGATCGCATTTAGGTTTTTTGCTTACGCATGACGAACACGTTATTGTAGTATATTTTGAACACAACCGCTTTTAACGCCATTGTCTCGGTCAACACTATTGCTTCGTCTCTGGCCTATCTTGTTCCTATCTCACTTCGCCTGACGGTTGCTCGTAAAACATTTACTCGTGGTCCCTTTCATCTCGGTCCATTTTCCCCTGTCATCAATACGGTTAGCTGTTGCTGGATTGTCTTTACAAGTGCCCTCTTTTTGTGTCCCACCGAAAACCCTGTCACTGCTGGTAAGCTCATTTTGCACCCTAAATAAATACGTCATTGACGTATATGTTCTTGTCTAAAACCTACTTTTTCTCTGTAGAAAATATGAATTATGCATGTGTCCCACTGGTGGCTGTTCTCGGCGGAGCAATCATTTTCTTCCAACTGCGTGCTAAAAAATACTTTACCGGCCCTGGCAAAAGCATGGAACCTGATCCTTACCTCGACGAAAATGTTTCATTTAATTCCACAGTTTCTACGCCATCAGACGATAGAGACAATAAGAGAGTATTGGTGGTTGATAATGTGAACATAAATACCGATAATCATTCTGAACAACGATGACGCCGGCTGGATACCACGGTTCGACAACCTTATTTCTTCCCTTCCCCTCTCCTCTTTCCGTTTCTTCCTTCCATCTCCCTTTCTTCTCTTTGTATATATACTGGATTTTGTTTTATGTAATAGCACGTAGTGGTTTTTGAAATTGTGTAAGATAAATGTGTATATCACTCTCTCGAGTCATATATTAGTTCGTCACAGTCTCTGTATACACAATTTTAATGTTTCCACTATAGCTCCTGATGGATCATCTTAGGACGCGTACCAAGGGGCTTTCGTTTCCCATCTTTGTAGATTGCCGTTAACTCATCACCCACAATTTCCAGAGCCCCATAATGACCACCGTAAACGTGGCTTATTCCGATATCAATCAATACAGCTTTGCCACCACATCGTGTGTGGATAAAGCCATCTCTTTGCACAGTATGGCCCATCACCATCCGATCGGCCTAGCAAAATTTTACGGATCTATTAGTTATCATTTACTACCTCCTTCAGATATACTTTACCTCGAGCAAACAAATATACTTTACCTCGAGCAAAGCCAATGCCTCTTCAAGCACTGGACAGATACCGTCATCCAAAGCATATCCTCGATACCAGGTTGGGCCAAGTCCCCCAAAGACTCCATATGGATCATGTCGACCGCGCGATCCGATGTAATCCAACAGCGTTTGGCGCGTTTTCAAGTTGATGCCTTCGATCCCATCCTGTGCAAACGACGGATGTATTCCTCCGTGTACGAAAATGGAAGAGCCAACCTTGGCTGTCAGATTTTTCTCGATTAGATCTCCTCCAATCCAACCCTCTGGCGAAAACGCCTTTACGCGGTTCTCTTTGCCGCCAAAAGAATTTATGTCACCGGTGCTCACATATCTCCAGTCTCCTGAAAGGTTCATGATCTCATGGTTACCAAGCAAGGAAACAACGCGTCCACCTTGTGCAGGAGCCTCTGCTTGTAAGCGCTGGATCAATTCGTACAGCTTTATAGTATCTAGAAAGATGTCGCATGAGTTCAACTGCACGTACCGACTCAAGTTCTTGATTTTATCCCTACCATCTCCACGGTCTACGATATCGCCCTAATAGCATGTATGGTCCAACGGATTATATTTAAATATATAGAAAGAAATCAGTTCTCTTTTTCTCTCTTTTCTCGTCTGTATTCAATCGTAGCATGGTATGTACAGTTTGAACAAATATAGTATCACCACCAGCCCAATGTCCTTCATGATCGATAATATTGCTAAACCGCATTATCGCCAATGTCCGGAGAAGATCTCCATGCAAATCGCCCATTGCAACGATGCGCTGGGCAACGACAAGCTGTATTAGTAGTGCTTGTAGCGCGACAAACCACAAGATCAACCCCATGACAACTGAATGGAAAAGGGGAGTTGAAAGAAACCTGCAGAACGGAAGCTCTTTTTTTCCTCAATTTCCTTTTTTAGCAAACTGCTAACCCTTCGAATGCAAGTTAACTTTAAATGACATACAGAAAGGACATGCCCAATATCATAATAAAAATAACTGTTTATGTAACACTTTAATTATACCTCTCAAGGGAATGGATGTAAAGTGGACTGGGATAAGAGCCTGCCCGGTACGGCCATTCTAATGAAAGTAATACATTTATATATAATGTATGTAATGATACGTTTATATGTCAAAACCGACGAGAATGCGGTACGAGCGCTGCAGAAAAAGGTCGTCTATTACTGAAAGAATAGTAAGTACCTATCTTTTATGTTTGGCTTTATACTTTCGTACCTATATTGTAAATATCAAACTATATTGTTACAGCAAACTTCTTTATAAACTATAGCCGAGATGCTACTCTAACTATGAACGACCAGTATTATTACATGTTTTCAGTAACCATTCAAATCAATGAAAATTTTACACTACATAATGATTGCTAAGCGTCGACATATATTATCCCGAAATAAACCACCGTACAGGCTACAGGGATTCGACATGTACTTTGTCATCTCAACTCCAGGATCTTCTTTTAGTATATTTCCATCAATAGGGTACGATTATGCTCAGACATGCAAACATCCACATTATATCCATTATTACAGTCATTTAGCTTAACACGATTATGTGCTATAGGATGACGCTATAGTATACCTACGTAGTTACATTGATAAGCATCTATTTGAATCGCCATTCGCGTATCATATGACCGTTGGTATGCACTATTTTATGATATGTAACTTGTACAATCTAAGATTCGCTTTGATGACGAAACAATACACCCAGCAACAATGCGCTCCTTATAAGTCCAACTTTATCCCACGCTAAAAAAGCGACATTAATGTTCATGATAGATCCGCTGCTGATGACGTTGAAACGAAGATAAACTTGATTTAGTACCATAGTCGTAGCAAAAATGCAGTAACAAGATGTGTAAGGGCTATAGATAATTTATATTTCAAATCTTAATGGTCTTTTGCACTGTTGTACGATCCCGGTTCGTTCTAGTTGTTATCACAGCGACGCCGCAGCAGCATCACTAGCGGTAACCGAGGCGACGGTGGTATGCCGCGGAATAAGCACTCAACCAACTTCGTAAAGAACGAAATCGGGTAACACAGACGTTGTCTCTGATGGGCGACTATTTATAAAAGGAGCCAGTAGACAACTTCCCTCATTCACTACATTTCTTTTTTTACTCATGACCATTGACAATCGTACAGTCAAGGTAGCTTTTTACTCGAGTTTCTAGTTATTACGGAAAAAAAACGAAAAATGTACCTCTGCTACTTACCACCAAAATACATGGCTTTTTGAAAAAAAAGCTCAACAGCGGCTATAGCCTCCCTTTGGTAGGCTATGGTACTTTTGGCGGTCCTGACGCGCCTGAGCAAGTTTACGCTGGTAGCAAGCTTGCTTTGGAGGCCGGTTATCGTCATTTTGACACAGCTTATTTATGTATGTAACTCTATACAAACTACGCGTCTCATATTTGAAGCCTAGTAGATTTCTGTGCTATCATTCACTATTCGTGAAAATTATATAGATCGTACCGAAGAAGCTCTTGGTAAGGCTATCCGTGAAAGCAGTGTTCCAAGAGAAGAGATCTTTGTCACCACAAAGCTGTGGCAAACGTTCCATGAGCCTCAACACGTCCGACCTGCATGTGAACGCTCGCTAGAACTTCTGGGGCTGGACTATATTGATCTTTACATGCTCCACTGGCCCATGGCGTGGAAATTCGTATCCTACGAATTTGATGATCTTAAAAAGCCTGATGAGAACGGTGATATTTCTCGAATTGACGTTCCTATCATTGAAACGTGGCGTGCCATGGAGGAGCTCGTAAAAGCTGGATTAGTGAGAAGCATTGGTAAGCATATGTGCTTTCAGCACTTTGATATACACCTTTGCCGGAGGTAGCAATGTTTCACCCACCATCCAAATAATTTTGCTTCTATGAAGGCATTTCCAACTTCACTATGCCCATGCTCGAAGAATTGCTAAAACAATGTGAAATCGAACCTGCCGTTCATCAGGTAAAGTCCATATATACAATCCCCAACACCAACTGCTTATATTATGAATTTTGACAAATATCATCTGGTTTGTATTATTTAGTTGGAAATCCATCCAAGCTTGCCACAAGAAGAGATGCTCAAATTTTGCAACAAATATAACATCGTTCTTACGGCTTATTCGCCACTGGCAAATCCTGGCTACAGCGGTATGCCATCCATGTTATCGGATCCAATTGTAAGAACAGTATATATTATTCTCCAAATTGTAAATGCATTCATTAACTTCTGTATTATATGTGGCTCTACTTACCAAATATGTAGGTTCTACGCGTCGCTGAAAAGTATGGCAAAACTCCTGTTCAAGTGTTGCTCAATTGGGGTGTTGCACGCGGCTATGCAGGTAAATATAACAAGAGAGAATGTAGTTGTGGTCAAGTTGTGCCACAGCGCGAGATGTGGTGATAGAAAAGAACGATATTACTCACAATGTATCTATTTTGCGATTTTATCAACCGACGAATGTTGTGTATGCAGTCATTCCAAAATCTGTTACTCCTGAGCGTATCAAGGCCAACTTTGAACATTTCAACATGGATAAGGAAGACATTGAGGCCATATTAGACATCGGACGCACAAATCAGTATCGCAGCTGGTAAGTAATAGTTACTATGAGTTCATTACGGGTATGCATTAATTGCTCACATCGTTCTTTGTCGACCCTGTGAATATATATCCAGCTCCCCACTACGAGATTTTGGTCCATCCAATAACATTTTCGATGAGCCCGTCGACTTGTATAAGAAATAAATCAAAAATTATGCCCTGCTCGATAGAGCAGGCTATATATCATTCTATGTGCTACATAGTAGTTTGACACATATCCACTCTACGTAAAGTGTTTCTGTCAAATGCAGTAACCGATAGTCACGGCAAAATCAAAGCGGAATCGGGCTGTTTCCAAATCCGTCTTTTTTCATATAGAAAGGAAAGGTTATTTTCACTGTTTCTCTTTACACCTTTAAACATGTCAGTTACCACCGAGCAAAGACCTGGTGAAGCACGCATTAAGAATGAGTACGTGTTCGTTTCTCTATCTCACTTAAATCACTGCTGATCTAGCAATTAAGCAGTTCCTGGTGTGTCCTTAATATCTGCTAAACGGTTTTAATTTTATTTTTTATTTTTTTTGGATCGATCGTGTTTGTTTAGGTTTTTGAAAGAAAAATGGTTTGAGGACGATGCCGAAAACCATGAAGCAATGAATGCTGTTTTCGGCGACGAAGAAGCTGAGGGTGGCAAGTTCTCTGGTGGTGGTCGCGGCAAAAAGAATAAGAAAGTGAGAGGCGCTAACTATGGTCAGCGCGGCAAGAAGAGAATTCAAGACGACGTCAAAGTGAGTTTTCCCCTTTGTTACCTTTTCATATTTAGGTTTCTATATGAGTGGCTAAGATGTGTAATTTATGGTAGCTTTGCAAAACAATTGCTTTGGGAGGTGAATGTAGTTTTGGAGAAACGTGAGTAATTTTTTTGAGCGTTATAGATCTATATTTGCTTTGCTTCTTCTGTCGTACTTACATGATCCTTTTTATCATGCAGCTGTAAATTCTCGCATGACCTTGAAAAGTATCTGGAATCCAAGCCAGCCGACGTTGGTGACAAGTGCCCTCAATTTGAAGTATTTGGATAGTATGTGTCTGTTGGACGATTCGAAAGAAGTGTTCCTTTGCGAAATGTTGAATAATTTATACTAACTATAATGCAGTTGTCGCAATGGATACAAGTGCCGGTACCTGAAAGCTCATTTGGATGAAAATAAGAAATTGGTCGTTAACCAAGAAGTATGCTACTCATTATAATTTAATGCATAGTACGGCATCACGAAGGAAGAAGAGAAATGGTTATCTAACTTTGGCGGATTTGGGTTAAATTTAGCTTAAAGATAAAGAGGTTCAACATACCCGAAATGGTATCTCGCATGATATACAGTTCAAGCTTTCAAAATTCAAGGTAATCACTGCGTTTTTGTGCAAAAACTTGCACACGTATAAATTGATATAACTAATATGGGTTATATATCGTTATATAGTACGAATTTACCAAGTCGAGTCCGTTCATCGAGAAGCTTAAAAAGGAAATCGAGGACGAAGAAACAGTGAAGGACGAGAACCGAAAGCGCAAATTGGATGAAGTCGAAGGTAGCGAGAACGGACCCGATGCTGTTAAAGAACCCAAGAAAGAAGAAGAAGCAGCACAATCTGTAGTAGCGGAGGAGAGCGCCCCATCTGCAGCTCCAGTAGCAGGAAAAGAAGAGTCTATCGACATGGATTTGCCCAAAATTGATATGAATGTTGAGCCTAATGTTGGACCTATTGATGAAGAACGCCCATATAAAAAGGTAATCCATATATCAGGTAGCATTACTTAGGATGCCAGTAATCTTTGGGACGAGGCGTCTATTTAACAAACGTGCTGACAGTACTTGTTTTAATTACTAGTTGATTGATTTCAGCAACAAAACGTATCTTGCTCCCTTGACAACGGTGAGTCTTATTATTTAATAGATGGTTGATGTCCTTCATCCGATCTGAAAGATGCTTACTATTTTATGTTGAATTAGGTTGGAAACCTGCCTTTTCGCCGGATCTGTAAAGAATACGGTGTAGATATCACTTGTGGTGAAATGGCTATGGCTAAAAACTTGCTTCAGGTATGAACGTAAATTAATATACCATAAACTATTGCGAAGAACGGCTCGTTTAGAAGTTATTGACTTATATTGCAACAGGGTCAACAATCCGAATGGGCCCTGACAAAGCGTCACGTAAGCGAAGATATCTTTGGTATCCAGGTAAGCATCTAATCTTAATTACAGATATATCTTACAAGCCTTTTTGTGTGCTTGAGTGACAGTAGATAATAAATTCGCGTATCATTTATAGATCTGTGGTAGCAAATTCGACCAAGTCACCAAAGCATGTGAGGTTATCAACAACGAACTAGACGTTGATTTTGTCGATCTCAACATGGGCTGTCCTATCGATCTTGTGTTCAACCAGGTATGTAGAGTTTGCGTGATCAATTTCTCCCATCTTTGCTTTGCTATATGTCAATGAAGAGTCGTTATTGACGCCTCACCACCCTTCTTCTTTCTCAGGGGGCTGGATCAGCTCTTCCTGAACATAGAGGAAAGATGCGCAAGGTTCTGCGCGGTATGACCCATGTGCTCGATTGCCCTGTTACTGTCAAGTTCCGAACAGGTGTGAAAAAGAATGCTTACACTGCTCATAAGCTGCTGCCTATCTTCGAAGGCTTGGTATGTTCCAGTACAATTGCTTTTAAAAGGAAGACAAAAAAAGAGAGAATGTCATACTAAACACAAATTTATTTTCGCGATATCGTATATAGGACATTGGACTTGGAACTGTAATATTAACCTTACAATGATTTTTTTTGCCTATCTGAACAATATTGAGTTAAATGTGTTACTGATTTTGCGATGTTTATAGCTTCACGGTCGCTCGCGCCAGCAACGATATACTAAATTGGCTGACTGGGATTACGTCAAAGACTTGAAATCTAGAGCAACGAAAATGCCAATCTATGGTAAGTAACAGATTGATAATATTTCTCTGTGCTTATTAAGATCAGCAATTTCCAAATTTGAGTTAGGTGGTTACTAACATATACACTCAAAGGTAACGGCGATGTCCTTAGTTTTGAAGATTACAACACCCAGAAACAAAATACCGGTGTCGATGGTATCATGATTGGCCGGTAAGTGTTTACTTCGATAACCTTGACATCGCTAGAGAACAACAAAGAAAAGGGTTGTTATCTAATTTGATTTATATATAGTGGTGCTTTGATCAAGCCATGGTTATTCACCGAAATCAAGGAACAACGCCACTGGGATATCTCCTCAAGAGAGCGTCTCGAAATGTTGGAGCGTTTCTGTCGATATGGCTTGGAGCATTGGGGAACGGATAGTCAGGTAAAAATAGATTTTTTGGATGAAAAAATGGCTAAATGCTACTCGGTAGTAATGATATTCACTCAACCCACGATTATAAATAACAAATTGATAGGGTTTGAACGCTACTAGACGCTTTTTGTGTGAATGGCAATCGTTCTTGTACAGGTAAAGTGAACAATTCTAATGCGATGTTCCTTTCGAAAGAAATAATTGGAAATTATTATATATTCTTGATTTGCTAATATATCGGTTCAATTTAGATATATTCCCGTTGGCTTATTAGAAGTGGTTCCTCAAAAGATTAATGAACGAGCACCACCATTCTCCGGAAGAGATGAACTCGAAACGCTCATGGCAAGTCCAAAGTCATCCGATTGGGTCAAGCTCAGGTAAACATATCTAATAAGTTGGAGCGAATGGAAAGGAGAGGGTGGGGTTTTTTGAAATTGCTATAAGCAAACTCATAGAACACGACATGCTAACAAGTTTGATATTTGTAGTGAGCTTCTTCTTGGCCCTGCTCCTGAAGACTTTACCTTTGTACCTAAGCACAAGGCCAACTCTTTTGAGGTATAGTACTTTACATAGAATTATATTTTTCTTTCTGTATTTTATAAGCGCACGCTAATATTGACCATTGTTCTTTTTTTTTACCGATATAGGGTTAGGACGTTGTATTAGATAGTGATAACCGTAATTGAAATAAATGTTCTTGTATTTTTCTCCCTTTTAAGATTGTTGGTTATACAATTGCAGGATTAATACTAGCATTATCATATAGTATTTACTAGATATTACTATTTATTTTTGTGGGTCTCTTTGATACAATTTATCTATAAAGATGGTTGATGTTTCTTCTTAATTGTTAGCGCAACAATATTCAATATCTACAATTTCTTTAGGTGCGGTGGCAGTAAGCACATAAGGCTCTTCAGCGCCCACGACACAGTTGTCTTCAATCCGAATTGCAGTGCCTTGGTATTCGCGAGGGAAGCGGTCGTCAAAAGGTACGTAGATACCGGGTTCAATGGTCACTACCATATTTTGCTTTAATTTGCGTGAGCGATCCAGATCGTGGCAATCGTGGACATCCAGACCGAGATAGTGACCGACATGGTGTGGATACAGAATCCGTTCGAGTTCCTATATGATAAATCACATGTGAGTATGCTTATCTCCAGGAAAGAAAAAGAATAGCTTGTGCTGCTATGGCTTCATAGGGCCCATCTGTTTCCCTATCTCTTTTTCAGTCCTCTTACCCATGTGCTCGTTTTGAATCCAATCTTGGCCAGTTCTTCTTTCATAAGGCGAGTTGATACAGAGTGAATACCGTGTAATGAGATGTTGGCTTTTTCAGTACATAGCTAAAGACAGCACAAGGGTCAATTACCGAAGATGAACAGATTAGCACAATGATATATGTTTTGGTTTCCTTACCTTAATGCAGGCCTTATTTACGTTGAGGACGGCCTGATAAAGTTTCTTTTGAGGTTCAGTAAACTTGCCGTTTACAGGCCATGTTCGCGTTATATCACTGGCATAGCTTTGGTATTCACCGCCACAATCTACTAGTACAAGATCACCATCCCTTAAAAATTTTATCACATGAGTTACAGACCCATATTATAACTAAAAAATCAAGTCAAAAATCTTTTTTTTACCTCATCTGCATATCGTTGCGGACATAATGCATGGAGAGTCCATTAGGTCCACTTGCCACAACAGGGACATAGGCGAGTATACTGGAGCCACGCATACGGCACTCATAGTCCAACTTGGCCCATAATTGTGCTTCAGTGTATTCAGGACTTGTCCATTTCATTGCCTAATTTTACCATCCACGCCATAGATATCTTTGTCTCAGTACTTGACAATAAAGGGAAGAGGAGAGAACAAAAGAAGATAAGATAGTATACCTCAATAAATGCCTTGGCACTGATATTACCGGATTTCTTCATGAGATCAATTTCGTTCTCACTTTTGATAATACGTAGTTCTTGAACCAACACGGAAAGCGGTTTGACGGCACGTTGAGTCTTGGCTATACACACATTATGATTTAGATCACATATGATATCTCCCCCAGCTTTTTAAAACGATTCACTGGCGTTACCCCCATCTTCAGAATTACTACACACATTTTATATAGTCAAGCCATTTGGATGACTTACCAAAATCAACCATCTTCATTGCCGTGCTTTCAGAAAGGATAGAAGGTTTTAGTACAGGGCTGTCCATGAAAACATGTTTAGAAAGCAACGCATCCTTGAGGAACATAGGGAACCGTCCGTTATCAAATGCCTAAAAAATACATTTTGATCCGTTAACTATCAAAAGTAATTGAAGTCCTATATTTTTCCGCCCTTTCCTTACCTCATCAGCAGCAAAGATTTCCTTCACACCATCAACACCAGTACGCGGACCATCCCACAATTCATCAGCAGGGCTCTTGGGAGGTACAAACATGGTTTGCTTATAGCCTCGTTCCGAGTCGTTCTTTTCTTCCAAAGCGTTTTGCCACCATGTAAGTATTCAAGAATTCTCTTATATAGTCACACTCAAAAACCAACTCTATTCGAAATTGTTACCTAGGACCATGGCAGAATCTGGTTCATTGAATCCCGAGAGATACCAAAAGTCTGTGTTTTGATGATATGGATAAAAGACGTTATTGGACATGTAACGCGTGCCGTAACCTGCACTGATGACAGTACTGCCTTCAGGCAACACCTTCATCAAGTTTGTACGCCGTCGTTCGAATTCAGTAGCAGGAAGCCCAGGTGATACTACAATTCGATAATATCCGTTATTTAATTTAGCATAACAAGCAATGGAGACAAAGTTTTGCTTGGGTCTATGGGATATCAAGCATGTTATTGTTATGTTAGCTTGCCTTCGCCCTTTTCTAAGAGGTATGGATGGCTATACACAGTCGGTTGGCCGAACGAACGTAAGTGTGTCTCGGGGACCAAGTCAGAAGCTGGTGTGCCCGAAAAATGAGCTACTTTATTATAGCGAGCGAATGGCCGAAGACGACGCGATGACACTATATAGAATTTAACCATAAAGGTGAGCCCTTGCTCTTTCTCTTTGTTTGAGAAAAGCAAATAACACTAAGACCGACACCACAACAACAATAGCAATAGCTACAAGTGTTAGCGTCGGTGGAGCTCTATTCCACTCTCTCTCTTGCCAGACACTAAACAATTGTATGAACTTGAGACTTGCCAGCAATGGAACTTCGGACATGGCTATACATTATTTTCGGGATTTTTTTACATGCACTGGTTAAGAGAAAAGAGTGTAAATGAACAAGTTTGCTTGAATAAACTCGCCGAATTAAGCAAAAGCAGTCCAACCGCGTTGTTGACACGTTGAATTTAGGCCCAGGCAACCACCGCGCGTTGCTCACTGTAGCACCTCGGATCGCGGCAGTACAATCGATCAACCAAAAAATGAGGGAAACATAGAAATACACGAAGAAAGTACAATGGCTTGGGAGTTGATATACTTTCGACCTGTGATGCAAAATAAGGCGACTTTAACTCAATCGAAAAAGTTCCATTCTTGTATTCCCTTGGATAGCCACCATCTTTGGTCTTGATACAATCTTGAATACTTAAGAAATACTGGGCGAGCACTCCTCGTAGATCGGGTTCTGGCCCTCAATAAAAAAGTAAAAAAGTACACAAAGTGATACCTCAATAAACCCTCCCTTTTTTTTACACTTATTATATGTATAAATCTCTAGACATTGAACAATACATTCAAGAGCAATTACAAAGTAACGCCCCTGTCTCGCTTGCCAGATTTGTAGCTGACAAACGTCAGTTTATTGTCGAAAATACCGATATCCCAGAATTTCAGGATATTAAAGGAGCTTGGTCAAGTAAATTTGGCAATACAGCCAAGCGACTGAAAGTAACTCCTGTAAGTACACTTTTCAAACTATGGAAACAAGTTATAACTAAGTTGTATAATCTGTTTTGATTATAGAGTGAAACACGAAAAAGTATTAATTGGGATAGCTTATCATCAGCAATACTAAAACACTTTTCTCAAATAAATGCTTCACCAGGTATGTAGCTATAATTTCACTTTTTCAAAAGTAATTAGAAGTTGAAAATTAACAAGTTCACTTACTGGATGAACCAAGAATCTTTAGACCCTGTTGCATTGGACACTTCAAGTAAAACTTCTTCAAAACAAAATAAGTCTTCACCCACTTTATCGACAACTTCCGTATGTATAAAAGTTATTGTTTATAATCAAATTAAACAAGACTCATTCCTGTATACCTAGGCATCAAAACGCGATTCTTTTCCATTAACACCAGAAGCTCGAGTAGAGTTTGAAAAAAAGTTTCGTTCCATGGATCCTGAAATGAAATGGGTTCTTGAATCAGGAAGAGCGGTTGAAGATGTCATGTTTGATCTGGGTTCCCGTTTAATAAACGAACAGTAAGTACTTTTATAAGAGATTGATTTATTTTAGATAGTATCAACGAGGGTTAATCACTATGCTTATATGAAGGAAAAGGTTATCGGTTGTGCTTGGGGTATAGCTTTAGTGGACATATGCCCATTCAGAATTACTGCTTCTTTCTCTTTTTCTCTGTATATACGTGATGCACCATCTTGCACCAATCCAACGTCAAACGTACGTGCGTAATACAACATCGTCCTCTACCTGCACAAACGATTCGTACTCACAACAAGAACGACGCAACAATCTTCTTCTCCATTACTCAAACACAATCATATACAACATGACGCTGATCCGCGTGTATATCTAAGCTAGCAACGCATAATGCTTAGAGTATAGTAACGAAGGAACTTGTTATACCTTTAAGAATTTGCTCGGAAACCATGACGCCAAATAACTGTGTCAAGCAAAAAAGTTGGGAAGAGTTTTCGTGAAACTCTGTACGGCGTTCTACCCGCAAAACTTGAATTTTGCGGACAGAAAACCCAAATTAGGCAGGAGGAGGAGAGAGGGAGCAGGTTATTTAGCTTCTTGTTTTTTTCAAAGTCAATTTTCTTTGTAATTGCTCCATTACAACTTGCTCATGGCAAATCGACGTCTGCGAATCTGATGAGCACAAAGGTGACGCGTTAATATTTGAAGGAAAAGTCCAAGAAAATGATATAGAGCAAGAAGAAAAGTGGAAAAACGGGGATAGACAAAAAACGAGGCTTGTTTACTTTTTTCCTCCTTTTCTTTATTACTCATAGGCGAAATGAACTTTACAAAGCTCGACCACCAAAGGATCCGAACATGAATGCCATGTCAAAAGTTGGAAACAGTGATGCTGGTAAGAAAACGAGCATGATTTGTTATAGCGGGTCATTTTTCTTTTAGCTTGTCTTTGTTTTTTTTTTCTCCTTGATTGCGCGCCAGCAATTCCCAACAACGTTATTCAAATTGTACCCGAAAAAAAGCAGCAATGAAGAATGAATTCGACACCAATATAATCTCCAGTTCGATTGCAAGCAGTTTTCAATGGAGGGATCGCAGATGCAAGATGGGTAAAAAATAAAAGTAGGTAATGAGGTAGAATGGGCTGTGCAGTGTATTTTATGAGGCCTTTTACTTTATGCACGTTTATTATCTTAGTGTAGACGTGCACGCCTAAAAATAATAATAACTAAGGTGGATATCCACTGCATGCAACGACACACTTTATACATACTGCTCGAACTGTTGGAAAACGGGAAAGGATAATGGATAATGGCTTTTGGGATATGGACGGATATAAGATGCTGGATCAGGGACAATTTATGCAGTAAATAAGGTGCGCTCTCACGATCAGTCATCATCATCCAATACTGCTGGTCTCATTAAAAAAGCAAAGGTGGATAAGAATATCGCGGATGACCTTTTCTGGGTCGATGATGATAGTACTTTGTTATATGTATATAAGGCTAAGGAAGATGATAAAAAGAACGAATAATATAAGAGGAAGGGAAGCTTAATAACGGGTTTGGTTGTTTGGATTGGTGTTGCTTTTTTCAAATCTTTTGAGGATGGACCATGCCCCAGACAACTGTTCGGCTACTTTGTTTATGTGTTTAGCAGCACTAGTGTCATAATGAGAGCGGTCTACTTTAGCGATTTGAGTGTTGAGCTTGGCTGCAGAAGTAGACAATCTAAAAGGAATTACTTTATGAGTAACGAAGAGATAATTATCAGCATCCTGTATATCAATACGAACAAGAGTTATACAAGTGCGAAGGATGTTGTTTCGTGGTGAAGGTTGGTTATTGTAATTATTGATATTGCGTGGCAGAGCGTCTGGTGCCATGCACAGTCTCGCGTTTGTGAACCTATTTGTAGCCACACAATTCCGAGATGCGATCCTTGAAGATCTGCCATCGAGCAGTAGGAACGCACACGATTTCATTTGGAATGAGTGCCGAAACTTTTTTCTTTAGAAGGGTGTGAGGGGATGTGCACGAAAGAAAAGTCAGCAGGGTGTGTGCAACGGAATTCTGCCTAGGTGTGACTGGGGGTATGTGCAAATAGGCCTGCCCAAAACATTTGAACGGAATATAAACATGAGGGCCAGAACCCGATCTACGATAAATTATTGAATTTTTTTGACTTCGGAGTTCTAAATTATATATATTATAAAATTATTTTAATCAAACATGTGTGGCAATATCCGCTCGCATCAACGCAAATCGTAGTATAACTGGCACAGACCAAATTGACAATAAGAAAAGCGCTAGTCGTCCAGACCTTTTTACTCATAAAAGATGGTCTTGAATATGGTTGCTCAGAAGTCGGAAAGTCGGAAGATGTAGTGGCAAATAAAAAGGAAGTGGTGGAGACGTATTTGTACAGTCCAAAAACAATGAAAGATCTCTTCAACCGTATCAGTCAGGAAGTGAATCACGATTTGTAAATCACCTGAAAACTGAAAATTGTCTGTTTTCATAATATGGTTAAGAATGTTGTTTAATATTATGATGTAAACTATTTATTTGAAAGGTTATCTAACAAATCATAACATATAGGACGTCGAATGAAACTTTCTGTAATGGATTGTCCGGATGGATATGTTTGTCGTGTACAAGAAACCGAAGAATATAAAATACCGATGAGTGTGGAATGCTTGGCTGCACAGATCATTCCCATGTTAACTTTGACCTTACAAGCAAAGGTATGTGCTTGAATATCATGGACAATGTCAACATATATAAGTCATTCTCACAAAAAAAAAAGGCAATTGTAGAGGATATGACGAATTTAATATCATCATTCAAGAACAAGAAAAAAGGAAAACCACAGTTCAAGGCAAAGAAGGCAGCATAAAAACGACAACAAAAAGAATCAATTGTACTTCCATCATCACTCACAACATGTACACCATCCACCACTGCCCGTAAACGTAAAAATGAAGAAACTAATTGATATATCTTGACAATCATACTCATGGCAATTTTTTATTATACCTTGTACAACTGCATACTAATCCACTACACATTCGCACAACAGCAAAAAAAACCAATAAAAAGCATCATTCTTATATTTTTTCATTATTTCTTGATCTCTTATATGTTATTATAAATAAAACCATTGATCGTACCAAACATTTTAAATCGTTCGTGTATATAGGTGTATAATACATTAAAGGATCTAAGGTTTTCACCATCACATCCTTCAATCACCATATTTTATTTGCGCTAAAAAAGCCACTTTATAAAAAACAAAGTTAATATATTTTTGTGATTCTAACATTTCATCTTTTCTCTTTGCTTGCTCTATAGAGTTACTAATAACAATATCTACTAATTTTGCTTCATAAGGAAATTCGAAATTTTTAGTTTCCCATAATTCATGATGAGGTTGTATATTTATATTAAATTTATCACTAAACTTCTGTATATTTTTAATAAATATGCTAAACAGAACTATAGATTATAAAATTTAATATTATCTATTTTTGCAATTGAGTTACTATTACTAAATCTATTAAATTTATTACCTATTTCAGAAAATTGATTTTCAACTTTTGAACGAAAACTTCCAAAAACATCATTAAAATGCCTTTCATCTGCATTCAAATCAACATTAACTTCTTTTCTAATAGGATATATAAAATTATTATTATTAAAGTCAATACCTTTTGACTAGATAATTCAATAAGTTGGCTAACAAAAAGTGTATAGCCACCATCCATTGCTAAAACATCATAGGTATTTATAATTTCATATTTAAAAACATACTTCCATCAGAACTTTCTGCACACATATCAGTTTTTGATATAGATAATATCATATCATTTATATCACTAATAATTTGCGTTCTAAGACCATTTTTTTTAAATTTATATGAAAATAATTTTTCACGTTTTATATCTATATTAACATAATTAATCCTGCTATCATGGCCATCAATTATTAATGTTATATGTTTAAATAGTAATGGATTATACTTATGAGCTAATAAAACCCTTAATTTTATAGAAGAAAACATATTTATTAATGATTCATTTATAATTTTATTTATTCTTTTATAATTTTCTTCATCTATCCAGAACTTTTTTAATATTTATGAAAACTACTTTGAGGAAGATATCTATTTATATCTATTCCAGAAATACCTGAAACTAAATGATATAATAAAAATAAACCCTTTTCTATTTCAAAATATGGACCTAGGTATTCTTTGTTTGTATATATTACTATTAAAAAGAAAAAAACTGAAATATAACCTAATTTATTAACTAATTCTTCTTTAATTTCATCTATATGTTTTATATGTTTTAACTCAGTTCTATGTTTATAATTATAATTTAATTTTAGCCAATTTATATCTAAAAATTCCCAATTATTACTAATGATTTTATCTACTTCATTATTTATTTGTTCTTCAATATTTATTTCAGTTTCCATATTTTATAATATCTTTTTATATATATATAAATTCAATTTTAAAAATTTTCAACCACAAAAATAAATCTCAAACCTTAATTAATTCTCAAGTCTTTACTTTTAATAAAAACAGCAACTAAGGGTTTACCTCCAACGAGACTTTATGTTTTCATATAAATTTTAGCCCGGTTCACTCGTTCGTGTTATCTATTGACGACAAAAGATGGAAAGATGAGTTCTCAGAAGAGGAGCTTGAAGAAATAATGAAGTGTGACGATTTGCCTGATATTCAAAAGGAAGCCTCAGATCTATTTGCAAACTTGGAAATGAAAACCGAGACCATAATGGGCGGCTCAGAAAAGATCAATAAACGAATCCAAGAACAACTGCTTGATACTTTGAGTGATGTAGTCTACGAGAGTGGACACTATGATTTTCGAACGAACTACGACATGTATTGGCTGCAATCTACATTGACTCAAATGCTTAGTTGTTATAAGTTCGATGTTGTAGCAAATGTTTTACCAAACAGCAGCGAAATGGACTTTGTTTCAACAATCTGGTCCATTTTGGATCGATGCTTTCACAACATTAATGTAGTTCCTGGAAGGTATGTTACTCATTGATCATTATATTATCCTAACAAATAATGCTTTTCTCTGTGCTAACATAAGCTAATTTATACTCAAGGGATCGAACATGTGTGGCAATATCCGCTCGCATCAACGCAGATCGTAGTATAACTGGCACAGACCAAATTGACAATAAGAAAAGCGCTAGTCGTCCAGACCTTTTTACTCATAAAAGATGGTCTTGAATATGGTTGCTCAGAAGTCGGAAAGTCGGAAGATGTAGTGGCAAATAAAAAGGAAGTGGTGGAGACGTATTTGTACAGTCCAAAAACAATGAAAGATCTCTTCAACCGTATCAGTCAGGAAGTGAATCACGATTTGTAAATCACCTGAAAACTGAAAATTATCTGTTTTCATAATATGGGTAAGAATGTTGTTTAATATTATGATGTAAACTATTTATTTGAAAGGGTATCTAACAAATCATAACATATAGGACGTCGAATGAAACTTTCTGTAATGGATTGTCCGGATGGATATGTTTGTCGTGTACAAGAAACCGAAGAATATAAAATACCGATAAGTGTGGAATGCTTGGCTGCACAGATCATTCCCATGTTAACTTTGACCTTACAAGCAAAGGTATGTGCTTGAATATCATGGACAATGTCAACATATATAAGTCATTCTCACAAAAAAAAAAGGCAATTGTAGAGGACATGACGAATTTAATATCATCATTCAAGAACAAGAAAAAAGGAAAACCACAGTTCAAGGCAAAGAAGGCAGCACAAAAACGACAACAAAAAGAATCAATTGTACTTCCATCATCACTCACAACATGTACACCATCCACCACTGCCCGTAAACGTAAAAATGAAGAAACTAATTGATATATCTTGACAATCATACTCATGGCAATTTTTTATTATACCTTGTACAACTGCATACTAATCCACTACACATTCGCACAACAGCAAAAAAAACCAATAAAAAGCATCATTCTTATATTTTTTCATTCTTTCTTGATCTCTTATATGTTATTATAAATAAAACCATTGATCGTACCAAACATTTTAAATCGTTCGTGTACATAGGTGTATAATACATTAAAGGATCTAAGGTTTTCACCATCACATCCTTCAATCACCATATTTTATTTGCGCTAAAAAAGCCACTTTATAAAAAACAAAGTTAATATATTTTTGTGATTCTAACATTTCATCTTTTCTCTTTGCTTGCTCTATAGAGTTACTAATAACAATATCTACTAATTTTGCTTCATAAGGAAATTCGAAATTTTTAGTTTCCCATAATTCATGATGAGGTTGTATATTTATATTAAATTTATCACTAAACTTCTGTATATTTTTAATAAATATGCTAAACAGAACTATAGATTATAAAATTTAATATTATCTATTTTTGCAATTGAGTTACTATTACTAAATCTATTAAATTTATTACCTATTTCAGAAAATTGATTTTCAACTTTTGAACGAAAACTTCCAAAAACATCATTAAAATGCCTTTCATCTGCATTCAAATCAACATTAACTTCTTTTCTAATAGGATATATAAAATTATTATTATTAAAGTCAATACATTTTGACTAGATAATTCAATAAGTTGGTTAACAAAAAGTGTATAGCCACCATCCATTGCTAAAACATCATAAGTATTTATAATTTCATATTTAAAAACATACTTCCATCAGAACTTTCTGCACACATATCAGTTTTTGATATAGATAATATCATATCATTTATATCACTAATAATTTGCGTTCTAAGACCATTTTTTTTAAATTTATATGAAAATAATTTTTCACGTTTTATATCTATATTAACATAATTAATCCTACTATCATGGCCATCAATTATTAATGTTATATGTTTAAATAGTAATGGATTATACTTATGAGCTAATAAAACCCTTAATTTTATAGAAGAAAACATATTTATTAATGATTCATTTATAATTTTATTTATTCTTTTATAATTTTCTTCATCTATCCAGAACTTTTTTAATATTTATGAAAACTACTTTGAGGAAGATATCTATTTATATCTATTCCAGAAATACCTGAAACTAAATGATATAATAAAAATAAACCCTTTTCTATTTCAAAATATGGACCTAGGTATTCTTTGTTTGTATATATTACTATTAAAAAGAAAAAAACTGAAATATAACCTAATTTATTAACTAATTCTTCTTTAATTTCATCTATATGTTTTATATGTTTTAACTCAGTTCTATGTTTATAATTATAATTTAATTTTAGCCAATTTATATCTAAAAATTCCCAATTATTACTAATGATTTTATCTACTTCATTATTTATTTGTTCTTCAATATTTATTTCAGTTTCCATATTTTATAATATCTTTTTATATATATATAAATTCAATTTTAAAAATTTTCAACCACAAAAATAAATCTCAAACCTTAATTAATTCTCAAGTCTTTACTTTTAATAAAAACAGCAACTAAGGGTTTACCTCCAACGAGACTTTATGTTTTCATATAAATTTTAGCCCGGTTCACTCATTCGTGTTATCTATTGACGACAAAAGATGGAAAGATGAGTTCTCAGAAGAGGAGCTTGAAGAAATAATGAAGTGTGACGATTTGCCTGATATTCAAAAGGAAGCCTCAGATCTATTTGCAAACTTGGAAATGAAAACCGAGACCATAATGGGCGGCTCAGAAAAGATCGATAAACGAATCCAAGAACAACTGCTTGATACTTTGAGTGATGTAGTCTACGAGAGTGGACACTATGATTTTCGAACGAACTACGACATGTATTGGCTGCAATCTACATTGACTCAAATGCTTAGTTGTTATAAGTTCAATGTTGTAGCAAATGTTCTACCAAACAGCAGCGAAATGGACTTTGTTTCAACAATCTGGTCCATTTTGGATCGATGCTTTCACAACATTAATGTAGTTCCTGGAAGGTATGTTACTCATTGATCATTATATTATCCTAACAAATAATGCTTTTCTCTGTACTAACATAAGCTAATTTACACTCAAGGCATCGAACATGTGTGGCAATATCCGCTCGCATCAACGCAAATTGTAGTATAACCGGCACAGACAAAATTGACAACAAGAAAAGCGCTAGTCGTCCAGACCTTTTACTCATAAAAGATGGTCTTGAATATGGTTGCTCAGAAGTCGGAAAGTCAGAAGATGTAGTGGCAAATAAAAAGGAAGTGGTGGAGACGTATTTGCACAGTCCAAAAACAATGAAAGATCTCTTCAACCGTATCAGTCAGGAAGTGAATCACGATTTGCAAATCACCCGAAAACTGAAAATTGTCTGTTTTCATAATACAGGTAAGAATGTTGTTTAATATTATGATGTAAACTATTTATTTGAAAGGGTATCTAACAAATCATAACATATAGGACGTCGAATGAAACTTTCTGTAATGGATTGTCCGGATGGATATGTTTGTCGTGTACAAGAAACCGAAGAATATAAAATACCGATGAGTGTGGAATGCTTGGCTGCACAGATCATTCCTATGTTAACTTTGACCTTACAAGCAAAGGTATGTGCTTGAATATCATGGACCATGTCAACATATATAAGTCATTCTCACAAAAAAAAAGGCAATTGTAGAGGATATGACGAATTTAATATCATCATTCAAGAACAAGAAAAAAGGAAAACCACAGTTCAAGGCAAAGAAGGCAGCACAAAAACGACAACAAAAAGAATCAATTGTACAGGATTTTTCATCTCCTAGCAGACGTTTGAACTTTTATTTAGGCAGAAGGGATTTAATTTTAGGCAGAGAGGACATGAATATTAATCTAAGTGGACATGAATAAAAGTTAATCTGGACATGAATAATAATTGATCTGGACATGAATGAAAATCGAGCTGGACATGAATGAAAATTGGGCTGGACATGAATGAAAATCGATCTAGACAAAATAAAAATCAATCTGTACATGAATGAAAATCATTCTGGACAAGAATAATAATCAATCTAAACATGAATAATAGACAACCTGGACATAATAACAGTCAACCTGGACATAGTTTTAGTCAACTAAGACATAATAAAAGTTGAAGTAGATAATATATTAAGTGTAGCAGAGCAGAATATTTGAGTACTTAAGATTTTCAACAGATCTACAACGAATTATAAAACAAAGAAATAAAGGCTTGCAAGACTTGTGTAGCTTATGTCATAGCAAGAAATGCAGCTATTTTCATTTTCCTTCTTGGATTATTGTCATGTCGATTTCAATAAATTATTCGATTCTTATCTTGACAAGTAGTTTCCCACATCATCATCATTCATTCACAGGAACGTATGTATTTTATCCATTATCATTTCGCATATGTTATTATTATTACCTTAGTAGCTAGAAAACATCTATACCCCTCCATCATTGAACAATGAAGCATTATCTTTTTAAGTTGTCTTAATTTCTTCATTGTCTTTATTATACTCTGTTTCTATTGACTACGGCAGTAATCCACCAAAAATAATACGACACTTGCTGTTGGGAAAACGTACGGTGTAATACGTTCTACACAATGGCACTGACCACTTCATAGACAATATAAGACTTTCGTAGTGTGCTCGTCTTTGAACTACGCTCGAGTTTAATACTGGATTATTCCTTCTGGCTAAATTTTCCACCTCCATCACAAAACATGGTATTGCATTCCCTGGTACTACTTACGTGAAAGATAAGCACAGACAATTTAGCATTCATCCTTGGGCACACAGATGTAAACCAAGTATACGGGATCCTAGTAACGGATGTCAAACACTCTTGATATAAATTAGTAACTCTCCAAAAAAAAATACACATGCACATGTACATACACAAAGTGATACTTGCCTAAACTTACCAGTGATAGTCATTTTGAATTTAAGGATACATTGCTAATATATATCTCGCGAACATAGAGAGGGAGCATGAATCTAGGCAAGCTGGGTTAAAGCTTACGGCATACTTAGCTTTGCATTTATGAACACTTGGGCTGATCTAAGAGAGATTTCATTCATGTCCAGCTTGATTTTCATTCATGTCCAGATCGATCTTTATTCATGTCCAGCCCAATTTTCATTCATGTCCAGCTCGATTTTCATTCATGTCCAGATCAATTATTATTCATGTCCAGATTAACTTTTATTCATGTCCACTTAGATTAATATTCATGTCCTCTCTGCCTAAAATTAAATCCCTTCTGCCTAAATAAAAGTTCAAACGTCTGCTAGGAGATGAAAAATCCTGTACAATTGATTCTTTTTGTTGTCGTTTTTGTGCTGCCTTCTTTGCCTTGAACTGTGGTTTTCCTTTTTTCTTGTTCTTGAATGATGATATTAAATTCGTCATATCCTCTACAATTGCCTTTTTTTTTGTGAGAATGACTTATATATGTTGACATGGTCCATGATATTCAAGCACATACCTTTGCTTGTAAGGTCAAAGTTAACATAGGAATGATCTGTGCAGCCAAGCATTCCACACTCATCGGTATTTTATATTCTTCGGTTTCTTGTACACGACAAACATATCCATCCGGACAATCCATTACAGAAAGTTTCATTCGACGTCCTATATGTTATGATTTGTTAGATACCCTTTCAAATAAATAGTTTACATCATAATATTAAACAACATTCTTACCTGTATTATGAAAACAGACAATTTTCAGTTTTCGGGTGATTTGCAAATCGTGATTCACTTCCTGACTGATACGGTTGAAGAGATCTTTCATTGTTTTTGGACTGTGCAAATACGTCTCCACCACTTCCTTTTTATTTGCCACTACATCTTCTGACTTTCCGACTTCTGAGCAACCATATTCAAGACCATCTTTTATGAGTAAAAGGTCTGGACGACTAGCGCTTTTCTTGTTGTCAATTTTGTCTGTGCCGGTTATACTACAATTTGCGTTGATGCGAGCGGATATTGCCACACATGTTCGATGCCTTGAGTGTAAATTAGCTTATGTTAGTACAGAGAAAAGCATTATTTGTTAGGATAATATAATGATCAATGAGTAACATACCTTCCAGGAACTACATTAATGTTGTGAAAGCATCGATCCAAAATGGACCAGATTGTTGAAACAAAGTCCATTTCGCTGCTGTTTGGTAGAACATTTGCTACAACATCGAACTTATAACAACTAAGCATTTGAGTCAATGTAGATTGCAGCCAATACATGTCGTAGTTCGTTCGAAAATCATAGTGTCCACTCTCGTAGACTACATCACTCAAAGTATCAAGCAGTTGTTCTTGGATTCGTTTATCGATCTTTTCTGAGCCGCCCATTATGGTCTCGGTTTTCATTTCCAAGTTTGCAAATAGATCTGAGGCTTCCTTTTGAATATCAGGCAAATCGTCACACTTCATTATTTCTTCAAGCTCCTCTTCTGAGAACTCATCTTTCCATCTTTTGTCGTCAATAGATAACACGAATGAGTGAACCGGGCTAAAATTTATATGAAAACATAAAGTCTCGTTGGAGGTAAACCCTTAGTTGCTGTTTTTATTAAAAGTAAAGACTTGAGAATTAATTAAGGTTTGAGATTTATTTTTGTGGTTGAAAATTTTTAAAATTGAATTTATATATATATAAAAAGATATTATAAAATATGGAAACTGAAATAAATATTGAAGAACAAATAAATAATGAAGTAGATAAAATCATTAGTAATAATTGGGAATTTTTAGATATAAATTGGCTAAAATTAAATTATAATTATAAACATAGAACTGAGTTAAAACATATAAAACATATAGATGAAATTAAAGAAGAATTAGTTAATAAATTAGGTTATATTTCAGTTTTTTTCTTTTTAATAGTAATATATACAAACAAAGAATACCTAGGTCCATATTTTGAAATAGAAAAGGGTTTATTTTTATTATATCATTTAGTTTCAGGTATTTCTGGAATAGATATAAATAGATATCTTCCTCAAAGTAGTTTTCATAAATATTAAAAAAGTTCTGGATAGATGAAGAAAATTATAAAAGAATAAATAAAATTATAAATGAATCATTAATAAATATGTTTTCTTCTATAAAATTAAGGGTTTTATTAGCTCATAAGTATAATCCATTACTATTTAAACATATAACATTAATAATTGATGGCCATGATAGCAGGATTAATTATGTTAATATAGATATAAAACGTGAAAAATTATTTTCATATAAATTTAAAAAAAATGGTCTTAGAACGCAAATTATTAGTGATATAAATGATATGATATTATCTATATCAAAAACTGATATGTGTGCAGAAAGTTCTGATGGAAGTATGTTTTTAAATATGAAATTATAAATACTTATGATGTTTTAGCAATGGATGGTGGCTATACACTTTTTGTTAACCAACTTATTGAATTATCTAGTCAAAATGTATTGACTTTAATAATAATAATTTTATATATCCTATTAGAAAAGAAGTTAATGTTGATTTGAATGCAGATGAAAGGCATTTTAATGATGTTTTTGGAAGTTTTCGTTCAAAAGTTGAAAATCAATTTTCTGAAATAGGTAATAAATTTAATAGATTTAGTAATAGTAACTCAATTGCAAAAATAGATAATATTAAATTTTATAATCTATAGTTCTGTTTAGCATATTTATTAAAAATATACAGAAGTTTAGTGATAAATTTAATATAAATATACAACCTCATCATGAATTATGGGAAACTAAAAATTTCGAATTTCCTTATGAAGCAAAATTAGTAGATATTGTTATTAGTAACTCTATATAGTAAGCAAAGAGAAAAGATGAAATATTAGAATTACAAAAAAAATTATTAACTTTAAATATAAATAATGAAAGAATAGAAGTTGATGATTATAGTGATAAAAATATAGAAAATAGTAGTGAAGATGATATACCTAAATTTAATGAAAAGAAATGAAGAAGGAAAGGTAAAGGGAAAAAAGAGAAAATAACATACAATTTGTAAGAAATATAGGAGATAATAGTGAATTATATGAAATAGAAAAAATTGTTGGGCATAAATATGAAAATAATATATATATGTTCTCAATTAAATGGAAAAATTATAGCCATAAACATAATAGCTGGTTATCAGCTGATAAATTTAATGAGAAAGATTTATTAGTGAGGAAGTTTCTTTGCTATTACAACAGCAACTTTATTTGTTATTACTAACAACAACTATGAATAACCGACAAGTTACTACCCTTGACGACATTCGCTACACTCTCGCTCACTCGACTGTACGTGGAGTTCTTGTTTTATAATTCGTTGTAGATCTGTTGAATATATATTAAAGCATGCTGTTTTTTATAAAGTGGCTTTTTTAGCGTAAATAAAATATGGTGATTGAAGGATGTGATGGTGAAAACCTTAGATCCTTTAATGTATTATACACCTATGTACACGAACGATTTAAAATGTTTGGTACGATCAATGGTTTTATTTATAATAACATATAAGAGATCAAGAAAGAATGAAGTTCTACTGCCGTTTATTCGGCCAACCAAGTAAAACAACGTAATTTAGAGTCGAAAAAGCTCAACCTTGAACACAAAAGACTGCAATTGGAGAAGGCGCGTCTAGCAGAGCAAAAACGTGCGTCCCAAGCACAAGAACAGCAAACTTATGCTAGTTAGAAAACAAAATTTTCATCAAGCTGTTGAAACTGGGAAAAACTACTCACGAAGCCAAAGACTTAATAAAAGATAAATGTGAATAGTCATTGACATATTATGGATAAACAAAACTTTATTGCCTAGATGTAAAATTTACTACAATGGTTTTTTGGTGTTCTCTTTTCCCTTCTGCATCTGACAGTTGTGACGATGTACTATGCTCATTGCTTCCATTATCGGTTTTAGTGTCTGGATCTCATTTATCATTACGTCGGAAGAGATAGTAATGAAGAATACATGCCGCAACGATAATATCATTCAGCTTTTCGTATTCGTCCTTGGTTGTCAGTTGCAATGGAACATTCTTCAAAGAAGGCCACCTTCCTTTTAAAATACTAATTGTACTTTTAACAGCCACCCTACCTGATGCATGCTGGAAGTTGAACGTTTCGTAGTCCTTGTGCAGGTGGTACGGTGTGATCAGACCTGTCGTAAGCCCATATCCAGAATCACCAATCACAAATTCGTTTCCTGAAAAATTGTCTGCTGAATACGCTCGCGTCGCTCATAGTACCAGGACATCCGCAACAGATGGTTCATATATAGCGGTTATCATCACATATTATCTGAAGATTCGTCGAGTAACGTGATTTGCGGCCAAAGAAGTAAACTTCGCCTTGTTATTTACGTCGTTGAGCAAAGTCGATATGAGTGCCATCGACAAAATTGACACACCATGGGCTGAGGTAGGTGGAAAGTGTGGGGTTTGTTAGCAGCAGCAGGGATCTTTTTTTTTCTCATTACCATTCGCCATGGCAAATCAACAGCTGCGACGCACACTTGTAAATGGCTCCTACTCTCTTCACGATGAACAAAAAACAAGGAAAACAAAACGGCACAATCCACGGATTTATTGAAAAACGAAATGAAGGTAACTGTTTTCTTAAGAAAAGCATGTGCTCAAGATTTGTAAGGAGTAGACCGCCGTTACTGCTGCTTAAAAAAACGCTGGGTAAGTGAACAAGGGAAGGAAAAGGTTATCGGTTGTGCTTGGGGCATAGCTTTAGTGGACATATGCCCATTCAGAATTACTGCTTCTTTCTCTTTTTCTCTGTATATACGTGATGCACCATCTTGCACCAATCCAACGTCAAACGTACGTGCGTAATACAACATCGTCCTCTACCTGCACAAACGATTCGTACTCACAACAAGAACGACGCAACAATCTTCTTCTCCATTACTCAAACACAATCATATACAACATGACGCTGATCCGCCATTGGCTTTCAAAACATACAGCCTGACGCGAATACTTTTTACCTTTTGCATATACCAACGTTAACATCGCCGGTCTTTATGGATAAATGAGCTGTAGATAGCAGGAAGGATAACTGACGGGTTTCTTTCCTTTTGTGTTGCTGTGGATTGGATGAAAATAAAGTATGTTGACCGTTATATAAGAAAGACAACGAAGAAGGTTCCACAAGAGTTTGAATTTTTTTTATTATATAAAAATATACTCTAAAATGGTTGCTCTAAATGAATTTCTCCCAATCAATCATATTCAGTTATCTTTAAATTTATGTAATGAATTAGATACCTTTATACAATCTGAATTTGATCATTTTAAGAACAAAATATCATTAAAAAAATTTCCTGCCGCGCGGCACGTTATCGTCGTCGTCGTCAGAGCCAGTTTCTCCACTGGAAGCAATGCTTTCCACCTCTTCATTCTGTGGCTCCGGGGTAGGAGCAGCTTGCTCCAAGAATCGTTCCATTGATTCGTTGAAGTTGCCGAAGGTGACTTCTTTTACCTCCCGATCGACATCTGCATGTTCAAAAAAAAGGGGAGCAGGGCACTTGTTCGTCGACAAAAGGACTTGTCGGCAATTCTTCAGTTGCGGTTGTTGGTTCTGGTGCTGCTGCTACTGTAGTTTCCACTGCAGGTATCGCGGTAGTTGGCACAAGAGTTGCCGCAAGCGCAGAGATCGATGGCGGAAGGCCAGCATGGAAGACCGTGCTCGTATTGATATTCTCCCTTTGACCAAATACCGAACCCATCTCATAATAGTAGGGGCACATATAGTCGAGTTTAACGACAATACTGTTGATGACCCTTTTTTACGTTCTTATTCGCTGATCTCTCTGCCAATGTTAGAAGCTTCCGACTTTCTTTGGCATCGAAGTACCGTCTCTTGTAGCTTTCGAAACGGCTTTTTTTCTGCCAGTCCCAGTCGATGCTAGTTTTCTCTCTAATAGCCGTGGCTATTTCAGTGTATGCGGCGGTTTTCGCTCCTTCCTTTTTAACTCTACAGTAGAGCTGGCTACTCGCCTGCGCCTGACCATTTTTCAAAATTTTCGCGAATAGTAAGCCTGTTGACCATAACTTCGCATACTTCAATTGGGGTGTGATCTCGGCTGGCCTTTTGTAGACAAGGAATATCGAAGTTAGCTTTATGTCATTTAAATGAAAGTTAACGTTGGTAACTTTCTCCCTACAAATAAAGTCTCATTATGAATCATGGTGGTTGTATTTATGGTGTGTTCGTTTGTCATGGTGAGCAGATAGGAGTAGAGTTTATTTCGAAGCGTCTGACGCGAGTATTGCATGATAAAAAAAGTAGTTCCATCCCAGATTTTGCATTTCTTGCAGAAATTCCCAAGCCTGAAACCCCCTATTGACCACCCGACTTTTTGACGTTGAAAAGTCGTTGACTACTGAATTTCCAATGTCCTTCTTTATTTTACTTTTACCAACCCACATCTTCCACTTATTAGTATCTCTCCTTTTGTTACTTCTCATATAAACGTATGTGGAATGCTTAATTCAAAATATTGTTATATAGTAGTCTTTAATGAAATATAAGTCGGTGTATTTTATACGCAAGATTTCAGTGTCACTGACGCAAAGTTATTCCTGCTTGGCGCACATTTCACACTCGTATGCTATGTAAGGCGCAGTGCTGATCTGATCCAAAACAAAAGAATTCGCCACCGACCTCAAAAAGCAATGCCATTGGATAAATTCACAGCCTGACTAAGCAGGTCACATACGTCTGACCTCCGGACCCCAAGGTCACTGCCATCGTCACCCCTCTCCGCCCTCTTTTATTATTTTGTATATTCCTCTTTTTCTCTCATCTCCAACACACCTCTGCTTTGTACGTGTGACTTGGATTAATAAATTTTGGCCTACCGGCTCATACAAAAAAAAAAAACGTCTGACCTCCGGTTGTCCGCACATACAAACAAAGCAGTTACCATAATTCCCCCTCATCTTCACAGTCACTTATACTTGCATGCCCATATTGTCTTTGCATATTACGCATCCTCACGAGCTTTTGCCTAATGCAGGAACGGGATAAATTATCCGCCTCTTAGCTACTGTTGGTCGTTGATGAGCATATTTAAAGGGGTAGGTCCCATAGACTGTCCTAACTTTGACTCTTCCTTCAACTCGAGTTCTCTTTTTTGTTTTATCCTTCATTGCAGTAAAAACAAACATGACAGCTTCTGACCTTCGACATGCTACGTCGCACTACGCCATCCGTATCCCGGGTCAAGCGCCGGTGGACCTGTCGAAGCATACTTTGATCGACAAGAACCACAAAGAACATCATATTTACTTTAACACCTCCGGCTTCCACAAGTAATAATGGCTTATATATGAAGTTGAAACAGTAGGAGCGAGGATAAGGTGATAGCATGTACATAGCTTTATGAGAACATAATTCACCTTTGTTTTGTTTGTGTATTCCACATATAGCCATCTGATCCACCATTACTTGGCAGCCTACTCTTTGGGCTCCGACATGAACCGATTGCAAGATATCTTTTATGCCCATGCATCATACCAACGACCCATGCCACCTTCAGTCCGAACATTAACTCGAGAAAACTATCACCAGGAGCTCTGCAACCGTGAGGCGTATACGAGCTATTTGAATCTGTTCAAGGAGGAAATCAAATCCCATGGAGTCGTCGAAACGGTTCGGTATTGGATGTTCAAGGACAAGATGGTAGCTCAGATGCTCGGCGGTGCTTATCATCCGTTGATCCATTTGGGCTATGGGTTGGAATTCGACTTGCCAGATATTGTAGCGGAGGCGTTTGCCATGGGCGCTTGTACAGAGCCTTACCCAGAACCAGTGATGGAGTACTTGACTGACCAACTAGAAGAAGGACCCCCAGATCTGGTCAACGGCACAAAAACGATCATGGACCTTCTTAATGCCGTTTATAAAGACCCGGAACTTGAAGGTGTGGTTAAGTTTACTGACGAATTAAAATCATCGTCAGTGCTTCAAAGTCCCAAGGCTGTAGCCAAGTTAAGCGAATATGCTAGTCAATGGCACATTAAAGGTAAAGCCTTCTAAGGATTCATTAAACGTAACTTTTTATTTTACTATATCTGTCGTTGTTTAGATATCGAGTCTGCCATTCAAGAGCTATTAGTTGGTTGCATTTTGCTATTTACTACCTCGGGTATCCGCAAAGAAGGGATCAAATTGGACTTTTTCTTGGCGCATGCCGTTACTTCTGCCCATGCAGTTTATACAGTATTGCCATACCTGACGCCAATCCAGGCAGAGCTTTTACTTCGTGGCCATCTTACCGAGAGCCTGATGTATTACTTGGCACGTGGTCGTCCAAGCCTCCAATTGGATTTGCTGTTGGATTACAAGTCACCACAAGCCGTTGATGGTAGCCCAAATCCTTGACTGGATGTCATTAAACTCGCCCTTGTTGCTGACGAAGCCCATTGTATTAAGGTGGTTCGTGCAATCGCTCTTGCTCAAACTGTTTATGGTAACCCGTCGAACAATGCGATCTTGCTCAAAGCAGCACAAGTAACCGTGGATATTGCTGGGAAAAGCGCTGCTGCTGACGTGGCTTTTAACTTCGCTGGTATTGGTTTTGAAGAAGCTTGGGAACAACAGTAGGAGTAGAGACCAATTACGTCATAATGTTTGAGAAGCAAGAATTCCGATTGATTTGCTATTTACTTACTTGATAATAAAAAAAATAAAATGAAAATCTAACCACTGATGCAGTTTTCCTTGTAGGATATCGGAGGTGTCAGCAACTTTGACGTTTACACTTATAGCAACATTGTTACTGTCTCCTGTGGTGATACTAAAGAGAGCGCCACAGTAGCTAGTTGTATCATACACAGACAATAATGCTTTCAAAAATGCATCAGCAACTTTATTTCATTACAGAGTATTGTAAAGGGTTTCTGAATGAAGAAATATAACAATATTTTATTTTAGATAATTACATATTTTGAGTATTTGGTTTTGAATAGGTCATGTCCAACATGATTACGAGAAGACTCGTAAAAGCCAAAAAAGATGTGTAAGTACATGAAGAAAACGATGATTAAATGTCAATAAGAGATTTGGGATGGTAATACATGTATTATAAGGGTTAGCTAGTATGAGTAAAATAAATTAAGAAAGAATGCAATCAAATATGTTGTGTGTACAAGGTACAATGAGAACAATTATATAGAAACAAGGGCTTAGACGCGGTTTTCAGCCGAGACTTCAGCCTTCTCATTATGAATATCAAGCGTTTCTTCGTGGTGCTTGCTGCTTGCAGCATCATCACCAATGTAGACCGTTTCTTCGGAAAGAACATCACGCTTGTCATCTTCAAGACCGAAAGGCTTCATCATGAGAGCGAATGCCAAAGCAAGCACGCTAAGACACAGACCGACAATGCAGAAGATTCGGAGGATGTTGCCATAAGCAGCAATAACAGCTTCCCATTGATCTTGCGGAAGGGCAGCAATATAGACGATATCACCCATGGCGGAGGCAACGTCAATTTCGCCTGGGACAAGCTTGAGGATTTCGGCAGGCAACAGGGAGTTCCAAACAGCGCCAGCGATGGCGGAACCGATCGAGTAAGCCAATGTGGTACCCACCTGATACATGGCGGTGGCAATAGCAAGATCATTGTGAGGGACAGCGCTTTGGACGGCAGTTAAAGTCGGGACGAAACACCAACCAGCACCGAATCCAGAGATAACCTGAGAGGCAACCAAAAAGACATCTGAAGCACCAGGGTAACGTGAAGGGATCATCATACCCATACCAACCATGAACAGGACGATGCCAGACAGGATGATGGGACGATAGATCTTGAAGTAGCGCATCAGATAGCCTGCGATGACTTGAGAAACGAGATATACGGCGTCGTAACTGCGATCGACATGTGTGGCTTTGATAATGTCCCAGTTACGCGAGATCTGCAAGTACATTTGAAAATAGGCCCACGGAATCGAGGTGATAATGCTGATCATGGAGATACACAAGACACCAGCCATTGGAGTAAACGTGTCCCAGTTGCCCATGGGAATCAAGGGCTTCTTGCACAACTTCCACTCGTATCCCAAAAAGAGAACAAGTGCCACTGCGCCACCAACAAGCAAGCCAATCGTTGTAGGGCTTTGCCAGCCACCAAAGTCCGTTGCGGCCAACACAAGAGGGAGGAGGAGCATACAGAGAGCGCCGACCAGCAGCAAACTTCCAATGATATCCAGTTCCTCAAGGACCCATTTAATACGCTCGCCCAAAGAACGCTTTGGAGTGTGTTCTTTAAGCTGTGCCTTGACTTGTTGCAGATCGCCAGACTTGCGCATTTTGTATTCGACGTGGAAAAGACCGATATACAGGATAATGGCAGTACCCAAGATCGAGAAAGGAATCATAGAGTACACCCAGCGCCAGTTGCCCGAGTACATGAGCTCTTGACCTGCAATAGGTGCGACAAAGATGTTGATGATGGAAGGAACATCGTAAAATGACTGAAACAGACCACGGTTGACCTTGCTTGTCAGATCTGTACGGTACACGAAACAAAACAATGAGCTTTCCCTAAAATGTGATTTTTTCAAACTCAGGGTTCCACCACTTGTTTGTTTGATACTTTACCTGCAATCAAAACGTGGCCCATGCAGTGTGCTCCAGAAACACCGAGGGCATACAATACTTGGGCACCCTATAAGCATAAACAATAGAGTTTGCATAAAAGTATTAGTAAACATTGTGATTACAGATGTGCATACAGTTGACGAGAGTAAATGCGAAAAATAGCTTACCGCAAAATCATTAAATTGTTGAGCACAAGCGTAGGTTACACCCGACACAATGTAAAATGCTAACGAGACACCAAACACTTCACTGCGACCCCACATATCGGACAGTTTGGCATAGAACGGGATCAGAACGGTTTGGAGCAGGTACTGGACAGTGCTGAGAAGTGTGAGCTTGTTTGCTGCGTTGAACAAACTGAGAACGTTGGGCATTACAGAGTATGTTGTATTGGCTTCCCAATTCTTTGCCCAGGCGAATAAAACAATACTATATAGACAATCACAACGATGACGGACGATACGTTAGCTTGCTCGTTTTGCTTTGGCACATTGATCATTTCTGATATGAAAGCAGCCACTGTTTGCTTTTGCTTTACCCAACAATGATGATCCACAAGTCGAGACGACTGGCATATTTGTTCATCAAGTACACCTTTTGAAGACCCAGTGGTGTGTTGGCTGCCGGCTTGACAACTTTGCGTTCATGAACAGACGGGTCGTCCTTCTCGAGATTTGACGTGAAAAGAGGCATGTTGATGGCCGTTTATACTTGCTTTTCACAATACACAAAAGAAAACGAAAGATACTGTGCGTATTTTTGTGTGCGTATAGATTAATAGGGATAAAGAAGAGAGGGCGTGAAAAATAGAAGACGAGGTACGGGTTGGGCTTTATAAGTCGATTCGAAATAAAGGTCTGGAAATTCCTCGGTTCCGACTATTAGGTGGCGAGTAAAAAAGTTTTTGGATGTTACACCAAGATTTTTTTTTATCAGATGCTTTGCTAGTAGAGTCACGGTAATGCGAGACCAAAGTTCGGGGAAAAGCGCACTTGCCTATTTAGAACCGGGGAAGCTCGGTCTACACTTCTTTGGATCTCCTTGACCTTAATCATATCCTCATGACAGCAGATCTTGGGCTATTTTGTCTCGATATGGCCATTTTTTCATCTTTGGACCTCCATCGTACGATGCTCTTAACACCAAGCTCCTCTCTACTCATATGAGATGCGTTATCTGATTCATTTTATTGTGCTTTACCACCGTTTTGGATCCGATCTTTTGGATTTGTGTACGCTTTTCTTTGCTGACGACAGCCAGCTTTGTGTAAGGTAGATATAATGGACACATGATATCCTATACACAAAATAGCATACAGCACAAAGACAGTTACATAAGACGAAAATCCCTCTTGATGTTGATGTTTTATATATGGACGATATAGGTTTTATTCATGACAGCAACAAGTTATATATTATAGATACAAGGAATAGCAAGGAAGGCAATTTAAGAAGCTTAAAGCAGGATGAAGCAGGTGTAAGGATATATATATATATAAGGACAAGTACTAACTTATCCGGACAAGATTTAGAGATCTAAATTCTTCTCCTCGTATGGTGTTCCCAACAAATTCCATCCAAATTCGGCATAGACGTTGTGAGGCGTTGAGCGACCGGCGATCCACGATCCAAGTGCGATCAAGGGTCCGAATGCATTAGTCTGCAAAACTGCTTCTCTCTATAATGTTTGCGATTTCAGTCAGTTACTTTGTACACCGCTGCATATACACCAACCCCAAACACTACCAGCCACTATCTGCACATCCAAGCAAGCAAAGCACAGACTTACTTCACCCAGGATAAGTTTGATAAGAGCCACATCCTTGCTCTTGTATGGCTCCAAATCATCATACGAGGCACCGTCAATTAGCTTTAAGAGATTTGTCAAGATCGCTAATCCTTGCATCCAGGCAAAATGGCCAGTCTTGACATCAGTATGCTCGACAACGTCGCCAGCAGCAAAGATGTGTGGGAAGCGATCGTCATCAATCTGCATGGTCTTTTTCACGTTCACAAAGCCAGTCTTTTTGTTAATAGCTTCAGGTGAAAGCTGTGCCAGCAGCTCCGTATTGGGTTTCATTCCAATGCACATGATCTATACATAAGCATATATTAATTTGTGTGAGAAACTGGATGTAAAGGTATTTGACCGTTTTCTCTCTGGGAGAATGCGTACAAGATAATTACTTACAGCAAGATCACCCTCTATCACTTTACCACCCTGGGTATGTACTTCGACGGGCTTCACTTCAAGTGGGAATCCGTTTTTAGGTAAGACTACACGATCACCGAGAACTTGTTTTACGCCGTGCTTTTTCAAAATATTGTATGTCATTACGTCAACGCTTGTCTTGTATTTCGGCATGTATCGGGTTCGGGAATGCATCAAGGTCACATGCTTGTCTGGATATTGTTCTTTGATTTCGGCAGCCATTTCTATTTGTTGTTATGATATATGCACCATGCGGTGAGTGAATTAAACGCTTTCGCTTTATCCATATAATTCCGTAGCAACAAGGGAAAGTCTATTTTACCAAGACCAACAGCACCGGCGCCAATAATGATAGGTCGCTTGGATTCCTTGATGACAGCTTGGTATTTCTTTAGCAATGCAATACCTTCCTGTTTGGTAATGCAGTCAAGACGGCCGGGTTGCGGGATCTTGGTACCGGCAGCATAAATAAGATATTCGAAATCGATACGGCGACCAAACTCAGGAACATCACGGTCCAATTCAACATGGTGCTCGTGAACGGCCACGACGCGAGCATTTACGACTTTGCCGATTTGATCATTGCCCTTGAAAACACGGTCATACGGAATAAATAACTCCCGTTCAAAGCCAGACTTTACGGATGCACGAGGGAAGGCAAACACATAGTTGAAATGGGTCTTCAATTCAATCATAATCAGGCGGTGGGTGGACGGCGCCTTTTCGTTCCACTCAATAGCCATTCCTTGGACTAAACAACAGATGCATTTTTTTGGTATGCATGAGTGAGCTTATGCTGTTGTTCCTGTGTTATTTCTAGATGTTGTTGCTGTTCCTGCATATAAAAACAAGTAATGACCGAACCTGCCGAGGATGCACCAATAGTGACTATGTTCTTCTTTGCTGGAGCAGGAACCATGATTGCGACGATAGGATGTCTGACTTGTCGAAATTAAAAAAAGAAAAGGAAAAAGGGAGGTAGTTCTTCCGTTTCTTTGCGATGGAAGAAGGAAAAGAAAAAGTATCAGAAAAAAAATTCGCTGGCCGATGGCTTCTCACCCTGATAGTTTGTTTTCGCGCTTTTCTTTATCAGATCATTTGCGGGTTTGTGGAACGTCCAGATTAAAAGGGTGTAAACAAGCCATCACGTTTCCCGGCTCACAACTTCGTCTCAATTGTCACACGGATGTACATACACATACTCACAGAAACAAAAGGTGTCATTCTTATTGTAGATGGGGAGAGAATGAACGTATGTTTCAGACTACTACTTGCCATTTTCTGGTATCTACTATAACAATCGAAGTTTGAGAAAACTTGCTTACTATTGGTAAGCGCTTTTTTATTAGCCATCCTCTGGGTTTATCTGATCAATGCGCCAATTGCGCCACCGGGAGTTTTTTTTTTTGCGATTTAAATCTCGTCGTACCGATTGCTTTTCTACATATACAACATATACGATCGTAAATAGAGAGTTGCTTTTTCTCTCCTTTTGCGCACTCCAACTACATAAAATATGAGTAAGACAAAACAGTACAAGTCTTGTTGCTGTTCCTAATATGAAATGCTCCATTATACTAGTTGATTGCTCAATTCTAACCAATCCGATTACCGAGTTTTCCCGGGAGGAAAGATGTGGAGTATAGATTTTTATCGTTTAAAAAAGCCGAAGAAACGGGAAACAAAACGTCGCGCGTATTACAGTCCGAGGATTTACTAATGTATATTTCATAAGCATATCTACACAGTCCGATCACACAAACACTACATAACCGGCGGGTCCGGGTGCACGTCACATTGGGCCCCACCAACTGATTATCTTGTCCTCCTTCACAAAAGTACTTTATTCTTATTTATTATATTAATTTAATATTTTCCAATCCTTATCCATCCAAAATGATATTTAGTATCTTGATGAGCTTCAAACGTTTATATTAAATGTCGGTCATGAGTCTGTACCTTCTTGTTAAATCATAACTTGGTAATGGCACATTACCAGTAACAGTACTTATACTATATCACGGGGACAGCGACAACACCATGTATTGTTTCTGTAACTTGTGACAGTTTCGGATCAGTCCGAATATGACAAAAGGGTTGGATGACTGGTAAAGTAATTCACGAAAATTTGAAAGTGCTCTAACTCATTTACTAGATGAATGTTGAATACTGTCTCAATTAAGGATGTTTCAACTCGACGTTGACTAATTAAATGATAGTCTATGCATGAAGCTCTTTCTTACCACATTACCATTTTTCTTATTTAGAGCCACGGAGAGACAAAGCCATAGTACTACGGAAATACACGCTGCTCTGTCCAACTACTGTATACATCACATTTAGCCACTAGATACTATAACCAGCACTGTAGAGATATACAAGACCTCAAATTGATAACAAAAGCTCCTTATACATAATGTATATCTTTTAGTTCGTTTCCAATAGAGCAAGGTCACAAGAAATATGACAACCATTAAACGCAAAGCTTGGAGGCATTTAGTATTGTTCTAAATAAAACGACACCAACAACTTGTATATGCTATTTTCGAACTTAACGCAGAGCAGAGAAGCTTTTTAAAGACTGAAACTAGTTTAAAAGCATTAGAGTACGTGACTCGTTCCTGTCCTGTACATGATCCTCTTACAGATTTGTATGCGTCGCCTATTACTATGTCTGACATATAACCGTGACTACTCTGTACTAACGACAGTTTTACTAAATCGTAAAAATAAAGTCAGAAATATTGTTTAACTATGCAACATCATTTGCACAACACGGATTTCACTAATACTGAGGTTGCCTTTGAGAGTATCTACAAGAAACAGACTCTCATGCCATACAAGTACAAAAGGACTTCACGAGTAGCAAAGCTGATCATAACGATTTTGACTAGAATTAGCTATATACTGATATCATTTATTGTGTCGCCATACAGTACATACTAGAGTTATCATAGTCACATGCATGACATATAGCTAGCGTAATTGACCTTTGTGTGTTAAAGAGTTTTACAGAAAGATTAAGATGAAACTTTCTAGACGAAGTGTTGTATCCGGCCCGCAAAATTGTAGAAACGTAGCCTAACAAGTATATTGCTATAATAAGCAAGTGACAGAATCACTACCATGCAACCAAAGTTGCATTGGTGTGAGCATGATATACCACAATGAAGATAGCCTGTTAAAGAAGGCAACTGTTGGAATCTATGTATTGACATCAGAAGCACCGAGCTTACTACAGGAGATACATAATAATGTTGTGTAGTGTATGAATCCTGTAAAGATACAATGTGCTGAGGGAAACTTTTGAATGACTAGCTAGCCGTATTTACGTAGCACAATCCCAAAGATTGGTGACAGCCACACAACGTTAAAAGAACGATGATGAAACAAAAATCCAAGAAGAACAACGAAATAGATTGAGGCGGATGATTCAATGGAGCCAAGTACTCTTCCAGCGGCTGATGTATTATAGCGCATCAACAAATGAGACAGAACCTGTGTAATACTGAGCCAAAGTACCGAGCTAGCAATCATGTATGTATTCGTGCGAGCACAATTCGCCAACAATTTAACGGACACATATCTTATACTGCCGCTCATAGTAAATATGTCATCCGATCATACTAATGAGCTACAATGTACAGTATAGGAAAAGTGCATTTCTTTTACTGTGCCTATTTGATATTGCAACCTTGATTACCATGCGTGTAAGCCAACTCAGACTAAATCATTTAATTTATACCTTTAGCGATCCAATTCGTTGTTCAAATATGTTGTCAATCTGTATTATTACATATGCTAGCTTTGATGTATTCGCTGAAAGGTCTACGAAGAATATGTATAGTAGCTTGTTTCTTCAAAATGACTAAACTACATATATAACAAATGTTTGAAAACATACATATCATTCTAGATGCTAGCGATGTGGTCGATCGAGGTCTAGATCGCTAGAAGATCTCTCTTTTTATTATTTCTAGAATATAATATCATGAAACCGTACATCATGTGTTTGAAAAAGTAAAGGTCGCTCGTCAGCATTTATGGGAGCTTTTGGCTTGTGCTCTATTCTCGGTAACTATAGCTGATGCAGGTTAGCGTGTGTAGTACAATGCCGAGCTTAATTGATTATGATAAAATATACCCAATAAAGCAATGCTCTGCCTTTTCCAATCTTACATGTCTTTTCCTTTTTTTTTTGTTTGTTTATACATTCATCTAGTACTTACATATGACGGGTAATGATCATCGGCTCGCAAAGCGGGTAAAACATCATAGACGTTTAAGAAAGCAGATCTGGCTTGACCGCATTTGTTTGCCATCAATATCATACATGTTCTATAAATGCATAACTGCCAAGGCTGGAATTACTTCGGATTACGATTCATTTCTGGTCGAACCAGCGAGCCAGATGCTTCTAATTACAGTAACATTCACCGCCATCAGGTGCTGCGTCATATCGTTTTTGGCGGCGGGAGGCAGTGATATGCTGCTAAAACACTATATACAGCACTGTTCTCGTAAGATGATGATGATGATGATCGTCCTCACAAAAGCCCTTCTGCGTATCCTGCATTGTATTGCATCAACATCTCACTTGTGGAGATGATTCCCTCCCTTGACAAGTTCATTAAAAAAAGACCACTCTGAAAGTGAAAACCACATGGAAGCATTACACAAGAACGAACCTAGGCTGGTTTCTCCGACCACCAGCGCCTTATAAGTGCATCATGTGCATATCAACCCCACTATTTTGTTTTATTTTGCCACACTCAGCACACGCTCTCACACTTTGCATACCCTTGTTTCCTCCTGTTAAAACACACACTTTCTCTCATATTTTGGAAAGTTGATATATAATATACCCTCCTTTCCCCAATGTCGACTGCCAACGTACTTGAACCTTCAACGTTAAATAGACTGAATCCCAGTTCGGACATGGTTTTTGTTGCCGCCGTCACTGTAGGCGAATCCCGATCCTATTATTTTCGTCAAAATCTAAACACTACGCCATCGTCGTCGCCAAAATACAATGCTCCAAAACAAATTATACCATCTGTCCCTCGTCACCGAATGTAACTATCTCTTTTCTTATCACTATGCTTATAAATATGCATGCGACTAAACTGTGGGTCCCATATAGAAAAGCACCGCCCAACTCATTCTTATCGCCGATCCGGTCCGAAAGGACGCCACCACGTCGGCAAAACAACGATAATAATAAAAATGCAGCAGAAACTGCAGCAGCATCCGCCCCATCGTCACAGCTATCAATATCACCATTATCGTCTTGTTCATTTTCATCATCTTCGCCAACACGATCTGTACAAAATAAACAGCAACCACAGTTACAAGCAGTTCAAAAACTTCGCAGACCTTATCCACTGATCCATGCAATTTCATCACCGGCTTTGCTTCTTCCACTCAAAAAGAATCGTGGCGACAGCAGACGACGGAAAGTAAGTTTTAGCGAGCATGTCGTCGTAGTTCGAACAATCATTCATACCGACGACGACGATAACATCCAAGAAGAGGAAGAAGACTGTGACGAGGAACAAGCGGAGGATGGAGGAACATGTATATCTGGTTGGCGAAGGCATTCGACTGGCTCGACGCCTACTACTCCATCATCAGCGTCTGATGAAGATCTAGAAAACAACGAAGTTGCAAGGCGACGGCTTTTAGATGTATCTAAATCATTAAAACGATTTGTGTTCTGACAGCAAAACAACTGTAATAAAGAAGAATGCATATTTTATCAGACAAGTTGGGGCTAGGATACAGGAGAAGTTTTTAGTTCAAAGCACATATTGATTCTTTTTATTTGGATAAGGTAAGAAAACGCCCCAACTTGAGGATATGCTGTATCAACGCGACTAGATACTTCAGTGCGAACAACTCAGGTTGGTTATCATCAGTGCTTGTTTGGGATGTGAAGAATTTACAGACACGACAGATGCTATCCGATGACGAGCTTTTGCATTTTTGTATATGTGCACCTATTAATCTCCATGAATTGGGGATGAGGTCATGTGTACCACATCATTAAAGCTGTCACGACGACCTATGTCTATATTCTCACTCGTGAATAGGTGATATGTAGTACGCGTATGATGAGAATATCATTACTGTTTTTAGTGTGTGCGTGTTTTCAGAAAAGCACATTAATCACTTATGACGGCGTTTCAAAAAAGTATTTACCACTGTGCGGGATGGCTAGACAGCAAACTCATAGCAGCTGTTGTTACCAAATTCGTTATGTCATTCACTTGTTGATTTTCGCACAGCTTCTTATATGAGTAACAAACATCGTGTTGTTTCGTCTGCTTGCAACATTCAAGCTGTATAGGACATTAAATCTCAAGCTAATCAGTTTATATAGGATTCAGTAGACGATATATAGCTCCCAACGTATACAAGGTGCTCTTATTCTACTGGACGCCCGCTTCTATTGTATGTAATGAGAATATCGTCTGACGTAACTTTGCATTAGGGGTTTTTTACATGAGCCGAAGGCAGACCGAGTATATCTTTCTTCAAAAAGGAAAAGAGACTCTATCAGATAATGACAACATAAAAACTCAGAGTATCAGCTCTCTTGTTGTATCTCTCACTACACCATAGTCACAGGTCGCTGTTCTGTCATAAACATAGAAGAGTATGCCAAACTATACAAAAGCTTGATAAAGCTTAGAATTACATGAGCGTTTATTTTGTGAATGGGAGCTGTCTTTTACACCTACAGCCAGGAATCTGACAAAAAGAGCCTTTAACTGACCATTGATATCATCAAGTGATAGTGAACTCGTGCTCTGCTTGTTTAACATCTGTGTAAGACGGAAAACCTGGTCTGTAGTTCTGTAATGCAAACGCCAATTGATATGCAATGATAGCCTTCATCCAAAATGACAGGCGTCATAGCAACAATTATTCATTCATAACTAAATGTTGAAACTAAAACAATGTGAAGAAGACCATTAAAGTCTGCTCTGGCAGGTAACTAGAGTTTCGCTCCCATTATGATGTACTGCTTCGTCATTATATGGCAGAGCCTAAAAAATACCGACCTGTTGTGAATGGTAAGCGCGAGACTGAGGCTGTGGTACAGTATCATATTCATTTCGACGTTGTTTCTGATCTAGGTAACCCTTCCCACCACAGATCATCTTGCTAGCTATCAATCATTTTCTCAGTCCTCTGGGAAACATATATAAGCTTTTAGATTAATGTAAAAGGTGTTTACATGGCTGCCTAAGATAAAATGAGTAGTGCTCGTATACTTTTTCTCATTTCACGCTGCTTTTCTCATCCATACTGCTTATCAGGAAGTGAAACGAGAAATCGCAATTTGGTTTAAAAGTCAGCTGCAGGTCCGAAATGTAAGCGCTGCATATCTCAATCTTCAATGCTCTCCTTCGCTTGTGTGTGATATGTCGATGTAGGAATCTCACGTCAGACACAAAGAAAACTGGTCTAAAATGTTAGCAAAGTGAGTTGTAGAAGATGAGAAGAGAACATTTCGATTGAATTCGCTACGAGATTTTGTAACTTGGGAAATGCGTGACAACAAAACCATCCCGCCTGAGAGTGAGTAACATGTTGTCAGAAAATATTTATTGGGACTGTAATGAGCGTATAAATTCCTGTGCTGGCAACGGGTGAACGACAGCAAAGAACAAAGGACTACATATACCACGGGGCACACGATTGCTGAGAAAAAAAATTATGAAGAGTTCACAAGCTAGTAAAGAATTCTGACATCAACCAGACAAGTATTTTGTAGCACAAGTACTGGGCTTTTCAATAATCTCTCTCACGCACAGATATAATAAAAGCTCGATTATTAAAATAATGTTTATCTTCTGCTTTCTTTCCGTTACACTTGGCTTATTCTACATCGACATATATATACACAAAACAAGACACCATGACCGATCTTGCAACCTTAACTACAGCCATTGAAGACACTGAGAAGTGGGAAGAGTTTCTCAAGCAACGGTATGGACCTTACAAATCATCCAAGGAAACCAAACATTTCTATGAAGACATCAAGGCCGAGAAGACACACCCAAGTGTTGAAGATTTTCTCAAGGAAAACCACGAAAGACAAACCTATGATTATGTACAAACCATGAAGCGCGATTACGGGAAACTCGACAAGGCTTACATGGGAATCTGGGACATGCTCATGTTGCTTGACAACATCCAGCTTGACAGTAATACCGTTCAATTACAGCAAAAAGTTCATGCGTTCCAAATGGCCGAGTCAATGCGTCGTGAGGGGCTACCACGTTGGCTTATCATGACTGCCCTGATTCATGATCTTGGCAAATACCTCTATCTACTCGGAGAAAGACAGTGGACGGTAAGTATTATATCCTTTTTCTCTTTTTCTTTGACTATCTAGTGTATACATCACATTGCTCGATTGTTCGAAGAGAAAAACCCACGCACTAACTTCCGGGTATCTCTTAGGTTGTCGGCGAAACTTTTCCCGTTGGATGCCAGTTCTCATCACGCATTGCGTACCCACATTTCTTTGAGAATAACCCGGACACCAAGAACGAGACCTATAATAGTAGTAAGTACGGCATTTACGAGCCCCATTGCGGCCTGACCAAGGTTGACTTTAGCTTTGGTCACGACGAATACATGTATATGGTCTGTAAGGACTATCTGCCTGCCGAATCACTTTACATCATCCGCTATCATTCGTTCTACTCCTGTCTTTTGGAAGGCGATTATACCTACTTGCTCAATGAGCAAGACATTGAAATGATGAAGTGGGTCAAGATCTTCCTTCAGTACGATCTCTTTTCTTTCTCGGAACCGATCCCACAGGACCTCAATGAAATAAAGCCTTTCTACGAGGAGCTTTTGGCTGAATATTTCCCAGAGAAAATTCGATGGTGATTTACCTTTCATAACACCGTAAAACCCAATTGCTACTTGTACTATCCTTATCTTTTGTTTTGGCTTAAATAAAGAGCATAAGAGCACTTTTTCACTCTAATAGCACTCCTTTTTTCTGATACAATATTGATGTGAAAAGATTCTTAATCAATCACTACACTGCCCTCTCTTTTCCGAGCTCACACTAATGTAATTTCCAGGACAATATTGTGAATTGTGGCATACAACGCAAACTGAGAATTACATCCAAAAACAAGTAAATTTCTCATACATGTAAATCATTCTTTGCTCTGCTAAGCAGTTACATATGATAGTTACAGTACCACTTTACACGAAGGCTGATCATAGTATCTATAATCTACATATGTTTTACAAAAATAAAGATCGTTTTTGCTTTTTCCTACGCATTTCGGCATTATGTGTCGTGGCTCGGTGGTGATAGTGGATTACAACGACATGCTAGTGACATTCTGAGATAAAACTGTATAGATTATCAATTTTAGCGGTTCACAATGATCTGAAATTTATTTCCATTCTTATCAATCGCGGAAAATTTCATGTGTGGCAGGCAATGTGAGATTTCCATGTAGATTGACTTAATTGTTTCCTCATTATTTTTTTCTTTCTCTCTTCGCTCCCTCTCCGAGTCATAGCACGGGATCGTGAATAAACTCTGTCTAAACATCTGATGATATGGGTTTATGCAGTATAATGACTTCTTTCGGTTCGTTCAAGTTTTCTATCAGCACACCATCTGGAATTGGGTCGCGCGAGACGGATAAATTCGCAGATTATTACTTTGTTTATCACGAATCACACATTCACTATCGATAAAATGTAAACAACACGGGATAGATACAGTACACTGCAATCAGTAACGGACGAATAATAAAAGAGATTCACACATTAATCTTTCCTTTTTCAAAGTTTGTCATTGGACAAATAGTTCACACAAACTTTAAGTGGCGAGGAGCCCGCACTGATAAGAATTCCAATTCTCATTACGGCAGAGTAGTGCAAGAAACGGTTTTCGAATAAAATATGTAAGTCTATCCACTTACTTCCATGAATACCATTCCCTCTAACTTTTTTTTCTGGCCTAGAGAGTGTAGAAGTACTGTATCTAGCGTAAATGATGATTGTATATCAATCTCAGCTCTTTACACTACTGTATGGACAGAGTTGCCAAAGATAGCGACCGTAGTGATGATGCTGCTTTATTGAGTGAAGATACAAGTTATGAAAGAATTCCGATCATTTGAGACAGATTTTACCCGGTACAGAGGGAAAAAAAAAGGAAGTTACAGTGTAAATTCAACAACAAGCACAGGATATGACTAACTAGTTTTGTTTTGAGGTCTAGAATTGTGGGAATTCAAAGTTATGTTTAGAGGGGATAATGTCAGTTGATGATTCCGTTTTCTGTTTCTATCAGTTCGCACATTTACTGAGGCTCGGGGCGGGTTTATCCGCGGTCTAAACATCGATTCATCTGCAATCAACTCGGCAAAAGACCCCTACGGTATGCGTAGTGGTACGCATTATTTCTAGTTACACATTTTCCACGGCTTTCTCAATGACTGTCTCGGTGCAAGAAAAAAATCGGTATCTAGTGAACTTAAATTATCACTTACCCTTCCACTAAGTGTTATCGATAAGTAAAGCTTGCTCTTTTCGGTGTTATTGTTTCCGGCGATGCAACTGACGATGAATGAAATAGTCAATCGTTTTCATCCAAACATAGATTGATAGCCAAAATATATTTTCTCTTATCGATATAGCGGGAGCGAGGGAGGGAGAGAAAAGTCGAATGTGTCAGAGTAATGTATCACGATGATATTATAACTGCATGACACCAATCAGCGAATCCAGTCCGTAAAAGGTTTTCATCAAGGAAGCACAAAGGCTATGCTCCTTTATTTTTGGCTTACTGGACCCTAGAATATTCGTCAATAGGATTGGGAATCTCTCAATAAATGATACTGCTACAGCAGATTACAACCCGCGGAAATCTGTTGAAGGTTTTCATTCACTCGTGAATATAAAAGTGCTTGGATTTTGAACATCCTCGCCGCATTATTTTTTCCAGTTGAAAATTTACATTCACACATTTCTTCATTTCATTGTACATCAACAGACCAAATTGCAAACATGAACACGATGAAAAAGCCTTCTATTGCTGTCATTGGTGGAGGGTAAGTACTTTTGCAACAGTTAGCTTGACGATCGGTGCATTTAAATTATACCTACTGATCAGGGCTAACTTTACCTCCTTCTACCTAGTTTCGGTGGTATCTATGCAGCCATCAAGATTAAACAAGTACTTGGCATTTCTGCACAAATTTTCGAAGCTTCTGAAGATATTGGTGGCGCATGGTTTGCCAACTCATATCCAAACTGCGGCTGTGACATACCTTCTCATCTCTATTCGCTGAGCTCAGACCCTAACCCTAGTAAGTTTAAAGATTTGCCTTTGTATTCAATCTTTGTTCTTGATCTCGCTATAAACAATCTTCTGCTGTATCGTTTTGTTTACCCGTCATGTCTCGTTATTTATTTATCTTTTTCGAAAAAAAAAGACTGGTCCCAGTTATATGCTTCGCGGGATGAAATACATGACTACATTCAAGATGTGGCAAGGAAGCACGACTTGTATCGTCACACCCTATTGCAAACCAAGGTGATCAAGAGCGAATGGGTTGCAGAATCCCGCAAATGGAAACTGGATCTGCTTGATTGTAGTAACGAAGGTTACAGAGACCTTGAAAGTGTATTTTATGACTTTGTGTAAGTCTCTTTATGCAGTGCTAATCTATTGCTACTTCTGTTCGATGAAAATTTACTGTTGACAAGAGAAGAATCCATGCTTCGTTTTATTTCTCACTATGTACTACTGTACGATAGATTTCTTTGCGTTGGTTCTATCCGCGTTCCTTTGATTCCAGAACAGTTCAAACAGTTCTCTGGAAACGTTGTACATACCGCCTATTGGGATCCTTCTATTGATTTTACAAACAAGCGTGTTGCAGTAATTGGAAACGGCGCAAGCGCGGTTCAAGTCATTCCTTCTGTGGCCCAACAAGCATCACAATTATACAGCTACCAACGCTCAGTGTCCTGGTGCACGCTGCGCAAGCAGTATAGTTACTCGGCCTTTATGAAGTTTATCTTCAAATGGATTCCATTGGTTGCTCTTATTTATCGCTTATATTTATTTCTGGAGGCATGTGTATACGTATAGAATCACGATAATCATGGATGGATAAATAGCATAGTATAAGAATACATTTGCATGGTAAATATATTTGTATACTTATGCACGTTCTTTTGTATGAAACTCATTAGATCGAGCTCGGTTTTATGAGCACATACAAAAACTATAACAGCCTTGGTGCGAGACGCTACCGAAAGAAACTTGAGATCGAAATGCGTAACCGAATTGAAAAACAAGGCAGGCCTGACCTGGTGGACGTCTTGATTCCTGATTTTGCGCCTGGATGCAAACGTCTCGCTATTTCCGACAATTTCATTGAGGCCTTGTGTCAAGATAACGTTGTAGTCCAAACCAATCGCGTAAAAAAGGTCAAGGGTCGCACAATTATTACAGAAGATGCTGACGAACAAGAGTTCGATCTCTTGGTTCTTGCTACTGGCTTTAATGTTGCAGGGTTCTTAGGTCACTTGGAAGGTAAGTAGATACAAGCACAAGACTTTATAATTTTCAAAACGCGAATGTTAATGATGTTGTTGCTGTAGTTTACGGCAAGCCCGAGCAATCATTAAATAAAGCATGGGAAAACGAGTTTCCCGGCTTGTACAAGTCCACATTGATGAGCGGCTATCCCAACATGTTCATGATCCTTGGTCCTTCTAGTTACCCTGGTACTAACTCAGCACTATATATGGGTGAAAGGTAAAGAAGCAATACTTTTCTTTTATTATACAGATACTTATTGATGACACGTGGTCTTTTATATGTATTGTTAGTCAAGTGAATTATTCTGTCGAATTGATCAAAAAGATGCTCAAGGATAAGATTACTGCGGTGGAGCCTTTGAAGGAAGCACAAGATAAGTGTGTGGAAAAACTCAAGACCGGCTTCGAGAAGACTGTATGGAAAGGTGGCTGTACCTCTTGGTATATGAACAAGCAAGGCGATGTAAGTTGACATATCAAAATGATGAGGGCGGTCGATCAAAGGTTAGTAAAATGATAATAATACAAAGATTGTTTTTTATAGATCACCACGTTTTGGAATGGCACCTCACTTGAATTCAGCTGGATGTTGCGTCCTGCTACTAGCTATGATGATTTTCTTGTATACAGAAAATGACTGTAGTAAAACAATAAAAAAAACCACAATATTGTATTGTATGCATATGCGAGTGTTGGGAAAAGCCTTTTGATTTATTATTCAGCAAGTATAGATGACATGCCCAGCATAAGGTTTAAGATTTGAAGATGATCGTCTGCACCATGAATAAGGCATATATCCGTCTGACCCAACAGCAGTGAGATTTTTGACTTTTGTACTGTGGTGATTGCTTCGTTTCGCATAACAGCATTGTGAATCTAATGATAATATGGGTTGCATATCAATGTTAGTTGATCTTTCTAAAGAAAACTCACTATACACGTAGCACTCATGTCTTCATTGGCATACGCATCCTATTCGGTTAATTACCTGCATAACAATAGTTTCGCCAGCATATCCAGCATTCATCATAGTTTGAGCTGCATTATTAATATCATCAAAAATGTTGGATTGCCAGGCTTTCACTACCGTATTAAATGCTTCGTCTGGGATTACCTATGTTATACGAAACATAAGTTAAATCGGGCCCTGCAATGACTACCTAGCGGTATATTGAATCCAGCACAGAGATGCACCAAACGAATTTTTTCATCTCCTTACTCCTGCTAATTCATTGATAGTGCTTTCCTTGATAGGAGCACCCTTGTGAAGTGATGATGCACTTTGTAAGAAAGTGATGGCTTTTCGCAAATCACCATTGGATGTCTTAATCAAAGCATCCATTGTCTAGAATACCAAAAAAAAGACGATTAATTTAGATTATCACTACACCTTCGTAGTTATGTATCTTGCAGCCACCAACTCTCTTTGTTTCTTGTTCACTCTTGGTATTGAAAAAAGAACACTTACACCTCGTCCAAGTTCCACATTTTCTTCAGCGCAAATGTACTCTAAACGGTTTGTCAAGTCCTTCAGAGGCAATGGCTTGAATCGAAACTTTGCACAACGCGATGTAATAGGTTCAATAATTCTTAAATGAATGGCATAAAATACGCATATATAAGTATTTCTTTTTCCCTCTTTTTATCTATCCCTGCTCTTCCTTCTCTCTCTCTCCCCTCTTCTTAAAGGACCTACCGGCTAACGTAATTGCAAATGATACAGAATCGAGTTGTTTTGGAGTACGTTTCCATGGTTCGTCGAAGAGCTGACTGAGCATCCTTTGTCATTGCATCTGCTTCGTCGAGAATGACAATTTTGTATGGCGGGCATGGATATCCATCAACACTTTTTGTTGCTGTACTCCGGGAAAAGTTTTTTACTTTTTCTCGTACGATTTGAATACCACGTTCATCCGAGGCATTAAGTTCCAATACACGCGACGATATTAGCGAAGGTCTATGTATACAGATATATAGGGTTAGCATATTTTCACTGCGTTGTTTGATTCTGCGTATCCCAGTGACCCTCAATTCAAAGCTTACCCATATAGTTCGCGTGCAAGAGCCAGGATAGCTGACGTTTTACCTATGTACACAGCGCACACAGTTAAACATTGCATACTCTTGGCTCAAATATTCAACGTTAGCATATAACAAGACTTACCAGTGCCAGGAGGGCCATAGAAGAGCAGATGGGGGAGCTGTTATTATCGAAAAGAGTGTTTTATGTTCAATCATTTGTAATGGCGTCTACGAACTATAAAAAGCTGATAGAACAGCGAGCTTAGGGAAATGAAATCTTACATTTTCTGATTGGAGCGATTTCCGTAATACATTAACAACTTGTTCCTGTGACGCAATGTCATTCATGGATTTGGGTCGACTAGAAATAGTAGCAGTCGTAGAGAGAAAGTAATTTAAATTTACAAGTTAGTGAGTCGAAGAGTGCATTTTGTAAATGCGTTACAGCCAACAACCAGTGACGAAGGTAAAATAAGGTGACACGTTACTATTTTTCAACCCAAGGTGTTGTTTCCTCTACTTGTTCTTTGAGATTGGTAGAAGCTCTATTACTGGAAGATCTTGCTTGAAAAAAGTTATTCATGGTATATGTTAAAGAATTGTGGAAAGACAGAAGAAAAATCACGAATACGCGTCGGAACGCGAGTCTTCTTTTTTTTTTTCTTGACTGGGTTAGGATCAGACAGGTCAATCCACTCTGTAGATTTATAAGCACTACATATGTTATCATACGCCATCCATGCCTTTGAAAATTCCACCGCGTGTGAGGAATCAGTTCACCTTGCAGCTACAATGGGCTAAAGAGCTCACTTTAAAGAGCACCGTGGACGTTGATGATCTGGACGTTATTATTATTGAAATTGTAGATAAGCTCAAACTGGCCAAGGCTTGGAACTCTTGTATACTATAGGATATCTTATCATCTTTATGAATAGCACATTTTTTAATTCGTATTCAATAAGGGCTAATAGTCATATGCCCCGTGGAAAGCCATGAACGAGGAGTGTTAAGACTTTGCGCAAAACCAAATATGTAACGACATCATGACTCCGTTGCGGTTTCCAGCACTAAAAGCACAGATTCGGTGAATGTAGACTGCTGCTTCACTTGTAAATATTATATGCTATTGTTCTATTTATGCGTATTTTCATTCTGCCCCTGATCGTTGAGTTAATTAGTAATGCTGTGTTCATGGATATCATCATTTCTGTCAAACAACAAACTTTACGACAGCAAAGCACAATTCTAAAGTCCGATAAACCAGCTATCCAAAAAAAAGTTTTGCTTGAATATTCTTTTCTTGACACATCGCTTGGGCATTCTACCAACACAAAGAATAAGACATGGGATCTGCGAAAAAGAACACAAAAAAGACGACCAAGCCTCCCAACAACAAAGCAGCATCAGCAGCAAAGGCAGCTACTGCCAAGTCAGGAAAAAAGAAGAACAGTACTACTAAATCCAAAGATCCGCTGGTAAATGTTGACAGTTAAATGGAAAAAGGGGGGATTCCGCAACTGGCTCGCACGATCTAACGTGATATGCAATCAATATTAGGATAATTTGCCCGATTATGTTGCAGTGCCTGAAGCAGAGGACAAAAATGTCGAGATCTCGGAAGAGGATCTGGCATTTTTCGCTGAGAACCAAGACTGGAAGTTTTTGAAGTCAATGGATTCGAAAGCTATTACAAAGTAAAGTATTTCTTTACTCTTCTTCTTCTGGAGAAGCTGTATGGGTACGATCAAATGGAGTTTGAATGTTTACATGTCTATATTAGGAACGAGATGAAAAAGAAAGCAGTAGAAGACAAAAAGAAGGCCAAAAAGCGTGCACAGACAACGATTCCTGATCCAGCCACCGCAGAATTGACGTCCTCGGACGAAGACGATTATAACGATGACGATCTCGAAGATTTTGACGAGGATGATCTCCCAAGTATCAATGGTAGCTCAGTTAATGGCGAGGAACTTGATCTTGCTAGCGTCGGCGAGAATGAAGTAGCGAGTAGCGACGAAGACGACGATATGGACGATGATCTGTTGGACGATAATTTTGATGACATCAGCGATGACGACGACGATTTGGACGATTTGGACGAGGAAGAAGAAGATCAACAACGACCTGCTAAAAAGAAGCGGAAACAGCAAACCGAATCTGATGAAGAAATGGATTATGAATTAAAGCCACGCAAAGTCGCTGGTGAATGGATGAAGAAAGATTATCACAACCGATTGCCTGTCAAGTTACCTGGTGGTAAAATCGCCCAGGTGCAGCCTGATTTTTCGGAAGAAGAAAAGAGTGATCGTGAAGAAGGGCAAGTCGAAGAAGAGAAAGAAGAAGAAGTCGACGAGGCTGAAGAGCTTGTACCCGAGGAACCTGCGCGCAAACTTACGAAAAAAGAATATTTGCTGGCAAAGAAAGAAGAGTTGGCACAAGCAGCATCTACTATCCAAGAAGATCCAGAATCAAATGTAAGTGAAAGTGGGAAAAGATACCTTGGCCCCCATACCAACGACAACAGCCATATGCCGCAGATTTGGTTAACTAAATTTGAATTTCATTTCCATACAAGGCTGGTATGCTGAAAACGCTTAAGAATATTGCCAAGGACGATAATCCCACTGTCAAGAAGCTGGCTCTTCTCACCCAACTTGCTGTGTACAAAGATATTATTCCTGGGTAAGCTGATATATCTTTACTGAGATGTGCGTGTGTATATGGGCGGATAATAACATCTCTTATTATATACAGGTATCGTATTCGCCCGCTTACTGAGAAAGAAGAGGCCGTCAAAGTCTCTAAAGAAGTGAAAAAGCTGCGTGAATTTGAAAAAACACTGCTGAGCAATTACGAGTCTTACCTCAAGGATCTTGATTCTTTATTAAAAGGTATGTTTCTAATTTAAATTTGCTCTAAGCTGCTTGGTCACCACACAAAGAACAAAGGGTGATAATCCTGACATTATCATCATCATGTCTATGAAAAATCTAGCCCAAAAAGGACGAGAAGAGGATGTTTCATTGTCACTTGTGGCAACGCGCTGCTTGTGCGAACTCTTAACCACCAAGACGCACTTCAACTTTCGTCTCAATATAATGGTCACGATTGTTTCGCGGATGAGCACTGTTAACTGGAATGAGGTAAGGCAAAGAGATAACCTATCATCCAGATGAAAATACATGAGACAAAAAGGAACCGGAACCACGGGGAAAAATGTGTGAAAAAGAAGTGGGAGAGAAATAGACACGCTCTAATACATTATCGTGGATATTTTCCCGCATTCTAACGCCTCCCTCTATTAGATTGCGAATATGTGCTGCAAGGCAATTATAAACGTATTCGAAAACGATGAATCAGGACGCACGTCTCTGGACGCTGTCACAATGATCACGCGAATGATCAAATCGAAAAACTACTCTGTCCACGAAAATGTGATCAACTCCTTTTTGCACCTGAGACTCAAGGACGAGTTAGCCCCACCTTCAGCCCAATCCGACAAGGATGATGATCAGCGTGGCAAGAAGCGCAAGAAACAGTTTTTGAACAAAAAGGCCCGCAAGGCACTCAAAGAAACCAAGGAGATTGAAAAGGAATTTAAAGAGGCAGAGGCAGTTGTCAGCAAGGAAGAAAAGGAGAAGAATGTAAGTTATCATTCAAAATGAAAGCAAGGCAGGTTATTCATGGACCCACCTTCTTCTATGAACGGATATAGCACACCGAGACGTTAAAGCAGATGTTTGCTTTTTACTTCCGAATCCTCAAGAAGCAGTCGATGTCGCCACTCCTCCCGGCTGTATTACAGGGACTTGCCAAGTAAGTAGAGAACGGAAAAGAAAGATGGAAGACAATTGTACCACGAGTATTATTATTTTTCTACTTAAAAGACCCCTCTTGACCCACCGTTTTTCCTTGCTTATAGATTTGCGCATTTGATCAGTGTGGATTTCTTTGATGATTTGTTGAACGCGCTCAAGACTGTATTAGAGAACCTGGATCACAAAAGCAGTGGCGGCACAGCGGGTGCTGGTACGCGCAAACGGTTGCTTTGTATCATCACTGCGTTTGAGTTACTTTCCGGACAAGGTATGCAGAACAAACACAAATGTTTTCTATATTGCTCTGGCACCAGTAGTAGTAGCAGCGGTGAAACTTCGTGGGGCCATCCTCGATAGGGAAGAAAGAAGGAATTGCCAGTTTTATAAATTAACCTTTTTTCTTATTATCACATCATTGTTAGGTGAAGCACTCAGCTATGATCTCAAAGCATACTATGCCGAATTATATGGCATTCTCTTTGAGGCTGCGTTTCACTACATGGTAGAAGATAAACCTAGCGTCGAACACCTGTCAGAAAGCGAAATGTTGACGCGTGGATTAGAACTCATGTTCTTGAAAAAACAACAAGTGCCTGTAAACCGAATGGCAGCTTTCGTGAAGCGATTTTCCGTTGTGGCACTCAACATGCCAAACAAAACTGTCATGAACTGTCTGCAACTGGTAAAACGACTGATTAATGTACGTGTCCCGGCCTCATTTCTCTTTTTCTTCCCGTGTGTTGCTCTTATTCATATTACGATATTGAAAAGAAGTATGTACTACGTGAAAGTCTGATGATGTTTTTGCTTTCTTAAATAGAAAGATCGACGGTTAGATGCTCTGATACAATCAGAAGATCGAGCCGCAAGTGGCGTTTACATGCCATACCTTCAAGACCCGGATCTGTGTAACCCATTTGGGACCAGTTTATATGAGCTTTTCCTGTACAAGGTATAACTTTTATGGGGAGAGCGGGTGTATGGATGTACGGATTGGGGGACCGGTTAGGAAATGTTATGAGGAAGAAATGGGCGCTGCTGAAAGATTTGAGCTGATAGTAGTAAAAAGTAGCCCTAAATGCTAACTCCCTACTCTTTTCTTGCGATTGTACATACTTCTGTCTGTCTATATAGGATCATTATGACCCTGCTATCCGGGCATTAGCGCAATCTATTCAGCAACCACCCGAAACTGCATGATTTACTTTGTCTTTACCATCTTAAATTTATTCTATAGTCATCATCATTATCACATTAAGTTTATTTCTGCACGAAACATAAAAAGAAACATGAAATATCTCGATTTATCGAGATTGCATTAACATTGTGTTGTCCCGCATTTCGTCATACTCTATACAGTTTACATTGACAAAACGTAGCTTATTTTACGCCTGATACAACCTTTGATGCATATGCCTCATTTAATCCAGCACCTTTTTCTGTGGCACTGAGGCCTCTTTTTTGGGGGGTGCAGGTCATTGAATGGGTTTTGGCATGGTACCACAGAAAAAACGATGAAGCGGACATCCAATATCCGATACTTGGAATGGCTTAACGAAGAAAAAATACACAAAAAGAATCTCGATTAAAAACCAATGACACTTCGGATCCTCCGGCAGCAGCGACAGCATAACAAACTAGCACAATTAAAATGGTTCAAGACACCTGCTCACTGTCATTACCGCTATCTATCGTCGTCAACAACGACGAAGTTGTCAATGGCTGCTGCACCGCCACCAACAACGACTACAGAACAGATTCCGCCGGCCGCGTTTACCCCATTACAAAAGCTCGCACCGACATTTTATGCTCGGGGCAATGATATTACGCCACTGTATGAACCCCACGCGTTTTATACCGAACTCAAGGTATGAGGCTTGAGAAAGCGTTCACAAGTGAAACCCCTTTATTTTTAAAACTTCGGTTACTATGGAAACACTCTGGTTGCCATAAAAAAAGCTTGGGTTACTATGGGGACACGTCGCTTGCTATGGACACACATTGGTTACTCTAAAGATACTTCGATTACTACGGATACGCTCTCGATGTTAACAAAGAATATTATAAAAACAAAAATACGGTTGCTATCACTTTAGACCCGGATCTTAAATGCAAAAGAGCGCGTGTTTATTGCTGCACTATACATTGGCCACGCAGAACAAGAGCTGGTAGAAACTTTACGCGAGGCCCTGCGTCGATCTGATCGATTACAAGTTTACATTTTGATCGATTGCCTACGGGGAACGCGTGTCTCAAAAGGCAAGAGCTCCGCCACATTGCTCCTATCGTTGATCAAGGAGTTCCCGTCTCAAGTCCAGGTGTCATTGTATCACACACCGGATCTGACGGGCATGCTTAAGAAAACCTTACCGCAGCGGTTTAACGAAGGAATTGGATTAATGCATTTGAAGATCTATGGATTTGATGACTCTGTCATGCTGAGTGGGTAAAGTATTTAACTTACAACATGATATTCATGCAATATCAATGCATGATGGGCTTTTCATTTCCGGTCCCCACATTTCCGTATATACACAGAAAATGAAGGGAAAAGATGGGCTTGAAAAGGTCCGCAAAAAACGTTATATCAATGCTGATCGAGAGAATTTATACATTAGTGCCAATCTCAGCCAAGACTACTTTACGGATCGACAGGACCGTTACATGGTCTTCGACAACAACCGCAAATTATCATCCTACTATCACGACTTGTTGAACACAGTACGCTCCTTTTCTTATCAACTCGAGCCAGGAATGAATGAAATGGTACCTTATCGATTAGTCATGGAGCACGGTACGATGGATCCTGTATTCGAAAGTCGACGTTTCAAAAAGCAAGTACATGGCCGGCTGGTCCGGTTTATCCAAAAATACAAGCAACAAGCACCATCACAAATAGAAGGAGGATTATACGACACAGCGGTATTGCCTGTCATCCAAATGGGCCCTTTTGGTATACGCCAGGATGAAAAAACAACACTACGGTTACTGGAGATTGCACATGAGAATGGCGACTGGACCATCGATTTGACGTCTGGCTATTTCAATTTCACGGACCGGTACAAAGCGTTCATACTGCGTACCCAAGCGCGGTTCAGATTTTTAACGGCTTCACCCGAGGTAAGGTTTTTAACATAGAATAGAGTAGAACAACAGCTGCTCTTTTGTTCAGGGGGAGTAGAGATTGCTGAAGGTAGCAAGAGTATATGATTTAGTGGGGTTGGTGATACTTGTGGGGAGGACCTGTATTAGTAATCATAATAAGCTATCGCACTTATTAATTCCTTATCTCAAAATATTTGAAATGTAGGCAAACGGATTCTTCAATTCGAAAGGCGTGTCGAGATATTTGCCACCTGCATACACTTGGATCGAAAAACAATTTTTCAATTCCGTGCAAAGAAGTGGAAGGGAAAATGATATCACCATTGAGGAATACAAGCGACCGGGCTGGACTTATCATGCCAAGGGATTATGGGCCTACTTGGGCGCACAAACTCGTCCAGTGCTGACTATGATCGGTTCTCCCAATTTTGGACATCGTTCGAGTGAACGGGATCTCGAGGCACAAGCAATAGTCATTACACAGAACAAAAGGTTACAAGAAGCATTGCACAAGGTATAACAATTTATTGTCCCAACTTTTTGTATCTCATTCCGGCGCCGCGAATTTCAAAAAGAAGAAAGTGTGCGAGTGTGTTGTTTGCCGACTAGCATAGCATTAAATGCGTTGACATGTCACGGTCTATTTAGGAAGTTAAACGATTACATGATTACTCGGAACTGGTCACCAGGGACACATTCACTAAGCAGGATCGGCTAGTGCCGTACGGCGTCAGAGCTGCTACAGCTATGATAAAGACCATGCTTTAAAAGTTGATTACAAGATAATAGAATCACCATAGAAAAAAAATAAAAGGAAGTGAATCACATGCAATTTCCTTCCGGAGCAAAAAAAAACAACGCAGTTCGGCCGTCATGCTTCTTCCTCTGTTCGCGCTGTCTCTTGCTCCGGCCCCCCAGTTAGCGCACACACATGCTCTCTCTCTCTCTCTCCTCTAATTCCTTGTGGATGGTAGTACTAGTGTGTATGCCACTCTTTTTCTCGTGACAGATGTAAGCATATATTATCCTCCGGGAAAAAATTTGGGGGTGGTTGTGGTTCGTAAGAACATCCTTCCGGGAAAAAAAAGGCTTTGGATACCCAATCTCCACATGGAATTGCTTAATTTGGAATCAACAAAGGGGAGTACAGACAACCATACAACCACGCGCGCAATCTCAAAAATCGCTCCTTCTCTCTGCAGTCGTTATTTCGCGAGTACATTTGACTCTTATGGAGACCGTGGAAAAATTTAAAAAATTTAAGTGGATGGTATATATTTTGTTGTTATTGTTTTCTCTATAGAGCTGTTGTGTCTTCTATACATAGGTATCATAAGAAAAAAATGAGTTGTACACGATGGATGTAGTAATAGTAGGAGAGTGGATATATCACTTTGAATAAAGTCAAGAAGACAAAGAAAAAAGAGATGAAGAGGCATATAAAGAAGAGCGGGATCCGGCCCCTCAACCATAGCGGCCAATGGGGTATATACTTTCATGAAAGAGAAGAGTATGTGATATGTTTTAAGAAATTGTGAATGTGTGCGCATGTGGAGAGAAATATGGTGTGTGTATAAGAGTTGTAAGTGTAGTTTAAGAACACAGAAAAAAGAAGATGTATGAGTAAATAGATAGATGGGTAGATAGTGGATGTTGTTTGTAAAAATAGGTAAATGTTTCCGCATGTAGCATGTTTCTAATAGCTCATCCCTCTTAGGGCGATCATGAATTGCTGTTCATGGAGAAACTGGGCAGTTCTATCAAAAACAACAACATGAATACATAAATATTAAATATTTACATTTTCTGACAGCATATGTATATGTAGATACATACTCTTGTCTGATGTCTGACGGATCCACAGATCAAGCACATCCCATGTCTAAGCTGCTGGCTGTTCGAATAGCAAGCAGTGCCTGTACGGGTGATGGTAGTAGCAACAGTGGTGATGGGAGTAGCTCCGTGGATTGCTTTCTTCTGGTAATACATCTGAGTTGATCTTGGTTTCCTGGTAAAATATCAAGGTAAAAGAGGTACACTGTACACAGAAAGAAAAGTAAAAAAGCACAACACTATCAAATGGGATGGGCGATTTAAATAGACAAACATGTCATTATTAGGTGGTCGTACAAAGTCGCGTGGATGTATTATAAGAGTAAACCCTTTTTTTATTCGGGAAAAGGCTGGTCGAAAGCACCCAACTGGGAGGGAAAAAAAGTCAACGACGACCAAATTTTTGCGAGATAAGGACATACTGGAATGATTACTACATATTATCTCTTAACCTTTAAACTCACCATAGTATAAGCAGACCGACGTTGCATATGCTATATACTCAGCTCATAAGGTTTCACGCTATTTTTGCCTCTATAATTTACCGGCGATGTTACCAGTACCATGGTTCTCCTCTGTCTTATTAGGACACCGTATCTAATAATCAAAGATAGGCAAACGGTAAAATTCTATTGCTTTTTCGCTCTTCCTCTCTTTGTCCGGTGTGGGTAATGTTTTGCGACCGTGTGTGGCCAGGATTTTTTTTTTTTTCGTTTTCGTGGTTTATCTTTTCAAGGACTTAATAGGCAAACGTTCCACCTCTTTTTGTTTCGTGCCCAACGCTTAAATGCGATTGGTTTGATATATTACGTTAGTCCATATGGATTTTTCAATTTGGCTTCTTTGTTTCTTCTAAATTGTGTTACCGTATATCACCAAGGAGTCATCTGAGGTATAGTAAGCTCGCGGATGGAAACAAAACAGCTTCTTGTTTTCTTGAAATAGGAGCTTCGTTCCGTTGTCGTCCGTATCAAGATGAGACTAATAGGTGTATATAGCGTTTGTCAATAGAATAAGAGGGAGAAAACCTCATGATATTAGAAGGATATAACAGCAGAGAAACGTCGTATTTTTCTGAAACAAAAGTTTATTTTCTTTCTTTTGCGCGCGCCCGGGAGAGACAGGACAGGCCTGCCATCGTGATTTTAATACGTGTCTAATCGGGATCGATCAGTATAAGAGAAAGAGAGGATGTGCACAAACACCCCCAATTGATTTGCCATACACAGTTGATTTGTGCAACGACAATGAGAAATTATGATGTCTCATCTGGACCAGGAATTTGCTGCTCCCTGAGCTGTTGCTGCTGCTGCAATACACCACACCTACTACTTTCGCTATTGCTGTCTCTCATTCTCTAACCTCCGAGGAAACTAAAAAGAACGGTGCTTGTTCCCATTGTTAAGATCCTGTTGGTTGTACCGGATAATTTTTTAGTGTGTGTGAGTCGTGTACATATATCGTGGGTAGCCATGTGTGCTCTCATTAACGAAAGAGCACACCCATAAGACCAACAGCCCTTCTTGTCAGCCATGTGAAGTTACACACTAGCATAAAAACAAAGTGACATTTGTACCACTGCTTGGTAAGCGGGGCGCGCTCGCGTATAAGCCTTCATGCCCATTCCATCATCGACACGTCAACTTTTCTCACCATTTTACCCGAGATGTGTATTGCCGTTTTACTTATTTTGTAGATCTCTTTCTTATGTGCTGATAATAACAGAGAATTAAAGATAGCGCTTTGTGGTTTTCAAAGCTGTAGAGGAGGTTGGAATGAAGAAAAAGGGAAGCAAAAAAGCGTTGAATATAGAGGATGAAACAAACGAGGTGGCAGTGGTGCCGTCTCTAGTGAAATGGGTGTAGCTGTAGTATGTAGGGTTTTCCCCAGTCCCCTTACTTTTCCTTAGCCAGGTCTAGATGGAGAAATAACTCGGGCATAATCGAGCAACAAGTTGGTACGAGACCCATAGAATAGACACTCCAAATCTGCATCAAATTCCGGAATACGCCAATGGACGTTTTCCTCGTCGAGCACTTCTTCTGTTAACGAAGACGATCGTCGCGTGTGTTGCTGGTCACCATTATTATTAGCGCCTTCCCCAGACCCGCATTCTTGCTGTTGCTGCTCTCGCATCATCATGCATTGTACATGTGCAATGATATGGTCGTACATGGTCTCCAATCTTGTCCGCAATCCACCGTATCGTAACTCCAGCGTCTCCCAGCCAAAGGGCTTGTACATTTTCATCCACAGACTGCGATGATATCGCCATAGCTGCTCTACTTCTTCGCGCAGCCGTGTCAACCTGCCCTGTGCCAGCTCGTACAGCCGCTCATAGTTTCGGTTGCGATACGCCTCCACCAGTCGCTGGCGCAGATGGCATTTTAATGCCAAAACGGTTGCAATGCGTGCAGGTAGCTCCAATCGCTCGTTTAGTGGATGGATGCCGTTTTTACCGTCAATGACATCAAAAAGATGCGCGGCAATGTTACCATAATGTGATTCCAAATCCTCATCTGCATATTGTGGCGATAGGAAACTTAAAAAGGGATCTAAAGTGGAAAAGTAATACGTATGTCAAAAAACCTTATTTTAGGAACCACAGAAATAACTAGAATTCGATTACGCTTGTAATATTGAAGCCACGTTTTCTAGCTGTTTTTATAACCATATACACCCTATCCTAAACCCTCACACACACACGTATTCACTCATGGATATTACCTTCCCAGAGTAGCCATTTGCTAATATTGGGCATGTAATGGGTTCGGATAGTGATTGGATTGCCTGAAGGGGTATCATCAATCTTGATTGCTGGGAGGTTAGTGCAAATCCGGATTTTCTCTCTCTCTCTCTTCTCTTTCCTTCTATCGCCTGTCATTCACTGCTGGAAAGCAGTAAAACCCTTACCTTAGACGCATATACCCAATCGTCAAAGGTGGCGCCACAAATTCCCTCTTTAGGTTTTTTGGTAATTGGCATGTGAGTCCGAATTTCAGCTCTATTTAGCAATCATGCTATTACGAGGTCCCAACGGAAAATTTCGTTTCTGCTTACCAAAGTTCCGCTTGAGCATAGGTATATCCACTTCCTCTTGGGTACTGTAGCCATGCTCAGCATAGTAGCAAAGTGCTGGTAATGCAGAGAAACTATACATGGTTTAGTCATATTGCATGACTAAGTGCGTGTGTGTCCTCTCTCTCACACATTTCCTACCACCCTGACCCCTCTCTATCCCTTGCTCTTGATTAGTTGCTCTATGTCACTATTACGTACACATCACATTCGTTGCCTTCATCACCCCAAATCGTGATAAAGGTATTGCGAATACCGTCCTCCCTATCCTTTGCCGCAACAGTGCTTGCGCGCACCGATTCAAAGGTAAACGGAAGTGCAGTCCAGAATCTACTCCATGTCCAGGCAGCATCTAATTTTATTACCATCAATTTTATTGTTTCCAGTATACGAATTGTTAGTAAATCCAGTCTTTCTTTCTTCCCTTCCAATTTCTTTTTTGGGCGTTATCAAATTGACAGATGATAATAAACAAGAGAATACACGTGTTGTAGAAGATTTGTGAATATGACTTACTTGCAATCCAGGGCTGTTGACAACCTAACTCTCGATGCTGCTGGAGTTTTTGTGTGTAGAGATCCGGACTTGTATGATAATAGTCCCAATAGATGAGCTCCATATTGCGGGGCATGCTTTCTACAATTTCGGGTGCTTCTGCAGGATTGTTGCTTTCATCGTAATATCCTTGCAACGTGTTATTTTTTGCAGCTATAAAATGTTGCAGTATATGTCAGCATTGCCTTATCGTATAATTCGTTTTTAGGCATCCAAAAAAGAAGATTCGAAAATGTTACCTAAACAGAATAACACTGTGGGTTTTTCGGAGGGGGGGGGAAGGAGAGAACGTAGTTGGTGATATAGAGTAACCAATAGAAGGGTTGTTGTTAGTGGATACAGATTTAATTAGAAGCACCCCACCTCCACGTGGTAAATACAGGCGGGTGTTTTGGTGTTTAATGTAATACACATACTGTCTGACCAAATCATTGGTTGGAGTCCCAATCGTGTACATATCTCATTGACTCTTTGTAGGTGATCGACAAAGATACGAGTCGGTTCTTTGTAACCGAAGATCTGGCGATATCGTCCTTCACCAACGCCATGAGCCTGTATGCACATATCAAGATTGGCAGCATGAAGCCGAGATTCGTAAGATTTACTATTAATTCTTTTGCTATACATCGGCCACTCCTCCCCTTCCATTTTCCAAATGATCCAAGTAGTTTTATCTTTCAGTAGAAAAAGGAAACAGCATACCTCATCCATGCCTAAATGGACTCGTTTGGATCGGAACGGACTAGCAGCAGCCTTGATGATTTTTTCAATAAAATCGTAAGTGGCTTCAGATTCAGCTAGCAAGACTTCCGTGTTATCTCTAAGATGGGCATAGTGGGGCCATTGAAGTATTTGCCCCAAATGACCCAATGTTTGGATACAAGGTACCACCTCGATGCCCCTAATTTTTTTTTGTTTTGTTAGAATTATTATGTAAAGTCTTCAAGTTTTCCCGCGCACACAAACACGCGATCCACTTATTGTTATGGTTCCACGAAGGAGAGGTAAATGGGAAGAAGGTAGAATGAGGAATGTAAAAGTCCCGGTCAGCTCCCAGTCCACATTCACCTGCCCAAATGTTGTTATACCTACAAATCAAACGCATAATCATCGATACTCGATAATTCTCTCTGATTGTAACGACCTATCATAGTATGTAAGCAACAGCTATCTTGTAACGATCTTGTGACCTAGAAAACAGAAATGACACACATACCGCGCAAATAGCCAAACATCGGTTCTCCATCCACCTAGCAGATGATTTGTTTAGCACCTCTTCCCAGTTTTTTCCTTCTTTTTTCCTCACTAATTCCCTTAACCAAATTTTATAAAATAAGCAATAATACCTCAAAAGTATCCTCTGTATACAGTTGCAACATGTTCAAGCCCATCAATGCCATGTTGCAAAGCAATGTATGAATACTCGCGAGACGCATCACTCCGTTTCGACTGCAATCCACCATCACACTACCAATAGTTCATCCATAATAGGTGTGTCAATATTCACCTCACCGGATCAGTCAACTGCTATATCTCCTTCTTCTCTTCTTTTTCTCTCTCTTTGCAGTATTCCATCATTTTTACCCTTGAGTATCAAATTGTGCTTCTTGCGTAAAATTGACTAAGGCTCCATGTTCGCCTGTCAAGACCATCAAATCGCGCGCTGCGCCCAACAATCTTCCAATGGCTCGAAAAGCTGCATTATGCAAACCAAAACAAAAAAGCGGGTTTGAGATTCCGGGGTCCGAAAAGAGACTAAAATAATTTTAGTTTCGATTACCTTCGATTTTGCGATGATAGCGAACATAGATCTCAAAACGCTCGCCCATGGGTACATCTTTATAACTAGAATAGTTGCTTGAAACTACCAACTGTCCAGAGCGTAAGTCTTGATCATATGCAAAACTGGTTATGTATTAGCATATAGTAAGATTTGTATTGTCAGCTGGCATCTTTATCATGCAAGAACAAGACATCATCCTCTTCTAGGTCCTAAACCACCACTTTTGATAATAGAGCACTGTCTTTACTCCTTCCTTCTAAGTATCAATAAAATAATGACCGTACTTGATATGCCACTGATACTCAGCAATGCTCGAGTTATTACTGTTGCTGTTGTTTTCTTGCATTGCATTCTCGTCAATGAGATCTTTATGCGGCGCATACTTGATGATCTTTGAAACGCCGTCTTGTAACTCCACTGGCAACTGATTGACATTGATCACCAAAAGTATGTGGTTCGTAACAACATGAAGCGACAATGTCTCGTTGTAACCTGACGACATGATTTGGTCTCGTTGGTAAAGTTCGTAGTCCGTCATTTTACAAGTCGAAGGGAAGCAAAAAAATAATAATAAAAAAAGGTAAAACGAAAAGAGGGCGGAAGACTCAATAAATATACTATACAGACTTCGGATATATTATTCCTGCTCGGTTCTCGTCTCTCGAAAAAGACAAGGTTCAGTTTGTCATGTTGCGCACACTAGAGTGACTGTTTCGAATCCAAGCAGCAACTGCGGGCTACGCGTCGTCATAGCAACCTCCTACCTCCACTTAAAGGCTGTTACGTAACAACGAGCAGGTCTTTTCTTAGTCATTACCCCTATTTCCCACGACGATATGCCTGTAACAGATGTCATCAATAACGCTTCATTTTTTTAAGATGAACAATATTAGTTATCAGCTACCTAGTCTTTTATTACCTTTATGCGTGCGCGCGGACATTTTTCGTTCATCAATCTCTTGCTGTAACGGTACATATTAAACCCGGTAAAGCCAGCAGCTGGTCATAACAAAAGGGGCCATTTTTTTATAACGTGTAAATACCTATTCGAGTCACTTGTCTAATAGATAGAAAAGGTGACCTTACAAGTATGAAGAATTATTCCAAGTATGGAAATGCAAAGAAGATGTCAAGATGAATCCGGGTAAACTATCGGAGCATAATTGTTTGACATAAGTGTGGAAGCCCCGCTTCTTTTCATAGCGAGACATTAACTAATCTTTTTTTTTCTTCTTCTTTAACATACAGTAAAGATGACTGAAAAAGTATTCATCGTTGGTGGTACTGGCCATATTGGCGAACGTTGCGTTCAACAGCTGCTGAACAATAATGTTCATGTCACTCTCTACACACGCTCACCTGCTAAAGTTCAAGCCAAGTTTCCTCAAGCCGCGATTGTCGAGGGTGATTACAACGATTTAACTCCTCTCGAAAAAGGCATTGCGGGCCACACGCGTTTATTCTTGCTCATTGCCGATCTTGTCAACATGCCTCACATTAAGGGTGCTATTTCTGCCAAAGCATGCGCTACTGGTGTGAAACAGATAGTTGACCTCTCGTCGCTGGCCGTCACGTTACCTTGGCGAAGCACGTTCCTGGGAAATACTCACAGACTGTCTGAAGAAGCAATCCTCGCCAGTCGTAGCAGTGCTGTTGCTACTGCTGACTCCATTACTACTGGCTATGTTGCCCTTCGACCCACCATGTTTATGACCAACCATCTGTGGATTGATGCCCAGACTATCAAGAATGAAGGTGTGCTACGCCATACGGCCGACCCCGACGAACTCGAAGGATGGATATCAAATAACGATATTGGTGACTTGGCTGCCATTGTATTGCAAGAACCTATTGAGAAACATGGTGATGCAGTCTATGAAATGACGGGCTGTGTATTAACACCTGCTCAGCGTATTGCAGCACTTGGTAAGGTTGCCGGTCGTGAAATCGGATACACCAAGATCTCTACCAAGGAAAAGTACGATTTTTTGACAACAAAGATGGGCATGCCGCATATCATGGCGATGGACTTGCTTGGTTTGTTCAAAGGCGTCAATACAGTGTCGGTCGGATTGTCTGTACTGTTGGGAAGAGAGCCAGAATCATTTGAACAATGGCTCGAGCATAACAAAGACGTCTTTCAATAATAGTTAATACAGGACTTATACGTTTACAAGCAATAAAATGTAACGTTCTTATAGTAATAATAATGATAGATATTTATGTCATATAAGAAAACAAAAATGTATGATGTGATCATAAGACATGTTTCGTATACAATAACAAAATTCGGATTATACAGAGTTCAAAACCAGTCTTCTTCGCCAGCTTGCTGTTCAGCTGCCGCATCTGCAGCGGCAGCGATCCATTCAAATGACCCAAAATCGATCGGACCAGGTGGCATACGCATCGTGGATTGTCGCTCAGCGATCACTCTTGCTTTTTCGGCATGCCGTCTAGAGCATTGTCTTGAACAGAAGCGGATCTTGCGTGACACGGATGGGTACCCTCGATAACTCCTACAGTATGTGGACGATACCCATTCCCGCAGATAAGGACCTTTGCATACAACGCACATATGAGCCTGTTTATCACCGTCGCGGATCTTTGAAAGATGGTCTGGTAAGAGATTAGGCGGCACTGTGTCCGAAGGAGACTGTAGGATTTGTCGGAATGCCAGCTCGTAAAGGGAATTAACGCCTGGATCACAATGGCCGTCATCTTCGTCATACTCTGGTGTATAAATTCGGCTACTGGATGATGTCATATGATTTATTAAGAGTGTGCTTTCATCATCTGGAAGAAAGTTGTTGTTGTTATCGTCATTCACATTATGGCCTTCCAGGACTGTTGTGCTGTCAATTTCGTTTATGCCACTGTCACTGCTATCCCCGCTACCATCATCGGATTCCGAGTTGCTACTACTGCCGCTGCTGTCGCCGTCTGAAGATGATGGTGACATGGATGAAGAAATACTTGATCGACGTCGGTGTCGCTGCTCTGCTAGTACTCTGGTGAAAGCTGAGCCATGCTCCCCAGGATACGATAATGGATTACCAGTGATCATAACATTTAGTTGGCGGTTCTCCAGTAATCCTTCCGGAAATACGTTGATAAGGTTGTATGAGACATTGAGCAGCTCTAGGTTATTCAAATCGACAAGGCCTTCTGGTAACAATCGTATTTGATTATTACTGATGTTGATCGTCTGAATACGCTGCCATGTTGTTGCTACTGATTTAGGCAAAGCTCGCAAATGATTATATGATGCATCCAGCTGCACAAGGTAAGTCAGCCTTAATAATGATTGCATATCCTTCAGCTGGTTGTGGGATACATCCAGCACTTGCAGCGCGGGCGGCATATTCAACGGTAGCTTCGTTAGTCGATTCCCCGAAAATTCAGATCCGAGCTGCAAATTCTGCAGCTGTGCCCAAGCACTACCAATCGTATCTGGTAATGACGCCAACAAATTACCAAAGAGTAATAGCTGGACGAGGTTAGGTACTGCAGATGGGAACTCTGCCGGTATTTCCGTGATTTGATTGTCGGAAAGGTTGAGCGTTTGGAGTTGAGGCATTTTGAACAGGACTGGTGGGATCGTTGATAATAAGTTTGATGAAACATTCAATGTGTGGAGGTGCCGTATTTCCGCCAATAAATTCGGTAATTCCGTTAGATGGTTGCGCGACAAGTTGAGATCTACCAAAGTGCTGGCGACACAAGGGTCGCTCGCAAGTGTTTGAGCGATGGCATCTGGACCACGGCGACGGAGAATTAGAGATTGGCCTGCATTGTCGTGATAGTCACTGGTAGTGGTGGTGGTGGTGGTGGTCGTCGTCGTCGTGGTAGTTGGACCAGAAGCAATCGCCTTCCCCTTTTCTTCTCTGGTCCTGCTTTTCGTGGTGGATGGCACTTCTTCATAGAGTGCATATGATGCTTTCAAGAGACCGTGTGCCACTGGACGGGATGATGCTGGTGACGACGATGGTAGTGTTGATTCGCCAATAGGCGAGGGTGGGAAACTGGGCGTAGGAGATGAAGAGAGCGATTGCCGTGTTAAAAAGCTGCTGAGTCCGCCGATCGCGCAAACAAGTGGTCGAAGTGTAGGCGAAACGGAAGAAGATTCTTGTTGCTGTTGCTGATGCTGTTGCTGATATTGTTGTTGCTGTTGTTGACATTTGGGTTGGAAAATGACACCTGTTAGAGTCCTGCCACCAGCTAAATATGTCAAAGCCATGATCGGAAGTATGAAAAATGTCAAATCAAAAAGAGGTAGTAGTTAATGAGATGGGAGAGAGAAAGCAAAAGTACAAAAAAAGGTGCCCAGTCCGTTGGGAAACCATCTGATAAATCAATTTTGGGTCTGTGTGTGCGTGATGATGAACATTTACGCACCACAAGGAGCACGCGGCATAATCAGATTTGGGGAGCACTCCTGCTGGTTCAACTAATATAATACAAGACGGAACTTCATCTTGTTTTGTTTTGCTAGCATGTGTATGAATGTATAAACAATTATGCATGGCCTTGAAAACAGCTGACACTTTTTGCTTTTGTGCTGATAAGCAAATGAAGCTAAAAATCATAATTTGGTTCTTGTCGATTCGTCAGTATATCATCATCTGAAGTTAAGAGTTTTCGTTACCTCGCTCCCTTTCTGATAATGCTTGATAATTTCAATAAATGTTTTTGGCTGATCCTATATGAAAAAGAGGACGGTATAGTCTTGTGAAATTCAAAGGGTATGTCTTAGTACATATTAAGGCTCTGTATATAGCGAGTACATGTGCAACTTGTATCTAATGAGATCAGTAAACCTGGTAGTGCATGAAAGAAGAAGAGCTCTGTCTGTTTATCAACAGCATCCATAATCAAATACACGACTGCAGTTTTCACCCTTACGCACAAACATACAGGGCACTCAAGGGATCAAAATTAACACTATCTTAATTCAAGGTGAACTGAAAGATTCTCAATACCGCTCTTTACACCTGATTAAAAGTAGGTGATTTATAATGTTTATGTGGTTGCTAGAGTATCGGCGTATATAATTTACCTACAGAATTTTTAGCAACCACGGAAGCTTTTTGAGGTAAAACGGCTTCTAGATAAAGGGTAAGTAGAAAAGAAATGATCATGATGGATATTGATGTTTGCAGCAGCAATTGAGACAGTCGCCAAGGTTCCACCTGACAGACTATAGCTTGACAGCTATCTGCGCAGCTAATGCTTTTCGATCAAGTATTCAGATCGGCTCACAAGATATCATAATATCCATATAACCTTCAAAGGAAATCACTGACGACACATGACTCCAATTGAAATGCTACCCGGTTTAAGTAGATAGTAGCTATTGCATATGCAGGCACTGGAGCACGGAGCTTTCTTTTCTGGACCTTTATATTTGGAACTCCCTTGTGTTCGACAGGCATGGTAGCATGATACCAACTCTGTTTACAAGACAGTCCGTGACACTTTTCAAGCGCACAACAACATACTCATTACGACGTACAGCTGGCTTGCGTGCCTACACACTCGATAGCAATGGTGTTGCAGACGAAGTACGACAAGTCATGCGACGGGTGCCACAACCTGTGGTTGTCGTAACAACCAGCGATGGTCGAAACAAGCAGAATATGAACAATGGCGACAGCAGCAGCAGCACGATACAACGACGTGGCGTTACAGTTTCTTCTTTTACACCAATATGTCTTCACCCAGAACCCATTGTTTCGTTCTGCGTACGCGTTCCTTCGCGTGCCTCGGAACTCTTGCATTCGTCAGGGGGTATGATTGTCAATGTGTTATCCCATGAACAAGTACAGCAATCCATTGCATTCTCAGCACCCAACAAGACCGATCAGTTCAAAGACATTCCATTCTATGACGATCCGACTACAGGCCTGCCTGTATTAATGGGGACATTGGGGTCAATGCACTGCGAGGTTGCGCAGGTACTGGAACTAGGCGACCACGAGCTATGGATCACCAAGGTAGTGAAAGTTGACCACGGCGTGGGTGGCAAACATGGTCGACGCGAAGAAGCAGAACCCCTGTTGTACCATGATCGACGCTATCGCAGTGTGGGCGAGCAAGTTTTTATGAAGGCTTTTGAAGACTCAAATTTGGATGCAAAACTTTGGACACATCGCGCTCATGTACGCATGGCATGGAACTATCTACGCGAGCTGGGCAAGGAAAAGGCAACACCTGTAATTAAAGATGCTATCCGTCGCCATTTTGAAATGAATCCAACCAAGCATCTCGAGTACCACGAAACAATCACATCGTTTTACATTCATTTGGTCGATCTGGCACTGCAAACGACGCAATTAACAGATGAAGATGATTTTTTCGAGTTCATTGAACAGTTTCCTGCGCTCACGGATCGACGGTATATTCATCAGTATTACTCGCCACAAGCACTTAAATCATCCGATGCCCGAAAACACTTTATGTTACCTGATCTGAAAGCTCTACCGTGCAGACTTATTCCAGATGAAGAAAAGGAAAAAGAATAAAAGGATCGACGAATAGCATCAATTCTAATACAAAGTAGACCAGGAATTTCAAGATCCAGCAGAGAAAATATTCATAAAACTGTATAGAAACTCAATGCATCAAAATTTTCAATAACACATTTTCGCTACTACAGCGTGAGGAAATGTATTAAAGACGATGAAACAATGGTTAATGTATTATTATGCTGTAGATCTATATTCTAGAGCTTGGCATGTTGTGATTTCTTGGTAATGATGGATAATCCAACAAATAAAGGTAGCATAAATACTTGTACATGCATGTCCTGCAACACATGCTGGTTGAACTCATGAACCAACACTGTAAATATCAGTTATTAGAACAGTATCGATATGGAATGTTATATTCTCCCTAGTGGTACGAAAAAAAAGAAACCAAAAAAAGGTAAAGAAACAACAAGTTTCGTCGGGTGCTGCATAACATAATGTAGTATCATAGTGAGAGTACGCTCACTCCTCTGAAGCTCCGATCCCAACAAAGGGTACGGTCTTAACATGTATACAGTGCAAAGCAACAAATTTCATTTTCTTCTTTTCTTTTGTAAATCCTGAAGTTTCAAAATTACGGATTGTCATACAACAAGGACAAATGCATTTTAGTCCTATCTTTGTATTGTTTTTAAAGATGTCATATGAGCTTGTGTTATGTATTTCATATCATTTCATCAAGACAGATGGCTTGTTTTGGTCTATTATACTGAGATCTAGTGTATGTAGTTGCATAGAGGGAAGAAAAAACGGGCTGTGTTTATTTACTGTTTTCTGCTGCCTTTTATGAGTGTTTGACACACTGGTACAGTGTAACTTATGACATGGGCGACTTTTTCTTCCTGTCAAAAACATCTTACTTTTACTTTATCAGTATGTTCTTAGGGACATGATATCCATAGATGCCTCATCATTAGTGTCCTGCCTCCCTACCTTTTATGCTCAGCCTACTCCTAGAGCTGCTATGTAAGCTGCCAGCTGACTGCACATCCATGCCACACCATCCTGTTACTAATTGAGCCATCGGATGCTTCTGCAGCGTGCAATTTCTGATAAGCACCACAAAAGTAGCCAAAAAAAATGATCAAAGAAACATTTTCTTACCGTAGTAAATAGCGTCCCATCCCCTGGTCCACTGCTGGAGAAATAGGGAATCATACATAACTCACTAACTTTCTTTGTCACCTAAAGAAGCTCATCATTTAGACGATATCTTTGCTATGAGCTTACATAGCTCAAGAAAAAAAAGCGTACTTGTCGTTGTCCGTGGCATGGTATGGCATGCATGACATGTAAAACTACTATACATTCTTTGGTCCTGCTGTTCTGCGGATGATCGCTAAAGTGATGGGTACAAAATAAGTCACCATATTACTATACTCAGCTGTGGCAAGAGGCAGCTGAGAAAACTGTAAGATTTTGCAACATAAACATAGTCATCGTTGTGGATAGGTACAGTAATACATAGCTGAGTATGCATATGATGAAAAATATGCATAAACTACAAGTTGTTTGCCGCAGACTCATTTGTATACTAAGGCATCGATCCGTTAATTTAAGGCAGTTTGTAGCGTTACAACGTACTACCTAAAATAAAAACTTTTATTATCGGTGAACAGGCCTTGGTGCTCCAATGGGATGTTTTTTTTTTCGATATCGTAACATATTGTTGCTCAGCAGAAAGAGTCGTGGAAGAAGGTAATAATTTCAAGCTATTTGACTGCTTAAGTTACGTATTTCATTGCCGCTCATCACAGCACCACAAATGTAGACAAGATTAGGATACAGATTCTACAATTTATTATTAACATATCTAAAAGGAAGTATGGAACAAACCGCTATATATATAGAGTGATGCGTTATGTAGCAGTCAAGTGCGGCTGGTTGATGGTAACGAAACGTGTGCATAGCAGGTTTCTTAAGAAGCAGTCGCTGGGATGAGAATAACTGAACAAGACCTCTTCTATATATACGTAATAATGGTACACTAACGGTATTGATCATTTGTTTTATCAGAACGAGATTGTAAATAAACGTGATATGGTATACCCTTGAAGTGCCTCACCTCTTATGTTCGTGCATGTTATACTCTAAATCATATCATCTGATATCGTCTCATTTCTATATTTTAAGAAACAAAAGTTGATTTGTCCTACAAGAGTCGGGTTCTTGGCAGTATGCTGTTGTTGTTGCATGCTCGAGATGTATTAGAGTACTACCTTACAAATCTACCACATCAGCGAAGTTGGCTTTCTTTCTATTTCCTTCCTTCCATGTAAGTTTGCGTCAATTACCCGCCTTCTCAAACGATATATTTCAAAAGTAGTGGATCGCGACATGTTATCTATTCCATCCCAAAGCTGTCATACATCATTCTGGTTTATCATGGCCATTAACGTGCTTCTGGCTACTGCTGATCGGAACAAGATATTGTTCATTTTTAACTACAATAAAGGTGGCAGTAGATAACTTAAATTGAACAAAATTGAACCAGTCAAAAATATCAAGTCCCGCGGATTTTTTGAATCAACAAGAAGTCCATTTGAAATATGGTTGGACACGCTCATGAAAGGCTGTTTTACATAATCCCGCTTTTAACTTTTTTGGCAATAATAATGGCCGTTGGTGCAACGTGAAAGCCGTTCCCCGCATGAAAACTGACCGATGCTAGATTACGTTTGTCATTGGAAAAAGAGTACTTACGTGATGTATTTAGCAGTCGAGCGAAAACATATTGTTGCCTAAAACTATGTCGACCATCATTCTACGTAAAGGAGGTATTACATACTACGTGTGTCTCGCTTACTGATATGCTTGTGTTTGCGATATAAAAGAGTTCAAATATTTGTAGTGTACATTATAATATCGTGGAACATCAGCTCACGCTCCGACTCACTTCCTTCACACACACGCATATTTATTTTCCCTTTCAACGCGTAAACTCTTCCTCTTTCTCCTTTTACTCATTACCAACACACCCACACACACTTTTTGAACCTCATGTCTGCGGGGCGCCGTGACTACTCGGAGCAGACGCCGCTCTTGCGGCACTCGTCTTCTTCCTCCTTTTCCTCAAGACACTCTCTCTATTCTGACGAAGACACCGAGAAAAAGAAAGCTTTACAAACATATGGTCTCACGCTTGGCTTCCTCGCAATCTTGTCTCTTTTGGTTTACACCGTGCGATCGTCATTGCCTACGCCATTGTCAGACACTGCTGCGGTTGAGGTCGATGGATTTCCCGGCGTACACGCATACGAAGCTTACTTGTCCCAGTTCACTGAGCCTCATCCTATCAACTCGCGCGCAAACATTGCAATGAAAAAGTGGTTGGATGAGATTGCCCTAGATTTGCAGGCCGAGGGCGCAGAAAACGGTGTTGAAGTCGATGTGATCACTAATGATACGACCGTGGTCGATAATGTCAATGATTGGTTTGGTTCTAGTAAGTCTGTTTCTTCTAAAGTGCTGGGATGTGTGTGTGTGGATATACAATTCTTTTTTTCAACAAGCGAAAAAGAGGTCGTGGAAGATGACAACCAGAGGGAGAATGGGAAAGGAGCCCAAAGAAGCTCATACATCTTTTTTTTTGTGTATTGAAGACGAGCATTGGATCGCTCGATCAAGGAATTTAATTGTACGCGTTCGTGGCTCCTCTGGTAGTGAAGACGCGGTTTTGTTGAATGCTCACTATGGTAAGCAAAAGCAACTAGGGTTTAGTATAGATAAGAAAGAGTATATGTTTGCTCATCAGTTTAAAACGTTGTGCACATATATAGACAGTGTGCCTACTAGTTATGGTGTGACGGATGATGGTATAGGAATTGCCGTGGAAATGGAGCTGCTCCGTTACTTTGTTCGCAATCCACCTCGGACATCCATCATCTTTTTGTTCAACAATTTTGAAGAAGGCGGTTTAGTCGGTGCCAGACAGTTTACGAAACATCCATGGTTCAAGACTGTTAAGCTGTTTATCAACCTTGGTAAGGCTTTTCTGTTCGAGATCGGATAGAGATGATTACGATGGAGGACTCAATAGCAAAACTAATCCTGTGTGTGTGCATCACAATCGCTACGATAATAGAGGGTGCCGGTGCAGGAGGACGTGCTTTACTCTTCCGATGCAGTAGCTTGCCAGCCGCCAAGTTACTTGCATCCAACTCTCCGCTTGTTCACGCTACTCCTTTGGGTAACGACATGTTTAAATTGGGATTGTTAAAGAGGTACGTTAAAAGTTAGATATACTTTCTAGAAGCGTGCGCATGTATGATGTTGCATCCTCACACATGCATTATGTTATATCTAGTGACACGGATTATAGCATTCTCGAAGCTGCTGGTGTCCCTGGTATGGACATTGCATTCTACGCCCCTCGCTCGCATTATCACACACCGCGTGATAGATTGGAGTATACGCCTGCCCCCGCTGAATCAGTGCAGCATATGGGTCAGATGGTCTTGGCTACTGTGCAGGCAATTGACAGAACAGACGACTTCTTTGATGAAGAACCAGAGACCAAGCTGCTGTACTATGATGTGCTTGGCAAGATAATGTTTGCCTATGATTTCGTTACGCATGGCACTAGTAATTTCCTTGCCCTCTTTTTCACTCCCGCCTGGGCAATAGCTTGGACTCTGATAAGCAGTGATAAGAATGTTGGACATCTCAAAAAGCGCGTGGGTGTATTGGTTCAAGGAGCCATCGCTACCCTTGTTGGCTTTGTGTTTACTGTTATGTTCGTTGGCATAGCATCGGCTGGTTTGCTCAACTTGAACCCCATGGTAAGTGCGACTAAACCCCACTAAATGAAAGGTAAAGGAATTTGTCTTTGTTAATATATACACATGCAATACCAGGTTACCTACGGCAACATTATGGCCGTAGCATTCTATTTGTTCCTTGCTGGATTGCTTGGTGTGATTACATCCCAGTTGCTGTGCTCCAAGTTCGCCAGTATGCGCAACACCTTGTCCTCATCAATTGAAGCGAGCCTCTACGGTTTGACCGCTTTTTGGTGGTTCATGCTGATTGCCAGCTCCTATGCGGGCGCCAAACAAGTGGCCATTTTGTATTTTGTCATGTTCTCGTTTGTTGGTAATGCAGGTGCATGCTTCCTCTATCACGCCATCACGCCAGGCAGTCGATTGCGTATGCCTCTTGCATTTTTGGTTCAAGTTGGTCTCCCTTTTACCGTAATGATCGATCAAAGCTTCTTAGTAATGGATTCGATGCGTCATGCTACCGTTGATGGTACTCCTGAAGCAGCAGGTATGCCCTATCTATCAATCAACTATCAATCACATTCATTTTGCGTGAACATCGTAAAGTACCTAGAGAGGCGAAATTCAAAAACCGATCATTATAGCTAACATTGAAACATTGCAATAGTCTTTGGTCTCGTCGCTTTCCCCATCGTATTGATGGCTTTACAACTTCAGCCGTGGGTCAATGCTGCTGGTCAAAAAGGCTATGCCACACTTGTTGTATTGACGACCCTGGTGCTTACATTTGCAGTCTGCTCTGTACTCCAGCCATTCAACAGTGGATGGTCACCTAACAAGATTAAGTTTGGTCAAGAATACAATGCCACATCTGGCTTGGCTACTGTTTCCATGATAGCCGCCTCTGGCATACCCTCTGCCCTGCATCAAATCTTGCCTGCTAACGAATCTAAAACAATCCGCTGCGAATCGTACAAGACCTACCAAACGCGTTGTATGTATGAAACCAATCTAGTGCCCATCTATGCTGACCAGCCCGATGAGTTGGTGATCACTGTCAAGGACAAACATTGTGAAAATAAGACTGGTCTGTGCCAAATCCAAGTCGAGTCAGTGGCTCAAAACAGCTTGCTGTGCCGTGTGCGCTTCGATGGCAATAATGACAGCATTACCAAGGCATGGGCTCATGGATTCGAAACAGAAAAGGACAAGCCTATCGGCGCTTTGCTTACTTATACTCTTGAATATGGCCAGCCCATACAATGGGGTGTTGAGTATAGCCAATCGCCTTTGAACCGATCCTTGGTTGCTGTTGTGGGTTGTTTCTATGACGAATGGACCCAAGGTCAGATTCCCGCTTTCACATATCTCCACGAAAACCTGGATGATTCAATCACTCTACTTTTGCGTGGTCAAGGTCTTTCAATGGTCTATTATAAAACTCTGGAGCTATAATAGGAAGAAGTGATCTTTTAAAGAAAAACTAGTGTATGCTTGTAACTCTCCTCACTTTATAACCTATAATTGTGTATTTATTGACTTTCCTATGTGTAATTATAGCACCACCATAATCAATACTAAGTTATTATCTCATTTTTCTGCACAGGCAAAACAGCTATATGTAGAACACATGTCAATACCTGATTGCTCTGAGGCTTGACATTGCTGTTTCTTTTTGTTTGCAATATCACTGTGAAACAACAACCGCATGGCGTGCCATTTTTATTGTGGTATAACAATTATGAGCACACTTTATTGCGTCTAAAACGTTTCCTACATGCAAGAGTTTACAGTGTAATGTGATGCGTGTAAGCTTCTTCCAGCGTCTTGTTCTTTTTCGTTACGATGCATCCCATTTCCCAGTTTGAGGTGATGATCCAGACGTTTCTCTCTAAACCCCGTTTTCGGGGTAGAGGGTTCTAGAAAAATATTACTGACCCAAATTCAACGATCATACCATAATCAAGATGATATCATCATCCGGCTTTAAGTTAACTGACGAAAAAAAATTGTTTCGACCAGCGACGAATAGGAAGCGTGTGGGGCTAAAAGAACCCATCATCGTTATATTAAACCTGACTATTGAATTTTTCTTTAAGCGCTAATAGATTGCCTAAAAAAATGTAAAGTAAAGAGAAGCTTAATCAGGCATTTGTTGACTTTCGGTTTTGAAAAGAGGCATTGTCCAGGCTACCTGTCCTAGCAAAAAAGCCTTTTGTACAAAAGAAAGAACTCGAATGCTCTGGGCAAAATTGTTGCTACGTAAATTTTAAACTCAATATTTTTAAGCTAATCCCCAAGCCTGGGCAACAGTGGTTTCGAAAATCCCCGCTTGTGGGCAAGAAAAAAAGGACTTGCGCATACTATCGGCTCTGTCAACCGCGTACAACACTTTCTTTTCCTTTACTGTCTTTTTCGACCTCGAAGATTCTGTACGTTTTTTTTATAGTAGTTCCTATATTAATCTCGTGATTCCGTCATAAAAGAAACGGTCATCGTCTCACTGTTACTTGCATGCTGATTCATTTCGCTCTTTTTATTGCAGTTTGAAACCGAAGAGTTAATCCAAGATATCACTGCGTAGTAGACCAAGGTACCAGTAAAACTTAAATTTTATACTTGCATTGGTATTTCTTTCTTGTGTGTTAAAACGTGTCGTTCCGTTTGGTGAAAATAAAAGAAATAATGAAAACATGGCTTTCTAACTTTGGATTTGCCCCAATAGGGAACATCTGTAAGTTTTCAATGCCTCGATCTTCTGGTCGTTCTACCAAGGCCGCCAGCAACCCGTCGACGGCGACGTCAACAGCCACAAGTACGACCCGATCTGCAACGACCAGTAGAAAGCGAGATCATTCTCCAGCGCCCAACAGCTCTCCTGAACCTCTTGATAACAGCAACAACACAAGGCCTCAGAATAAGAAGAAAAAGAAGCAGCAGCAACCAGCCGTTGACGTTGGCGGCGGAGGTGAAGAGGACGACGAGGACGAGGACGATGGGACGCCTGGCCAGGTCTCGTTAGATGTTTTTCCCTCTGAAATTACTACGTCACCCCCTTTGCCGGTGCAACGAGGAGTTCCTGCTTTCTTGAACAAACTGTACAGGTAAGATTCAACGATTTGATGAGTTTATCTTACTCGTATGATTTGCGTGTGTCGTCGCATAGAGTCGACTGGAAGGGGGTAGAGTATCTTTAGAACAGACTGGAAGAGGAAGAGAAGAAGAAGGGAGGAGAAGAATGCATATCCTCCAACAGTACTTTTTTATCTGTCATGTGTACTACTATAATTGCAGTATGGTCGACGATTCGGCGACAGATAGTCTAATTCGTTGGTCAGCGGACGGTGCATCCTTTATTGGTAACAATTAATGTTCTAGCTTGAGAGGTGGTGATGGTGGTGTGTTGTGGGGTATCAAATAAGGGAGGGAGGGAGGGAGAAAAGCGCGTGTGTGCTTGTGGTGTTATTGGTGCTGCCCGGGAGGAGAGAGAGGGAGTGAGCACGGGACAGCGGCAGTGCATCCGGGGGAATGTAGAGCTGTTATAAACTGGCAGTAAACTGTCACTACTAACGCGAGCTTAAATCATTAACAAACCACTGCACCCGTATTAGTTGAGCGACATGAACTTTTTGCCAAAACGATCTTGCCGCGCTTCTACAAGCACAATACATTTGCGTCGTTTGTCCGGCAACTCAACATGTATGACTTCCACAAGATCCCAGCTGTCCAGCAAGGCGTGCTTTTCCCAGATACAGAGCGTGAAATTTGGGAGTTCAGTCATGCCAACTTCCGACGCGGGCGACAAGATCTTCTGATGCTCGTTACTCGAAAACGCAAAGACAAGGGTGACGGCGATCCTGACAGCATGACTTTAACGTCCGTGGTGAAGCAGATCTCGTCCATCCGAAGCCATCAGTTGACCATCAGTCAGGATTTGCGTACCTTGCAGCAAGACAACTCGATCCTCTGGCAAGAATCGCTTGCGGCTCGAGAGAAGCATCAGCGTCACCAGGATGTCATTGAAAAGATTTTGCAGTTTTTGACGGCCGTGTTTTCTAGCGAGTACAACTTGCTTGCCGCCAGCACAGCTCAATTGAACGGCCCTTTCATGTTGGGAAAGAACAACGAGTATATCAGTCTTCTCAACAAGGAACAACTAGAGTCGAGTGGTATGTGTCAATTTTTACTTTGTTTACATATGCAAGCATATGTGTTCTTGGCACCCTGAAATGAGAGATATGTGTATGCGTGTGTACGTATGTGAACAGAGGGCAAGGGACGAGGGGAGGTTGTGGAGAAGAGGTATAGGTATACGTACACACCAATATGCATACAAAAGAGGGGAAAGACCTGCTGTTGTTTTTCTGCTATCTTTTGATCAACTTTGCGAGAAGGAGAGGAAACCTCTTCAGAACCAGCGTTGATCAGCCGACGTTTTGTCGGATTCTCTATCTTTGTGCCCTCTATCATCATATGGCAAAATCTATACAGGACGCAAACTAGATTCTATATTGCCAACTGCTCTAATCAAAGAAGCCGCAAGTTTAGCTGGATTACCGAAGTTCCCGGACGCGCCAACCGGAAATCTTGGCCAAGAATATGACAGTATGGGTAGGTGCACGCCTAACACGGGAATTTTACGAATGACAGAAACTCTTGCCGCAATCTTAAGTCTATCATACTCAATCTCGTCCTGTAATACGAGCAAAGCAGGCTCAGGGGATCCTTCATCCGTCGCATCATCGTCCTCCTCGCAAGCGCCACCACCACAACAGCAGCATAAACAGATGCAAGCTAGTGTAAGCAGTCCTCAACAGCAACAACCGCAGTTGCAGCAACAACCAAACCATCATCGTCATCCTTCTCCTCCTGCTTACCCTGACTTTCACCAATACCAGGAACACGATTTTCTGTCGCAGGATTCTCATCGCGATATCGAAACATTCAAGCAGACGGTGGACACTGCAACGCGTTCAGCCGAAGCCATTTCGAACGATATTGATGATTTGCAGTTTGATATTGAGTCGCTTGCCGCTACGATTGGACTGGACGCAACGCAATTCAACGACACTGAATTTACAAGTTTTGAGGATCAGGATATGTTTTCAGGTGGAAACAATGGAATGATTGCGAGTGCTACGCGCAACGAGAAGATTCAGCTCTACCAATTAGCAGGCGGATCGCATATTCTCAATAAGTACGACACGTCGCAATCATCAAAGGGTAAGGCAGTTGTTACTCCAATAAGTGTCGCGGCCGGCACAGCAGCAGCATTGAATCTTTCTGCGTCACCTTTTATCGGTGGTAGCCAGCCGGTTGCTACTCCTGGAACAGCTGCGTCAGTGCCAACGCCTCAAGCAGCGTCACCACCACCACTACCAACAGCAGCAGCACAGTCACCCATGTCAGATGTATCAGGAACAGCGGGTGCTCCAGGTGGACAACAAGGATTAGGGGGAGCAATGCCGTCACCACATCATCCTCATCATCAGTCGTCGCAGGAACGACCGCAAGTACCTCCACAGTTACTTAATCTTGGTGTAAGTCCGCTGTTATCCACCTTGTTCCATGCACTTAGTGCGCGTTCAAGCGGTAATAATGCTGATCTGTCCGCATTCGACCCTCGTCGCCATGCTGGTGCTCCACAGCAGAACCCTGCTGCGAATGCCACCGCCAGAGCTACCGCCGCTCCCACTGCTGCTCCTGCTACACCCAATAGTAGTAGCAGTAGTAGTGGTGGTGGTGGTGATGGATTGGGTGAAAATTTTCTTGGAGCTCATAACACCAGTGGCGCAAATGTTGCAGGTATCCCAGGAATGTTTCCTCCAAAAGTCATGACCCCGCAGGCGTTCCAACAGATGTATCCGAACGTGCCGTTACCGCCAGGTGCTTCTGCGGCTGGTCATCAGTTTGTACCAGTACCTGTTCCAGTCCCCGTGGCCGTCCCAATCCATGTTCCTACGTCCTCGGCATCAAGTACTCCGCAACAACAGACGCAGATCCATCAGCAGTTTTCGTCTCCGTTGACTGCCTCAACCAACCCAATGATGAACCCTTATCTCGCGAACCTTTACAATGCTCATCTACAACACTCGTCACCTGCCGCGATGTCGCCATCGTCGTCGTCGTCGTCATCGGCTGCAGCACTTTCGCCACAACAACAACAACAACCAATACCGTCTTTCCCTGTTTCCGCTGAAGCAGCAACAGCACCAGGCGTACTGCAGCAAGATGATGGAAGAGCTACTACAAGCACCACCAACAATAACAATAGCAATGTAAATCATCCAAATGGTTCTTAAGAGATCTCGTATGGAGCTTGATACTGCTTGTGTACATATAGCATCATTATTTCCTTCTTTTTCTTTTACCTCTCTCTTCTCTCTCTCTCCCCCTTCCCTTTTCTATTCTTTTCTCTATTGTGTCCATCGACGGAACAATACTCTTCTGTTTTTTTTCCCTATATGCAACTCTTTTTTCTCGCACAACATCCCTTTACTCCCCTGCAGGACACGATAAGATCTGTCTAAATGTTGTCTAAAAGAAACCTCTTGTGGGATCATCAATCAATCAAAATTTTCAAATTGCTGTGCCTCAATAGGCTGTTGTTGCTATGCAATTGAAACGGTATACATACAGTGCTTTTGCGTCACTTAAAGCCACTCATCAATTGGCGACCACTGAGGTGATTTTACACAGTAATTGTAGGAATTGTACCTCTGGCGTCGGTGGCTAACTATGGTACGCTACGTTGAACACCAAAAATTGCTCAGAATGTATTACAACTGCCTAAAGAGTATTATTAAAAAGTACCCTACATGTTAGAAAGATTAGAGCGAGGACCATATTACCGCTCAGGTCAACAGTACTCTACGCCTGAAGGAAATCTTTTCCCCCAAAAAAAAAGAAAGACGAAGTAAGTACATAGCACCGTCAATTAAGAGAACCCAAGTCTTTTGAATTGATCGTATTAACCTTTGGTGTGTTGGAAAGGTGTAATATATAGAATAGACTATTGTGTGGAGGGAAGAGGAGGAAGCATGAGGAAGAGAAAGAGAATGGGGTATATCATGAATGATGTTTTATCTGCTACCACTTAATTCTACTAAATATTGTCGGTGGTGTGTTTGCATCAGGTTCATATTCTCGTGCCTTAGCCTTGATGCCTTCAATAATTTCTTTGAGCGCCGCCTTATCCAGATCATCACGCTTGCTCAAGATATCCTCCACAAATGCCAACGGTACATCCGGGTATGCTTGGCGGAGGGAATAGTAGTCGACAAAAATCATGCGGCGGTTGCTTTCCAACAGAGTGTGCACCTTGTCGATCACATCAAACCGTTCCTCCAACTCTTCCATGGACTTGTACTTTGCAAAGAAATTGAATGACAGTCGTACGTCCTTTTGGATCTTATCCAGGCACACTTCCATTTGGAACTTGGCGCCTTTGCGCCGCATTGCCTCCAAATACAGCATGATAAACCGCTCCAGAGTATCGTTCATTAATTTTCCAAACAAAAACTCGTTCAAATGGGCAGCAAAATCTTGGCAATAATCCTTGAGGGTCTCAATCACTGATGGAATTAGAGGTTGTTCGTACCATCGTGGGGTAAACAATTCGTGGAACACCGGCTTGACGTCGTTAAATGTGACTTCCAAGAGTGCTTCACGACCGCTGGCAGCAATCTGCATGTATCCATCCACGGCAGTTGTCAACTTGTCTTGAACCTGCGCCTTGTATTTACCCTCCACCAAAGGAATGATTCGATTCAAGATCTCTTCGGCAAAGTCGGCACACTTGATCTGGTCGTTGGACATGGCCATGACGTACTCGACAAAACCTTCAGGTGCCTGCTCAGGCTCCTCCAACTGTTTCCGTGTCTCAGAAGCCAACAGCCTCTTCCAAAAACTCTGCGAGTCTTTCATGACCTTGTGGCATTCATTGACAACCAAATATAACAGCTTGCCCTGGTTGGCGTCGGCAGCGACATCGATCTGTTGATTGATGATCTGGAACATATCCACGGCACCCGTCATACCATACTGACCATCGCTTGTCATATCTGGTGGCTGGTTACGTTGGACAAAGTCTCTGGACTCGGCCGACATGAGGTTGGATGTCCACTCGACCAATCTGCTTCGGACTAGACTGAGGTATTCGTCGACCAGCGACTGTTCCTGACCATCCAAAAGCTGTGGCTCCAATAATTCCTCCGTGACACCCAGGCGTGTGCTCATGGTCGAATAATAATCTCGGACAAACCGCAATAGACGCAAAATGGTACCTGCATCCAAATTTTGGTTCACCATATGGTTCAGAAAGTCGTAAGTGTGGCGATGATATTCGAGAACAAAGTAGGGGAAGATCTTGTATTTTTTGGGGAACTTCGGTACAATTTCATCAAACACCAGCTCGAGGTCGTTAAAGATGAAGTCCGTGGCGTCCAATGCTCCCATCCAATCTTCGGCTTCCTTGAACGGCGCCAATTGTTCCTCGAATCGCTCCAATAATGATTGATGCAGCTGTTCGAAAAACTCGACGCGATACGATTTGATGGTGCGTGGATTGCCTTCGGCTAATCGCCAGCCCTTTTGTCCCTGTAAGTCCTGGTGGCTCGTCTGTGCTTGTCGTGCCGCCAATGCCTTCTCGTCAGCCTTCTCTTCCAATTCAATGATTTTGGCGAGTTTGACGATGGTTGTTCCACAATCACGGTCGACAAGAATCAGCAAGTTTCGAGATAACTCCCAGAGATACTGTGTAAAGTCGTCAGACAAGACATCGAGTCGTCGAAAGTATGTTTTCAGTGTGATAATCACGTCGTGTGGCGAGTCGCGGGCTTGGTGCATGGTTTGATCTCGGAATTCCTCAAGCTTGAAGAGGTGATAATGAACGTGGAGAAGCGGCGAGTCGTACATGAAGATATCCTCCTGCATTGGCGCAAACATTTGCTCGAGATCGCTCAATCGTTGATAGAGTTCTTGAAGCGATTGTACTTTTTGTTGCGTCGCTACAAAGTTTTGATGGATACGTGATACCTACACATGATTATTTACTTTGAAAGTTAGTTTCTTTTTGTGTAAACGGTTATTCAACCAAACACCAAGGCAGCATATGATAATTACTGCTACTACTACTACTAGTACTACGATTACAAACTGCGAGCGCAGTACCTTTTTAATACGAGGAAACTCTTTAATCATGGACTGGGCATCATAACACAACCGATCAATTAGCTGCATGTTTCCTTTGATTTTGTCGCTGTTCTCTCTTGATGATGACAGTGTCTCCAATCCACCTTGGACATTGTCGAGTTGCGTTTGAACACCTGTGCTGAGTTGTGCATCTATTGACGCCTTTTCCTTGGCTAATTTTCGTGCCAAGGGACCGACCTTGGTGTTCAGGTCATCTGGATGCTTGAGTAGTTCTGCTAATTTTGCAACGGCAGCTTCTCTCGCATCCTCCATCACGAGGTATAAAGTGTGTGTTATGAAAGAAAGCTAAAACCCTTCCTTTTCTTTTTTCTTACTCGAGTTGTACAAAGCGTTGTTTGCATTCCAAATTAAAGTCCGGTAAGTGCACGTTTTTGTTGCGGTTTGCTGCTGTTGACAGGTTCTTTGTTTTATACTTTCAAGTAGCACACCACAATAGCGGTAATACGTATAATTACCTGGTGTACTTTATTCGATCCTCACAACCAAAAAGCGTTTAGGCTAGTTGATTGAACGATCTCGGATTATTTTCGTAAAGAAAACTCACCAAAGCTGTGATGGTTTAGGTGCTGTACCCGTAATAATCCTGAAGACTGCCATACAGGCGTTTATAATTATAATATGTGCTTGCTGTTTTGAATGGTTTAAAAAAGATGGTGTTGTATATGTGATGGTGTATGTTATTTGGTTAAGTGTCGTAGTATGTGCGAGAGTGATATAATGAACTAAGTGCGAGAAAGGAGAAGCTTGTATATACACACACGTTGTTCTTGTTGCTGTTTCTAATAAGTAATGCTAAGTAGCCTTTACTTTCTAGGAGTGATAGCTCGTAATGGTGATAGTAGTCATCAACCATCCCTCCTCTAAATCTTTTGGGTAAAAAGCTCGCTAACCAAATCCGATTTGCGTCGACTCATCATATCCTTTTCTGACGTGACGATTTCTGCCAAATGGGTAGCAATGCTACGAGCCGTTGTGGGTGAAGGCGTGTCCTCTCTGGGTGACCCAATACCACCAGTAATAGTGCCTCCCCCATTATTGTCGACAGAGATTGTGCTACTCGACTCAGCATCAGAAACGACACTTTCCAAAGAAGAATCTTCAGTGGTAGGCGAAGCCATTTCGAGCACCCAGTCACCAATCGTTTTCGTTGCTCGATGAGCTTCGGGCAAGAAAGCCATCATTTGTAAGAAGGCGTGGCTCATGCCCTCCAAAAATTGGACTTGGATGGTGCTATCGTCTAACAGGGGATCATAGGGCAAATCATGCTCTTCACGGCGACGGCATTCTTGATGCTTGGCTTTACGGATGCGGCCGCCAAAAATGACGGTGTCGTCGACGAACGGATCCTTTTCGCCGCAGAGCATGTATGTTTTAGGAAATTGTGCGAGTAAGTCTAACGGTGCAACGACAGGCGACAAAAGATAATCGGACTCAAAGTCTGGAGTAGCGTGTGGACCCAGGTAGACTAAAAGTCGTGAATTAGATAAGCTAAAGAACCGGAGAATGGTTGAAACCGAGTGTGACTTATTGCTATGTACTTACGGATAGCCATGGCGCGCATCTATGCGGTAATGCATCATCATAATAAGCAATGCATTAGTAATTAAATATAGAAAAGCGCTACTTTACATAAAAGAACACATATTTGAACCATTGGGCAAAAAGTAATAGCTTACCATGTCAGCAGTGATTATACGATCATTGAAATAACACATACGACTTGTCATAGCAATACTCGCGGATCCCCATGCATGCTTGACTTGCGTCATGTCTTGGATATGCTCCACAATGGAAGGCTCTACATTTGTAGACCCTACAAAATCCTCCTTGATCGGTGCTTGGTGCTGTTGCTTGGTGCTCTTTTGCATGGGTGTCATACCCAAGGCACGTTTCCACAAGCTAACCTTTTCAACATCGGGTACCATACTTAATGGGCTTGCATGACTCAAGTGATCTTTGGTATCCAATAAGCTTTGCAAAGACTTGGAACGGATCATTGAGGTGGTCGAGTGTGACCGAAGCAACGATAATTGAGCAGGTGTCATCCAACAGGTCATCTCAAAGTCCAATGCAGGGTAAATCAAGACGAGACCATCAGGCACTTGAATAGCTGACTGAGGCACTTCGTCTACTTTGAGCGCCGAACGGGTCTTGATGTCTTGATTGTGTGACAAAATCTTGAGCGTCACTGCCGCTGCCAAGTTGCCACCGCTATAATACAGCAACAGTGTGATTTTTTAGGTCGTGTTTTTATTCACACATGGGCAATCTGTTTCCGTTCGAAAGAAGAAAATGAAAACTCACGCTGAATCACCAACAATAATGACTTTGATATCATGTCGTCCAGACAAGCCAATGATGCGACCACGACTTTGGCTCAGCTTGGTATAAAAGTCAAAGCATTCTTCGACTGGCCAAGGGTAGGTATACTCGGGTGCCTTTCTATAGTTGACGCTGACAACGGGGAACTGGGTCTGCTTGGCCCAAGCGGAGAGTGCATCTTCATGACATGAGGGTGGCATGGATACAAATCCACCACCTGGAAACTGCAACAAGATCGTTGTTTGATCTTCAAGCGTGTCCACATCACCAGCATACATCAATAGGATTTCGGTCGCTGGTTTGTTTTTGTTGTTACCAGATCGTTCGATACGCATGGTTTTATGGATCGTCACTCGTGGTCGTTGAATGCGGGAAAAGAATCTTAAAATAGGATTGTTTGCCACTTTTTCCCAGGAAGTACGCATATGGTCGATTGAAATGGTCGCTCGCACACGTCGCACGCGTTCTTCTGCTGCATCTGCGAAAATCAGATAGTAGAACGAAAAGAAGACAGAGCAAAAATGGCGAAGCCAGATAGGGCGTAATGGCATGGCAGTAAAAAAGCCAGCATCGAGGGCTGTCAAGATCCATGTGGCTCGGTAGAAACTACGTTTGTACTACAAGGACGAATGTTCTCAGAACAACGTTAGCTTCATGACGTAGCATAACGTATGCTTAAATTCAAAGACTAAACATGATGATGATGATAATTACCAGACGGGTCAAAGGTTCAGGTGCTGTGATTGATCACCAGCAACCAAGGTAGTATGAGCACAATATATAGACATAAATTAGTAGTTAATAAAGGGGTGTCGTCGAGAACCGAGTCGCTCCTTCAAAAAGTAATGTACACACATACACTGCGTATACGTACCATTTAAGCCGAACAGTAGGAAGAGATTTTGGAGCAAGTAATATGACATCCAGGAACCTAGTGCAATCTTCCATGGCGACCTGCCAGCTTAATTTTGTAGGTAAAGAAAATGACGCGAGAGTAAGCAAGCGATATTCGATATGAAAAACAGTACAAGCAAAGCACAAAAATACCAGTGAGACGGTTTATTTTCTGTAGTGTCCGTGGCAAATGTTGTGTTTTGCCTTTCATCAATGCCCACAACCTAATTTTTTTTTCGTTACTGAATTAGCACAGACTACTTTTACAATTATGTTCTTAGGGCATTATCGTAGTTTTGGATACATGTAAGGTGATGGAAAGATGTACCCAAAGATTAACGTCAGTAATACTTGTGTCCGCTTCCAGTTAGCTGACGGCTTTCCGACCAAGTGATCAAGCATCTCGTATTATTCTAATTATATGAGGTAAAGTTGGAAGAAAAGCGATTCTAGAGAGAGAAGAGATGGTGCTGATGCTGAAAAGAAGTAAAAAAAAAAGAAAAGAAGTAGGTGCATTCAATTCGTTCTCGGAGTGTGGAGGGCATATGTCTACTTCTTATTTTTTCACATGTCAATGATGGCTACAGGTCACACGATCGTTCACCGGTACATCTTGTATGCACGAATGCGGGGAAAGGGCTGGGATTTTCTAGCAGTATGTACAATACATAAGCGCCCTCTCGTCTTCTTCCTCCGCTGTGATTTTCAAATGGTTATCTTGTAACGGTACATTCCACGATCTATAATGATCACTATCCAACCATCTGTCGGCGTGCCATGCCGTGCTAACGCCGCACAGGTATCATCACGATTCATCATGATACAAACTCGGAGAAGAAGACGACATTGCTACTGATTAATATCATTGTTTTTTTGAATATAATAAACTACTGATGATCGATGAAGACAATGAACAGCGTAAATTCCGGCTTTTAGTACATATAGAATTCTATAAATATGTCATAAGTTGCGTATGTGGTGTGCTTGTATACAGGTGATTTAAACAGTCATTGACAATGTCATTCTTCCTTTTCTTACTATTCTCCTCTTTTTCCGTTTAAAGTAAAATATCCCTCAACTCGCGATATGGCCCCAATTAGCCACTTTTTAAGAGGTATCTATACCCAAAAATAATTAATGTAACTTAGACTATTATTACTGCGATAAAGTTCTAGTTCTACCCGAAATGTAATACTCGTATACTCCTGTTTTTAAGTTAGTAGAGCACGCACGCACACATCTCTAGGACGCCCCCGTTATTGTATCATCTTTCCATTTTTTTTGTTAGCCAAAGATGACTTTTTGAGCAATGGTATATTTGCGCCAATTTAAAAAAGTGACTATAGCAAGAGCATGAGGTAGTAATATGTTATGCTGTCAAAAAATGTTAGCTTTGCTATTGCTAACTTTCGTTCTCTTAAACAATGCATATGTAGCACCAACATGAAAGAAGAGGTCTTCCTCTTTCTCTGAAATAACTTGCAACTTAAGCTTCTATATCTGTATATCATATAACCAGCTGAAGGGAGAGAAAAGAGAGAGGAAGGGGTGCTCTTTCTAGTTCAACCCAATAAAAACTAGAAATTAAGTTGTTTGTTTTTCTTTCATGAGCGATATCCAAATAAGTAGTCACTAGCCTTCTCTCTTTCATACTGTCTAGAAGAGAAGAATAGAAGATAGAAGGGCTAGAAAAGGAACAAGGAAAGAATGGATCGACATGAAGAAATCAAGGAACTCTCTCTGTGTGTTCAAACATAGTGTACAGTGCAGAGATAAGGAGCCTAAAACTCGACAAAACAGTCCTATACATACGCCGACAAATTTACATCTCCTGAAAGAATTCAGTCGACCTGACCTTCCCCGTCTCGTTGTAAAGCAAAAAGTAGAGCGACGCTTCTGTAGTATCATAAAGCAGTTCGCTACATTGTAGAGGATAAAAGAGGTCTGCCTGATTACTCTACAATAACATGACATCATTCTCAGCTCTTTGGTCGGGGTGCCGGGGAAAGGAACATCGAGAGAGACGCTGCTACCCGATAGGGACAAGCCGATAAACGCGAATTGTAGGTGAAGTATATGTGCTTATGGTAACTGTTGAGTTTCCTTGACTTTTAAGTGCATAACACAAACACTCTTCCCAGTACATCGGGAGTTGTATTACATGCCCTCGTTGCCTACATGTTGAGCATACGTATATACTGTGGTAGAGAGAAAGAGAAAAGGGTATGCCATGCTCTAGTAGGAACACAAGGGAGGGCTGAACCGGGCTGGTGGGGGGCTGTGTGCTGGTTCCTCTGCAACAGGACGATCACAACACTCACACACTTGCACCAGGCGAGAGGGTTTCACGTGACAGGCTTTAGGTCGACTTGAGTGACTTGTTTCTTTTTTATCCATTTCCACTCAAATTCAGCGGGGGCTGTCTTTTTTTCCAGCGGAAAGTCTCTTTTTGTCCACTGATGTGTTAGAGTTGGGGAGAAACAAAAAAAACCAGCAACATTGAATGAGTGAGTATTATAAAAATCTGTAGTGTAGCGTGTGTGTAAGAAGTGTGTGTGTGTGTGTGTCTCTGCACATATACACACACAGCCCACATAGTGCACTGTACTCCCCTGTGTGGTTCCGTTAGTAATGTCTCTTTAATATACACAACAATCAATAATAACTCTCTCTTCTTTCTTTTTATTCTTTGCTACCACTGCTCTGTGGTTATAGATAATTTCCACGACAACCTCCCCTTTGGTCTGTCCTACGCGGACTTGTCGCAGGCACAGACATCGCTCGATGACCTCCATAATTCTTCGTTACAAAATCAAGCTCTACAAAATCACCTGCAGGATGCCACCACAGCAGCAGCAGCAGCAGCCGCAACCGTGTACCCGAGCTTGCCAACCACCTTTGCTTCATTTCCCTTGCTCCAAGCAATGCCTCCATTGCATCAGCCAACAACAGCAGCAGGAACAGCACTAACAACGACAGTACCACTGCCAATATCAACAGCAGCAGCAGCGCCAGGAACAGGAGTCGTAACGCCAGGAGCGACATCGAGCCCCAAGGATGTTCTCAATGTGGGAGCAACAGCCTGCGGCGTCGGCGTCGGCGTGAAAAAGGACAAAGGCCTTGGTTCGTCTCCTTTGTCTCCTCGAGACCTACACAGTTACCACCATCACCACCACCAGCAACATACTGGATCACTAGGAGGTGGTATTGGAATTGGTGGAGGAGTAGGAGCAGCAGCCTTGTCACCAACGGCAATACAGACGCAAGCACAACAAGCAGCGGCAGCGGTAGCTGATGCACCTATCCGTGTTACTCGACCACCCAACGCCTTCCTACTCTTCAATAAAGAGATGCGTAAGCAACTCAAAGACTCGAATCCGACAATGAAAGTGGCAGAAATTAGCAAAGAAATTGGTGAACGGTGGAAGAATCTCAGCTTGGACGAGAAAAACCGCTATGTCGGTCAAGCCAACAGCATCAAGGAAACGCAACGGGCTTTGCATCCTAATTCAATGTACATTCGGCGAAGCAAGGCTGAGCTTGCTAAGGCAGGACACTATGCCAAGATCAAACGGAAAGCTGCGGCGGCGGCGGCGGCCGCAGCCGCGGTGGCCACTGCCACTTCGACTGCTACAACGATTGCTCAACATAATAACCATCATCATCATCATCATCCTCAAAACAGTCATCATCCATCATCCATGTCTGACGAAGCAACAGCGGCTGCAGCGGCTGCGGCAGCTTTACTTGTAGTCGAAGGGGGCAGTCATAACGGCGATCATCATAATAATCAACAACATCATCAACTACACTCGCATTATTCATCAGCATCATCAACGTCACCCGATACCCTTATTACCCATAACAGCAACAGCAATAACAACAGCAACAGCAATAACAACAGCAACAGCAACAAACAGCGGAAACGCCATAGGCGTGACAAGAACCCTGCTGCCCCTAAACACCCCTTGTCGGCGTACATGTGGTATTTGACCGAGGTGCGCCCGGAAACTATGCAAACTTACCCAGGGTCAACTGTGGGGCAGATCAGTAAACTGTGTGCTGAACGGTGGAATACCATGACTGAGACAGAACGGCTGCCTTGGCATACCAAAGCTCAGGCTGACAAGGCTCGCTATGCTCGCGAAATGCAGATCTATGCATCCCAGCATGATCATCCTATGGGCCGAGGAACTCGGCAAAAGTACCGGGCTGCAGCTGCCGCTGCCGCTGCTGCTGCCGCCTCCGCCGCCGCCGCTTCTGTCTCAACAGGTACTATTGCTGCAGGCGCAACAACAACGAATGCAAATGGAATGACACCATCGCCATCCGCCTGTACGTCTTCTACAGCGAGCACGACACCTCAACTGTCGCCTGATAATTCACTTGTGGATACGGAGCAGGATCAGCAGCAGCAGCAGCAGCAATCGTCGAATAGTACATCATCGTTTATGTCTCCTCATCATCATCATCATCATCATCAACACTACAGATCGGATCACACCCATCATCACAATAACTACAACGCGAACAACATCATCCATCACCAGCAAGAACTTAATCATCACCATCGTCATCACCAACAACAACAGCATCATCACTTATCCCCACATCTATCCCCACCACCGCAGCATTCACAGTCGCACCTTCTACACACATCCGGTGCTCAAGATACCACCATGACAGCTAGTGCTGCTGACGTTGCTGCGATGTTTACGACGCCACGCATGGCTCATCAATGAAGATAGTAATAACAATCATACTGATAATAGCACTACTACTAATGCTACTACTGCTACTACTACTACTACTACTACCGTTACTGCGACTGCTACTGCAACACAAAGGTCATCTCTGTTCAAAGTTCTAGTAGCTATTTGTTCCCTGTCATTTGGCTATTCTTCTCTCTTTTCTTTTCCCCCTTAATGCCTTTCTTTTTTCCCCACATAACCCAACTTTAATCTGTTGGCATATATCCTTTTTCTTTTCACGAAACGACGAAAAATAGTTCAACTGTATATCTGCTGGCCTTCTCTTTTTCTTTTCATATATACAAAACCCAACAAAATGAAAAACTATTGCATCCCTTAAGAGCTTGAACATGAAGACTGGATGATACATGTATTCTAGTGCTGCATTTGGCAGTGAAAACTCGAACGTGTGTACACTGTACCCCCTTACTTTCTAAATAAGGATTTTTGCTGTTTTTGATTTATTTTTCTCTTGCAACAGCAAGAAACAATAGCACACCCTGTCTTCCCCTCTATATGCCCTGGAACGATCTGCCTTTTATCATCTTTCCATGTACCCAACATACGGTAGCAACAGCAGCGCAAGCGCAGTTAACGCTTTTGCACGGTATCCGGCTTTATCGCTAAGTTCTAGTGCTGTGCCTTCCAAGCCGACCTCTTTGTCCAGTTTGCATCAGTCCTCCTCGTCTGGTGGCCCTGCAACGTCATCTCCTTTCGCGTCTAATGTCAACGGTAGCAGCAGTAATGGTTTCCTCTCCTCTGCTCTCAATACAACTTCTACAGCCACCACCATGGCTACAACTACAGCTATTGGAGGAAATGGCGTCGGTCCACACTTTGATCGCCAGTACAGTTATGCTCAACGGTCCCGTCAGTCGTCGTCGCCACATCATCATGCTCGGACGGCTGCGCTCATGGCGCGTACTGCACCTAGCTGTAACCCTATTACCTTGACTCATCCTGCGCAACGACTCCTGCAAAATGACTTGAGTGCGAATCAACCCGGTGCTACTTCTAGCGGCAAAGCAGCAGCGGCAGAAGCGATACGACAACAACGACAGCAGCAACAAGAACAAGGAGAAGAATATACTTGGTCGACATTGGATATGGGCGGCATGGGATTAAACAACTTGTCACCCGTTCTAACCGCCGACTATTTATTTTTGACGGTGCTTTACATCAACCACAACAACCTGACGAGACTACCAACAAGTTTATCCAAGCTGACGCAGCTGACCATCTTGGATGTCTCGTCGAACCAATTGACACAAATACCCGCTGAACTGGGCCTTTTAGTGCGGCTTAAGGAGTTGTTGTTGTTTGATAATCAGCTGGCAAATTTGCCGACCGAACTGGGCACTCTGTATCAGCTGGAAACCCTCGGTTTGGAAGGGAATCCAATCAGTTCGGATCTGTCGCAATTGTTGCTGGAGGAAGGCTCGGCTGCGGTGATTGCAAACTTGCGTGAAAATGCTGAAGGTAAACATACTTGTGGTGGGATTGTGATGATTGCTGGTCTGAGAACATGAAAGAGATATAAGTTTTCTCAGCGTAATCATTCGTTATCTTCTTGCCATGTAGTGGGCATGCCTCCACCACAACGGGAAATGATTCGTGTATTGGATGATGATGAAGTAGACGACGATAAAAAGGATGATCCGGCGGAGAAGCTCTCCGTCTTGTGTTACAATGTGCTTTGTCAAAAGTACGCAACAACGCAAGCGTATGGATATACTCCGTCGTGGGCATTGGGATGGGATTATCGCAAAGAACTTCTCATGACTGAGATCTTGCGCTGGAATAGCGATGTCGTATGCCTTCAGGTAAATGGAATAAGAAAACAAGTGTGTGGCTAGTTTTGTGTTGATGTGTCCAAGGCACGAACGAGAAGTAGGGTGTTTTTACTAATGTTGGAGTCCTGCATATTGCTTAGGAAATTGAAATGTCTCAATTCGAAGACTTTTTTCGAGACCGATTCCAGGAAGCCGGTGGTTATGAGAGTATATTCTTTCCAAAGTCGCGTGCAAAGACCATGACGGATGAAGAGCGTCGTTCAGTGGATGGTTGCGCTATCTTCTACAAGGCATCCAGGTTCTGATTTTGTTATCACTCTTTTTTACAAATTTGTATACGCGACGGGAAAGGATGTGAGAGAGGGAAGGAGAGAGTTGAGGATGATTATTAGGCGAAACACTCAGCTGACCTACTATTTCATACAGATTTAAACTGGTCGCGCATCATCTACTCGAGTACAGCCAAAAAGTTCTGCAGCGCGCCGATCTGAAAGAAAGTGGAGACACATTCAACCGGGTCATGATCAAAGACAATGTGGCCGTGATGATTATGCTTCAAGACAAAAAGACAGGCTTGCGTGTGCTCGTTGCAAACTCCCATATCCATTGGGATCCCCAATTTGCCGATGTGAAGCTTGTCCAAGTCGGTATCCTTCTGGAAGAAATTGAACGGTTTACAGAAAAGCATACCCACGAGGAAGGAGGATCACCAGCAACAAAATCGTCTGTGTCGATTCCTACAGTGATATGCGGTGACTTTAATTCAACGCCAGATTCAGGCGTATACGAGCTATTGGCCAAAGGATCGGTCAAACAAAACCATAGCGACTTTGGCAGTCATGTCTATGGGAAGTATACCACCGAGGGCTTGAAACATCATTTGTCGTCGCCATTGAAAAGCGCCTATGCAAGCATTGGCGAATTATCTTTCACCAATTATACCCCAAGGTTCAGAGGCGTGTTGGATTACATCTGGTACACGACAGACACGCTGGATACCGTCTCTGTCTTGGGCCCTATTGATCAGGATTATCTGGACAAGGTCGTCGGGTTCCCTAATCCTCATTTTCCATCCGAGTAAGTACCCAATTTACATGCAATAACACAGCATAGTAGTAGGGTTGGGTGTTTTTGCATCACGTGATTTGAGATCATACAGGGGAATTCTGAGTTCTGACAAACTTATATTGTTACTCTCTGGGCTCTGTGTGTGTTTGTGTGTTTGCGTGCGTATGCTTGTACATATTGTGTTATGTGCATACGAATTGGATAGTCATATTGCTATAGCGGCCCAACTCAGATTCAAGAAAAAGAACACCGAGAAGTCTGCTGTCCGCAAGAGTAACCATTCTACTACTACTACCACCACTACCCAGCACCATCATTCGCATACCAACAACAGGCATTTATCACCCTTTTCATGATAATAAAATAACAGAAACTGTAATATAAATGAATAGTCTATATAGTATAACAGTAACTTTGTATTATACTTGCTTGTGTGGTGTTTTTTGTACATATAGAGGTGTTGTATACAAGGATTAAGAGGAACGGGATTAAAGATGAATCATATACAAGGCTTTATTTACCAGTGATACTGTTGACAAGGCCTTTCCATGCGCCTTCTGTCTTATCCTTGATGCCTTTGACAAAGCTTTCGACGTTAGCTGTCATTTCGTCGACTTGACCTTGACCGCGTTCAGCCTTGCCTTCGGCCTGCATCTTGTCGTTGTTGGTAGCAGCGCCGACAGTTTCTTTAACATCGCCAGTGGCTTGATCAATTTTAGCAGAAGCCTTGTTTGCGTTTTGTGAATCCATTTCGTATATCGCTAGTTTGTTTGTTAACTTTGAAAAAAAGTAAACTGAGGTTTGTTTGTATTTATAAAGAAAGCCGCAGCTGTCGATCAGTGGGAAAAAAATGACGATAAACCCACGTCATATTGTAAAACCGTTGCATAATACAATTGATCGCCCCGGCTCTACTTCGTGTTGGAGACAACACCACTTTGATAGATTGGACATGTTTCACGTGTTATCCGACATCTTGGGTCATTTTGTCGTTCATTTGGTTCCCGCTGCTGCTTCGACAAGTAAGCATTTATTTAAGATGATTCAATACCGTATAGTACTAGTATTTTCAATAGATAAATTGCCCCTCCTTCTTCTTTTGCAACGCGCAAAGCAGTTATTTTGTCGAGCATTGTTAATGTCAAACGTCTTTGTCCATGAAACGCGTAAACTAAGACGCACTCTGCTTCTATACTATTCGTAATAGCAATAAGTGGTCGCTTTCAGTCAGCTACCCCAAGTGATTCCTGATGCCGATGTGATATAAAAAAAGATATGTGCTACGATATCATTTGCATAGACAATAGTTCCAAAAGCATGGTGAATAAGTAAGATCTACTATGATGGTAAATGGGAAAATCTCATCTTTTACACAAAACATCGTCCTGCATAAGAGGATCACTTAAAGTTAGACCTCTACTACAAGGTCAGATGACCTTCATGTCCTCCTCTTCTTTAGGATCAAACACAGCATGCTATAATATCCTGGCACATTCAAATAAGACCTGTTTTTTATCAACTAAATGTGTATCGCACTTCGTCATCTACATATTGAGCCATTAGAAGCATGCTTAGTGTCTTATTTATCTGGGATGAGAAGAGAGAAGTAGAAAGACGGAAAAGAATACTCGGCTATTTAGGAGGACGGAAGAATAAGGGGTTTAACCAAAGTAAAGAAGAGAAATTCGTCTTGAGAAGATGAATAACTTGTGTTATTCAGCCGTCTATAATAATATATATTGCGAGTCAGATTCGCAAATTGTTCATTGCTATGGAAGTACGTAGACTTCTTTATGCAAAGTATGCTAAATTTACTGCTCGCATGTCAGCCCAGGGAGCAATTTCGACGAACGATACCGACCGAGTCAGTCGGGTTCGTTAACGTCTGAAGGTTTGCACTTTGTGGTCTTAGCGAGAACTATCAACCTTTTTTAATACTCACTCTATCCCAATCTTGCTGCACGGAAAAGTGATACTTCCTTAGATCTAGTGCAGTCTGGGCTGGGAGACATCACTTTGAAGTTCATAGTACTTGTCCTGTTATCGACTACTTCATGTAGAGGGACAGGCATTCAGTTTAAAACACCAACATGCAGTGAAAATGTAGCATATGCAATCGCTTCGAAAACATTGCGAGCGCTAAACAATAAGGTGACAACGTATTTTAGTCGGCACAAGGGCTGGAACAATCTAGCACAATGCCTAAAATTTAGCAGTTACTTCCGCGAGAGCAAGTCATCCCTTTTGTGGCTGCATGACGAACGATGACATCTCTGCATGTTACAAGTGCCACAGCGCCTTGCGTGCGGAGTTGCGGTATACTCAGAGACTTCATTACAAATAGTACAAAGGGAGACCCAGGATGTGATGAAATAACATAGATAAGAAACCGGATAAGTTTATTTGTCTTAATCAACCAAGAGCGGCGAGTTCGGAAATATAGAATTGTACTCGCTTCATTTTTATCGCCTCCTTTAGGCAACGGTGGACGAGGACTGCTGCTTAACAGCTTTGGATTCAATAACCTTATCTAAACCAAGCTGGCCGTTGGTCCAGAGGGGTTGGACTTGAGCAGGCTGAGCCATGCCGACACCAGCGCGACCACCTTCAGCAGCCCAGTCGTTGACACGACGGAAACCATAGCGGTTCCAGATAGTCTCCAAGGAATGGACGAGGTGATCAATCATTTCAGAGTTGTGACCAGGCGTGGGGGTGATACGGAGACGTTCCTCACCGACAGGCACCGTAGGATAGTTGATGCTTTGGACGTAGATGCCGTGTTCCGACAAGAGCTCGTCAGAGGCCAGCTTGGCCGAAGCGGCATCACCCAAGAGGACAGGCACGATGTGCGAAGGGTTGGGGACGACGGGGATGCCCAATTCAGCTAAGCGGGACTTGACGACGCGCGTGTTGATCTGCTGCATCTGGCGTTCAGAGTTCGAGACCTTCAAGTATTTGACCGACTGCATGGCGCCAGAGACGACAGCAGGGGGAAGCGAAGTAGTAAAGATGAAGCCAGGGGCATAGGAGCGGATCATGTCGACGAGCGAGGCAGAGGCAGCAATGTAGCCACCGACGACACCGTAGGCCTTGCCGAGAGTGCCCGTGATGATGTCAATTTCATCGACAATGGAGCCATTGCCCATGGTAGGATGCGCAGCGTTCAGGTCATAATCAAGATGCTCGGCAACGCCTGCACCGCGCGGGCCGTACATGCCGACTGCATGCACTTCGTCCAAAAATGTGATGGCACCGTACTTTTTAGCCAAGGCGACAATGTCGTGGATGGGTCCAATAGAGCCGCACATTGAGTAGACAGACTCAAAGGCGATGATCTTGGGGGTGGCAGGGTCGACAGACTGCAGTAATTCTTCCAGATGGGCCATGTCGTTGTGGCGGAAAATCTTCTTTTGGGCACCAGAGTGGCGCATACCCTGAATCATCGAAGCATGGTTCAGTTGGTCTGAGAAAATGACGCAGCCAGGAAGCTTGCTGGCGAGTGTTGCGAGAGTGGCATCATTTGCCACGTAGCACGATGAGAACACGAGTGCGCCCTCCTTGTGGTGTAGATCCGCCAACTCGGATTCAAGTCGAAGGTGGAGATCGGCGTTGCCGGCAATGTTGCGCGTGCCACCGGCACCAGCACCGTAGCGATCCAACGTACGTCTGTGTAAGGAGAGGAGAGAGAGATAGATAATAATAAGTATTGACTTGTTTATCAGAGTGTTTTTTCCCACACACGTAATGATGATGATGATGGCGGTCGGTAAAGAAGAAGTAGTAGGTGTTGTACTTACTTCATCGTTTCGGTCAAGACAGGGCTTCTTCCCATGCCCAGATAATCGTTGGCACACCACACCGTCACTTCATCCTCAACACGAGCCGTGTGTGCGCGAGGGAACTTCTGCGCCAAGCGGTTGATGTTGTTGAAGTAGCGATAGCTCTTGTCCTTGTGCTTTTTGCTGAGTTCGTGTTCGTAGTATCCTTCGTAGTCAAAGTGCTTGGACTTTGAGTTGAAGGCGACTGGCTTTTCCTTAGCGACGTTGTTGGCGCTGGCAGCAAAAGGTGCCTTGGGTGCCATGACTATAAACGGTGGTTTGGAGAATTTTCCTGTTAGGAGTCGTAGCTTCACGGGCGAAACCCCAGCCCTCAAACATATATAATTCTGTTTACCAGACTCGGTGTTCTCCACAGCCTTGGCCTTGACCGAAGGCGTCGGCTTTTGCAAAGATGCACGCGATGTCGAAAAGGTGCGAGTCTGTTGCTGAGTTGTTGAGGTAGTAGCAGTAGTAGTAGTAGTAGTAGCCTGGGCTTCCATGGCCTTGCTCATGACGGGGCATTGTTGAGCCTTGTTGAGCAGAGCATTGCTCTTCTGTGCGCCTGCAGGCAAGGTTGAAAGTCTACGAAGAGACGAGGTTGAGGCGACGTGCAAAAAGGGGCAGGTCTTTTTGGCTTGCGAAAGGGCAAACTCCATGGCAAGGACAATGAAGAGGGAATGTGGAAGAGTGGGGGGAGAGGAAGAAAGAAGAGAAAGCGAAAGTTAGGCAGGAGAGGAAAAGAAGAGGGGGGCTTCTTTACCAAAAGAGGCGATGCCTTTTAAAAAAACATGGACCGGGGTACCAAAAATTTTTTTCCGGTGTCTGATGCGCCAATAGCAAGGCTTCGTTGTAATGACGGCCGAACATTAGTCAGATCCTTTAGCCGCCCGCGTTACCGAATCTCGCTGCTACGTTGCGTAACCTTCGAGAGGTGTGTGATGAGGCTTACTTTGCGCTGGTACGCACGTGAATCCTGCATATGATGAGAAAACTTTTGCTGTCTGCGTTGACATGGAAATAAATTTGTGGGGAGCTATTAAGAAAAAGCACACTCTTTCTAGGTGGGTAGCAAAGTTAGCTTCAAAAGTATACGTCGGAAAATGGTGACAAGCGCTTTCGGTCATCGTTATAACAGCACTAATACCACTTGTTGCCTCCCTTACACGTAGCAGCGTCTCTCTTCTGACTCCTCCCCCCAGCATAGCCATTCCAGCGCGGAATAATCAACGCTCTTTCTATTTGATCTTGTTTGTGATACTGTTTATTTCCTGTTCTGTTTGAACCCGCGGTAATCCTGTTGCTGTGTCTCATAGCGTTTGAGATTATGTACACATCATTTATCCATTCACAGACCACTCGTTCCCCCACCCCCAACAGTATCCATTCCAAAATGTTTGGTCAGAGAAGCAGGTGCATATACAACATCGCTGAGGCACTAGCTATCCATGAAAGATTTCGCTAAAAAATTCAAACGGTACAAATATACCAGATACATGCAGGGTGTACAGATGTGTGTGAACACAGCCCTTTTCTGCCATGCGAATGTACTCCGGATAAGAAAAAAGGGTGCGGACTCCTGATTGCCACACTGAATATATACTTGCCCGCGAAATACAGTTTGACACTCTCTTTTGATTGTTTGTCTGATTACGATTGCAATAATCAGGCTCGCGTTGTTTACATCCAGGAGAAACCTGGGATGTGATTGTCGTACACAGCACAAAAATAAAACCATCGGAGTCTAGTTCATCGTTCTTATGGCAACAACAGTTCTCGTGGCAACAACAGTTCTCATGGCAACAACAGTTCTCATGGCAACAACAGTTCTCGTGGCTCTAATTTGCTATCATCGTGCACTCGGATACACTGGCTGCATAGGACATAAAACACGACGGGTGTATACATCTCGTCAGCAGCTGGAAAGTAGAGAAGCAGCAGTGCCCTCGTCTACACGAGCAAGGCAGTCTTAAACTGATGAGCAGTAGGAGCGGCAACACCACTCTATCTTATTTTCAGCTATGGCAATGACTAGACTATGAGAGATTTTGCTCACATTGCTTACTGATGCTACTTTACTCTCTATACAAATCAAGACCCCACACATTTGAGAAATAATACTTCAAAGTATGTATACTGTTTGCAACAAGGAACAGGGATCTGCAACAGCCGTGACAGCGGCCCAGATTGTGTCGTAAAAACAATGTGCCGGTTAAAATAAAAAAAGCTTATTACTAAAAATTGCTAGACCCGCAAGGACATACGTGCATAATAAGAAAACTTTATTTAACAAAGTATGTGTTCCAGTTCCCAAATGACCTAAACAATAACAGCATTACAACGCAGAGAAAAAACCACGAAGCACTGTAGTTGGCTTTTAAATATGCTCTTTTTTCTAAATGATCTGTATCTTTCTTTTCCCCAATAAGCAGAATAACATATACTGATGGATGAACCTGCAGTCAAGATGATCTGTTTTTTTGTGTCACCGCTGTGGATCGCAGGTTGCGGCACAGTATATCGGCTGATTATTGTTGTTAAACTCCACCACGTCGGTTTTCTAGTTCATTGCTTTCAGATCAGACAGGTGTATGAATAGGAACTATACAGGTGTGTATCCCACACATATACCTCCACATCTATAGCATCTACCGTGAATCAATAACTAAGTTTTGTAATCTGAACAGTTAAATCACATTACAACTGCACAACTTTTTCGTGGCACATTAATCTTAAACGAGCGATCAGCAGCATTTAAAGAATGTGATTTCAGAGTAGCACTATGTATCGTAAGACAGGACACACTCTCCTGCATTATGATCTACATTGACTTGTAGCAATCGCTACTAGCGGGCACTATAGCATCACTCATCCATCAGCAGAAACAAAAGACTTGCTTCTCTTGGTACATTGCATTAGTCGCTGAAAAGCGAAGAGAAAGGGATTTATGTACATGTGGACCTGAGCCAGCAGCTATACGAATTTAAATATGTGAGAAACGTGCTACAAGAGCAAGAGCATCAAACCATCCTCTATGGGCTCGTGCAAGAATTACTGATAGTCCAAAACAATCGCGGCCAAATACAATTTTTCTATGAGTAAGAGACACAAAAAATGACGGCAGAACTGTTTCATTGTCATACGTATAAACTTGCCCGCGTTTTTGCGTCAGCTGCATCATTGCATGCATCACCTGTCACAACGTATGCCGTACATGTCAAATGCAGGCTTTGTTCACTGTGTATTATACTCACGAACGTGTCACTGGAATGCTAAATCATGCTGAATGTTGGTAACAACAACAACAACAGTCAAGGTCTTTTTCAAGTGTGATCTGTGAACTTCCCTGTATTCAGACTAATGTCCCTGCAATACAGTGCCACAAAATTGACCCCCATGCATGAAAATACTATTCAACAAGTGTGTCAAGTCAATCATTGGCTGCTTTTTACTTCCACCTAGCCAAATTATCATCCTATTGAAGGCAAAGGAAGGCACAACGAGCTCAAGGATACAATCAGCAATAGTTTCTAGTTTAGGAGTTTCGACGCAAGAAAAAGCATAAAACAACCATTTAAAAAATTGCTAAACAATTTCATTACAGAATAAAATTAAATCACTGCCGCATAATAATTTGGTACGTATATGTTAATCTATTTTTCCTTTTTACAGTAGATGGCCTTTGGATATCCAATGCTTCTTCAGTCAAGCCAAAATATACCTGTCAGTTATCAATTGTCTTGTGGAAAAGCTCATATCCAGGACATTAACATACACTATTATAGGTTAGTTGATGTAGGTTAGTTGATGTCAAATTTAGTATTATTGTAGCTGCTAAAAAAGACTTACCATTAGCGTAAATGAAGACGTCAGTCACGGTATGTGATCCCACGACGTCTGTCACAAGCAAACTTCTACCGTGCCATTCAATACCGGCTATATATGTGTTTGTAGTAGACGAATGTTGTGAGTACACAAGGATACTTCAACTATCATAAAAAGAGTGACTGGATCTTTGATATATACCTCCATAACTTCCAGCCGGATCACCCTGGTTAGCAACGTAACTTCCATCTTTTTCAGTAGCTGGAGATCGAGGTGCATCATGGACCATTCTCCATGCCTCATAATGATCTGGACCATTGCTGGTACCGGCAGTGAGCACAATGTTGGGCGATTTTTTATATGTAGAGATCGCATGAATTGTGTTAATTTCAAAAATCAAGAAAAAATTTGTGTTTACTCGTAGTTTAAATGAAATACTAAATACATACCAGTAGGAAGCCATCGCCATTGTTATCAACGTAGGAGGGCCAGCCAGAATCCTCATAAAGACCGACAGCGCTACGCATACGTGCATCCGTAGTATGCTTGGTGATGTACGATTGATCTACTGATCCAAAAACATGGAAACCGTGGGCATCGGTCAGCAGTAAACAGGATTAAGGGTGTCTTCGTACTCTCCGTTTTTATAGTTGCACATTAAGTGTTAAAATTTAGTTGCTACGTTTATTGATTTATATAACTGTTATAAAAGAGAGAGAGAGACTAATTACGTACCACAGTGATATTTATCCGGACTCAGAGGGAGGTGGAAGGCTGATTTAGTTGATGAAGGTGATACCAGGTGCTGTGTCGATGTAGGTATTGTTGCATGCCAGTGTCGGGGTGTTGATGTGCGTCGAGTTCTGATGATATTATGCATATTATTGGCCATGTTCGTCTAAGGTAGTCAATGCGTTTTGGTGATTTGGTTTAGATTGTGGCAGTCGTTGAGGATGCAAGATATTGGATCATTTGTTGTTTGAGGTGCTATTCGTAGTCATGTGCGCTCTTAGAACACGTTATTGCATGGTTCTTGGTAAAATGTCTGTAGTCACATGTTCTGCATGGTATAGGTCTGCCACCTGGTAATCAACAATCTATGCGCCAGCGGATGAATCTACTTTTTTCTTTTCTTGTCATTGGTATCCACATTATAGGTCTATGCTGAGGCATGGTCTACATGCTGATAATAAAGTAGAAATGGTTTTCGAAGAAATTTGTTTGTTGAATATCGTCTGCCTGTAATTACACAGTTTTTTTATTCTTGGTTTGAAAGTAGTTCTGGTGTTGTTGTTAATGTTTTCCTTACAGGCGTACGGCAGAGTTTTTCCCAGTTAGTATACCTACTGTTCTGTGGTGATGGTTGGGAGGATGTTGGTGAGAAGGGCATCTTTAAGTAAAAAGTGAGCTCGTCGTAGAAATTTTGCCTGTAGTATTGCTGATCGTTCCTTTATGCTGGGTATTTTTGTCAGGTGGCGCATGACTTTGGTAGAGAACCTTGCTTTTGCACCATATATCATTTGTATACATGTGTTTTGTGCTTTCTTTTAGTATTGTGGTACTTGTTTTGTTGAGTTTATACAATTGCGAGTGCATTTTTAGATAGGCCAGTTGGACTGATTCCGATCGTGTTGAGAGTACGCATCACTAGTAAAGCTGAGCTGGTGGTTTTTTTTTTTCAATTAAGCATTGTCGATTGAGGAGCTCCTAATTATTGATTGGTGCCAGGTACCAAGTATACAATTACAGTAACCATGAAGTAATCTCTCTGGTATCAGAGGATACTGGGCTTATTTATGCTTCTTCATGATGATGTTAGAGATTTGGCTTTCTGCAAAAAGAAAAACATAACTGATTAATAGAATTTAGCTCAGAGAGAAAATATTAGCATTCAAATTAGAAAAAACAATGCAACCCAACAAAATGTATTAACAGACAGCAGATAAGAGACGGACTTACTGTATATAAAAACATGTCAAGCAACAAGCAACCACGTGGACTTAAAAAAAGCCATAACAATGCATAGATGCTCTTATTTTTGATTTATTTTAAATTGGTGTGGTCATAAGAATGATGTGATTAAAAGAATGTGGTTACCTCTTAAAATAATACAAGGAAAAAATCATTGGGTATTTATATAGAAAAAGGAATGCTTCAAGGAAAAGGGATAGAAACATAGAGTGAACAAGTATCATATATACATTAGGATTATTTAACGAATACAGTGAGATTGAATTACAAATGGAGAAAATTGCAAAAAAAACAATGAAGAAAAAATAATGCATGGAACATAGAAGCATTTGTACATGTTGAATATTTCAGCAGTGTTATAAATCATTTGGTTCTCGACCTTTTGCTGCTCGATGATGAGGAATTGAGGATGATGATGGGGAGGATGGCTTTGCTGATGAAGATGATGATGAAGACTTGGTAGGTATAAAAGATGGGGGAAGCATCCAATTTTTTGTGCCCTCATCAATTGTTGTAGTTCTGGTGTCGTTGCATCTTCTATTACCTTTCGCGTCTTTCCCATAATAGGAAATCAGGTCAATGTAAGTTTCAGTAATGACACGATTTGTGATATGTATTGCTTACCTGACTTGGGATACAGTATTGAGGATTAACTCTTATAAATTAATTATGATATAAACTATTAGATGCTATACATCAATAATTTATGTTTAATTTGTATGAAACATTTATGTTTCTAGCAGAAATATTTAATTGGTATATCAAATTTACTTTTAAGTTTTTAATTTATTAAATAAATATAAACAGTAAAATGCCAACGGGTTCGATTGCTTGCTTGGACAATAAGTCTTGGATTGCTTGATCTATCAGTGGAGTCTGTTCCGGGTCAAAAGGCTGGATGGGCGCTGGTGTTGTTGTCATTGGCGGTTGTGTGTGCAATTGAATTTTTGTAGTAGCCGTGTGCGATGGTGGTGTCGACGAATGAGTTGTATCCAATGTGTAAAAAACTTGCTGAGCCGACCTCCGACTGGGTCGCGTTTAGCTGTTATAGGCGCCATCGTTGAGATTATTGACGAAAAGGGTTGTTGGTCTTGTTAGATGGTTTTCCCGACAGATACATACACCAGGACACACTGTCAATTCTAAAGAAACACCAATTATCAATATCATTGGAAAGCCGAGACGCTACGTGAAATCACACAACGGCTTCAATTATGTATGCATGTCATAGATAAGAGACAGAGGGACGTTTCTTTGCTATGCTTGATAACGATGTAGGAGTATACTCGTTTTGAGAGTTTATACCAAATTTGAAAATCTGTTTTTTGCGAAATTGCAAACAAACATTGAGGAAAGTAAAACGGGGCTAGTTAACAAATGTCACATGTCACAGCAGCACCCGCGAACTGCCGGTTGCCAGCGTCATTTCAAGATATCAATAATATGAGGCATTGTTGAAGCATAGAAAACCTTTGCCGAACCCGCATTCTTCAACGAAAAAAACAAAACTTAATACATTGTATTAACTAACGCATTCATATACATGACTCATCTAATTGTATACTTTCTTTTACATTTCAATTTTATACACAAAAATCAGTATACTTTATGGATTTACAAGGTACACATCTGACATGTTCTCCAATTGTAAATTCCTTCGCGGCATACGTTCAGCAAAGAAAGTATGGAGGATCCGCCATTCAGCTGCTGAGTTTGCCATGGAATGATCTTTGTTGGATATAAAAATTTGAGATGTAAGTGCATCCGCTGAGCACAGTCGTTGGATTTCTTGAAACTACATTATTACATGGTGTCAATGATAAGCAACTGCGTAGATAATAGCATAGCTCGCACTCTCTCTTCAGTCCTTTAAAGGTAAGGAAACCTTATTTGCCACCGCTTTCTTTCGCTTCCAGTCTTACCTTCTTTTCCGCTTGGGAGCGGTTTCCAATCACTTGATCCTTTTCACCTTGCGTTACCAAGATATATCCTCCATAGCCATTTCCAATCTTTTTCTCGAATCGTTGCTCCTCCAAGAGATAACCACTGATGCTCACGACACCACCTAAATTTCGGATACTGCCAGACAAGGCAACATCCAATGCAACCGTACCACCTTGTGAAAAACCAAACAAGAATATTCTAGACGCTTCGAATCCACAATCGTTTGTTAGATGCTCGAGCAGTTCTGTAACTAGTTTGCGTGTACGAGTTAATCCTTTAAGTCGCTCTGGGTTCGCAGGAGTGAGTACTAAACAAAAGAACCAATACGGAGGGAAGTTAGCAGTGTTATGACATACTACAGCATCCAACTCTATCCAGAAAACGCACGATCGCCTGTCAAAAAATCAAAACTGGGATGCCACTGGTAGCAGCCCTCCAATAAGGGAACCGGTTCTGGAGCCTGAACGGCGAGAGTAGCTGTTTGCGGAAGGTTGAGTTTGGTGGCAAGTTTTGAGAAAGGGCCTTTGGAATCGCCTAAAACACGCAAGATGCATAAGAAATATCGCGAATAGTATTATGAACTCATTACAGAGAACGCAATTGTATTATTTTAAGCGAGACATTACCGAGCCCGTGGAAAAGAACGAGTAGATTATAATCGATCCCGTCAGCACTGGGTGCATAGTCAAATTTCAGCTGACATTTTGACGAAGTAGGTGGTTTTGCTTTGCTCTTTTGTGATTGAGGTGATTGAACGTTGATTGATTGCATCGTTTTTAAGGTAAAAAGATCGTTTCAATTTTTCTCTCTCGCTGCTGTTCTTGCAGAATTCTGGGTAGTAGCGCGACACGAGAATCTCCGGTAACGACATAGCAAGCAAAAGATCAGATATTTTACTATAGAAAAACTAGTAAATTATAGGTATGCAGTATACTGACTATACGTTGACTATATTAATGCTAAAATATGTAGTATTGTTCATTATCCATTCTTTATTTCGGTTGAAGGTACTTGTATATAATCAATTAAGTCCTTATATTTAAAAAGTCGTTATTGCTGGATATCAAGGATGAGGACTGTAGCTGATAAAGCAGCAAATGTGTACTCAAAATCGCTCTCGCTGTTCAAGGTGAACGTAGATTCCTCAGTCTTAACCACGGTCGACTCCTTGGTATTTTCAAGATCAGGGCTGTCTCCGGTAATAATACGTGCAGTGCCTTCGGTGTTTACTGCCAAACTCTGGAGGTTTATTTTGACGCTTTGCTCGGTATCGCCAATGTTGGCGACCTTGATGTAGACTTGGTTCTTTTCCTTGTTTGATCCGGCCACCCAGTACAAGGGGCCAAACTCACCATCTGTATGGTCAACTTGAAGGATCGTATCAGCGTCTAATGTTGATAAAGATAAATGGTGAGTTTGTGCTTGATTGTGTTTCGAGATACCCTAACGTTGATTATATAAAAGAGATATAGAATGTGGACAGATACTTACGGCTCTTGCTCCATTCTTGGAAAACGTAGTAAGAGGGAGTGAACCAAGCCTTCTCGGTATCGAAATGGATCATATCTTTTCGATATTGAAAGAAAAGTAAGTGGTTATATATCCGTGTGATGCGTGCATTGTTTTAAATATAAACAAATTTCTCTTCTTACCTGGATTCCACTGCTCTTGACCTTCACGCTTCAGCAGTGGCGCATAAGCAACCATGATAACAATATCTGCGTTGCGTTCCATACCCGTAAGGAAAATGGCATCACCAATACCCGCTTCCAAATTGGTAGGTGATCCGTCACAGCAACCATTAATATGGGTACCATATTCACCGATGAAAATATATGTTCCATTTCTGTCGTAATTGTCATACTTGGAAAAGACATCGATCATTTCTGTAATGTTGTAGTAGTAATGATCATCAAAGATATCCCATGGTCTATATCAAATACGATGTTGTTAAGTTAGATTTCTTTAGCTACGATTCTCATCGTGTTATTCTCTAGCAAAAATAGGTGGTCAGCTTAATTATGCTGTCTGTTTATACCTGGATTCTTGATCGGCAGTAGCAATGATCTTGGCATCAGGATATTTCTCGCTGATGGCATCATAGTATGCGCGGTAGCGATAATCGTAAGTGTCGCTGAACCAGTCTTCATTACCAATTTGGATGTAATTAACCTGGAATGGCTCTTCACGACCGTGCGAGGCACGGAGGGCACCATACGTTGTTTCCGTCGAACCAGTCAAGTATTCAAGCTCGTTTAACGCCTCTTGAACAAATGGACCTAATTCATCTTCGGGAACACTATCCCCTTGAAGCGAGTAGCCCGCGTAAACATCAACAATTGGCTCCATTTCAAAGTCTTCACACTGCAGAAGAAAAATTAAAAAAAATGATAGAAAGATTAGAAATTGATCAGTGCTACGTTGTATGTAGAATTTTACTAGTGCAAAATGGGAAAATCGTGTAGTAAATGCATACCATGTACATGTAATCAAGAAGACCCTGTCCGTTGGTGTTCCAGTAACTCCAGTCACCCATGCGGCCAATGCGCTCCTCCAGTGGGCCTAGAGAAATAGATTACCATTATCGTAGTTTAGAATTTATTCCAAGTATGTATGAATCATACAGCAGCACAAAAAAACTGACGAGGAGACCTTACCAACAGTCTCGTTCCACTTCCAACGTTGGTCGATGTATTGACCTTCCAAGTTATTTCCACCAGGGAATCTGATAGTTTGAAGAAAATTAAAATCGTGTTGATATCTTCATATACAATATTGATGGTAAATATGCTTATAATGTGATATGTACATACCGGAAAAACTTTGGATTCAAGGCCTTCATTGAATCTGCCAAGTCCTTACGCAGACCATTCTCACGACCTTCGAATGTCTCACCAAAAAGCGTGAAGACTTGGAAATAGATGGAGGCACCGGCGGCCTGCGCCGAGTCCACCGACACGACAAACGAGTTATCGATAGACACATCAGAGACGTCAGCTGAGTCGAGAGTAACTTCAAACTTCTGGAACTCGTTCGACACGGACTCGGAGGTGGAAGCCGAAGCCAGCACGGTTCCATCAGTGGATTCGAGCGTCACATTCAAGTTCCCGGTATATCCATCGGCTTTTGCAAAAAAGGAGGCTTGGTAGGTTTCACCGGGTTGGACGCGCACGCCCCACCATCCTTCATTGGAAACACCGGCTCTACCTGTTGAAGACTCGGAGACCTCCAGGCGAAGCGAGTTGCTGTTGATATCATTAAGACCATTGTCAGCATCAATCTCTATGGTAGCACCGTCACCAACAGCACTCCAGAATTCGACAGAGGGCTCGGCACCTGCGTCGTCAGCCTGGAAATTCCAATTGCGAAGCATTTGACCGTAGATTCCTATTATTACTCGTTTTTCAGTTAGAGTTACTCAATACACTAACTATTATGCTTAATAAGGTGGATAACAAAGTCGTACCTGAGTCGCCGCATCTGTTGATGTCTTCGTACATCAAGCCATAATGAATAGGAGACGTGGCATTGCCAGGAACATCATTGCGAACCGTAAGGGACAAGGCATCAGAAGGGCTTACCAAGAACGTGGATGTAAACATCAATGCTGCAGCTGCAGCAGTAATGCTAGTAGCAAATAACTGTCAAGTAGAAAAAAGGTGATAATTGTTTAAAAGTAATGACACAGTAAGAGGGTTATAAATTTTCATGCGCTGACAACATAACATCTAACAAAAAATAGACAATGCTTACCTTCATGGCGTTAATTGTATGTAAAGCAATGGATAATTTCAATGAAAAACATTACTGTCACTTGCTTTTATAGTTTACAGTCGCATTACATACGGTCGCATTCCATACGGTAGTGCGCGTACGGGATATTGAGATGGTGTGAGAATAACAGCATGCTTGTATTCTCCTTCTACACCATGTCCCTAAAGTCTATGGCATGATCCAGTCGACGATTTTCTCTACATCGGATAATAATAGAGGACTACAACAGTTTTTCTAGGATTTCCATAGATCCGGAAGAATTATGTGGGTTACATGATTGTAGAAAATAATCCAAAATAAACTAACTCTTCATGTATTAGACATATAGCAATGAGGATCTTCTTTTACCGGATAATCGCATAATCGATCTCGGTAGTACCAATTGCTAAAGACTGCCTTTCGTTACTCAAGTATATCTTACTCTTATGAAATGAACAGCTAATATGCATGTAATGCAATGCTAAATAGGAACACATAAGATCATAAACCAAACGCTGCCGGAAGGTTATATCAACGATACAATTGAAACAGTTCAAACAGGAGACGGTGTTTGGGAGCCTCCGAGAATTGCTTCTACTAGCAGTGTGTGACATTGTTAACCATAAAGTTTTGAATTAATCCAAAAGGGTCTTTTTGCAATCTTGTAGATTTTCATGATAGGATTAGATCTGTGTAACGTGCTTTTAGAAGATCCGGGGAATTGCTATGCTCTTCACAATTCTTCTCTCATGAGAAAAAAGTGCCATTGACCTTAATATTTCACAGAGAGAGAGAGAGAAAGAGAGCGAACGGCATAAACAATGTTTTTTCTCCATTGAGCGATGGCCATAGATTTAAACGAGGATTTTACGCTTTTTGGAAAATTTGACGGTGTATCCCCGGGTGGTTTCCATTGTGCAGATATCGTTAACCGAGGAACTTGGGCTCTGTGACCTCGACTTATCTTCTCGTTGTTTAATGTATGTACCTTAGCCGAAGAAAGGAAAAAGACTGGAATCTCAGACTCAAAGTAACATTGAATGTGTTGCTTTGACAATGTCTTTTCTACTAGGATTATCATATGATAGACAGTGACGATAACTTAATGAGTGATAGATTGACTAGATGGAGTAATCAGTGAAAGGTAGTAGTATATCAACGGAGATAGACAAGTGTCTCCGTTCCTCCTTCTACTTGCCTTTTTGTAACTGCTGTGTATAAACCAGTTTACGCATAATAAGAGTAAGTAAGAGAGAAATGTACTCTCACACAGGCTACTAAGATTTTCAAATGGAATTACATCGTAGATCTCGTAAGGGTTGCATCAAAGATAACTTGCTAACTGCACTGACCAACAAACGTGAGATGTGTTCGACACGATGCTTAAGCAAACATAAGCTGGATTGCTGCATACGTTACTCAAAATACGTTTGCAAGGTGCAAGCTGCCCAAAAGTTTTGACACAGCAGTCGAAGACAACTTTACTTTCTACGTAAATATACCCATCGAACAAGCTCTTTTTTTATTATATGTAGCACTTCAAACAAACATAAAATCGCACTACTGTTTTACAATACATATCTTGCTAGACCATTGTTGCAATTAACACTCGTTCCTATTAACGATAAGAGATACTTGCAAGAGATGAATTCGAAAATTGAAGGCTATTACACCTATTACTATGCTCTATTAGGTGCTAATCAGATTGAGAGAAAAAAAAGAAAGGCAAAGAGAATATGTCGATTAAAGGCGTCCTGTTCTTATGGTCGCTCAGGCTGCTCGGCAATGCTATTCTCAAAATGCTTTTGCCGCATAAAAAAGCTCAAACTTCATAATCTTGAGCATTCTTTTCAACAAGGATGCTATGTACTCTTAAGACTGTGATTTTTTTCGATCTTTGTGATCGACGAGACGCTCGTCTCAGAGTTGTAGTACGCTGACTTTGGCGGAATCTGATGATGCAACTCGGTTCCTCGCACCGAGCTTCAAATTGATAATGACTGGCTTCGAGGGTTGCTGTGGCCTTGCTGTGGCCTACTAAGGATATAAAAGTCACTAAAGGCCTAGCAAATACCAAAGTAAAAACCAAGCTTACTAGTTATCCGTGTACAGTAATAAGAAAGCTCTTGAATTTTCCATTAAATTCAGACTGACCGTATCTGCTGCGTTGCCTTGCATTTTTGTGGCACCAGAAAATTCGTCGTCACATTCGATAAACATTAACTGACCGACAAAGCAATTTTAACAACCTTCTTTACTTGTCTTCCAACCTATCACACAGCACAATGTCCAAAAGCATCAAGGCCTTGAGCCTTAAGGGCAAGCAAGACTGGGACACATCGATATACTGCTTCTCCCGCAACAACCGCAACAACTTTATGTGGGAAAAGGACGGTGCCGCCAAAGAAGCGCTTCGCCACTATTTCCAAAAACAACTGACATCGACCCCACAGTTCAAACATTCACCTTCGCGTGTCACTATTCAAATGTACTACTATGCCGACCCCAATTTTGGCGACCTGTCGCAATTCAAGCTTGAACCCTTGGAAAAATTGATCGGCGGTCTTTACCCCAACAAATACGTCGACGTGCGCTTTATTCGATTGCACTATCCTTATTTGAATGCCGAAATTCTGTCTAAATACTTGACCGCCAACGCCAACTCCAAGTCATGGGCTCAGTTGAACCGATCTTTTATGCGGGGTGTGCCCTTAGTGAAGGCACCATTACCTCACGATATGCCATTTGCTGTTCAGTGGAACAATTTGCTGCCTCAAGTATCGAACGGTCAGTTGACGAGCGCAATCCAGGGTGTCAAGTATCAGGTCTCGGGTCGTTTGGGTCGACGAAAGGGAGCTGGCCGAACAATGGTTTTCCGCAAGTCGCTCGGTACGTTCCAGTTCACGAGCCACAAATCGTTGGTCGATGTCGGACGACACACGTTCTCGAACAAGAACGGTAGTATAACTGTCAAGGTGTGGATCGCAACGGCTCTTTTTGGTGTCAATGCATTAGCAAAGCAAGCAAACAAAAAGATTGTCGATGCAGCCGCTTCTTCTGCTGCCAAGTTGTAAAAAGGGTCTTGTAAGACACTCGGGTGTCTTTAGGTTGGAGGAACAAAGCATACAAATATATAGTATTATAGACAAAAAAAAAGGAGAAATAGTTATTCTGTACTAATTACAATGATGTTTCGTGCTTATTTGAGATCCAGTCCTCTATACGTTTCGAGTGCAAAGAGGGGCGTGGTGTGTGTGAACGAGAGGGGTGAAAAGATCAAAGAAAAATAAGTGTGATGGCGTATGAGTGTGTGCATGATATATATGAGTGTATGCGTGTTTGTGTGCATGGAATGATATATGGGAAAATGGCGTGCAATGCGTGTGTGTGTATGTGTGTGTGTGTGTGCATGAAGAAGTTATAAAGGGGTTGCTGTACTCTATGAGCCTGTGATGGCTTGACTGTGGAGCACTGCAAAGTTGGATTTCAACCAGTCCAGATGCTGGAGCAGTGTCAAGTGCCGTTGCTGCTGCCATTCACATTTTTCAAACGACTTTTCAATGAACCTGAGAGAAAACAAAAACGGCATGGGATCTGTCGTCAGCGCTTTCTCTTCTACCTTGTTTACTCTCTTGTAGCTCGCCTTCTCTTGTCCTTCCATTATCATCTATGATGTACCCTTTAACTCCTGCTGCAATATCCGCATTCTTTATCTGTATTGTGCACTGCGTCTGTGGATAGTCGTATGGGATAAGCAATTGCAGGTGCAGTTCCGACGGATCACCGTTACTTTCCGGTATTGGTAAGCTTATATTCAAGACCGTATATGCGTCCTTGAAATTGATGCTAGACGTCATGACTTTTGGTTATTACAGCAATTCCAGGTAAACATCCCGAGCCAGACACCGCCTAAATATGTACCTAGGCTGTTGGAAAAACGGTTTGTAGTTCTTTTCAAGCTGACCGAGTTCTAAATCTCTAATTGCCTTGTGTATAGAATGCGTTTCACTGCTTGTGCTAATGCTCTTTCGCTGTTGTGGCTGTACTAGTGATGCTGGTGCTATTGTCATAGCTTCTGCTTCTGCTGTTGCTGGTATTGTTTCTGGCGGTTGCAATGGTTGTGGGTGCAGTGGTTCTGAGGCTGATGCCTCGCTATCGGCATGGTGACAGATGTCGTTGCGGTTGGCAATCGCGTCGACACGGTCTAGGTCGCCAAACAGCAGGTCGTGCGAGAGGTTGCTTGGACTGCCTTTGATGGGCAGAATGTGAGCAAACAGGCATTCGTCACCGGCACGACAGTTGCCCTGAGAAAAGAAGCGACATGCAGTAGGAAATCGCTTTGTGGAATGGGCGTTGGCATACATTAAACTCAGGAACGAAAAGGGGAAAACAAGAAAAAAGGTTATTTTCTTGACTTGATATTTTTGAAGCACAGAAAAAAAGGTTGAAGAGTGATGATTTACGAGCAGGTCGCACAAGCACCATGCCCTCTCTCTATGCGGAATTCAGACTCGCAAATGAGTTGAATGATTGCTTGCAGTTTGAGGATTGGCCTTGCACACTTGCTTACCCACTCTCTTTCTCTTCTTTCTATCTTTCTTTCCGCAACCCATCCTCTTTACGCTCTCTTTTATCCTCTCTTTCTCTGTCTTTTCCTCTTTCTCTCTGTCTTTCCCTCCTCTACCAACCCGCCACCGTCTTTACAAGCTGACATCTCGGTCCTTTTTAAAAAACTCATTACTTCATTCCCAAAAAGTTGTTGCTGATGGAGTCCGACCCTATTCAATTAGAGCACCAGACCGCTCCCGAAAGTACTCGAGGTCTTTTTGACCCTCCCGAACGCAAGGTAAGCGAGAGGCCAGTGGGTTGGAAAGGAAGACAGCATAGAGGAAGGAGATCAAACATCTAACATGTGGTTTTTATTATTAGCCTTCGCCACCCCAAGGCGCGTCTTCATCGCCACCGCGGGCAGCACCACCTCCTTCGTCGTCCAACTCGTCGTCGAGCATCGTAGATAAGCGCCGCTCGTTTAACACCTATGCCCCACTCCTCGAAAAATCAACCGCGCCACCCAACAAGGATCGCCCGTTTACACGTGGTCATCAACGCTCGCGCTCGGCCGTGATGCTCACCAACTCTGGATCCCGCAAAAGTTTCGGATTGCAACCCCTGTCTGAAGAATCCGAGGACAAAAAGGTCACCGTCGACTCGCTTCAGGACATGATCAACACCTTAAAAGGTCTGCCTCCTGTCATGCTCAAGGAGAATACGAACGGCGCTACAGCCCGCTCTAACAGCATCAGCGGTGCTACCAATAATGGTAGCACATCATCATCAACATCGAGTTACAGTCGTCGGCTTTCACTCGGAAACGGCATCAGTGGGCCAGATACGATGCAGAACATGGTCCAAAATACAGTGCAGGAGCTCCGTAATATTGACAAAAGTGCGCGCAGACGTAGCCGACGTGCGAGTAGCATGACAAGTACTTTGGAAGCATCTGTCGCTTTGCGTGACGTTGCGCTGGCTGAAGCGGAAGCGAAGTTGATGGGCACATTTGCAAAGATCGAAGGCACCAGTGTAGATCAAAAGCAAGGGAAAGGACAAGAAGAAGTGGACTACGACGACGATGACGATGATGACGGCGATGAGCCTTCCATTAAAGAAATGTTGATGAGCATGCCGAGACGTCATTCCACCTCCAGACATGTCGGATTGAATGAAGAGAATGTGGCTCCAATCAGAACGGCAAGTCGCCGTCGTTACTCTGAATCGTCTGGCAACAGTTTTGATATGTCGTCTCTTCCTGGAGCCGGCGGTAAACGTACGTCGTTGCAGCAGTTACCAACCTTGTCCGAAAATGCAGAAATGTTTGGATCCGGTAAGGGTGCGCGTCGTCTCACCTTCAACAAGCCCTTGACGCTGGAGGATAGCAACAAGAAGATCTCGCATAGCCGCCGATCCTCGCGTAATTTGGACTATGATTGGCGTTCGAGTAAGTGGAAGACTCGTTAAAGATTGATTGGATTGATTTTGAGAAGAGTGTTGGAGTTTAGAGTGTTTGGGATCATAACTTTAAAATTTTCAATAGGCTCGGTACCCACTTTACCTCCGCTCGCCACCCATCAGTCGTTCAACTTGGTGCCATTCACACCTACGCGCGTCAGTTTTGCCAAGGATGATGCCAATCCTCACCAACGGCGCCCGCTCTTTATTGCGCACTTGCCCTTCTCTGCCTTACCTCCGTTGTTCCGCTCGCGCCAACTTGTTCGTGGCATCTTGCGCGTCAACAAACGTAACCGAAGCGATGCCTATGTATGGTGCGAGGATTTGGATGCCGATGTGTACGTGTGCGGTTCGCGCGACCGTAACCGTGCATTGGAAGGTGATGTAGTTGCAGTGCGTCTTGCTGATGTTGAAAAGGTACTGCGTGAAAAGAAAGAAAAGGAAGAAGCCAAGTTGGTACGCAACGGTGGCCAAACACGCACACGCATGCCGGATGAAGAGGATGAAAATGAGATTATTTTCGGCGGGGATGATGATATCGATACGGCCAAGCCAAAGTATTCTGGCGTGGTTGTGGCTGTTTTGGAACGTGCGCAGAATCAAGACTTCTCGGGGTAAGTACCGTTAATGCTACATGGGCTCTCAAGGAAAGAAGCTAACAACATGGAGTCTAGAACACTGACATTGATGCGACCCAACAATAAGCGCGCTCAGGAAGAAAAGGCAGCCGAAGAAGCCCGGTTAGCAGAAGGCGATACTCCCAAAAAGGAAGCTCCTCGCATTGTTTGGTTCAAGGCCACGGATAAGCGTGTTCCATTGATCGCCATCCCAATAGAGCAGGCGCCAGCTGACTTTGTGGACAACAATGATGCTTACAGAAACCGTTTGTTCGTGGTAATGCATAATATATTAACTACACCATTAGCGTTACACACAGGCGATATTGCTAACACTCAAAGTAAATTCAGGGCTCGATCAAGCGATGGCCGATCACGTCGTTACATCCGTTTGGTTATCTCGAGCGAGAATTGGGTCAGGTCACAGATCTGGACGTGCAGGTCATGGCCATTCTTGCTGACAACAATGTATCTGAACTACCGTTCTCCGACGCGGTCATGTCGTGCTTGCCAGCCAATGCTGCTACGTGTGAGCTATCAGCAGCCGAGTTAAAGGATCGCCGCGATTACACCGACCAGCGCATGTTTACGATTGACCCAGCTGGTTCCAATGGTATATACCTTTTGTGTTACAATCACCCTTTTTTGGGGGCGGGACAGAAAGTGTTTGCTTGTATATCAATTACTTAATGATGCTGTCTTTTTACACATTGCATATTATATAGCACTGGATGATGCATTTTCGGTTCGCAAATTGAGTGAAGACACGTTTGAAGTAGGTGTCCATGTTAGCGATGTGACGCATTATATCGTTCCACATTCAGCCATGGACAAAGAGGCACGTGCTCGTGGCGTCCGTGTGGATCTTCAGCACAAGTTTGTGCCCATGTTGCCTGGTGAGCTCACTGATCAAGTGACGAACTTGGATCCTGGTAAAAAGAGGTATGTACAAAACTATAAGCTGATATATGTAAAGCGACGATTATTCATTTTTTCTCTTTATAGATTGGCCATTTCGGTGGTATGGACCATCACTTCCAAAGGCAAGATCCTGGATACTTGGATTGGCAAGACCGTTGTCCGGTACGTTTTTAATTTTCTGTTGATTATGATATGTATATTATAAGCCAGAAGAGACGACTGATCTACGGCGTTTTATACATGAAAGATCGGATGCCCAGTTGTCACATCAAGACGCACAGAAGGCCATAGACAGCGAATCGCTTCTTGAGCGTGTATCCGATAACTCTGATCTTTGCCAAGGTGTTGAGCAAGATATCCGCACGCTCGCCAAGATTGGATCTGCTATGCGTGATATGAGATTGGAGGAAGGCGGCGCAATGACCCAGATGCGCGACGAATTGGAATTCACGTTTGAGTATGGTCATCAGATTGCCCCATCCAACGTCTCCACATATACTCGTCCTGCAGCAGCGACATACATGAAAGAATTTTTGCTGCAAGCCAACATTAGTGTGGCACAAAAGATCTCCAGCCATTTACCCGAACAAGCATTGTGTCGTCGCCAACCGCCTCCCGTGGACCGCAAGATTGTAAGTTTCTCTTCTACCTTGTATTTGGATGAAGGCGATGAAAGGCAAAAAAAGGAGCTGACAGACATATATGATATATAGCGCGAACTGGAAGCATATGCAGCTCGTCACTTAGGCGTCAGCTTGGATGTGTCCAATGCAAGCACTATTGAGCACTCGATCACTTCGATCCACGATGCTCCTCTTCGCAAGCTAGTGACTTCGATTTTGCTCAAGACATTCAACTCACCCAAATACTATTGCACTGGCACTCTTGATATCCTGAAATATTCCCATTACGCGCTTAATGTTCCGCTTTTTACCCATTTCACGGCACCCAGTCGTCGCTACGCGGACATTATTGTTCACCGTCAACTTGACTCGGTTCTCAACGATGGTATATTCTGCTGTCTCTCTCAATTCTCAACTCTAAAAAAGAACGGGGCCACTAATCGTTATATGCTATTATTTTGTTTGTTAGATAAACAATTCTACCTTGATCGCGATACTGTGCAAAAGTTAGCACAGCACTGTAACGTGAAAAAGAACGCAGCGCGTGTTACCCGAGAACAGACCAGCTTGCTATTCCTGTCGCGTTACTTGTGTGCCAAGCAACAACCGCCTACAGACAGCATTGTGGTGTTTCGCGACGCTACCGTGGTGGCTGTGTTTGACCAATACTTCGATGTACTGGTGCCCGATTTGAATATTGAGAAACGGGTTCACTTGGCACACTTGCCTGTCTGGCGGTCCAACTTTGACGAACAATTAAACGCGTTGACACTGTATTGGAAAAAGGGCGTAGCCACACCCACAGGCCATCATCAGACTTACGAATCGGAAGACGAGGACGAGCTGGATGAGGAAGCACTTATTGAAGAAATGAAGCAAGAGATTACAGCTGCACCTGCTGTCGTGCCAACATCCAAGCTCAATAAGAAGGACGGGGAACAAAAGCAGCAGGAACAAGAGGTGCGACGACCTGTGGGTAGACGAGCATCAGTTTTGCGTACAAGATTGTCGGATAGCACAGGTTACAGCACCGAACAATCGTCCCAAACTCTTAAAGCACTTGACAGAATCAAGGTTGCTGTGATTGTGGAAACCATCAAGCCGCCCCCGGTTGTGCGTGTGTTGGCTGCCAATCCTTTTGCCTAAAAAAGCTCCTCCTCTTTTTTTCTTCTACTTTTCTACTTCGTAAATACACATCCACACGCAAAAAAGATTATCCCCACACACTCTTTTCTTCATGTTTTTTATTATTATTTACATATCCCTGTTTTTCATCCATGTACTAGTTCCAACTTACTGGAATTCACTCCTTTCTGTTGCTTCATGCTTGTATCTATTACTCTTCTGTCTTTTTAACTGTTAGTTGTCTTTTTTCTTGGAAGAGATCAGACTTTAAAGAATAGGATTCGTTTGGTCTTTATACTATGTGGATATAGATTATGCATTTACTCTTCGACAAGTTGGTATTTACAATCGTTCGATAACATCAGTATCCCTTCCTTTTCCCAATACTCTAAGCTCCCCATAACCTTGTTCAAATTTACTTGGATCTTGCTAGCTATTTCTTCATCCGTGTATCGTTGTCCTGTAAAGAGAGAGAATAGGACAACGGGGAGAAAAGGTCATGTTAGAGAGGCAGTTTCTCACTTCATATCAATGTGTACTGAGGTTATTTATACCTTTGCCCTGGAACAGTGAGATGACTAAGGCTGAAATAGGATCTACTATCATGTCCACCGTTCTAGACTGGAACTCCAATTCAATCGATACAGATCCCTGTGACGGTTTCCAATGCAACTTGCGGTTCGCTTTGTAGTGTTTAAACTTATCGACATATGCCTGTAAAGTTTGTTCCACATCATCCAGTAGCGTTGCTGGTTTCTTTTCTTTTGTTCCTTCTTGTTGATTTTCCCCGTACATGACGATATCTTCATCATCATCGTCGTTGTCATCGTCGTCCTCTCCTTTCTCAGGCCAGTAGTGCCGAGATAATATCATGCCATGAAATATAGACTGAACTCCTTGCGCATCTTCGTGTATTTGTCGATCAAGCCGCCTGCTTTCCGCTATATCTTTGATCATGATATCACAACTCGTCATTGTGTTATCTGGAAATCGTCGTTTTAGCATTTCTAACTTGATCATCTATAAACATTTGTTTGTTATTGTTAACATCAAAGATGTATACTTTTTTAAAAGAGAAATCAAGGGCATACCTCTTCATCGGTATCATAGTTATTAGACATCATCAGTGCCTTGCCAAGTTTGTCTTGATATTGTTCCACAAACTCGGTAGTCGAGCCACAGATGCTAATAAGCATAGCCATTGGATCTAGCGTCATTTGTTGTAACCTTAAAAGTTGCTCTGAAAAGAGTTTTTATCAGTTTTCCGGGGCCTCGCAAGTAGAGTATAAGCTAATCCACATACCTCGCTCATCTTTGTTATTATCTTGTTGTTCGATTTCACCTTCAGTAAACTCATATATGTTTTCATCATCATCCAGCCCGTATTCTTCCCCTTCCCGAATCATATCCACGACAGCTGGTACAACATCATTTCGTTTAGTGCTAGAGCAGGAGAAAAAAGTACGAAAATTTGTTAAGCTCGGCCGTGCTATTTTGAGGTCGATCAGAGTTTTGCATAGCCATACCTCCAATAGTCTCGTACTGTCTCAATAATTGGAACAAGTATTGAACAGGTTGGATCGATGACTTTGAGACATTGAATGCATAGGATATATTGTTGAAGAATATCAGCTGCCCATGTGCCGTTTCGTAGTAGTCGAGTGCGGAACCTATTAAGTAGTAGTTTAGTTTATAGTAGAGAAAAGTTCATAACTAGTATAAAGAAATAACTTACTCATTTAAAACAGCATCTTTTATACGATTCGGTACGCTTGACCACTGTGTTACTTTATCGGCAGAGTTCTTATCTGCAATAAACTATTTAAAAATCACAAACAGATGACACCATCAAAGACTTGCTTCGCGCATATACTTCACGATTTATAAACTTACCTTGAGATCCTCTACAACAGGTTTAGATGAAGGGTATTCGGTAATGATGTCAAATATCCGTTCGACGCTATGATGGGGAGGTTATATAGGTAATTGATTAAAATGATTGAACAAGATATGCGAAAGCTTTGATTCTACACTTACCGAGTTTCATAAAAGGCTCTGTACAATGTATGCTCCAGGACAATCTTATCCCGCAAAAAATCGTACCATTCCGCGCGACTTGCTTTACGTATTTGGGATCCATCTTGTACATCTAGTTCTTGAAGTGTATGCGAGTACCATGGCAACACCACCAGTCGCATCCAGAGCAGCTGTTTTCGTAACGTATGTTCAGTGATGACCTGATCCCAACTGTCTTCAGGCAAATGGAACCGCTCGCTCGCCATATCATAGACAAACGCATTAATATGTGGCGCCAGGCCTAGCATGTTCGCTTGTAGACAAAGTTGACTAAACTCGCCAATGGATTTTTGCGCTGTCTCTACATCCCCAATTGCTCCTACTGTCGATGTTCCTCGTTCTTCTCCTTCCCCTTCTGGTGATATAACCCAATCTAAAGCTTGTGGTGGATCTTCTATCAATAAATGATCGATTTGTTGTTGTAACATATCGTCCGACATTCGTGCTGCATCAACGAGCGGTGGCAAGTTTTGATCTAGTGTTGCGTAAAAAACGGAGGCGTCGAACGATTCATAGGCAGGCGCGGTAAGCATGATTTGTTCATGTGCATAGACGGTCTCGAAAAATCGGCAAGCGTTGATGTAAAATGTGCGTCGTGCACGGATATAATTGGGCATGGATTCAAGTAGTCCAGACAAGTATTTACTACATGCTTGTCGAAGGCGTGATTTCAGTTCGGGTGACCAAAGCGGACTGTCCCTGTAATTGTACATATCCAAATCGTCTCTGTCAGTTATTCTATATAACATGCATGTATTATATGAAAACCTTATAAAGTGGGTATTACATGAGCAATGTCATATCAAGCGGCTTACTAATGGTGTCATATATCTGGTAGAATTGTTTGACAAGATGGGCCCATCCCTCCTAAGATATTCACACAAGTCAGTAATTTTCATTAGAATTGACAAATACTAAGAAGGAAAAGGGGTACATACATCTGTGGTACTTATAAGTTGCTCTGCTTTTTCTTTGAGATATGCGACGGCAACAGCTAACAAATGCAAATGTATCGAGGTTGATCATTCATCCTTATCCATGCGCACATATACTCTCTTGTCAACTTGGTAACGTACCAACGTAATAATCTTGAGCTAAAGTCTTGGGTAGCTGAGTATCCAGCAATGACTTTACAGGGGAATCACGGACTTTTTTTTTGTTTGCAGGAACATACCACTCGCATTAATTACTCGAAAGCCTATGTGTAAAGCGTGTTAATGTACGCTATATGAAACTTACGCGTAAACAACCGTGGTGGACCTTCACACGCTTGTAATATATCATCCATTGTAGGCGGCTTTGGAGTGGTTTTTTTTTGTTAGAAAAATTCACAAAAGAACATTTCGTTTTAGCGAAATCGAGAATGGAACGCGTTACTGAACGTCAAGCAATCTACCTGCTACGTAAATAAAGAAAGTTAGATTTGATAAACTGATCGATCGTTCCCCCATCCCCTCCGTCCTCCTTTCAAACTTGTTGCTGTTTGAAGAAAAGCTTACGGTTTCTTGGCCGTAGTGTTTACGATGATGGCCCGCAAAGACATTGATAGCGTTCTGGTGTTTGAAATCTTGAGCAGATAGCATAAAGTACAGCGAGATCTGCGTTGTTTCTTGAAAATATAAAAGAGTTCTTGCCGCAACTTTTCTTACGGCCGGGAAAATTTACACGCAGCGGAGACCGGGAGCTCAACATTGCATATTACTTCTTTGGCCATATGTATTGCGAAAGCAGTGGGTTCTATGTATATGACACCATCTTTGCTTTTTCTTAGCAGCCTTAGAAACGGTTTTTATGATGGCTTACGTGCTCGCAAGTGTAACACGCTTACAGTGTGGAACAACAAAAGTCTACAATTAATGTATCTTGACTTAAAGCAAAAACTTGCAGTGAGTGGATCAACTATCATTTCAGCACATATGCACAGAAAACAATTCTGACAGCGTTGCTTCTCTATTCCAAGAAGATGTGACTCAAAACCGTACTAGCTGTTCCTATAATGAGAATGTGTCTTTCGAAGATGTGTCGGATAATAAGTGGATTATGTGATACAAAGGGCACGGACGTTTGTCTCGAATATTATATGATAAAATGAATTAGCTGTATAATAAAATAAAGGGATGGATAAGCTGTTACTTCTAGAATTAAAACATGCGTTAATGCTGCGCATTTGCTGGTAGGCTAATCGAGGAGGGTGCTTTTGAACGTGTCACACAACAATCCATTCTATTGCGGTACAATGGTAGCAGCCCAAAACAGAAAGATATTTTGTGATATGCAAAAGTATCATGATCAAAACTGAATACAATAAACAAAACGCAAAGGTCCATACACCATCTTAATCATCATCATCATGCCTACCTTCATCATCGCTACTACTAATTGATGTGTTGTACTCTATTGTGCCCTTAGTTGACAGCTAGAAGAAGAGAAAAATAGGACTTCCATAAACAAGCAATCTCTATATTACCTGATCATCACTTTTCCTTAAATTCATTACAGAAATTGGTAATGATGTGTATCGGTGACTGAATGCAGAAGTGTTAATATGTAATGTTCTCGATTTCCAATAGGTACAGGTGCATAGTAGATTGCTGCTGGGTACGGAAGTAAAAGCCCATTTGCATTGAAATCTATATATAGTGTCATACCGCTGTACCTAGCATTGACTAACATAACAGTAGCTTCTGGCAACAGTGGGCGAATTAGCTTGAAGATTTTGCTATTTACCAGGTACAAACAGTTAAAATATGGTTTAAACGAATAAGCTTAGCATGTATTTTCGTACCTGCCCCACCAGGGTATGTTGACAAAGAATTTGGTTGACTAATGATGAAATATTAGAATCTGGCCCAAACACAGCAAAATGTCATCATCGACCAGAAAAGGCTTCACTGCTTTTTCTCTTCAAAGATTCGTCCCAAGGAAAATTATAGTTACCAAAAATTTAGGATAGTTGTCCTGCATGATTTTGATAATCTCCTTTGTGGCCTGTTTGGAATTAGCCGTACGACCAAACATAGAAACGCCCTTGTAATCGTGAATCTGGACCATGGTATCCACATTAACAAAGTCGACAAGTTTGACACCCTTTTCCATAAGCTGAACTCTCCAACGGATGAACCTTGAGGTTGATCAAGAAATTATATACACATAAGCTCATGGTTTGTTATTCAGCATGTTGAGGCATTAGAACTTAAAACGACATATACTTTTGCAAATCGCCAAAAACGGCTTCCTGGTCCAATTCACCGTAGAAGTTGTAGCAAACAGGACGGCCTTCTTTATCAGTCTTGTGAATGTACCCGACACCGCCAAAGACAGACTCATCAAACTCTTCGTCCAAGATACTGTCTGCCTTGAATTCCTTTCGCCAAGCTATGCTGTCACTCAACATTTTGCTCGCCAAATCCAGGTTCAAATCTCTTTATACATCATAACAGTTAGACGTAAATTTTGCAATGCAAAATCCATATTTGATAGTGTAAATGCGAGTAAAGACCTACCTAGCGCGCAAGAACTTGACCAAAAGAACGTTTAGCTTTTCATCGGAAAAATCCTTATCGAGGGCAATGCCCCAAAGCGTGTAAGGTTCGGGTTCCTCTGGTGACTTGCTGGCAGCCTTGAGAACTTCAGGAAGCCTGGATTTAAGCTTGGAAACAGCCTCG